ACTCTGTTCTATAGAGATATTTGTGGATTTTTTTGATGTAGCGAAATATTTAAAGAAGCATGTAGCAATGTGATTATCTGATAATGGCCTAAACCTATTGGCAGACTGGTAGACGCTTAGTAGGTCGTAGCATAGCATGGCGGCTCTATAGCCACGCTTTAATCGATTGACGTAGGCGCTTTAAAATGTAAAAGGCAAAACGCTATGTATTGCTAGAAACTTACATAACTCGAACAGCGGCGCAAAAGCCAACTCGAGTATGGAATTGCAGCACGGAAATTTCATGACAAAACTTGAACTCTATGGCATGGTTTTTTGGATTCTGGGCTAGATAGCATGAGTGCGAGAGAAGATCGAACCCACATCAGGGAAGCTTGAACAAAAGCCGAGGGTGTAGCTGGAGTCAGTGCGTGTGATCGGCATGATCACGCTGCGGTACAGTCACGAGGGACATGCGTCACAATGGAGATTCCATGTGACAGGCTGAAAGTTACAGCGGCAACCTGCATGAAACGGCTTCGAAGCCTTTTGAGGGTTTAGCTTTGGGGATCTGCGGACATAGTCGCGTATGCACATGCGGCTCATACTCGCGGCTCGATCTCGTAAAGCATGTGGATCACAAACCTACTTACAGTCTCTTTTGAGACATAATCCGTCACGAAATGATATCTTGAATTCAAAGAAAAGTTTAAACCGCAAGAAGCGGATAGAAAACGGCCGAATCTAGTATTCATCGTAACCAAAACAGAGGAAGAGGCTCTCGGCACATGCCTTTCGTGTATGCTTGGAATGATAATGCTTGAGCCTTGTTGGTCATGCACAAAGGTTGGATATGTTGATACGAATCGTGAAGCATCTAGAGATAATTGTCGCCAGGGCGAATGGAATCAGAACTGGAGACGGGTATGACTACAGAAGAGGTTAACAGTAGTGGTATCAGCATCGTCTACGGAGTTGATTGCAAGCCTCCTTTTTCCTGGTGGTAGGAGTGAGTACGCATATGGTGTAAAGGCCGCTGACTTTTGAGGTTCTGTTTCCCAAATACGGTTGCATATAGACATGGACTCTTGAACAAGGTGGCCCAGGAGAGTAGCAATGACAAAAGCAGATAGCAAGTCAATTAGTGGCTCCAGATCAGGAAGTATCAATGTTAGCTTCCTTGCAACGTGGTCGATATCGAGCTTGCATATAGAAACGACTTTGGCTAGCTGGCCGAGAATATCGGTCGCTTTCGTCAATCCCACGTTGTGATCGTCAGTCCCTGGCAGATGCCGATGCGTGATGCCGGTGGCTGACCGTTTGGTACGCGCTACCCAAAGATCGACCCGTGTAGATCCGAGGATGTTTAACGAAGGCCACGCGAGTGAGTTGCCATGTGCTCGCGTAGAAACAGTTGCCGATGCCTGCGTTGGCCGCATATCGTCACACGTGAGTCTGGTCACACTCAAAGTTTGGTTCCCGAAACTTTCGCGGGTTACAAAGGGTGCGGCCCGAACGTAGCAGTCGAAGCTGACGTGTGGCTAGGTGGAGTGGAGACCTATCTATGACATACTCAATATCAGATTGCCACGAGGTCGTAGACTGTGGTATCTCCAAGGTTTTGCACCTGAATCAGCGGCACTCGAAGATTTCTTGTGGCCGTCAAGATCGTCGGGTCGCTTGAGGTGACGACGACAAATTGTCGGAGGATGCCATCTGCTAACACGTTAGTCAAGCTCAAGGGTACCACTGCGCTGGATCATGGAAACACCTTTGGATGTGCGGTCAGGATGATTGCGTCTACGCCTTCCGACGATTTGCGCCATGGCGCCTAGAATGGAAAAGCAAAAAGTCGCGGGGTCTCGCACTTGCGATCTGGGGATTACGACGTCGGGCCGACAGCAAACTTTCGAAGCCTGAAGCACGTCGCATCCCGTTCGCGAAGTATTGTGATCCTGGGGGATGCTCATGCATGTTGTGCTTGAATCGAGGGAAAGACTTTGAGTCAAAACTCACGCCATCACCAGAATGCCCCACTGACATCGACTCGAATACTGATGATTTCGAGCAGGCGAGAAAGGGGAAGGTGGACGCTCATAGCGGCGGAGTTTCAACCCGTCGCATGGGTCTGTTTCGATTGTGCATCAGGTATACCTTGTAGGGCTGAGGTATCAGCCGGGATGTGTTTTGTATCCGTGTCAGGGAACATCGATGAAATTCAACAACCTAATCCGTAGCGATGTCATTGGAATACACAAGTGGACAGAAGTTCTCATACCAATCTATGACGATGACCTACAGAATGCTTCGAAAGTGGCTTGATAGTGTCGGAGGCATGGCTCCTAGGCCGTTTCAATTTTTCCGGGTGCTCAACACAATGAGAGGGCTGCTTAGCTTGAGAATGGCGAGATTGCAATCGTACCGAGAAGTTGCTCGAGGTGCTCAACAAGCGGCTGAATTTTCAAGGTTACCACGGACCGTGTGCTAGGGCACGCGTTCCACACATCACTACGGCATGATGGTATGGTGGTATGGTGGTATGGAATATTAGTCGAAGATTTGGCTGTTTCTAAGCTGTTTAGCTCCTGAATTCCGCGGTCTTGCCTGTTAGCGACAATTAGGCCAGTGCTCAAATGACATGTGATGAACAGCGGCACGTTTGTACGCCGTTGTGATAATACATGAAAGTATGTGTTGTTAGCTAAATAAAATGATTGTATTCTTGCCTCGCGTATCTCAAAAGCCGCATCAGGCTCCACAAGTCGATCCCCAACGTTGTGAGAGTCAGTGAACATGATCTTCAAAAAGCAAACGAGCCCCATGTGGCTTTTCGAGCCGCGAAGACAGCGGCGGTCGAAGCTCGGCGACGGTTGGGTATACGCGAGGTGGAGCAAACGGCAAGCAGGTGTGCTGCTAGTGGCGTACGCCAAGTCGTTTACCTATGCACAAAATCGCTCGCCTGTGGCGTTCGGAACGAACCACCATCTTCGGTCGGCCTTCCGGGGCCTCGAATGCCTTCATCTATACAAACTCAACAATGCTATAGCAAAATGACAGTCAAAGCACAGTGTTCGAGCGAGTTGCTTATATTTTGATGTTCTGTGCTAACCAGTCAAGTAGATCAGCGCTGATCACGATGGCATCTTGCGAAGAACGTGTCTCCTTTCTGGAGGCCTCATCACCCTCCTGCATATTAGGCGAAGTCCACTTAGCGTTATGAATCCGCTGTTCCTGAAAAGTATGCCCTCCGTCGCTGGTAGCGTCTGCCATGCGAAGCGTCAGCAAAGGCCCACTTCAAGTGGTCTGGGGCAACTTCTCCATTCGCCCTAAGTTTCAGCTGGGTCATTGGTCGCGTTCAGTCATCATGGAATCTAGTGCCAGACTTTCCGTGCACATGCCAGGGATCATCTCTACGGCGAGGATTGCACCTCTGGTACGGAAGATGCATGACCCTCGAATAGCGGCCCCAGAAGAGGCGGTTCAGCCCCACTCCATACCTCAATCTGCAGTTGCCGTCCGCCATACCCAATGGTTAAATGTACCTGCATTCATTACTTTCCGTTATGGAGTCTCATATAGAACAGGCCTCGGGAGACTAAACGACCTGGCCTAGCACTTCTGACAGCTCTTGATATTCTCCGACATTCCAGGGAATTTATAGTAAGGGTCTGTCCCGGATTACCAATTTCTCTTCGTTTCCGCCTCTCACTTCCTGGCCGTTCGATCGTACACGATTTCGTGTATGAGTACGAAGAAGGATGAGGCTCCTGGAATTGTTGCTCCCATTGCTGGCATGGGTGCAGCTAGTAGTTGCTCAGGAATCGGCTATGCTGGCTGTGGCCAAGCAACTTCCCCAATGCGCGGTATGTTCGATCCGAGCGATGCTCATAACATGTACTGATTGCGTTTTCAGCAAGTGTGTCTTGCCACAGCAGTCACCCAATCGCCTGTTCAGCACACAGACCTAGCCTCAATATGTGCAGATGCTAAATTGCAAGGCGAGGTAGAAGCGTGTGTTTTGCAAGCGTGTACACTGAGACAGAGTTTGAGTGAGTGCCTCACTTCCCAATGCTGTATCGAATGTTGCTAATTGCCTTTCTTAGCGACCAAGAATGTCACTTCAACAAGCTGCCACGCCCCCATACGTTATTCTGGCGAGTCCATTCGCGTATCAAACTTGATTCTCTCGATCGTCACCGCTGTCTGCGCGCTCTCCAGGATTATATACAAGGCCGTGTTCTCTATTGGAGAGCTCGGTTACGACGATTACAGCGTCTTAGCCGCACTGATAGCCGGTGTACCATCTGTCGTTATCATCGATAGAGCCATCGTTCCAAACGGTCTTGGAAGAGACGTTTGGACAGTCAGCTTCGAACAAATCACCAACTTCGTCCGGTATCTTTACGCCCTGGAAGTCCTATACTTCATCCAGATTGCGCTTCTGAAGCTCACGCTTCTTTTCTTCTTTCTCCGGATCTTTCCAAAGCCGATGATCAGGCGACTCCTCTGGGCTACTGTTGCATTCAACTGTCTCAACGGCGTTGCATTCACGTTCGCCGCCATCTTTCAATGTCGACCGATATCCTTTTACTGGACGAAATGGGACAAGGAGGGATCAGGCCAATGCATCGATATCAACGGATTAGCGTGGACAAACGCCATCATCAGTATTGTCCTAGATATTTGGATGCTCGCTTTACCCTTGTTCGAGGTTTTTAACCTGCAGCTGTCCTGGCGCAAGAAGCTTAGCGTTGCTGTTATGTTTTGTGTTGGCACATTGTGAGTCACCTTAAGAACTATCACTAGAGGACAATCGCTAACTTGAGGCTCAGTGTAACCGTCATATCGATACTCCGTCTGCGGTCTCTTGTCAACTTTGCCGCTTCCGCGAATCCAACATGGGATCAAGCGGATGTGATCAACTGGTCAAACATCGAAATCAATATCGGAATCATCTGCGCCTGCTTGCCTGCACTACGCGTCATTCTTGTCCACTTGTTCCCCAAGGTCCTTGGTACAACCAAGGCCACCGACCGGCCTTACTACGCATACGGCAGCCAAAGTCATGGAATGAGGAAGGGAGGCAGTGCGCCGGCCAGCGGTCCGGGGAGATCGGCTGTCTCAAACGGCGGACGGGATCCGAACGCCATCACATACACTAAAACTTTCGAGATACGGCATGCAGATAGTGATGAACAGTCACTTGTTCAGATGGAGCTGGATCAATTTGGACCAAAGAAACAAAAGAATCCAAGTAGCAGTACCAGTATTTCGAGTTTATAGATAGAACATCTAAACAAAATCCTAATTGCGCCGACCACATCCAGATACAAAGTTTCGTTCACACGTTGTAACCGCTCTCTCGAAGATGAGGCATCGATACTAGTGTTGTGCAGCCATTAGCACAAGTGCAGATGACTAAGTCTTGTAGAGGTCGCCATTTACATCTAATACCGTACGTATTCAAGTTCTCTTCGACACTAGAGTAACCTACCATATACTCCTCGCCCTTCTTCACATCACGTACGGTCTTGAACACTTCCTGCTCCAGCTATGTGTCCCAATGCCTCTTTACGCTTAATTTTTCTCGTGATTCAAAGTCGATCCGGTCAATAAAGTCATTCCGATTTTGCCGAACGAAGCCTCTCCTTCGAATGCAAACATACTCATAACGTGTATTAGAACATCGATGAAACAGTGGTAGTTGCTTCTTGTAAAAAGGGCTGTGCGCGGGCACTCATATCTCTACAATTTGTTGTGTATTAGATACTGAATGTTTATGACATGAACCATATTTGGCATCGTTACAATCTGGGAAACATCTATCCCTTGCATGCGGCCAGGCGGGTCAACTGCGTGGGCGGCCGCACTAATTTCTTAGCGCAGAGTGAAGCTTCCCAAGGTCGTGAGCCGCACGCCCCAATCGCAACACTCGTGATGTGGATAATGACACCTGTGTACTAACAGTTCTCTGAGAAAGACGTTTCGTATCCAAGTATCTACGCTCGATCGGTAATGACTATCAAAATAATGGTACATAAGGTATCGCCATTCTTGACTTCGGGATCGAGCTTGTCGACAACGTTGCTAGGTGTCGATTGGCTGAGGACGAGAGTGTAAGAGCCGTCCCGCTATGTATGCTGCAGATACTGCAGTAAGATATGTACGAGCTGAGGAATGCAAGGGTATCTGAGCCGACCATGCACATAGCCACAACCTCAGGCGGCTATTGCAGCTCACTCACTTCCATCTTACTCAGCAGTCTCGCTTTCTACATTTGACGAAATTTTCAGCGAAAATTAAGCTTCCTGCACCCTAGTAAGCCGCTACGTCTCATATCTATAGCCATATTTGCAATATATTCACAAGTTTCCCCAAGTTCGTGCGCAGAAGCTGACACGATCCACCCTTCAGCCTTGCGAGAACGTCATCACGTTTAAGTAGTTGCCGGCTACCATACTCTCTCTCCAGGTACTGAAAGCGCTCGCGACTAGAAGCTGAGGTTCATCAATTCGGTGGTACGACTCTTGCTTTGAGAATTGGGAAAATCGAACGATTGATATGCGCCTCTTACATGCCAAGACTCTCGAATTCGAAGTCCTCCACGATAATGAGATACCGCGCTATCTTATACTATCGCACACATGGGGAATTGAGGAGATTTCCTATCAAGAGATGCGCTTTTTGCAACAGCATCACGCCTTGCCCGATAGCCTCAAAAGCGATACCACAGTGATGGCTGCATTGGAAGCGGCAGCCGGGCTGAAGATCTTCGCGATGAATAGCAAGTCTATTCAAGCTCGTGCCGGCTACAGGAAGATACAAAAGGCCGCCAAGCTCGCAAGAGAGAAGGGACTGAAATACATCTGGATAGACACCTGTTGTATCGGCAAAAGTAGCAGCGCGGAGCTACAGGAAGCAATCAACTCAATGTATCGATGGTATCAGCAATCCTGCTTCTGTATGGTTCACTTGGAAGATGCAGATTCCGTGCGAGACCCGGACTCTGTTTTGCACCGCCGTTATGATATTGCAACAATATTACGTACATCCCGATGGATCACTAGAGGCTGGACTTTACAAGAACTCATCGCACCCAAGGCTCTCGCATTCTATGATCAAGATTTCTCACTCATTGGCTCCAAGAGTATGTTCTGTCCAACGATTGCCGAAGTGACAGGGATACCTCTATCTGTTTTGCGTACTGGTGACCTGAATCAAGCTTCAGTCGCACAAAAAATGTCATGGGCAGCCAATCGCAAACGACTCGAGCAGAAGACCGTGCATACAGCCTCATGGGCCTGTTTGGTATTCATATGCCTATGCTGTACGGTGAGGGTGACAATGCATTTAGACAGTTGCAGGAAGAGATCATGAGAAGGACACCTGACGACTCAATCTTCGCATGGAAGGCACCTGATGGGTCGCTATCCAGATATTGTGGATTGTTAGCCATGTCGCCCGATGACTTCGAAGGATCTCAGGGTATCGAGCAGGGCCGTGGTCAATTCGCTACATCAAGTTTGGGCCTCAGAATTGAGGCACGGCTTTGTCCTTTGCTGGACGAAATCTCTGGCGAGATGTGGGACGATTCAATCTTCGCCCTTCCGCTGGGTGCGATAGAGAAAGGAAGAATAATTGCTCTGCTCATTCGACGACTGAGTGCATCGCACTACACAAGAGTTGCAGCCAACACGTTCAGTCATCGGCTCAATGATAACGGCAAGCCCGAGGCAATTTATATCGAACACACTCCAAAGATTCCAAAGATATTCCGAAGCCGTGCGATGCATTGCTTTCAGTTCAAGTTCGACTCTACAGTATACCGTATCCGAAGTGCACAGCCAAAGCAGTTGTGGGATTCAATCCATAGCGACCTTTCAATCGATCCCGAGTTTTGTACAAACAACGGTTCAGATAACAACGGGTATCCAGGTGCACCCGTATTCTACGGCACGGTTCGGCTGTATTACCAAAACCGCAACTCTCCTTTGGCTTGTTCGATCAACTTCGGGCATAATCTTGTGACCGGCCGTGTATGGTTGAAGCTTTTGGGCTCTGCTTCTACACCCGTCGAACCGAATTGGCGAACCGTATGTCAGGAACCCAAAAGCTATGATGAGCTGCTGCGCCCAGAGCCACTTGTTCAGGTTCTGAATATTTCGAACTCCGAGGCAGTCAGAGTGACGGTTCATTATGGCTTGCATCGCGGTATGATATCCTATATTGTCCATATTGTTCAGCAGAAGTACATGTTGCCCCCTGTTTTGAGAACATAGTGTTACAGTATCAGTTGTTGAAATGGATAGTGATTGTCAGGCAGTCGCTGCAACGCGTACGATTGCAAAAGATGCACGAATCTGAGCTTTAGAGTTGCACCCTTACGTCATAAAAAGCTTTTACGTAGTTGGTGATACCGTTGACTCGTTTTTTTCGATGGCACATTTCCTATCGTTTTCATATCCCCGGTTATTTGTCGACCCTGGCCTGCAATATGGATATCGACTTCTCCCAGCCTATCTGCCGTAAGCGACTGCCATTGGACCGAACACAGTAGTCGACGAACGTGACAGACACAGGCCGCGCAACCCTCTCTGCATACAATATAGTTTCTCATTTGGAGACCGTGGCTTCAGCCGCGGACAGGGTCACTTCCCGCTATCAGGTACCACATATGCCGAGCCAATGCATTGTCCACGCAATGCATCCTATCATCTAGAAGTTCGTATCCACCCCAAAGCCTTAACAGTGAACTATCTTCTTCTCCATAGCCATCACTAGAGACAGTATCCTGTCATGTCTATACTTCTCCCGCTCTACGTGTATCCAAGTGCGGGTGCATGGGATCCGCTATACGCAGCGTATGCACACCTCCCCCTACGACTTCATTGCACACTAACTGGAACTCAGAGCAAAAGCGTATAGAGATGTAGACTTCACCGTCATCATCAACCCTTGCTCTGGCCCCTGTATGGGGTCACTCCCTGACCAAGTGTACCTTGATGAGGTCCCTAAACTACGAGCCTATCCAAACATCAGAACACTGGGATACGTCGCAACCGATTATGCAGAAAAGCCTATCGAAAGTGTTTTGGCAGAAATCGACACGTACGCGCGCTGGCCCAAAGTCGCAAATATCACCAAGATGCGCGTTGATGGAATCTTCTTGGACGAGACACCAAGCATGTTCGACGAGGACGATTACGCATATTTGAAGACAGCGAACCAAGCAATCAAGAACAACACAGCGTTCAGCGAGCGCTTCATAGCTCATAATCCAGGCCTGGTGCCCACTTCTATACTCACTTCGCCCACAGTACTACAAGAATCCTACCTCAACCTCACCGATCTCACTGTCGTATTCGAAGAGACATTCGACAAGTGGCTTGACAGAGATGTTATGGTTCCGCTACAAGCACACAAGATTCGGCGTTCGAGACTGGCAGTCATACTGCATTCGTTGCCGAATCTGACTGGAGAAGTGCTGGACTTCGTGATCCAGCAGGTGCAGAACACGGCGGATTGGATCTTCTTGACGGACAGTGCGGATGACTATTATCATACCTTTAGCGCAATGTTTGAGAGTTTGGTGAAAGCGGTTGACGAAAGTAGTTAAATGGGAAGGCGAGGCTCAGACATTTATAATCCCCGCTGTGGCCCAGCAGTCATGAAAGTGCACTTGTGCAGCTTGGTATCCAAGACCAGTGGCTACTTGACCGTGCGCATAGCGCACTTGTGAAGCTGACAGCCTCCTCATCTATGTCTTTCAGATACATGATGGCGTTCTACTAGATCGCACCAGCTTCCTGGTAGCCGATGCTATGGCTGAGCAAGGAAAAGGTCCGCCATGACTAGAGTGTATCGCCGATATCAGTTGGTAATTAAAGGTGTCTGCTATGTTTTGCATTGGCCCTAGAAGATCGCAACCACAGCAAACACGTCCAGAATGTATCTGAGGACGAAGTCTGGAAGCATAGCATTCCTCTGTCTTTGGTACGGTACGGCTGTGAGTGGAGAAGAGCGGACAAAGCGATGTGATACTGGAACCAATGTTTGGACGCCGAATTGACATTTGCGGATCCGTACGAAGAGGATACGGCTCCGCGAGCAGTGTCATGGTGCCAACAGTTGGAGTCTCACACTCAAACCCGGTCTGCTCCGTTTCCCTGGGGTGTTTGATCCGTAGCAATATTTGCCCTTCCGCAATAATGCTCCTATGCAACGTCGACGATGAGGGGGTTGTCATAGCTAGATTGCTGGAAGCTCAACAGCACCATGATCTGGTTGCTGGCGGTTCCGCTCATGTAATAGCTTGCAATGCGGGCGAAGACGGTCATGGCTGGGTTGTCGCCTGCCTATTGTGATGGTTGTAAGTGTAAAGTCGGGCGAATCGGAGTGGAGGGGTTTCCGCGTTGGCAGCTGCGTCGCCTATCTTCGGCTTGTTTCACGCCTTGCGCCCTTCCCTCCAACATGCTGCCGCAATGCCGCCACCGCGTTTATATCCGCTCGCTCGCCTCTCCAGTACGTGGTCCTGTCCACAGACTGTGCGATTGACCTTACCTTTGTCCAGTAAACACGCTCAAAGCGGGTAATCGACCCTTGACCGCCTCCCTTGCCCCGCGCCAGCCACCCACTTCACGAGCATACTCGGCCATGTCAGAACTCTCCCACTACGTTGCCAAGAGCAGCAAGAGCTTGACAAATGGCACAAGCCACGACGGCAACGCCTGGGGCGCCGACAAGAACCCGGCGGCCTTTGACTTCCGCTCTGACGTGCACACTACGCCGACCAGGGCCATGCTCAAGGCAATCCAGGAGTGCACCCTGCTCGACGATGTCACCATGGAGGATCCCACCACACTATCACTCGAGCGCTTCGTGGCCGACCTCAGCGGCAAGGAGGACGCGCTCCTGATGCTGTCTGGTACCATGGGCAACCAGGTCGCGCTGCGAGCACACCTCACCACGCCTCCACACGCCATCATCTGCGACCGACGTGGCCACATCATCAACTACGAGGCAGGAGGTGTAGCAACCTTGAGCCAGGCCATGGTCCAACCACTCGATGCGAAGAACGGCACATACCTCACGCTCGAAGACATCCAGAAATACGCCGTCATCTCTGACGATGTCCACGCCTGTCCCACGCGTGTCATCGAGCTCGAAAACACGCTCAATGGCGCCATAATGCCCCTGTCCGAAGTGAAGCGGATATCGGCTTGGGCGCGCCAACACGGCATCATAATGCACTTGGACGGTGCACGTCTGTGGGAAGCTGTAGCTGCAGGCGCTGGTACCTTGAAGGAGTACTGCGCTGAGTTCGATAGCATAAGCCTGTGCATCAGCAAGGGCCTTGGAGCGCCCATTGGTAGCATCATCGTCGGTACAAAGGATTTCATCAAGCGTAGCCGCTGGATCCGCAAGTCTATCGGTGGAGGTCTGCGACAAGCTGGTGTCGTTGCAGCTCCAATGCGCGTTGCCATTGAAGAGACGTTCCTTGGCGGCAAGCTCACCAAGTCTCACGAAAATGCGAAGAAGATTGCAAGCATGTGGACCGATCTTGGTGGCAAGCTGCAATATCCCGTAGACACCAACATGGTTTGGTTAGATCTCGAGGCGCATCATGTTGACATCAACAACTTTATCGAGCTAGCGGAGAAGTACGGCGTAAGGGTGCGTGGTGGTAGGTTTGTTGTGCATTACCAGATTGGCGAAGAGGCAATTGAAGCGTTGCGAAAGATCTTTACCGAAGTCATGACTGGTAAGGAATCGGCAGGGAAGAAAGCCGAAGCCCCGCATGACCCCGAAGACCTCAAAATGAAGGGCAAGGGCGTGGAGTAGATATTTCAGCCACAGCATGATATTAGTCGGTCTAATAGACAGACAAATCAGATCAGTTCGCTCAGCCACGCAGCCACATCGATCCTCAGTACCTGCATGTCTAGCGTCTGTTTTATTCCGAACTGGCCGGGACATCGGGATGCATCAGAGCTCCCAAGACTTTAAGACTTTGCTATTACGTTAAAATTTCGATTTTAGGCCTTAACCTCTCTCCACAACACACCGACGTCAAGGCAAAGTCGTCATCGAACCCTCAAGCACGACAACGCCAAGATGGAGGCTGAAGTATACTACATGAAGCTGCTCTGGACAGCGCCTTGGTGCTTGTCACTTGGACTTGCATTTGATTCCTCGGACTTGACCTGATTATGCACAAGCCCGCACGCTCGGTCACTTCTGCGCAAAAGTTTCTACGGCAGACGTCACTCTTTCCCAAAAGACCGGTTGGACCCTGTTCACATAAAGCTGCCACTTGCAGGCCAACTACTTCACGTTGCTTCCTTTCCTCTATACCACGTCAATTTCACACTTCTACAGCAAAGATGGTACCACCGATCGCACAAAACCGAACACTGTTGTCCAACCATCCGGACAAAGTCCGCATGCTTGTTCTCGAGACAGATGAGACACATCCTGACACTCAAAAAGAGACTGGCTCCTTTGGAGTCGTTCTAGGTGAACTTCTCAAAAAAGCTGGAGATGAGCACAAACCTAGTCTCGGTATCGAGACCGCAATGCAATACGTGGTCGAGCCAGAAGGTGGTGCGATACCGAAGCTAGAGGAGATTGGTGACGACGTACACGCCATCCTCATAACAGGGAGTTGCTGGGACGCACACGGTGACGACCCTTGGATTCTCAAGCTCATTGAATTCATCAAAGGTGTGTATCTGCATGTGTGGTTGGAAGGTACTCAGCAATGGCTAATGGCTAATGGCATGACAGACGTCTGGACACATCGCCCCGACATCCGTTTCACAGGGATATGTTTCGGACACCAAATTCTTTGCAGAACTCTTGGTGCTACCGTCAAACCACAGAAGGACGGTGAATGGGAGTTGTCCCATCAGCCCATCCAGCTCTCCGACATTGGCCGCCATCTTTTCAACCTTCCCGAAACAGAGACCAAGATCCACCTTCACCAGATGCATCTTGATCACGTCGTTAATCCTCCTTCCACCGAGACCACCGATTTGATACCACAGGACACCAAGGTTCACGTTTGGGGTACCAGCGACCACACTGGCGTTCAGGGTGTATATATCCACAAGAGATTGTTCACCACGCAAGGTCACATGGAGTTTGATGAGGCTCTTGTTAAGAGGCAACTTGAGATGAGGGTTGAGAGTGGGAGCGTGAGCAAGCAGGATGCAGACGAGGCTGCCGAGAGAGCGGATTGGATGCATGATGGTCTTCTTGTCGCAAAAGCAGTGTTGAGGTTCTTCCATGGCGACGATGACATCTACACATAGGGACCATACCCAATGGAGGCTCCACAGGGCTTCCGCTACGATGTTACGAGAAAGAGCATATTATCGGCGTTCAACAAGTTGGATACTCACGAAGTTTACGAATAGCGTGAGTGGTATGTACAAAACATTATAGGCATATGTTCAGTATCGAGGTCCGGCTTTGCGTAATCATAGTGACTTGTGCCATATCAATTTTGGAGCGTTAAGCAGCACTACTCGCGTCACAGAGCGCATCGCTCTCAAAACAACAACCCACGTTTATATACAAGGTTTTGCTATGAAAGCTTGTCTCAACATCAGTCCATGTCGATCCTGTTAGAGTCGGTTGAACATTACGCGGGCGATGGCCCTCGGCATTAACACTCCCGATCGCGCGCCGGAAGTCGCTTTCCGACATCTTATCCCCGGAATACGCGCCCCGACACCAACCCGCCTGCCTCTTTCAAGACCTGTGCAAGTGCGTCATCGCTCCACAGAGGCGCGCAGTAAGCACAGAGATATAGCAACAACAGAGATAGCACATCTGCCCGTACAGGGTCTGTCTCAATCAATACTTCCACCCTGCATAACAATCGGTCAACATCGGCCAGCTGCTCCCTGGCTTGCACACAGTACTTCGCTCACACGCGTTCAAACCCTCGAATTAACGAGGCTGGAGATTCAACGGGGCACGGCATCCTTTCCACGTCCCGGCATTAGCGTCATGTTCGATAGGCGACCAGGTGGATTAAGGGTGGGCAGACCCCCATGACCAGTCGATAGCTCTTCCAGTTTCGCATCTTCCAGACCTAAACATTAGTTCTACGTCTCGATACACTATTCAACGTTATCCTGCCCATATGCTGAGGTCAAAATAGCTTCGCTATGGCTACGACGAAAAACATAACGAGCGGCAATAACGTGGACGCTACTAGCGAGAAAGAGACATGTCAGGACATGGACGTCGAGAAAGATGGACCGCGAGCCAACCTGGAACGTCAGCCTTCTGAACCCCCCTACTCTGTCTTTAGCAAAGGCATGAAGGCATGGATCATCCTACTTGTTTCGATCTCCGCTCTAATATCGCCGTTTGGCGCGTCTATGTTCCTTCCAGCACTCAATGTGCTTTCCAATGTGTTGAACATTACACCTACACAGGTCAACATCTCAATCACGACATACATGGTACGTCTGGACAGTTAATCTCAGTATGAAATGGACAGGACACTCCGCAGCTCAGGCTTCGCTGACGTTGTGGCGTCCACCGATATCGGTAATGCAACTAACTGTCCTAGGTCGCCCAAGCTATAGCTCCTGCTTTCCTCGGAACTCTATCGGACAACAGTGGACGGAGATTGACTTTCATCATATGCTTCGTGATCTACAGCATCGGCAACATCGGCCTCGCACTTCAAACGAACTACATTGCACTTCTCATTCTGCGTATGGTACAAGCCGTGGGAGGCACAGCTGCTATTGCATTGACAATGGCGGTTGTTGCGGATATCTCTACATCGGCTGAGCGAGGAACTTACATGGGTTATGCACAAGCTGGTGTATTGATGGGCCCTGCTTTCGGTCCGACAATAGGTGGGCTGCTGGCACAATATTTGGGCTGGCGATCTATCTTCTGGTTTCTGGCCATCTTCTCTGGAGTACTGCTCATAATATTCGTATTCTTTTTCCCTGAGACTTGCCGAAAAGTCGTTGGCAATGGCTCTATACCTCCTCAGGGCGTCAACCGCTCCGTCATTAGCTGCATACAAGCGCGTAAGCTCGCTAAGCTGTCGCCCAACGAGAGCACAACCAAACCAGAAAAGACGAAAGTCGCCTGGCCAAATCCGCTTGCAACGTTCCGCATCTTAGCTGAAAAGGAGTCGGGAATCATCCTACTCTACAATGGCCTCTTCTTCACTGGTCAAATGGTTACGATCTCTGCCATCCCAGAACTGTTCTACGCTGCGTATGGCCTTGATGAATTGCATATCGGTCTTTGCTACATCTCGAATGGTGTAGCTTCTCTGATTGCCTCACTCACTCTGGGTCGAGTTGTTGATTGGAACTTCAGACGCTATGCTAAAGCTGTTGGTATGACTATATCCAAAGGCAAACAGCAAGACCTCACCAACTTTCCCATCGAGCGCGTTCGTCTACAGATTCTGATTCCATGCCACATCATTGGTATGATCGGAGTGCTTATCTTCGGCTGGACACTCAAATATCGAACACACATCGTTGGCCCGGAAGTTGCCCTATTCATCATGGGCTTTGGTGTGACTGGTGCATTTAATATCACCAATGGTTTGCTCCTCGATCTCCATCGTGATAAACCCGCAGCTGCGACAGCAGCGGTCAACTTTGCCAGGTGTATGATGAGTGCTGGTGGCTCGGCGGCAATTATCCCAATGTGCCATGCTATGAACCCGGGATGGGCGTTTACGTTCATAGCGCTGGTGATGGCTGTATTGCTTGGGGTCGTCATTTGGATCATGAAATATGGAATGAAGTGGAGACAAGAGTTAGCAGAAAAGACAAGGCTGAAGAGAGAAGAGAAGGAGAAAAAGGCAGATCAAGAGAAGGTTACAACAAGGCATCACTAATCTATTTTATCAAGCTTTTCATGAATACATCGTTGAATTACATCATTTGGTTTAAACATGGACCTCTCAGGAGGTCCTCGTCCATGAGCACGCAGATCATGTTACTGAGCGTAAAACACAACACCCCAAGTCAGTGCAACAAGAAGCATGCGACTTCAAGCGCCAAGCGGCATGTGTATCGTCACTCGAAGAATGCCGAGATTTGATCATTTAAATGAAAATATTTGGACTCCACTGTCCAATCAGTCAAGAGGTAACTACACAAACGCGCAAGAGATACAAGTCTCAGAGGCAGCTCACCATAGAGCTACATGTCCTCGATAGTCTGACTACAAAGACCAAAAGAGTCTATGATGATGACTGCAATGTCCTCTCTACATCTGATGACGACCAGAACTTCGATTAAGACATTATGCCGAGTGGAGGGCACTCGAACCAGCCTCCAGGTCTCAACGTGGCAGAAAGCTCACGCAAGGCCTGGCAATGGCCGTAACGATGAGTCTCTACTCCCTTAAGATAATCTGACAAGAAACTGTTGCGTTCAGTGTAACGTTATTAGCCACATCAAGCACCTGTGCTCACTCACGAATCAAGACAAAGCGTGAGAGAAATAGGTAGGATCAGGGCGTACGTGCTCGAAGCTAACCGAGCTGATTGGCGTTCTGTACTTAGGTTGGCTTCCCTTGTAAGCAGATGCGAGGTGTGGTGCTTGTGGCAAGACGCACCACACTAGATCTCGCACCGGGAAGCAATATAGTCGGACGCCGAGTAACAAGTGAGAAGCTTTGGTACATTGTCAAAATATTGTTATTGGTGATCTTCACATATCTACCGCCCACAATCCTTGCGTATACATAGGCCATACGGAAGAAATGGTTGTTCAAAGATCGCGTTTGGTGGCATCGACTGAGCGTAGTAACAGCGATGCCCCAGAAGTGGCCATCTCGTGAATTCAAACAGTCCTCAAAACCTTCACCCCAGTCATCTCAGCCATGTCGTATATCGCGTCAACCACTCGGTCCACGTCCATACTCTTGAGTGGTATCCGGTGCGCGCCCTCCCATTCAACCAATGTTACCGTGCAGTCCTCGCAATATTCGTGTAACAGTTTTCGATGGAGATGTAGTCCCGGGTCTGCCATGCCATGGACATGGAGCGTTGGTTTGTGCAGCGTGGCTTCCTCGTCCACCTCTTTACAGAACTGGAAACCTTCAGAGATGTTACCCGCACTCACAAGTGCGTCGCTCTTCATCAGCTCGGGGTTTAGATTGCTCAAGGGCGCCCGACCGGCTAGTAATATTCCGAATCTCCACCTTATGCCTGGAATTCCTGTCAGACCAGTAGCAATCTTTGTTCCTTCTTTGCGGGCTTGGGTTTCTCTGGCTTGCTGTTCGAGCAGTAGGCTTGCGGATAGCTTCGCCCCCTGACTGAAACCCATCAAGCCTACCCACTCGCCTGTGCCGCCTTCTCGGTCATCGTCTTCCATTGCTGTTCGCATCGCATATCCAATTTCTTCTATACAAGTATCTTCATCGATTTCAGGGTGTTCAGGAAGCCATCGTAGCCAGCGCCGAAAAGGTGCGTAGTCACTGTATACGCCAATAATGTCTGAGTGGGGATCGCAGAAGAAGGGGCCGTCAGCCCATACGAGGCGAAAGGAGTGTTGAAGATGGCGTATGAGGGATCGGGATTGCGCTTTGAAGATAGCGGCATTGACGCCGCCGCCGTGTAGGCAGAGAATTCGAGGGAGAGTCCTTGTATCGGGCTTCGTCGGAGGAATCTTTGAGACTGGTTGTGAGTAGGTTGAAGGCATGTTGTGGCTTATCTGTCGCCTTTCACTCTGGAAATGGCCGCGACCAATAGATTGTGTGCTGTGAGTGATGGCCTCAGAAAGTGATGGATCGGGTTCAACACTGTAAATTGGTGTACAACAGACGTGGTTGCAAGCAGATCATACTGAGACAGGCTGACTCCTAAAATAAAACCGTGTCTGCGGCATACCATCGACGTGCCGTGATTAGTCTCGGAGTCCGAAGCGTGGTTGAAGGCGTACTACCGCTGACCCTGCATATAACTATGGTGCCAGGTATGAGACACCCATGGTGTGCAGCGCTGTCCAAAGCCTGTAAATGCCCAGACTAGAGCCTCCTATAAGTCTTGACGATCTACGATGGAAAAAGAGTGTTGCGGTGAAGGTTTAATTCGAGGCAGCGAGGGGCGGGGAACCGCGTCGGCACAGGAACGCGCTAATCTGTGTCATCATCGAATACGCGCTCAATCCTCCATGTCAGCCCAACAATCACACTACTTTGGCATCTACGCAAGGTTAAACAACAATAACAATAACAATAACACAATGGGAATGGCTTCGTCGAACATGCAGCCAGACGCTAAGGGTATTACAAGGGGCACAGTTCATGATATCCCATATCTCGTAGAACATGATTGGCCTTCCACGCATAATCACACATAGGCTACGGCCATCATTTGTTCTTTGAGCTAAAACATGGAAGCAAAAAGTCTCCATTAGGCTCAACGACGATGTAATCCGGTCCATCCATGTACCAATTCGAAGTGAACATTTCCAGTGCCATAACACAGATTTCATTGACGATATCTCCCACGGAAAGTCGGTTGTGGGTTTATGATATTCTAAACTTTTCTGTGAGGTAAACACGCCTAAACCGCATAGGAAGCAGAAGCGATATACATAGCAGCAGCATGTACAAGCATATAGCACATGAACATGCCTCTAAGATATATCGCAAGCGACATATCGAAACAGTGGCGGAGCCAATCCTTGACTTGAGATTTGCGCGCAGACGGGAGAGATTTCGTTAATAGGTTTCTTCAATCTGCTTCGGAGTTGCTATCATCTGAACATGTGGCTCTTGTGTTGAGAAGCAGTGCTCATGGTTTTCTCCATGTATATCCGAGCTTCAATTTTGACTTTGCAGGAAGGTAATGTAAATTTCAGAAACGTCTTGAACATTCATCGAATAGGGGAGCATTACACGCCCCTGTTGACCGAGCACGAGGAGTCTTCAACCGTAGATACTCTTGGTGTTCTGAAAGACCCGAAACCCCGTGCTCCACCCGATTATGGTCTTTGAGAAGCGAAGACGCAGCGTCATGAATAAAGTGTCTTCCCCTTCCAAGCTTCTCCCATTCTCCTTACTTCTATCCGTAATATAAGTCGAAGAGATGTCCAGGACTGATCGCTTCAACATGAACAAAGCGACTTGGATAACGTGAGCAAGAAAATTGGTATTGGAGAAGACTACAAACCAAATATACCCTCCACGCCAGCGCTACGGTACCATGCTCCAAGTGCTACATTTCCACGGGAGTCTATATGCATGCCTTGGATCATGGTCTGGAACCTACAATCAAGCCCGCCCAAGACACCCGTTCACCCAGACGCGTTATTCATACGAGACTTTTGCTGTCATAATCGTCGTAATTTGGCGATGCCGGTCCAATATCTCTTTACCAAGCCCTGAACTCTCCATTCTCTTCTCCCGTTCCTCGGAATCTGATTATCATGGCATACTTGGGCTCGTGAAGCCACCTAGGCTGCTGGCTTGGGAGCATTGGCGGCGTGCTGCGAGAGGAAGCCGGGGTCGTTTTCGAATTCTTCCCTGACCTGCGAATTGTTAGTGTGTGTAAATGCTCGAGGGTGGTGTACTTACAATATCCAAACCGCCTACTAGCTCACCATCTGCCCAGAGTTGTGGGAAGGTCGGCCAGTCGGCAAACTCCTTAAGTCCTTGTCGCACCTCGTCGTCGGCCAGGATGTTGAAGAAACCGTACCTAATGCCCTTTTCACGTAGGATTGCCACTGTCTGCCGGCTGAAGCCACACTGGGGCGAACTCGGTGTACCCTTCATGAACAACATGACTGGTGCTGCCTTGACGAGTTCGCTTAGTCTTTGGTGCAACTCGTCCTTGTTTGTCTGCTGCTCGCCTTCCCGGTGCTCACTCGCGCTGTATTCGGGTGCGGTCTTGGGGTCCTGTGCGCCAGGCGCGTAGCCAGCGAGGCTCTTTCCCGTGCTGTCGCCGTTCTCCTGTGGTCGTGTGACGGTTTGCGCGGGTGGTAGACTGGACGACTGGCCGCTACCGGCACCAGCGTACTTCTCAACTGCTGCTCGTACTTTGGATGCATCTGAGCCTGAAACTGTCTCGAGAGTCTTGTCATCCTTCTGCAGAACGATGTATGGGACGGCAGTGACATCGTACTGCTCAGAGACCTCAGGCAGGTCTTCGGCGTTGAGCGACAGGAATTTTATGGGCGCGTCGGCGGGGTATGTGCTGGCGAGCGTCTTCAGGATGACTCCCATCTGCTCGCATGGCTTCGCCCATGGTGCGTGGAAGTAGATGATGGCGAGAGTGGAGGGCGCAAGCGCGGAGATGGTCGACTGGAAGGCCGACTCATCCGTCATCTCCTGCATGGTAGCCATTGTGTCGATAGTCTATGTCGGGATATGGAGGGCGGTTGGATGCGTGAGGTGGATGTGGATGTGGAGGCTCGCTGGTGTTCTCGAATGAGTGTATGATCTGATTAATATTTAGTCGCCGCCCAAGGGAAACAGCCTGTGAAATCACGTCAGAGGGCCGAATTGCGGAATCACCCCGCCGTTGCCGCTTTGTTATCAGATCGGCCAATAGTCTCCCCGGCGCCGCAGAGCCCCGGACTTTTTTTGTTAGCCAAGATTTCGGCATCAGGAAACCACCCAGATTAACAACGACAAAATGATCAAGGCAGTGTACGTCAAAGACAGCTGCGGCTCCTCCACGCCAAGGCGATTCTAACATGATTCTCCAGGAAACCAAAGAATGCTCGCGCCAAGCGCGCAATGGCAAAGCGCGAACCGCAACAGAACGAGAACCCCAAGACCACGCTCTTCGTCTCTGGCCAGAAGACTTCTCAGATCCTCAAGCTCGCCGTCGCCGATATCTGCACCATCAAGCGACCCTTTATCGAGCGTTTCACCAAGAAGAACGACATCCACCCCTTCGATGATGCTTCTTCGCTCGAGTTCTTCTCCCAGAAGAACGACACCTCGCTCCTCGTCCTGTCTCTACACTCGAAGAAGCGACCGCACTGCTTGACGTTGGCACGAACATTTTCATACAAGATGTTGGATATGCTAGAGTTGTACATCAACGCAGAGACCTTCCGCACGCTTCAGCAATTCAAGAACAAGAAGCCGTCAATCGGCCTGAAGCCACTAATCAGCTTCCACGGCACCGTCTTCGAAGACCCCAACCAGACAAAGTACACCCTAGCAAAGAGCTTGTTTATCGACCTGTTCAAGGGCCAGGATGCGACCGAAGTCGACGTCGAAGGCCTCCAGTACCTCATCTCCATCTCCGCCGAAGAACCCACCGACGCGCTCCCCAACCCGCAAATAAAACTCCGCTTCTACCTCCTCCGCACCAAGCGCTCAGGCCAAAAGCTGCCGCGCATCGAAGTCGAGGAAATGGGCCCGCGCATGGACTTTGCGCTCGGCCGCGAGATGTTCCCTGATCCGGATATGCTGAAGGAATCGCTCAAGAAGCCCAAGGGTGCTGAGCCGCGGACCAAGAAGAACATTGACACTGACATCATGGGTGACAAGACGGGTAAGATCCATGTTGGCAAGCAAGACTTTGCCAATCTGCAGACTAGGAAGATGAAGGGTCTTAAGCGAGGAAGGAACGAGGACGAGGACGAGGAAGTTGGTGTTGAGGATACGGCAAGTGAAGGCGACGATGAGGAGAAGACGCCCAAAAAGGTTAGGGTATGAAATGTAACAAGGCACAAGATGTAATTGCATGGGTGGCGTTAAAGGCACTTCCGGCGTTCAAATGTTGGGCGAGACTATACCATTCTGCACGTTTGTAGCAAGTCATAGGCGTCTCAAAAGTCGAGTTGTTCAGAGCAACGCTCATAGTCTATACGTCTCCTGCTGTGTCTACCGTCTATTCATCATCGGGTTCGTCAGCTAGTAACCACTTCGCCCGACACTTTACCGCTGCACTCCTGACCTCTCTCTTCCCATCATCTAACGCAGCAATAAGTCTCCTCACAACCTCCCTCCTATATCCTAGTATCCTCTCCTCCTTGAACTTCTCTGCTACCAGATGCAAACACTTCAACGCCGCCACCCTGACTGCTGGCGGTGGTGGTGTAGCCTTGTTCTCCTTGCTGATAGTAGCATTAGCAAGAAGTCGAGAGATCAGCGCACCGGCATGTTCCTCGAGAACTTCAGGCTTCTCAACAAGTGTAGAGGTAAGCGTGCCAATCGCGGCTTCTTTAACACTGTCAGCGCCCTTGAGATCAAGCGATTGTAGAAGGAGGGTAACGAGTTGCCCAACTTCTTCGACTACTATGTCAAAAGGCATCCATCTTAGCGCACCACTAAGTGCGATGAGGTAATTGGGTTTGGTCTGCGGATCTGATTCTCGGAACGCTTTCGTGATACTTGGCACCAGTAAAGCAAAGCTTTTGTGTTTGTGCAGGCCAAGGATTTGGCAGTGGTTCTCCTTGGTGAGAAGGTCGTCGGGCTGCAGAAGAGTTGTGAAACCTTGAGCAACTGTAATCCCATACTTCGGATGTGATAGTAGTGACAAGAGCGTTGGGTATAACGTGTTCAGCGCAGGGCTGCTCCGTAGTACTATGCCTTTAAGACAAGCGAAGATGATGCGTATCCGTGGTGGATCAAGCTTCTCTGGGCTAAAGAGATCGAGCTCGGCGACAAGGGGGTCCATACTTGTCTTGAGTGCTGCAGAAGTGTAGTACTTGTTGATGACCAGCGACATTTGACGAAGGGAGGCTGATCGGATAGGTAGAGATAGGGAAGGTTGCTGGACGTAGTTTGCAAGAGAAGAGACTAGTAGTTGTAGTTCGCATGGCAAGATTGCATCCTTGCGAAGGGAGGCGAGGAGGTGAGTAGAGACGATCATGGTCTTATTCGCTTCGGTACCAGCATTGAGGTTGAAAGGCGGGAGCTCAGTTTGTGGCTTTTCCCGGAATAGGGTGTACAGCTCAGTAGCAACAGTGTTCTGCTGATGTATAGGCAAGTACCTGATGATCAAGTTGCAAATACGACCGACAAGATCCAGTGTTGTCTCATCATCGAAGGCTACCGGGTGTGATTCGTCAGAAGTTGATGCGCGCTGGAGAAGTGGTAGTGCGATGTCCCTGTAGTAGGTTGAACTGTCTGAACCCTGCGACAACTTGTTCTCACCCTTTTTAAGTGCATACAACATCGCAGAGAGGAGTGCGACGATGTATGTAGAAGAAGCGCCTTGTTGGACTGCTGCGCTGAATTTATTCTTCAGTCGCAGTACAACTGTGTCGAAAACTTGCTCTTCACCTGCTAGCTTGGCAAAAGCTTCGAGCACGGTCGAGTAATTGTTTGATCCATTTGCATCCGTATCTGGAAGCTGCGCAAGGAAAGCCGGGAATGCTCTCTCGACGACAACCTGTGGCTTCTGGTGAGCAATCTCGACGATGCCATTGATAGCTGCTTCTTTTATCTCATCCTTGCCGTACGACTCTTCGTGGATGACGATGGAATGCAAAAGCTGGATGACGCGACCGATGTCTTCATCGCTTAACAATCCTCGCGCTTTCGATAGCTGGATGAGCCCATCAAGACAGACGAGTCGGAAAGACACCTCCTTGACGGGGGCTGTCTCCAGACCATTCAGCATTACTTCCAGGGCTTGGTCTCGGAACTGAACGAGCGCGTTGTTGCCAACTTCTGCTCCGCCAGGACCCATCTTCTTCCAGTCCCCATACACGTCGATGTTGGCCTTCACGAGTTGAACAAGAACTTCTAGTAATCCTCGGCGCTTTGCCATAGTGTCGGCTGTCTGGAAAAGTAAGAAGAGATTCGGGAGTACTCCGGCTAGTAGAATTCTAGTAACTTCTGGGGAAACGTTGGCAATGCTCTGAAGAAACCTTGCGGAAGCCTGCGATTGTTTCGTGGGTGCATCTTCTAGGTGCTCGTTGCACTCCTTGATGATTGGTTTGAGATATGCGTTGAGTGATCCTGGAGTACCGAGTGAAAGTGTCCTTGCAATCGCAGCTAGACCTGCAAGTGCTTCTTTCGCTAGATCCTCTTCTTGTACATTTAAGACTTCGAACTTCAGCGCATCCCACAGTGTAACTGCGTATAACGATACTGTCCGCGGCCCGTACTCGGTCACTGAGGCAGTAATGGTCGACAGAACATCACGCTTGGTGTTCATGGACGTGGAATCGAGCTTATCTAGGAGCGCAGGGAACGCGTATGGCGCAAAGTCGGCTGTAGACGAAATGCAATCTCGTAAGCGATCCTTGAGATCTTGCGCGGTGATACCGTATGGGTCGTCGGGAGGCGGTCTGAAGGTAATCGGGAAGTAATTAAAGACTGCGTCGAATAGGTCCTGAGCATCTCCGCCAATATTCCACTCGGTCATTGGCACCCTCAGTATCGAAAACACGACCATGAGGTTCCGAGGGTCTTTCTCTCCGTCAAAATATGCTATAAAGCGTCCCAAAAAGTCCGGCGTCGCATCGTGGTGGGCTCGTAGGACTTCGCGATATTTTGCCATAAGTGTATCGATCAAGCGCAATACTGGGTAGCGTTCGCTCTGCTGCTTGTATTGGCGCAACGGATGTGTATTGTTCAGGAGGGCATCAATGATGTCGACTACCCGCTGGTCGTCCCACTTCCCTAGCTCCTCCAGGGCCGATAGTGCCTTTGCACATGATCCAAGGCCTTCGTTGTCTTCGGTTCGGGAAAGGATAAAATCGCAGAGTAGGTTTCCTGAACTTCGTGTTAGCCCAGCCCTTCCGCACTGCAGTATAGTCTCATGCTAAGAACGCCACGCCCGTTTGATGCTTCGGTTCGACTCGAAGCGTGTGGTAGACTGATACATAAGGCGAGGTAGTATGGGTGAAGTGATCGTGGTAGACGTACGCTGTTGAAGGGAGAGGACCTTCTGCGGAACCGATGCCAGTACCTCTGCGAGATACGACATTGCTGCGTCAGATTAGCATAGACCGTACTGTAATTCTAGATGTACGTACTCTTTGATCGTGTGGCCCCATCCTCACTATTTAAAAACTCTCCAAGGTCAGTGACCAGGCTTATAAGCTTCAACTCGCCATTCTTCAGTCCTGTCTGCTATCAGTCCTCATCCCACGTAATGCCCCGCCGGAGCCTCGTACATACGCGTCGCGCTCCGTTGAGCAGTGGTCGTCGCCTCTTTCTTGTTTCTGTCGAAGTCGAGCAGATATTGCTGGATATCTGACATCTTCTCGTCGCGTCCGGGGTATCGTAATGTGTTGTTGGGTACCTCGAAAGCACGCGATTCAGAAAGTTGCAGACTCCCGGCAATGACGTTACGGAGTTGCGGTGCTGCTGATTGGCCGGTATCGGATGGTGGGGCGGGTCGCGCAAAAAAAGTGATGGGAAGTGTTCGGCAGTGAAGAAAAGAGCGTTTAATTGCGCCAATGTAAGAAGCTTGACTGGTCTTCGTGGTCCCGTGCAGTGAAATAAAATCGGACTTTGAAAACTCATCTCTTGATCTACTTGCACTGACGACTATCACCCGCTGAGTCCCCAGACGTATCCCCAAACAGCAAAGTTACCCCGCCATGGCCGACGATAAACCCAACTGCAAAGTTATCCTCGCGAACAACATCGCCAAGGGCCTTCTGGACGAAGTTCGCGATGGTCTGAACAAGATTCAACGCAAACCGCTCCTTGTCGGCTTTCTCTCCAGCGCTGATCCTGCGGCGAGAGTATACGCAGAATGGACGGGCAAAACTTGTGTCGAAAAGTGAGCGCGTCCATTGATCAAAACTCACTTCTTCCATCGATATGCCTTTGGTTGCAAGCTGGGTGAAGGCTGCCTACTAACGCTGTCATAGTGGCTTCGCATTTGACCTCCGCGAAGTCGATCGCGAACTTCTTGAGGACCGCCTCATCGAAGCGAACAATGATCCTGCCGTTGACGGCATAATCGTTTACTACCCCATCTTCGGCAACCGTCAGGACCAGTATCTCCAGCAGATTGTCTCTATCGACAAGGATGTTGAGGGACTATCGCACCGTTACATTTTCAACATGTACCAGAATATTCGCTTCCTCGACCCTGCCAACACGAAAAAGAGTATCTTGCCGTGTACCCCATTGGCCGTGATCAAGATCCTCGAGTATCTGAGGATTTACAACACTATCCTCCCGTACGGTAACAGGCTTCACGGACGCACTATTACCGTCATCAACAGAAGTGAGGTCGTAGGCAGGCCGTTGGCCGCACTACTGGCAAACGACGGTGCCCACGTATACAGCGTGGATATTAGTGACGTGCAAGAGTTCACGCGAGGCGTTGGTCTAAGGAAGCGAAGGCACGAGGTGGTGGAGAAGCCTGGCTGGACTCTCAATGACTGCCTCCCACTTAGCGATGTAGTCATCAGCGGTGTACCTGGAGACAAGTACAAAGTCCCGCTGGAGTTGATGAGGGACGGAGCTGCATGCATCAACTTCTCCAGTGAGAGGAACTTTACACCAGAGGTCAAAGAAAAGGCCTCGATCTACGTTCCTGCCATTGGCAAGGTCACCATTGCAGTGCTCTTGAGAAACTTGTTGGTATGTAATCATACTAAGAACCGCAGAGCTATACTAACCGTGTCACAGCGCCTCACTCAAAACAAAATCGATGCTGCCGCTCAGGGAGTGGAAGAGAAGTCTTCAGTGGAACCAGTCATTCAATCGACTGCATAGACATGCCTGGTCCATTTCTTTTGTCCTGTTTTCATGTTGATACCCTATAGAAGGCACATATGCCAAAATAAAAGCTGTTCGTCATGTCATTCTTCTTCCTTTTGTAGCTGTACATGCTCAATATCATACAATACGAAAAGGTATTGGCTTTCGCCTAGTGAGACTATTTCGTAGAAGCAAAGCCATCGTATTAAATTCGGGAAAGAAATTACTACAAGAACGTCATTATTTGATAGTGTAGACTACCAAACCAAATGAGATAGCATTAGCCGACTAGACCCTACAACACCCAGCCATGCAAAGCTAGATGAAGGATAGCAGAGGCACAGACAAGACCAGGGAATCGTTACAATCTCAAACGCCACGCTAACATGGGAAATTAAGACGCCTCTGGTGGCATAGGCACTGGCACACTCTCCACTTTAATCTCCGGTGGTGGCGGCTCGTATGCATCGTTGTCCACTTCCGGCACCGCTCGCCTAGGCATCGGTCTCTCCCTTTCTTCATAGTACATATACTCTTCAGGGCGACTATTGTATCTCTGTGGTGGAGGTCTCTCGTATTGTACTGGTACGTATCCATATGGATCATGTTCGTATCGATGAGGTTGATGTGGCATATACGGGGCGCGATACCTAGTGTCACCGCGTACACGAATGACTTCGTAGTCGTGGATGGGATGCCCGTACTCATCAACATAAACTGGTTGTGGCCCACGAGGTTCGTCGTAACGATATCGTGGTGGTGAGTACGCATGAGGATGCAGACGATCTTGCACAGATACGTAGCCCCTTGGGTGACGGCGGGCAGGCGGATAGAAGCCATCGTCCTGTACAGATTGATCAACACTGTGCTCTCTAGAATACGCAGGCTCGTAGTCAGGTTCGGCATTCGGTTGCGGTGTTTCTTGTTGATCGATACGGCGCCGTTGTTCTTCATATCTCCTACTCTGCGAACGACTCATGCTAGATCCGCGGCCGTAGGGGTCTTCGCGTGCGACGCTCATGTATCGATGATATCGAGACGGTCCTCGATTGTCATTGGGTCGATCCCTTCGGCGTTGAGGCCCAGACCTTCGTGGTGGGCCGCTCGGTCCAGGCATGGGCATCCGGTACCCATTAGATTGATAATCATCATATCGAGAATTGTTAGAGACAGTGGATGGAGCACGAGGGTGTGGTGGTGCAAGTGGGCGCACAGGTGCCGTCGCTTCAGCCGGTACAGAAGTATCAGGAGGTGGGGGCGTGTAACGGGGTCCGTCTCCATTCTCCTGGGCTGGTATTGCAGCCTCCGGTTCTGGTTGTGTTTGCGACGGAGGTGGCTGTGGAGGCTCATTCTCCGCTAAGAATCGATCCGCTGCAGATTGTCCTTGAGGTGGACTTGCGTCTCTCGACTGGCGCTCATTCATGAACCGATATTCGGACCGATGATCGTCTTCTTCGTAGTATCGAACCGGGCGGGGATACGCACTGTATTCCCGACTGCCGTGACTCCCTTCCCGCGGATGCGCATAGACCACATCTTCGGGAGGTCCATAGAATCGCTCTTGCTCGCGGAAAGCTGTCCGGCGACCAGAATAGTCGTCATACGCAGGACCCGCATGGATGATCCTAGGACTAGGCGCGTACTCCACGTATTCCCGCGGACGATGATAGCCATCATCAAGATGATCCCTGGACACCTGACGGAGAAGCATGTTAGTCCCATTGAAAGCCCTGTGGAGTACTGTATATCACCTACATAGTATCTAGGCTCATCATAATGGTGTTGCCTGCGCTCAACGGGCGGGCTTTGTCGGTAAGAACGTTTCCTATTTGTGGAGCCGGATGCCTCATTCGATTCACCGGCAAGGGTTGGTCGAACAGGCTCGTAACCAGCCTCCAATGGTTTGGGTGGCAGTGACAAGTTTACTTCTGCAGCATTCATGACAGAGCTTGGGCGTGCTATAGTTTCACCAGGAACATCGACTGCACCAGGCGTTTTGTCCGTATCCTTTGGTCCTGATGAGGCCGGGGACGCAAGGCCATGACTATCAATCACGCCGATCTTGGGCAACGGCATGGGAAACAGGCTGGGAAAGACAGTTGCTATCATTAGTAGCTTCTCGTCGTCCATGCCTGGAGCGTGTATGAGTCCAGAAATGAAACGTTCGCTGGGCAGCTCGATCATGTCCTCTTTCCAATCCAGAGGGGCAACAGGAATTCCATGGCCAGGCATATGTTGCTGATATGGCAGGTGTTGACTCCTGAAGTGGGATAGCAGACCCAGAACAGTGTATGTTGTTCTTTCTTCCGACTTCGAGTAGAAAGAACTTCCCAAGTGATGTGAAGAGCCAGTCTGACAAGCTTTGCACGAGAGCCCTGGCGCGTTCTTCAAAGCCTTTGGCATCTCATGATTAGACATAGCATCAATGAAGTGATTCAGGTTCGGTTCATGGTTGAACTCTACATGAAACTTGGAGATGACGCGATGTAGCAACACATAGATCCTAAGGCTGTTCGGCATATCTTTGATCCCAGAGGTGCGCTTCCAGATGTCCTGTGTCATCTCGATGACCGTACTTACTTGCTTGTCAAACGAGCTAGTACTTTGGCCAGTATCTTCTGTACCGCTGGGTGCGATCTCAGGAACTCCTTGACCGGGTGGTGGCATGTTGGGTGGTGGTGGTGGAGGAGGAGCAGCTATGGCATTGTTGATCATTGCAGGAGAGGTCAAATATGGGTTCTGGGCCGTGTGAGCACCATAACCCGGAGGTCCCATGGCTTGGTGCGCGTACATATCCACGGGAGTCGCATATGGCTGGGGGTACTCGTATCCGGGCATTGTACCAGAAGGAACCTGTGGTGGAGCGAATGGTCCATTGTACTGACCTCCGTAGTTGTAAGGTCCAGGGCTCGCCTGTGGATGATGAGTAGGCATGTGAGGTGTCGATGTGCCTGCACGTGAGTATCCGCCATAGAAGCCACCAAACCCGTTCGTGCTAGAAGAAGGGTGGTGAGCATGGTGAGGTTGTTTCACAGACAGAGGATCTGGATGGAACGGGGTTTCCTCTGGCCACTCGGCTTCTCTCCACGCCACGACTACGTTTCCTGAACTGAACGCAGCAGTGTGCTTTGCTCCGTAGTGCTGCGTGACGCCCTCGAAACCATAGAATTTGTTGTTGTGTTCGCACCCACTGCCACGGCACAGGAAGATGTCTTTACGGAACTGTTCTGTTAGAGGCTTGATCTTATTATCGTACACCCACTTCATGTTATCCAGGACGAGTTTAGGCCTAGCATTTATATTGTCAGTAGAAGGCCGCGTATGTTGCCCAGATTGAGCGGGTTCCTGTTCCGCTTCCTCAGCGTAGTATGTGCGTCGCACGTAAGCAAGAAGGTCAGCCGCAAACTTTGGGCTATTATCGTAGGTTACGGCATTGCCATGGTCCCAGTCCTGGTTGATGAAATCGTCGGCAATAGCATCGAGCCTGTCGCGGATGGGACGTTGCGATTCCTCCCATTCCCGGTCCATGACTTCTCTGGCCTCCTTGGAGTTTGCGTCCGGGTGGCGGCGGTCCACTGGTTTTGTGGGAAATGAAGCAGCCCGAGCCACGTGGTCGGCTTCTGCTTGTTGGGCAGCAGGAAGTTGAGCGATCAAGCGGGGCTGAAGCACACTCCATGCATAATCGTTCATTGGCTGTGAGATCTGGATAGCAGCTTTGAACGAGTCCATGTGGCGCAGAATGTTTGGAGCAATAGGAGGATCCATTTGCTGACACCGTCGTTCTATGTCGGTCTTCCGAGTCGCCTTGGCCTCGTTTGCATCGTGGAGATTTCGCTGGCCAGAGGGAGTGAAAGCCTGTGGTGGGACAGTGGGCGGTCGGGCTTGCGCATGCTGAGACGATGGTGCTACACCTGTTAGGTTGGGAACTGGAGGGGTGTTGTTGAAGTATCGAGAAGCATCGCCATGTCTGGCAGCAAATGAGACAGCAGAGGTATACTTACTCGCTGGAACCGGGGCATGAATTATGGGAGAAGGAGTTCGGCGAGGGGGTGACTTGGATAATTCTCTGTGTGACGTGGCAGCGTGTGAGGGAGCTGCAGATGCTGCGCGCTTCGCATCCTTGTGCTCTTCCATCCATTGATTCTTGACCTCCCAGCGCTCCCAGTTCTCGGCTACCTTCATGCGTTCTTTCCCGCGAGCATCGAGACCTTTAGACCACTCCTCAGCTGCTGTAGGGCCACGACCGATGGCTTCATTCATCTCCTGCGTGATTTCCTCAACATGCTTCTTGTAGTAGAACTTGGCAATGTCCACGTTGGCTGGCGTGGTCACAGATTGCAGTGCATATGCAGCAACGTAATGCTGGTCGTTTGTGAGTAGCGCGAAGGGGAGGGCGGGTCGTAAGGCGGAAGAAGCCGAAAAGAGAAGGCTCGCGTCCTAGATATGTCAGTTGCGACCGTCTGGTAGGAAGGCGCAACTTACCGTCTGGCATTGTTGTAGCAGGCACGGCCCACACGCTCTGATAGCGAAGGGCCAGATGACTCTCACGCCTGCTTTGCCAGGTCCTTTTTGCCATACGCGCTCGCCTGGAGTATGAGAATCAAGCTTGTTACAGAACTGGCATCTCTTGGACCAAGCCAGCTGCCACATCTGCAGCTCAGTGAAGCCTGGGAGTGGCTTCGGAGGCTTGGTACACATGGCATTGCGGGCAGAGGCCCACAACGACTCAGACTTTAGGAGATGCAGACGGCCAGGATGCGACTTTGAAGTCGACACGCTGCGCACGTCTGTGAGATAGGATAGGAAAGATCGATTGACCTGGATCAATCGACCGAGATCTGCAAGCGAACAAAAAGAGAAAACATGCTGCCACAACTCAGGTGGTAGCCTTGCGCAACGTCTCAAGTCGCCCGAGGTGCAAGGAGAAAAGACGCTGAGCTTGCGCTTCTTTTCATGCTCAACAGGCGCATCTTCTGCTTTGCGCTTCGCGAGAGGCGCGTCGCTCTGCGCATCCGTCGCATGGGGTGGATTTGCATTAGAGCTGTAGAAGTCGACCGACGACGCTACGCTCGATTCCCGGTCCTCCATGGCGACGCAGCCGTGCTGGTGCAAAGTTCACAAAAGACTCATTGTCGGGCGCGAGCAGGCTAGGGACATGGAGACATACGACGATGACAGACGACCGACGACGGCGACAGATGCGTTGTATCAGCGCGCGTCGGGACGGAGACTCGAAAAGGCGGTGCGATGGGTGTGTTGTCGATGCTAGTGTTGTCGTGGCAGAGTGGAGGTGAAAGAAGGCTAGAATGCAGCTGCTATGGAGCACTTGAGTCTAGGCGGCGGTTTGAAGGATGCAGGATATGCTGCTTTGCATGCAGCGTTGTCAGGCGGTGCGGAGGAGCTATGTCCAATCGTCGCGGTGAGGCGGACGAGGGTCTCCTTGAAGGCCTTGGGCGTGCCGTCGGCACCGCTTGCCAGGTGCCCGAGCCAAGCATGACATAGTTGCTCTTCACACCGAACTTGTGCGCGGCGGCTGTGCTTACATACTGGACTAGGATAATTCACGCCCAATTACACATACACACATACGGATACCCGTACTGTGCCTTGTCCGACCCATTGTGCTAGCTGCGAACCACCTGGGCCTCTTTTCTCTCTGCCTCCCTCTTCTCCACCACATCCCCCAAGCTTCCCCTCTACTCCTCCTGCTCCCACCATGGCCACGCTCAACACCTCCAGCAACGGCCCCAACATCACCCGGAGCTACCAGAATGTCGTCAATGCCCCGGCGCCATCTGGTCCCCAGGCAAGCTCGCCCACATATGGTCAATGGGCTGTCTTCACAGTAGCTGCTCCGCTTGTCAGCGCATTCCAGCAAGACGGCGGAAAAGAGAGCGTCCTGAAGGTTCAGAGCACCGGAGGTATGTGGAATACACGCAGCACTCCCCCAATGGCTGTGCATGCAGTGCAGCCAGCAGACACCCAACCGTGGAGAGCTCTCGGGCTGTAGCAAGGTGTCAACCCAAGCTCGGGGCGTCGGCACTTCACAGCACAGCTTGGGAAACGTTGCGAGGCATCGATGCTGACTTTGTACAGAGGGAGAGCTACTCGACCTGATAGACGAATTCTCGGATGGCCGCATCCAGTTTGCTTTCGTCAAAGTCAAGGACCCGAACACGTCGCTGCCTAAGAACGTCCTGATAGCTTGGGTAAGCTCCCCGCAGCACCTGCCAGGAATACGATGCTGATACGCAAACAGTGCGGTGAGGGCGTTCCAGAGCGGACAAAGGGCTACTTTGGCAGCCACCTTACAGTTGTCTCAAAGCTTCTACATGTGCGTATTTCCAGGCCTTCCCTGCTCGTCTTCTAATCCGCATAGGGATACCACGTCCAAGTCACCGCACGTTCCGATGCAGACCTCACCCCCGAGAGGATCGTTGAGAAGGTCGCAGATGCATCTGGCGCCAAGTACGGCGGTGCCCCCGACGTTCCTGCCTCACGCGGCCCACCTCCCGTTGCCGCGAAGAAGCCTGTCTTTACACCCACGTCCATCGGAGGCGGAAACTCTGGGTTCAACCCACTGGGCCGCTCGCGTGCGCCTGCGCCAAAGGGCGACGAAGATGCAGATGGCTGGGGTGCTGATGCCCCTCAGGTGTCCAGATCGCAGCTGGAGAAGGTCGGAACCGCCTACACTCCCACCAAGGTCAACATGGCCGAGCTTACCGCAAGGAAAGACGAATCCACCGGCTCTCAGCCCTCGCAGAGCGATCGCCCTGAAGTTGTGAAGGGCGCTTATCAGCCAGTTGGCAAAGTCGACATTGCAGCTATCCGAGCCCAGGCGCGCGATGCTAAAGACGACCGGCCTACCGTCGTCAAGGGCGCATATGAGCCTGTCGGCAAGGTCGATATCGCCGCCATTCGTGCAAAGGCCCAAGCCGCGCCTCCATCCTCCGGTGTGTCTCCAGCCGCGACAGGAGCGTCAAACAACGAGGAGGAGGAAGAGAAGCCGAAGTCACTTGCAGAGAGGTCAGCAGCCTTCACCGCCCAGGCCAAACCTCTCACCAGCTTGCCAAAGCCCAAGGTTGCAAACAAGTTTGCAGGTGCGAGCGCATTCACTGGCACTAAGGCCCCCACGCCTGGAGGGTTCGGTGCAAAGCCCGCTCCTGCAGCACCTATCGTTGGCGCTGCGAGCAAGACATTCGCCGACGAGGGAGGAAAGACACCGGCGCAGATCTGGGCCGAGAAGAAGGCGGCCCGTGGCGAGACCGTTGTTTCTCCTACCGCCGATGCTGCAAGTCGCCCAACTCCTCTTCAGAGCCAACAAAGTGGAGGAGGTGGCTGGCAAAGTGGTTACTCCGGCAAATCATGGGCTCCTGTACAGACCACCCGAACAGGGCAGTCTGCCAGCAACCTCAGTGAGCAACGTACGGGTGACGCACCTCAACAGGAGGAACCAGCTTCGCCTGCAGCTGGGGGTGTAAGTTCGCTCAAGGATCGCTTCTCAGGTGCCGCTCCCATCATGGGAGCACCCTCTTCGCGTCCTGTACCGGAGCCACAAGCCTCTAGCCCACCACCTCTCGACACTTCCAGCAAGCCTAACGCAGGCCCAAGGGGTGTCCCGATGCCGGGCCTGCCTACCCGACCCAAGGAGCCAGAGGCAGAGGAAGAGGACGTGCCTGCAACTCAACACCAGCGCATGCCCTCTCCACCGCCCCAGCCGCCTCGCAGCCCATCCCCCGAGCCTGCTGGTTCTCCCGTTCGTATCGCAATGCCTGTTGCTCGCGGACGGGAACCCGAGGAGATGTCCCCTGCCGAGGAACACGCACCACCTATGCCTGCTCGGTCGCTTGATCAAGCAGCTAAGCAACAAGCGCGCGACATGTCTCCCGAGCCCCAAGTGGAGGCTAAAGATCCTGCTCGTGGTGCTGGCGCCGCTGTTGCAGCTGCCACTTTCGGTGCCGCCGCTGTAGGAGGTGCCGCCGTTGGTGCTGCCGTCGCTTCTGGTCATGATGATGATGAGGGTGCAGGTGGCTCTGGAAAGCGCGCAGTCATCCAGTATGACTATGAGAAGGCCGAGGATAACGAGGTCGAGCTTCGCGAAGGCGAGTACGTCACGGATATCGACATGGTGGACGACGACTGGTGGATGGGCACCAACTCGCAAGGCGAGCGTGGTCTATTCCCGGCCAACTACGTTGAGTTGGTGGAGGGCGACGACGATGCCGGTGCTGCACCAGCGCTACCTGCGCATCCCTCAGCGCCGCAGGAGCCTGAGCCTGCCGCGGCACCACCACAGTCTGCTGGCGGTTCTGGCCCAACTGCTACTGCTCTCTACGACTACGAAGCCGCCGAGGATAACGAGCTGAGCTTCCCTGAAGGAGCGACAGTTACTGGATTGGTAAGTCCGTTCGTATGACCGTCCAAGCCTATGCTAATATTATTGTAGGAATTTCCAGATGAAGACTGGTGGCTCGGTAGCTACAACGGCCAATCGGGTCTCTTCCCTGCCAACTACGTTGAGTTGAATGAGTAAGCTCACTCGATGCTACAAGTCTGTCTTGAGCGATATCGGAAGCTAGCTTGCATTGGTGATTTTGTTGTTGATTTACAACACGCACGACTAAGTGGTTAAGATAGGTATAAAAGTTGCAGAATCCAACCCTTTCAACTCCAATCAAATGTCCAGACGATTTACGTTGGTAGGACTGACACTTCTAGAGATGCACTGGGATAACCAGCGTCTCCTTGTACATATCCAAAATTTCCAGAATCGAATACCACGACCCTGAAACTGGTCACTTGTGGATAGAATTTGCTTACTGAGCTCCACGGTCAACTGTATTTCGGTACTCACTACGTGGGGTAAGACTACTTGTGGTTGTACCTCGCTAAATCTATGATTTCCACTGTTGAGGCCATGGCTCACCTATGACAACCACGAGATTATGATAATCCTAACAGCTATCCATGGCACCTTCTCTCTCGCTGGGCCGAGTACGCACATGACTACAGTTGAAATGGTTCCTGCTAGGGTATATAATGGTATAGTGTTCTTCACTTGTTGACTTTCTACACAAATCATTACGACGATATTGAATGCTCAAGACGAACGCACACAACTACAAACGCCTACATACACACTGAGATTTTTTTTTCACGACAAGTTGGCTACAACAGAATCCTTCCTCATTAAGACCGAGTCATTTTGGAGCTCTCCTGGAACGTTTCACATGTCTTCCTCCAACGACCCACTCACTACGAGTTACCTCGTCTTTGTCGTAGCCTTTGTGTGTTGGATGTGCAGCTCTTTCTCGATGAGGGTCGAAGGCGTAGCCTTGGAAAGAAGGTCTTACGCAGCTGAAATCGAAAATTCCAGAAGATCTCTCGATCTGGCCAAAGCTGAGCATTCCTCGGTCATAGATGACCTTAGGAAAACTATCGAAAAGGACATCTCCAATACCGTCATGGTTCTTCAGTTCACCAAGAAGAGTCTTAAGGATGCCCAAACCGCCCTCGAACAGTCACAGAGGATAGCTGCCACTCACTTCGAGTTCCGCGAAGCACTCGCCAAAGAACTAGCCCGAACCCGAACGCAGCGCAACTGGGCAGCAGCCGGCGTTGACCGCTCTCTGGATGCATTAAATGAGGCGGAACGCAAAGCCTCCTCCCAGGAACTCGTCGCATACGAAATGCAGTGTCAAATCAGGTTCAAGGCCAACGAGCTGCGCGACATGACGCTTTCGTTAGAAATGGCCAAGAAAGAGCTAGCGATTGCCAATGAGTTTAGCCAGAAGGCGCAAGACGAGATTGACGAGCAGAATCTGAGAATCGAAGAACAAGAAAAGTTGGTGGAGAAGAAAGAGCAAATAATCCTAGGTTTGTCAAACCAAATAAGGGACCATAAGATAGGATGCAGACGCATGCATTCTACGATCGAACGGCCGAACTTGGGTGTGGATTCGGTTCTTACAAAACTCGAAAACATGAATAGAAACCTAACTGAAGAAGCCGAGGATTGGTGCACAATAAGCCAAAACTGGTCGACAAACAATGCCAATGAGATTCATGCCATGGGATCCGAAATCGAGGGGGTAAGAGGGGAACTCGCAGAGTTTAATGCTGAGAATAAGCGTCTCACGCGAGATCTCAAGGCCATGGCCAAGCATGCTAAAATTTTCCACAAAGAGCGAGAGTTCATGACCCAGCAGATTGAGCAGCTTGTATGGGACGTCAATGCTCTTAAGATCGCTAAGAAGGAGAACGGTTCTGCGGAAGATATGGACGTAAGCGCTACAAAAGACGAAGAGGAAGATGAGGAGGAATACCCCTCTTGGTTCCCCAACGAAGACGACGGTAATGATGACACGTCACACAAGCTCAACGAAGATAGCGAAAAAGAGCTGGAATGGTTTGTCCACGCGCCGACAGCCACCACAGCGACTAAGTATATTGACGAATGGTATACGAAAGACGCCAATCTAATCAGAAATGAGGGCAGGAACCAAGACTTAGACCAGTGGATTGAAGATGTAGACACTCTGGTAAATAGTGAAGATGGGTTATATTACAAGGATCTGTACGAATCCTTGTATAGCGAGGATGAAGCTCTTGCCATTACTACATTTGAGGAAGAGGACAAGGACATGGCTTAGGTGTCAGGCTGAGATTGTACCAACTCGCCCACGAGGTAGCCCAAACGGTAGCAATCTTGTGGTTTCTGGCAGGTCGAAAGGTCATAGTTTGTTCTTTAGTTCTGGCGAGAATCTGTTCACCTACAGCCTATGGATTTTTGGAGCATATAATCTCTTCATTCCTATAGACGCTAAAATCACACGATCAAGGTGTACTTGGATTGAGATATTCGTACTTCAAGTAGTGGGAATTGCCTTTGGACTATCTTTGCTGCTTTCACCGATGATATAGCTAACCCTCGGTACTGGAAATCAACGCGCGCTAAGGAGTATGATGTAATGAAAGTCGTGACATAGGAGAACGACAAGTCAATTCACGAGTGATGTGATAGTCCCATTTTCATGTACCTAGTAAGTGCTTGCGTACACATCTTGAAAATCACGTCAACTTTAGTAACATAACTCGATTATTCTGAGACCGAGATATACCCTGATTGTCTATGATACAGGTAAGTTAGGGTGAGGGTTAGTAGGTGAACCCTTACAAGCCCATGCTGCTTCACTGCTTTTTCAACACAGGATACGAGTTGTCTATGGTGGTGTTGTGGCACTACACAATGATATCATGGTTGTACTGCAAAAACCCAACTCAGATCTCAACGTTGTCCAACATGATTTGATGAGCGCGTATGCACAGCAGGCTCGGAGTCTCAAGAGCTGACCGGTAAGAGGATGGTCTGCATCCTTTGATATCCTCATTCGTCCAAGTTATACTCGTTATGGCCCATTATAGGGCAGTTTATTGCTAAAATTGATAGGAGGGTGTTTAATCTATAGCTCGTGGTTGCCGTGCGTGGTCGGCTGGCAAACACTATTACACTCGCTCAGTAAGTTGTGCATGAAGTTCGCGCGACAGATACTTATCATTTAGCAATGTAATGCATACTTACCATCACGATGTGAAAGAAGACCATCCCGGCAACTCCATCACAACTCGTTGATGTTGAGCCTCAAAACCAGCCCGATTAGAGCCCAACCATGATATTCATCACCTCGACCGCTTCACAGAATACCACTTGTCAGAATGTGAGGACCTTTAACTCTCTTGTTGATTTCCACGGAGAGGAGAGTCTGCTGAAGGCGAAGTGATCGCTACGGACATGCGAAAGACGGGAATCAGATCGCAAGTCATCCACAAAGTCGTTGAATTCATTTTATCAAGGTCGAGGTGGCTTCTTTATATGTGACAAGAGGTACGTAGAGGTGACCTTGAGTGATCCCCGTCTCGAACGCGTAGGCTTATGTTGGCACTGCTGATATTGGCTGGGTGGGTGGTTGACGCAGATGTCCTTGGTTCATCGCATCAGCTGTCCGGATAATAGGCGATGCGGTCGATGGATTTGATTGTCTTGACCGGAACCATGAACGACGCACAACATGATGTATGCGCGGCACAGTATCACAGCATCGGCTCTGGTCGCGGGTTGTTTGTGGATGAGGTTGAAGACGCGGGGTGCGTGCAATTAGCCTGGCCCGGTGGAGCAAGAGCTGTCACCCCACAAGCTCTGTGGTCCGTAGGGCTGCTTGGCGACGCACTGTGCCGGCAATATCGATACGCTATTGCTCTACCTATCAAGACGTTGTGAGTCCTGAGTCATCACGATAACGCATGGCATGCTAATGATGTTGAGAAAGCCTATTACGTGCATCCGATACGGAAATCTTGGTATCAACACAATATGTACGCTACCAACAAAACGCCTTCTCCGCTTGCAAAGAAATTTCGAAGGAAAAGAATAGTCACATTCGATGCATGTGCCCTCGGCATTCCATGCATCCTGTAAGCAGAGCAACAAACATCTACTGCTTATCATTCTGCGAGTAGATGAAGTTCGCAGCGACAGGCACCAAACCATTGTGCTCAGCCCACTCTCGCACGCCACCACCCTTTTTTCCAGTACCCCAGTGTTGACGATCCTCCGGCTTACTCAGATGCAGCGAATCTGTTGTTCCATTCTTTGGCGCAAAGACTAGGAACACGTAGCGATGCTTGCCCGTCTTTGGTGGTGGGCCTGGAGGTTTGTACTCCATTACGTCCTCTGGGCCGCCATCAGTCGACTCAGTTTGTTCAGTGAGACCAAACTCTGGCAAAGGTAGGATAGAGAACGTATTCTGCGCAGTGGTGACGTTGGAAGCAATCCAGTGGCACATCTCGCTCCATTTTGGATTGTCGCGAGATGGCGCGTCGGGGTCTGTAAGTGTGACGACATAGCTCATGTCGGAGGTACTGTGTATCCCGTCCGGACTTGTGTCATCGTGGAGGACGATGCTGGGTTGTTCTTGAAGATCTTCTGGGTCAATGGTGTTGCCGAGTTTAGCCTTGGCATCCGACCATAGGACGGAGAGTGTGAGGCTAGGTAGGAAATCGTCAATGACTGTAGGAATTATCTCTGCATGTTGAAGTCTGTGTCCTGTTAGTAGAGGGAATATAAACTCAATGGGTATACTTACTTAGTCCGAACAGCCTGGACGTTCTTGGGGCCATTGAGTAGTAATGGCTTTTGCTCGGTTGGTAGCGCAGCTGTTCCACATAGCTGCAGCAGGCAGGTCAAGCCTATCGAAAGCTGAGAAAACATCGTGTCGGCGAACCGTTTGTTTATGAACAGAAGCTCTTTTTCTATCTGGATTGTCGCTTCAAAGTAAGGTACCGTCGCGATTGGGTGACGAGTGCAGAGGCGTATCGAAGAGATCGCTATTGCGTGAGGTAGGTCCTTAAGTGGAAGATCTCCACCCCAGTGTCGTGCGTCATTCGTACCTCAACTGGTGCAGATCCACTAACGGTCTGGGAAGCTACGACGTAATTGCGCAACACAACCTTGCAGTACCGCAACTCGTACAGATGTCATGTAAATGTATTTCTGCTATACTGTAGCTCTACGGGTATTTGGATAGCACGCTCAAGAACAAAAAAAAAAGTCCAGAAAACCGCCATTGTAAAACGAAGAGGCGATTGAATCAGCAACCCTCAAAATGTTCACAAAGTTGCGCGTCACAGAAAGCGCTGCTGGTGGTGACAAAGCCCATATTTTGCGAAATTTGGTACTCAGCGAGTTCCTGAGCTCCTCGGCCCGTCATTGTGCCTGTGCAGTCGCTGATCAGGACACAGTCCCATCCGTAGGAGTAGGCATCAGACACGGTACCAAACACGCATTGGTCGGTGTTGACGCCAGCGAAAAGTAGGGTTTGCTTTCCAGAAGCACGGAGGTACTCGTGAAGAGGCTCCTTCTCGGACCAGAGTCCACTCATTCGCGTCTTGTCGAAATACAAATCGCCAGGCTGAGCGACTGCTTTGAAAGGGTCGTAGAGTTCGGCGTTCCAAGTCCGCTTGAACAAGCACCTTCCCTGGTTATCGGGTAGCTGGGCGCCGAGCCCGACATGCCATCCCAGACTCTTACTGAAGCCTCGCTGAATAGCAGGTGCCATCTTCTTCAAGTCGTGGTCAGTGATTCCCCAGTTGAGCCAGGCGATCTGAATTCCTTCCTTGCGGCATCTCTCGATGACTTTCAATGTCGGTTCAATAGCGGCAATCCCTGCGGCGTGATCTCGATAGAGTGGGTGAACAAAGTAGTTTTGCATGTCGACCACAATCAAGACCGAGTTACCAGGGTCAATCATGAAGCCGGTGTGGTTGCGGCCTTCTTCATCGCACTCGAAGACCATTTTCTGCTGCGAACCCCGAGATAGGTCGAATTTCTTGGTTGCTGGTAGGTAAAGCCATTGTTCTTCTCCTCCAAACGGGATAGGTGCAGTGCATGTAATAGTCCCCACTGTGACGTCTTTGTGTTGCTCTTCGGTGGTGGTGGTGAGAACAAGGGACTCCGAGGCCATGGAGCCGTCGGAGATGACCAGGGCGAAGTAGGTGAGAGTTGTGAGCGGCAGGATACCCAGAGTAGATTCGGGTGGAAGATCAGTGCAGAGGTGGTGAGGATAACTGAGTAGATTGGAGCAAACGACAAAGAAGGTACGTTACCTTTGTAGTCGATGCACGAACGCTGTTGCTTCACTTGTTTGCGGTGAGCCTGATAACAGACCTTATCATTGTGATAGGCTTCCTTCGGAAGGAAGCTTGGTCATAATAAGACAATGATTCACTCAAGGCAAGGTAAACCTATCAGCTTATGCGGAGATGTGCTTCCGTAGGGACTTGGAGGCTACTTCAGCCTTTCCAAATTGCGGTAGAGTACGTCGAAGCGACCTGACGATCGCAATGGATTCCCCAGGATGCGGAGATACGAGCTGGAGATCTTCTTTGATAATTTGGTGTTGTCGCGTGTGGCCGCGTCTTACAGAGCGATAAGGCTGGTGTACTTGATAGATAGCCGTCGCCTTACTACAAGGGAATCCCCGAGGGTCCGACAATACCCGAGCGCGATCCAGCGTACACCGTGTACGCCAGCGTGTCCATGGTACTTTCTGAGCTACCAGAGGCAATGCGATAATACGTGGCCAAACTAGGAGAGCAGAGTCCACATATTCTCGAAGAATTCTACGAGATTCGTGCGCCAACTCAGACGGCCAGTCGTATGTTCTGTATTGTCAAAGGCCGACCCGGGTCGCGCACAACCAGGTACTGCTGACGCTGCTCAGGTGGTAGGGAAAGTCGTCTTGTTACTCATTTGATCGTGTGCACCCTCTACATACGGTTTGCTGCAGGCTCATGTGTACCGTGTCCGGCCTTGGAGCCGAGCCGCATGCACGGCGTGTGGTGGCGTTCGCAGGACTCGCGACCAAGATGGTCGGGTTCAGCAGCCTCGTGTTTGCTTTGACAAAACGCGTGTGCTTGGCGACGTAGCTGAGGGTGTCTTCTCCTTTATGCGAAAGGAATGAACAATATGGACTAAGATTAAGGAGACATGTGAATGTTGAATGTGGGGTGCATTGCCATGCTGGCCGTCACGTGCACCATCATCAAACCTTGGAACTTTCAAGCGAAGTGACGACGGAGCTGCAGCAAAGGCACTCTCATCACGAGCCTCTGGACCCGACGAAGCCGCCATCAGCCACAGTCACTTCGCCGATCCTGCATCTGCACAGTGCAACACCTCTGCTACGCCGTAGGACGACATTTGGCCCATACAGCATTCCGCCGTGTTGTTTGGCTGCTCAACACCAACCCGGACCCTTTGAGTAAGGAGCAAAGAAACCACACATACACACCAGCGCGATGGCGTCGCTGGGCGAGGAGCTCCTCAACATTGTCAACAGGCTGCAGGATTTGGTCTTCAACACAATTGGAAATGATTCCCTAGATTTACCCCAGATTGTATGTGCGCCCCAGCCAGAGAAGAGAATGCGGTGAGCGCAGAGCAGATTTTACAAAGCTCTGTCGAGGCTGATGCGAATCCTGCTAACTCGATCAGGTCGTTGTGGGATCACAATCTTCCGGAAAGTCATCAGTGCTCGAGAACATCGTCGGCAAGGACTTCCTTCCCCGTGGCAGTGGTATCGTCACACGCCGGCCGCTCATCCTCCAACTCATCAACCTCCCAAGCGAACGCGACGAAGACGACGATGACGAAGTCCACGTACCCCACACACCCGCAAGTGTAGCTGGCCAGCAAGAATGGGGAGAGTTTCTCCACATTCCCGGCCAGAGGTTCTACGACTTCGCCGATGTCAAGCGCGAGATCGAGAACGAAACCTCGAGGATAGCAGGAAACAACAAGGGCATCAACAGGCAACCAATCAACCTGAAGATCTACTCCCCGCACGTCCTCAGCTTGACGCTCGTTGATCTGCCCGGTTTGACAAAGGTTGGTCACGGCAACTTTTTCTGCCAGGAACACGGAGCTAACACTCGCAGGTGCCCATTGGCGACCAGCCCTCCGACATCGAGAAGCAGACACGGAATCTCATCACCGAGTACATTGCAAAGCCAAACAGTGTCATCCTCGCTGTCTCCCCCGCCAACGTCGATCTCGTAAACTCCGAGGCTCTGAAGCTGGCCCGCCATGTCGACCCCATGGGCAAGAGGACTATCGGTGTCCTTACAAAGCTGGATCTCATGGATCACGGTACCAACGCCATGGATATTCTCTCTGGTCGTGTATACCCCCTCAAGCTCGGTTTCATTGGTATCGTCAATCGGTCACAACAAGACATCCAGGGCAACAAGTCTCTCTCTGACGCCCTGCAAGCCGAGCGGGACTTTTTCCGACACCACCCTGCGTACCGGAACATGGCAAATCGATGTGGTACCCAGCTGCTCGCTAAGAGCCTCAACCAGACCCTGATGGCCCACATTCGTGACAGGTTACCAGACATCAAGGCACGCCTCAACACACTTATGGGTCAGACACAACAAGAGCTTGCAAGCTATGGCGATGTAGCCTTTACTGGTAAGGAACATCGAGGCTCGCTCATTTTGCAACTTATGACGCGCTTTGCCTCGTCTTTCATCTCGTCTATCGATGGTACTTCTACCGAAATCTCCACCAAGGAGCTGTGTGGTGGTGCCCGCATCTACTACATCTTCAACTCTGTCTTTGGTAACTCGCTTGAGCAAGTGGACCCCACCCAAAACCTCTCTGTACTCGACATTCGGACGGCCATCCGCAACTCGACTGGTCCAAGGCCTAGTCTGTTCGTGCCTGAGCTTGCTTTCGACCTCCTTGTGAAGCCTCAGATTAAGCTTTTGGAGATACCCAGTCAACGCTGTGTGGAGCTCGTATACGAGGAACTCATCAAGATCTGCCACACCTGCGGCTCTACTGAATTGACAAGATACCCCAGGCTGCAAGGCAAGCTCATTGAAGTTGTCTCGGACCTTCTGCGAGAGCAGCTTGGCCCTTGCTCGGGTTACGTCGCCTCTCTCATTGACATTCAAAGGGCATACATCAACACAAACCACCCCAACTTCCTTGGAGCTGCTGCGGCCATGTCATCCGTTATCAATGACAAGGAGCAGCGGGAAAAGAAGATCGCGATGGAGGCCGAGAAGAAGAGGCGAGAACAGAGGAGAATAAAAGAGCTCCAGAATGGTCAGAACGGGGAAGGATCTGAGGAGGGTGAAGGAGGTGAGGGAGCCACCTTGAAGGCTCTTCCTCTTCGGAAACACCAGTCACAAACTAGCCGCAGCATGTCGCCTGCTGTCGGACGGATGATGAATGGCTCTCAGAGCACTACAGCAGCGCTCAACAACCGCAACCGGTCACCACCAGGTACCGCACGCGACAGCTTCCTGAACTACTTCTTCAGCAAAGACAGCAATAACGCATACGCCAACCCACAACAGGCAGCACAAGCAGCGCTCGATAACCGGCCAGGCAGCCGACACGTGAGCCAAAATAGCGAGCCAAGCTTCGCGCAGAGCATCCGAAGAGGAGACAACAAGCAGCCTGCCCATGTGTTGGCAATGATGCCACCAGACACGGACGACTATGATGCGCCATTGAGCGCCGCCATGAGCGGTCCTCCCCGAAGTCCAAGCGTGGGACCAGAAAACTTTGAAGGCGGCTTCGTAAGTTTCTTGAATCAATGCTACGCAGACCAAATGCTAACGTTTTGACAGCCATCAAACCCCGAGCAAGCCCCTGCCCTTACGGAACGCGAAGCCCTCGAGACTGAGCTCATCCGCCGACTCATCTCGTCATACTTCAACATTGTCCGGGAGACAGTCGCTGATCAGGTGCCCAAGGCCATTATGCATCTTCTCGTCAACCACTCAAAAGACGTTGTACAGAACAGGCTCGTCTCAACGCTGTACAAGGAGGATCTGTTCCAGGAGCTCCTGTACGAAGACGACACCATCAAGGCCGAGCGCGAGAAGTGCGAGAAGCTGCTCAAGACATACAAGGAGGCAGCCAAGATTGTCGGCGAGGTTTTGTAAGAGATAGGTGTTTGGATAATGAAACGAATCATCACGGGTTCCTTGTAGGTTTTGAAAATGTGCGATTATACAGCCTTTGCCCCGCATCCGATTAGTATTACCGGGTCGTGTTGACAGTCGGGCTGGGGGCAAAGGTTGATAAAGCGTATGGAGGCGGCTACCTCATGTTAATATTGTCCTTGGCCGCTTCTCAGCGCTTTTCATTTCTACTCTTCTGTTGCCCTTCTTGATTTCCAAGGGTTGCAGGGCGTTTTTCGAGGCTCCGCTTTTCATCGTTTCTGCGCGTTCTGATGGTCTGTGTAGCATAGTGCCTGCCCATGGCGGGTCGGGGGTGGAGATGATACATGTATAGAATATACGATTGGCAACAAATCTTGTCTTCTTGGATAAGCACAGCTCCTTGATCGAAATTGTGACAATGGACCAATTGCAAACTGTGGCGATGCTGGCGATTCCCTTGTTAGTGTTTCGTTGAGTACTGGATAGTCTGGCATGAGTGGGGCAGGGTGACTGTTCAGTTAGTTCCTTGGAGTCGAGCATGCTGACCTGTACATTGACGTGTCGAGCGGACAACAGATGAAGAGATCGAACTAAAGCATGTAGATTGAAAACGTGACCAACTCGACGTCTATGTTGTACAAAAGGTACATAGTACAAGAGATTGGTATCTCGTAGATGTCGTACCACTATTGACTGCTCTCCCCCACCAAGCCGCCTCTCGGCTCGATGGGAAACGGCCGCATTATGCCCATGCTAATGTAGGAAACGGGATCACTCTCAACGCGCTTATTTGTCGGTTATGCCGAGGAGCGTGTTGAGGTCGGCGTTGGGGTCTTTCGGGTCCGCCTTGGCTGTTGGGTTGTCAGTATGTGTTGGACTGGTACAAGCGCATGTTCAGGTTGGGAATTTTTGACATGTGTCGTCGGTCTGACGTACCTCCCGATGACTTTGGCTGTTCTGAGGGGTGGTCTCGTGCCCATTGCTGCTTGGCTTGCCTGATCAGCGCCTCCTTGTGTTCCCAGTCCTTTTGTGCGGCCTTTGCCCTATCGGCAGCGGATAACGAGAGCTGGTGGTAGGCACCGTAGAAGACACCGAATCCGAGTGCGGACCATCGGAGGACCTGTAGATACCACCATTAGCCTGGCTGTTCCATCTCTAGAGCTAGTAGAAGTCCCACAAGGCCGTGTTAGAGACCTTGGCAACCGCTTCGAGGGGCATAGCGTACGTTGACACCGACGGAAGTGGACATGGTGAGGGTCGTGCGAGGACTTGCGATAGTCGTTATCGAGCTCGTCTGTGTCCAATGGCAGGTAGTCCGGGCGAGCGATGGAAATTACACCGCTGGATGGGATCCGGAGAGTCGTGACGAGGGCGTCGTGGGGGGGATGCGGGCTGTTGGGCGTTGAGCTGTGAAAGTTGAGGTTGGCTGGCGCAAGATTTGGACGGGATCGCTGGCTGCGAGCTAGTGCCCTCGTCCCTGAACCACAGCTTGGCGCGACGTTGAGCAACACCCGACGCGCCTACCTTTGTTCCTACTGCCCTTGCCCTGCTCTAGGCATAGTCGAGACGGGGAGGCTTCATTTGTCTAGCCACGGATTCCAGCCTACGCCCTCTACCACACACCAAGACACGTACTCCAACAACCATCCCGCCCTCCACATCTCCGCCATGGAGTCCACAATGCAGCAACGGCGTGATGAGATTCTCGCAAAGAAGGCCAAGTTGGCCGAGTTGAAGCGCCAGCGCGAACTGAGAAAGGCCGAGTCCGCTAGCAGGCAGTCAATGACCGGTAGCCCGCTAGGAGAAGTAGGTTGCCTACTCAAGTGTCTCACCAGTGACTGACGGCCATACCAGGTCCTCTCACCAACTCCAAGACGCAGCGAAGACCTCGACCGCAGGACCGACGTCACCAACCTCATCAACAGCATCCTCGGCGAAAGTAGACCTGGCTCTACACAGCCGGGTTCACCAGCAGGCGCAGGCCGAGCAACTCGCCCAACATCGGTAGTCAGCGCAGGACAACTGAGCAGCGACAATGAAGGCTCGTCTGGCTTCCAAGCGCCTGCCGGCATGGTGGACCGAGAAATGCAGACGCTGTCCCTTGGCCCGCTAGCCACAGTCTACGAGACTGACGGCGTTGTCACCAACGAGGTCAAGAAGGAGAAGGAGATTATCACATATAGCAAGGGTGTACAAGCAAGCATAGAGTGGAGCCCGTCAAAAGACCGCGGAGTTGGAGGAAGTGACACAGAGCGCGATGAGAGCCCGACGCGGTCACCAAAGAGCAAGCGACTAAGCCGGAGACAGAAAGAGAGGGACGAAGAGATTAGAGCGCAACTGCGGAAAGAAATCGAAGAGGAGCTCAAGGCCGTCCAGCAAGCGCCTGACGATGGTGCACCGCAGCCAGGCTCAGACGAGAACTTCCCGTTCAAGACCCTCACAAACGAAGAATTGACGGCTGTAGAGAACTCAGAAGACTTCATTGGCTTTGTGGAGCGCAGTACGAAAGTGTTGGAACGAGCGCTCGACCAACAACTTGGCTACGACATCTTGGCAGACTATGCAACTGGCGGCGTAGATGTCGACGACGACGATGAGGGTTATGGCTCCAGTGGAGGCAAGAAGGGCCGACGGATCAAGGAGATTGCACAATTCTGGGATGAACGGTGGAGCAAGAAGAGGATGATCTCGGATCTGGGCTTCTCAACAAAGGTATGAACTGAGGCAACGTCTCGCGGTTATAAGACTGACAAACTCTGCAGTTTCCAGAACTCGTCCTTGCGTCGTATACAAAGAACCCGTCCGCTCCGCACGACCCAGACGGGCTCGTACAAGTTTGGAATATGCACATGCACGACAGACCCGAGTACATCTTCCACGCTCAATCTGATATTCTCACCGCCAAGTTCTCGCCGTTCCACCCTAATCTTATCATCGGAGGCGCGTACTCAGGGCAAGTGCTGCTTTGGGACACTCGCGCCAAGTCTGCGCCAGTGCAGAAGACACCACTTACTGGTTCTGGTCACACACACCCGGTCTATTCATTAGACATTGTCGGAACGCAGAACGCGAACAACATCATCTCATGTTCGACGGACGGTGTTGTATGCGGATGGACTGTGGATATGCTGTCACAGCCTCAAGAGTTCCTGGAATTGACATCGCCACCACCAGCGAAGACAGATGATATGGCGGTAACCAGTATTGCCTTCCCTCAATCGGATCCGACCTATTTCCTTGCAGGCACAGAAGAGGGTACCATCTACCCATGTCATCGCTACGACCGCGCTGGCGCGAAGGCAGGCGTAGATGGTCGCGTGAAATACGCTGGCCATGCCGCACCTGTCATGAGCCTCGACTTCCATCCCGCTAAGGGTCAGATCGATCTAGGCGACCTTGTCCTCTCATCCAGTGTTGATTGGAGTGTCAAACTCTGGAAAGTGCGTCCGCCGGCTGCCACAGGCGCAACCAACCCTACACTTCCTGGTGCTACACAACAAGTCACCCCTGTTCTTGATATTGCCCGCGAAGATCTCGTCTACGACGTCCGATGGTCGCCGGTGAAGCCTTCGGTCTTTGCGCTCGTTGATGGAGCGGGAAGCCTCGAAGTTTGGGATATCAACGTCGACGTCGAGGTACCTGTTCAATCTGTAAAGCCTAGTGACGGCAAGCGTGGTGCGTTTACAAACATGCCGACTGGTCTTGGCTACATGAACCGTAGTCTCAACAAGTTGGCATGGGAGAGGAACGAGGGACGCAGGGTTGCAGTGGGTGGCATGGATGGCGTCGTCACTGTGTTTGAGGTGGGCGATGACCTTGGAGGTGTGCAAACACGTAGTGAGGAGTGGAGTGGCGTTAAGAGGTTGGTAAACCGGTTGGAAGGCCACGGAGATGGTGTTAACGGGAAGTGAGGTCCTATCAAATGTCTCGAAACTCGCTCCCAAGGCCTAGACAACGGTTGTGGCAGTGCTTCAATACCCATTTCTTTCAGCGGAGCATTGTTCTGGAGTCGGCAGTTTACTTTCTACCATACCCCACGTATCACAAGTTTGATTGCTGCACAGAGCATGCAGAACGCTCCAGGTGTGGCGGTGCAGCAGCTCGTGTAATACCATTGCGCACATCAATTGTCCTAGCACGTCGCGTTTTTGTCTCACAAACGGTGATCTTGACCCAAGCTATCGTCTCCACGTTGCGATGTCATCAGGGCGGCCCGTTAGCGCACAAGGCTAAAATCTGGATCAGGGAACACTTCTAGCCCCCACCAGTTAAACCTCACAGAACCCCTGACTTGCACCGCCACAGCAAGCCGCACCTCCACACCTACATCATCGAATTCAACAGGTTTCCTATCGCGAGACGGGTGCTCGGAACAGAACATTACATAGATGGATCGGTCGTCCCCGCTTCTGCCGCTACAGCATTAGCGAATAGAAGGTCCTGTTACCGCCACTTCATAAGCCTGATAGAATTAGGCTCTGGCTAGTATGTTAAAGCGTTGATGGTGCTGTCTCTTCAAGCGGGTCCGTTCTTCCGTCAACAACCTTCTCAATGAGGCGATGATGCTTGGTGTCTTGCTCAAACTTGTGCCGGCGTTGCGATGGCCCATTATTTCCACTGGCCAGGGTGGGAACCATGAGCAGATGTAATTATATCATTCCTGTTGCGATTAAGTTGTGGGTTTGGAAGACATACTGACGTCGGCCAATCTAGTGCGATAACTTCCTGCATTTCGGCGGTTAAGGGCTACTTTCCTTGCAATACCACGCCCGTCCCAGACTATACATGCCTTTGCGAACAGTACCTATGGCGCGTCTCATGCTTTGACAACCATGCATTCAATCCGGTATCCCATCCAGATCGGCCAATCGCTGAAAATTACATGAACGACTATTGTCTCGCAGCCGGTAGCATTGGCGCGGAGAAAGTACAACGAAACCATCAGCGTCAACGGAGACAGATCGGCGATCTCTTATCCAGTATTGTTGGCGATGTTTCTTCAGTGTTGTCCAGCAACGGCGTTGCGGTCCCTACGGCTATCATAGAGAGTGTAGCGGGTAGTGTGGTGAATGCTTTACCCACACCAGCAAATCCGACGAGCATTGCTGCTGAGATCACCGCGACGAGCGCAACAGAGGATGCAAGCAGCACAGCCAGCAGTACTGCACAAACGTCGACAGGAGCATCATCAACCAGAAACGAGGCCTCAAGCACCGCATCACAGGGATCAACTTCATCGAGCTCTGCCGCAGCGGCATCATCACCATCTTCAAATTCAAGCTCTGGACCATCAACAGGTCTCATAGCTGGTGTAGTGGTAGGAGGAGTCGCAGCTCTAGCCTTGATTGGCATTTTTATCCTCCTCCTCCGTCACAGAAAGAGGAAATCCAGAACGGCAGCCATGAACGACAAGGAGGCCAGTGCAGCAGCGTCTTCGTCGTCCGATCATCCCCCACCAACACAGGGTGCATATGCCCGTGTCCCACAACAGAATGCGTACCCTACCACAACCACACTCCCTACGCAACCCGATTTGTCCTCGACACAGCCGACGACAATGATGTCTCCAGTTTCGCCTATAACACCAGGAGGCCAAGCACCATGGGCGTCAACATCAACTTTCGGAGGCGCAACAGCAACGGGAGCCGGAGCTGGAGCTGCAACGGCAGCCGCAGGGCATGCACTACACAGCTCCACCCCAGCGCCTAGATACTCCGACGAAAAGCCACCACAGCGCCACCAATACATCGATTCGAAGATACCGGAAAGTAACGAGATGCCTACAAACGCAAATGTCTGGGAAATAGATGGTAGGGAAATGCCGCCACCTAGCGAACTCGATGCAGGAAAGAGAGACGGGTTGAACTTGGGGAACATAGGAAGTAATGCACAGGCACAAGGGCAGACTCAGCAACAAGAATATGTTGCGTACAGGCCGCCGAGCGTAGGGAATGGACAGTCGAATTGGAGTGGACAGAATGGCGAGTTTTCGGGTAACAAACCGGTTGGTCAAGCCATTTGAGTATGCTGTACTATATAAGAAATGAAGTCATGAAACCTTGTATATACTTGAAGTCAGACTTGTACTACGTCAATGGCTTTAACAAACCTTACCGAACAGACCATACTCCTACCACTTGTGAAACACCAGGCGACGGGCAGTGTTGACTGGCGGGAGGGGTATGCCGACGCTGCATAACCGATACCGATACCTATGGTCTGAAGCGGGTCGTTGCGTTCGTGAGGTAATGGAGGGAGATACGCTAGTTACTGAGGGTCCACGGATAGCGCCATGTGGGGTATCTGGGGAGTGCTCGAAATACTTCAATCGCGATATGAGTGTACCTAAACGATTAATTCTAAAGGTCTTGTCTTTCGTAAAACCTTCCGCGGAAGGAGGGAGATGTCGCTACTTATATGTCTCTTATAAGATATTATTGTGTAGCACCTTGGTTTGTGGAGTGGATCTCACTGTCGGTGCCGGCGAAGCGTGGTGCACAGGGTATTATCAACTATGCAAATTCTGTAGCTCGAGAGCTTGTGAACGTATATGTGTTCTAGGAGAAAGCACACTCGATGTTTGTTACTTCCGTTGATCCCTGAGCCAATTTGCACGACGGGAAAGAAGCATGGAGTTCGTTTGTCATTACCAACTGGGGTAGGAACAAGAGAAGTGAAAAGTGAGGGTAGTTCTGAGCGCTTCGTGGACGACACTGGAGAACATGACGTGAGGGTAGAAATGAACCCGTTGGTCTGTCTATGGTCTAGTAGAACGAAAGACGATATGCCTGCATCTCCTGCTAATCAGCTTATCTATCCGGCTGTGGTGAACTTCGTGGCGTTTACAGATCACAAAGATATTGTGCACAGTTCCATCTCTCCTTCTATGAAGCTCCTTCCCAATCAAGTAGTTTGTAGAAAGAGTATGGCTGAATGTTCTACCCCTACTCTCCTGTCTACCTGTTTATGCATTCTTGAGTCGTAGCCTGTAATGACTTTCACCCTCTTTCCAAAACCTCAAACTGGAAAATCATCGAAGGGACTAGGGAACTCCATATCAAAGCCATAGTCGTGGAAAGCCCAGTCCATCTGAGAGTAGGATGCGTCGAAGCTTGGCCATATCTCACTGAGCTGCCTTTGTAAAGCTTCATCGCTATACAAATCTCCTACTTGGTCTGTAATGGCACTCATGTTGGCGGATGTGGGTAACTTGGAGACTGTGGTGGTACCAGACGTTGGTCGATGTGCAACTTGTAAGCCCCTCAATGTCCCATCACTTATCAGTCTGTGAAGTCGCTTTGCAAGCTTAGCTACACCCCTCACGCTGGTCCATCGTTGGCTGAGACAATCTAGCGCATTGCAACATCTTTGGAGGTCTTCTCGTGCTGCAATCATATCTCTTGCGCCATCATGTAATGCACGGTAGATGACCGTAGTAGACATGGACATCGCGTAAGGTACTAGTGGAAGCGGAGGGAGGCCTTCACACCCTTCGCGAGAGACGATTGCAAGTACTCGATCCGCTGACTTGAGACGGCGGGTGTATTGTACAGTGCCTGGTCCATTGTAGCGACAAGATAACATGGCGGCAACATGATACCATGTCTCCAAGTATGCTATTCCCTTAAGCGAGTTGAAGGATTGAGTTTGGGGAACGTCTTACCTTGATGTGACATGTGGAACTCATCGAAACTACTTCCCCCCATAACTTCTGGGAGTGTCGGAAATTCCCAGCAACCATCAACCATCGTCGTGGAGCTGGCTTTGTATGCTTTTGTTGCGATAGTCATTAGGTCTCCGAGCCTTAGGGCCACAGTCATGATTTGAGAGCGATAGCTATCCTTGCTGGGCAATATCCGTTCCACGCCAATATCTGCATCATCAATAAAGAATGGCGCGGCTGCCATGATTGGTTTACCCAAACGATCAAAGTTTCGAAGTGACCACCACAGATACTTGCACTCGGTATCATCAGGATTGCCAGGTATTTTTAGATGTATACACATGGACCACGCTTCGCAGATGGCCTGGGAAAGATAATTTGAGGCGCGGTCAACGCCGGCTAGTCCATCGTTGTGTAAGTGCATCAGTGCCAGAATCTGAATCTTGATAATGCGGTCGGGCTCAAGATCTGCTTTGATAGCAGCATCTAGTCCGGCCAGTAGTTTTGACGCAAAACCCAAAGGTTCGAGCAGGGGACCGGACTCAGTCAGGCGCAAGAAAGGAACAGCGTGCTCTGTTTTGCATACCACGAGACATATTGCCCTCACCAAATATATAGATGCGTTTCCGTTGCTGTGATGGCGGAATACAGCAGGGCCATCCGCAATAGGCACGAGATCGTCTAATGTCGAATTATACAGAGACAAGAGAGCATCTGTAGTTGTTTTGGGCAGTGCGGTGAATGCTCCTTCTTCTTGGAGATACTTTCGATATGATTCAGATAAGTGTGGCGGCGCGGCGCGAATTTTGTGTTGCTTGTACCATGCCAGTCTGCGCCGTGGTTCGCATGCGACAGATGGACTAGGCACTATAGCTTGTGGAGTAGGCCGCGATGCTACCAGATGAGGTGTCTGTGCTAAAGTGTTTATCCCTGGTTCGGCATCCTCTGACAGAGCTGTCAGAACGGATTCAGGGTTATACTCGCTCACGCGACCGGGGCTTGGGGTAGATTCGCTGGTATCGGTTCCTTGATAAGGCCTTTGAACTCGTTTTTCGGCTCTGTGAGTTTGTTCCTTCCTCCTGATCCCGCGATCCTCAAGGTGGTAGCACCGTTTCTTGCGTGCACGACAAGTTAGGCATGCTGCAGTCGTCCGTTTCTTCGGAACCTTTTCGCCCGACTGCCATACGATCTCCATGTTCGAGCAGCATCCCCGGTTTGAAGCTACTTCAAAGCATGCAAGACGCGGGCGCAACCCGCATTAGGCAAGATGTGAAGAAGGTGAGCTGTCGTCGTACCCGTCTCAAAAGGAGAAACTACCATCTACCCCGCACTAGAAGACGACCCACCATCTCTACGCGCGACACATGTAGGAGCATTGTTGGCCATATCTTGGTTGATGCGCCTCCTCCCGACCCTGATTTGGATGTCTCCGCCTCCCCACTCTCGCTATTGGAGTGAAGTGCGGGGATAATGACCACTAATCTCCTTCTGGGTCGGCAGGCTTAATCTCGTACACTCTCGCAGTTCCGCTACTCCACCTGAACACCCACAATGAGAGACACGATCGTTAACACGAGCAGTTGTTTTGCCACGACGACCTTTGATTTGATGCTTCACTGGTTCCGGTACATGGGTGTGGTCTTCTCTTCATCAATGTAGACACACAGTAAGATGTAGTATAAAAGCAGTTCCATGGTCCGTTTCATCAACATCAGTCAACCACTCCAATTTCTTGTACCTTTTACCATTAAGTTACGTGCCTAGTTTTCAAAGAAAAAATGGCTTCGTCCCAAGTCAAGCGCTATGTCATTGTAGGCATGGGCGTCAGATCCGCATTTTACTACCAAAGCATCATCCAAGATTTTAAATCGGTCGCTGCAGTAGTGGGCATATGCGACACGAACCAGACGCGTATGAAAGCTGCCAACGATCGAATGGTCGAGCTGGGCGGCGAGCGTGTCTCAATGTATAAGGCAGAAGACTTCGACAAGATGGTCAAGGAGCAAAAGGCTGACGTCGTCATCGTTACCACCATCGACAAATTCCATCATGTATACTGCATCCGTGCCATGGAGCTGGGCTGCGACGCAATTACTGAGAAGCCAATGACCATCGATGAAGAGAAGCTTCAAGCTATGATCGATGCCGAGAAGAGGACGGGAAAGCAAGTTCGTGTCCTCTTCAATTATCGATATGCGCCTCATCACACCAAGATGCGCGAACTTATCGACTCAGGCGTTATCGGCGAGGTTTCGACCGTGCATATGGACTGGATCCTGGACTGCGCACATGGATCCGATTTCATGCGCCGATGGCATCGGAACAAGGACACCAGTGGTGGCATTCAGATGCACAAGTCGATCCACCACTTTGATTTGGTACATTACTGGCTGAATACCGAACCGGAGAATGTCTACTGCGTTGGCAGCCTGCGATTCTACGGTAAAGAGAATGCGGAACGACGTGGAGAGAAGAACCTCGGCGAGCGGTATCTCAACAACGAGGCTGCCAAAGACGACCCGTTTGCCATTCACATCGATCAAAATGCCCAACTAAAGAAGCTTTATTTGGAGGCTGAGCACGAGGATGGCTACATTCGTGACCGTAACTGCTTCGCTGAAGGTATCACCATTGAAGACAATCTCTCTATGGTAATCAAGTACAAGAACAAAGCTGTCATGACGTACAACACGTATGCTTACGCTCCATGGGAGGGTTATCGTTGCGTTTTCAACGGCAGCAAGGGCCGCATTGAGATCAATGTCGTCGAGGGCGGATACTCAGCTGGTGGCGAGACCATCACCAACGAAGGGCTTGGTGAACTTGAAGCCAACTACATACAAGGTGGTGTGGAGAAGACGAATATCGTCGTCTATCCCTTGTGGGGAAAACCGTACGTGGTGGATGTCGTCAAAGGCGAAGGCGGCCATGGCGGGGGAGACCCTCTGCTACTAAAGGATGTCATCGTAGGAAGCGAGGGCGAGGACAGCTTTAAGAGAGCTGCGTATATTCGTGATGGCGGAAATGCTGTTCTTGTCGGCGTTGGTGCAAATAAGTCCATGGAATCCGGCTTGCCTATACAAGTACAGGATTTGGTTAAATGGTAGTTTCCAGTCTTTCATATGGGTTTACATGAATGGAGATTGAGTTTCTAGTCAGTGAGCTGTTGGTGGTCCACTCACATGCATCGTCAAAGGATCCTAGGACAAGTAGTATCTCATTCACTGATGGCCGCCACAGCACGCCATCAGCCTCGCACCAACATGATCGTTCTTATAATAGTCATTGGTGCATACAGAATATTGCGCATCCTTTCGGCTTTGCAAACCTCGGGGTCCGGCAGTCACTTCGCGTGCGGCAGCATTGCGGAGACCCGAAACGAAACAACACTAAGTGACTCTATCCAATCACATGTCGTCTACAGAGCTTCTCAGCCAATCACAGAACGAGAGGCAAGTTGTTTCACCACGTCAACGCGATACGCATCGCTGTTTGCGCTGGAACTGTACGTCAGACGTGTGAGCACTACATGCTCAATAAGGCAATTTTGTGGGTTGATAGTGATGATCCGGAGAATTGATGCGGGCCCAGGGTCTTCGATATCCAAGTAAAAAGAAGCCATCGCCAAAAGCTTGAAACTTCGTCATTCATTATTCGACATCTTCGAAGAGTGCAACAGAAAGATCAAGTATTGTGTCGGAGTCATAATTATCGCAAGAGATAAGCACTACGAAACCGAAGACCTACGAAACAGACGTACTCAACAGCACCATCCAATATGCGCAAGTCCTCCCTCCGAAAAACAACTCTCCTTTCCCTCCTCGGTGTTTCCTCCGCACAAACGTCATCTTGGGGCGAGCCATTCACTGTAGAACCCGCAGCAACAACTTCAACAGACAACCTGCTTCCCTCTGCCTCCCCAACACCAACATGGGGTGACGCCTTTAGTGTTGACAACAGCGCTGTGATTACCCCATCAAGCTCGCTCCCAACATCAGATGCCGCAGCGCCGAGTCTGGCAGTCGATACGTCATCACCGATACCTTCCAACGTAGTAACATCTGATGTTACAGTAATTAGTGGAATACAGAGTGTTGTCGCATCGAGGAGTGCCAGCTTTGATACAAACGCTAGTACGCAGAGTGTGACAGGGACGAGCAGTGCGGAAAGTACACAGAGTGCGACGAGTAGTGGGACAGCGGCTGTAGAGGCTACTGGCGCTGCGGTGCCGGTGAGAGGGTTCAAGAAGATGGGTCTTGCAGGCGCGATTGCTGGGGCTGCGGGGGTGATGTTTGTGTAGAGGGATGAGAGCGAAAAGAGGACGTAGGGAGGTGACAATCGATCAGACAACTGGGGTATCTGGGAAGGATAATAGTACTGATGATCTGATTGTGGCTTTTCAATTGGAACAATGAAGCGGCATCGACTTGTGTTCGGAGTTGAGAAGAGCCATGGGAATGAAATTGAGTATCCTTGGTGTTTGGCAAATTTAATTATATGTTGAAGAGCAGCATCTTCCAGAGGTTGACTGGAATGTGATTCTCAGACGCTATATCGTTGCATCAAGAGTGTCCGCTACAAGTTGACCAAGCATAAGCATGAATGACTGACAGGATTGATCCTACCATACCGCATGTAATATTAGGTAGCGTGCTGTTGAATCAGTTTGTATATAGATCTAGATATGATGCAGTGCATGGAAAGTGCAGAGGCAATACATAGCGTATTGATGAGGAGCACAAAGCTTTCGACTCGACTTGGCAACCATCACCATGGTTGTTACAGCGACGACCATACGACCTTAGTAAATCTGGGTAAACATGTTATGTAAATGCAAATGTTAACAACGATGATTATGTCAAGAGCCTGGTCATAATACCGAAGTACCAGCGAGTACAATAAAGCCGGCTAGCGGAAGCGAAGAGAGTGACTAGGCGGACAAGAGGCATACTGCATGATGGCGCCCAACGTTGGGCTACGGACTCTGCGGGTGGCGGCGGGCTAAACAAGAGAGATTCGATGCTAGGACGATTCTGCAAAAGTGCGAAGACTCACCGCGCACTGCTTGAGGCTTGGGTTCAGCTGCGCTCCATATTCCCCAGCTCGCCACCGTTTTACCACCCTTCCACATCCTTGTTTGGTCTTCCTTTCTCAGTGCCACCTAAAAATACTCTTCGACGCGGTCTGAGCCGTATGCGCCTTGAAGGTGCGCAATATATTGTATGGTGCATCCATTGTTCTCTAAGCTCCAAGAGTAACCGGACATATCAGCCTCGGCTTGAGCGCCACTGAACGGCGCTAATGCGAGGAAGTAATGGCAAGACGCTTGTTGGTTAGGGAAGGCTGTTGACCGCGTGATGTGAAGTATTTGACGCGCAGCACACGAGCAAGCAGTGTTACCTGTCTATGCTCCTTTGGGTTGGTATGTTGGTGGCTTGCCTGGTACACCGGTGTAGACTTGCGCAACATTTCTACCTAGTCGTGATAGAACTCGGTGTATGCCGGTTGGCTAGTCTAGTGGTGGCGATGCGAGTATCGCTGGTGAGAAGCTCTGAGGCTGTGTGTTCACGGGGCCGCCGTGAGTGCTGTAGTGCTGCAACCTTTAGAAAGGCAGGATACGGCGAACATAGCAGCTGAGGAGGTGTAGTTACGGTGTGGCAACGAGCAGCGGGTTCTTGCAGCTTGCTTATGCGTCTGTGGAGAGGTGGGAACTGATCCCGCTGTGGGGTCGCTGCAGGGCAGTCAACCACGGTTTCCAGCGCGCAACGAGCGAGCAAGCAGATGCGTTCCTCAACTCCGCGTTTCAAGTTCCTCAGGTGGGTGGAGATCCAAGCGTCATGCTGCGCACAAGCCAAAGGGCGATGAACCCAATGCTGCAGACAATCAGGTTGCTGCGAAGGACGTGCGGATCATGGCGCGCATGCGACGCACAATGACAGCTTCGTACCATGGTACTGACAGGCATGACGGATGTGGTACCACGCGGATGTTTGGTCGTGACGTCTGTGCTAGAAGAAGGATGATCTTGCGGGTAGGATGTGGATAAGAAGCATTCAAAAAAAAAAAGCAACATAACATAGGCCCTGTTTCATAGTAAGTGTGCCTCAAATGGAAGCGAGGGGATTCGAAGAAGCAAAAGTACATCCGACACATCATGAGACAGAAAGCATACAGCAATCATGCTGGTCAGTGGGAGAACAAATCAGGCAAATGCTTCCATATTATCATTTTCTGCTACGTCCATACAAGCTCTTTGCATAGCGTTCCCGTCCGACACATCAGATCACGGACGCCAATGCTCGCGTGACTAGATTGACACTAGATGATAGAGGGGGTTCCCACAGATTCCAATGCTAATATATCGTAAAGGGACAATTAAACTATGAAGTCGTGAAGTGAAACGCTTAAGCGAAGTAGGCGAAAGCAGCGGCGGCACCGAACATGGCAGCGATGGGGCTGCCGATGAGGTTGGCACCAGAGTCGGTAACCTCAGGGAGGCTAGCGCTGCCAGTGGCAGAGCCGGAGGCGGAGCGAGAGAGGGTAGCAGTGGAGACAGTGGAGTTGACACCAGCAGAGGGGCTGATGGAAGCGGAAGCAGATGCGGTGGTCGCGGCGCTGGTGATCATGCTGGACTTGGCGCTCTCAATGGCACTGCTGATGGCAGCAGAGGCGGATGAGGCAGCAGATGAGGCAGCGGACGAAGCAGAGGCAGCGGCAGAGGAGATAGCAGAGGAGACAGGGCTGTCTTCCTCGTCAGAACCACCAGTGAGAGGGAACTGAGCGGAGTAGTTGATGGTGGTTCCCTGCTGGATCTGGAGAGCGTAGTCGGCCTCGTTGGGGAGGGACTTCTCGGGGGTCCACTCGAACTTTCCACCGGTTGCGGTAGCTACGGTTCAGTTAGCATTGTGGACATCAGATTCTAATAGGATCTGAGACATACTGGTGAGAGTGCCGACAGTGTCAAGGTCGGTGGACTTTCCCTGGCGGAGGATGAAGGTAGTTGGGGTGTCGTCCGCAGGAGAGTAGGTGATGGTGTAGGTCTGGCCAGCAACAACGCCCTCAGCAGGGAATTGGTTGATCTCAAGGGCAGCGACGGCGGCAGCGAAGGCCGCGGCGGAAAGGATGGTCTCGAAGAAGCGCATGTTGACGGTAGTTGGATTGATTAGAGTATTAGAACTGTAGTAGCTGTATGGGTATATGTAGTTGGATAGAGAACGAATGACTGTGTACAGCGATAGTGCGACGTGAGAGTGAAGAAGAAAAGACGGCGGAGGGCGACACGGTATAATAAAGAATACGCTGACACCTAACGGTGACTTGGACCGGATCGAGACGCCAAAGCGACGGCAGAGGATGCAAAATTGCCGACCGAATGTGGTATAGTTAGCTCTGAAGCTAATGAAGTAAATGCTCATGCGCCCAATCGGCCGTTCGCCCAGTGAGACGCTTGGCCAGGAGCCCCCTTTTCCTCCTCACCCACAGCTCTCGAGACGCATCTCGCCTAGGAACAGAGCGAGCGTCTAGCCTTGGGGCCACTCACCGACGAAAGCATCCCGGCGCATGAGGAGCACACCAACGGCCGCCGTGCCACGATGCTAGCTGCTTGGAGCTTAGAGAAGAAGCCACCCAATAATCCGGGGAAATTCAGGGGCCTCGCTGCCATCCTGCTGTCGCCTGACCTGCAGGAACACGATAAGGCGAGTTCGAGTACAAAAAGATAGGGACGGACTGTTGTTCGAAGTCGTCGACGTTGGATACGATGTTGCGGGCGCGCGAGGCACAATCGCCATCGCTGCTGTACCTGCATTGGCGCCAACGGCCCCCCCTGTTACCTCGGCCGCCCCAGCACATACCATCTGACTTTCCCTGCCTGGCAAGTCAGCTCCACCACCACCTTATGCGAACGCCGGTTTCGCACATGACCTTAACCGCCGGAGGGCGACGTCATCTCCAGCCAGGGCGACTCCAACCAGCGCTCTGATCGCCCCCCTATCGATATGCGCCGACGTGACTGCGATCTGCGACCGTCCCTGGACAACTTTGCCAGCTTCGGGGCCAGACTATGTGGTCGGTGCGACACCGGTGATGAGCTTACGGTTTTTAGCACGGAGCCGATATGCCTCTAGACGGCCCGACATTTGCGCCCCACTGAAAGGAGATTTGATTATGAACTGTGCAGCTGGCTCGACTTGACGAAGATGTTCGGCAGTAGAGACGCGGTAGAATTGAGTGAAGCGGTCAACGTTCAAGAGAGGGATATCGCAGCTCGCTATTGCATATGTGCGCTGGGTACAGCTGGACGCTGCCGAGAAACAGAATATGCTATGTCTGCGTACATTATGCGCGCTTTGCTTATAGTAAGCTAAAGCATGTCATCCTTACAGGTCTGCGGCGAAGCCAAATGTATGCCCAGCATCGGCAATGTGAAACCAAGAAAGACAAGAAGCTCAATGAAACCTAGAGAAAAAGAGAAGTAAGTGGATGTAGTCATACATGTACGAAGAGAGGGAGTATCCTGGAATGTTTGCATGTTTCTGGATGTAAACCTCTTGCATCGTCGATTTCACTGTGCTGCAGGCTCAAAATCTTTATGCGGAAATCCATCGCCCATATGCAAGATGTTCGAGAACATGCCGCTAATAGTGTGAAACACAACAACGTTACTAGCAACGAAGAAGCTCGTTTATATGAGCTGTACCCCGACTATATCGCATATAAAAGGTATATCCTATATTCAGCATTAACAAAGTAGCAAGCACAGGATGTTGAATTCTTTGAGGTAGACTATGAGTATGTGACTGAGAAGTATCTTTTTTTCGATAGCTGGGTTTACAATGGAGCTCGCTTTTACTGAGTCTTACCCAACATACTGCGACCTAAGGTTCCATTGAGATGCAGTTGACGATCGCCAGGTTTTCACTATGGAGTTCCTACGAACCATGTCCACTCTTACTCGTGCCTGTTTGCTCTGACCTGAGCTCGATGCTTGTCGCGACTCCAATTTCATCCAATTATGCCCATCGTCCTCTGAGAGAACACTTCCTCCTCCCACTTGGCCTCATTCTTAATGAACTCTTCGGCGTCCTCGGGGAAAGTGTCATCCATCGTCTCAAGCGGGGTCTGGCTCTTCTTTCCACGTGACTTGGGAGTCACCTTCTTTCTGGAGGGGGTCGCATCGTCGGATCCTGAAGAAGCGGCCTTTCTCTTGTTGGGTGTTGCTGGGGTAGTCTGGCCTATACACTGTTAATGTCGTGGTGATGAGAGGTCGAAAGAGTATCAGTACTCACCACGCTTATTGACAGGTGTCACGGCTTGGAAGGTCTCGCCCTTTTCGGCACGGGCTTTCAATTCCTTTGCCTTGGCTGTGATCGTGCGGAATTGATGCTCGAAAGAGCTTGCAGTACGTGTGCCGTCAAGAGCCGACATCATCTCATACTGAGCCTTGGTGATGGTGGTACTGCCTAAGGCCATAAGGAGGACAGAGACGCAGTCGGCTGGGACCACCTTCTGGCCATCGAGAGTAGCAGCTTTGGGGGGCATATTGAAGACCTTGTAAGAAGTGTGGCCTTAAGAAATATGATGCTGTTGGGCGGTGCTCGCGTTGGCCACGTAAGATGAAACTGCACTTCAAGCTTCATCCTGCTACAAGAGAATGGAATTGAGAGCCAGAGGACGAGCTCAAATAGTCAGGCGCCTCACTGTTGCGCTTGCGTGGTGAGATCACTCGTTGTCAAAACAGGGCGGTGGTGACGGTGAGAATCTGTGGAGCCTCACCACTCACCTTCACATAGAAAATGTAGGCTCATGTCTGTCTGCGAACAAGATATAAACATCATGCTCTAAGTGCCTGAGACAATTGTACAGCTCAGCCTATCCGTACTTATAGTCATTGTGGTTGTGGCTTGCAACGTTGTGGGGAGATACTCAATGTACAATGGGTAGTGATAAGTACTGGATCAGTTCAAAGACTATAGAAGCTCATGCCACTGATCACCCTATCAGACGCTGAAAGCTTTCTCCTTTAATTGTATAGTTTCTAGCGGTGTTACCTTTCCCAGAAATTGCCCGTCCTTAGCCCAGTCGCCCATATCCATCAGCCTGTCTCTCTGGACCTCAAGTTCTCGGTTCATGACATCGCTGTTCGGATTGCCAATACTTCTTTTCAGCTCCTCTATCATTTCTTCTGCTTTGGCCTTCACGCTCTTTGTGAATGCATTAGTCGGTCCATGGCTCAGGTGCGCAACATCCAGTACCTGCTTCACCAGCATCATGGCGATGAGGCCCATGTTCACCCCTGGCGCACTCACGCCCTCTTCGGTGCTAGCTAGATATGCAGCCAGCATTGCCATCTGCCATATCTGGACTACCCGAACCGGGTGAAAAGGGACCGGATGCAACTTAGGAAGGATGTGCTTGTACCGCTTAGCGCATTGTGTCCATGCCTCTTGGTACTTCCCTACGGAGAGCAGGTGTACAATCAGATCGTCACGGACCGCGGCATACGGTTGACGGTAAACTGGGCAGAATCTCGACTCATAGCCTATCTTGAGAGTTTCCTGAAGCGCTTCGATAACAAGCTTTGAGTCAGCCATTCCTTGGAGCTGGGTATACAGTTCGAAAGCCTTCTCCTGGCTCCCGGCCATTGCTTCCATTTCGTCTTTGCCCAACACGAACCGAGGATTTGCTGGTACTAACCAGTTGTCTTCTTGGAGAGTAGCTTTCTTCTGGCATTTTGCACAGCGACAGGTGAAGAACCATCGTGATCGAAGTTCTTCTTGCCGCTTGTGGTAGGGGTTGGTAGCGTCAATGTAAGAGATGAAGATTTCTTTGTCTTTCCTGATAGGCCGTAGGGTACGAATGCTCACCTGCGGTCCGTCCATCATGATGTATGCATTGGGATCGCAGGAATGATTCATGTGGCAGAGCATAGGATCTATCATAATACCCAGAGGATCGAGTGTCGGTGTGATCAATGTAAGGGCATTCGACATGATCTAATACGAGTTAGCAAGAGCGCTTGTAGGTCTCGACGAGCAACTTACTCGGCCATACATCGCGGCAATAAAATCCTTGTCGAACATGTTTTGTGACAATGAGAACTGACCAGCACCCATTGCCATAAGTTCGATGTTCTCATAGGTTCCACTGCGCTTGAAATCATCGATGTGGGAAGGTAAGCGGCAAAGCAGCTCCCATTCTTCATCGGAGATGAGATTGTGCTTGCGTCTGATGAGTAGTTCCACGCACGCGAGGAAAGCTTTGGGGAGATGTCTACCAACCATGGGCTTCAGCGTTTTGCACTCATGCTTATGACCCCGATTCCACGCGTCTTTTTGGCACGCCTGATGCATCTTAGTTTTGTGTGCTGATCAAGCATCAGCTCGACATACCTTGCTGCAGTATTGAAATCTCTGGCATGCAGCACATTTGTTCACTTTCGCCCCTTCAGGTACATACAGCCTCGTTCCAGTCGATGAACCTTCAGTCCAGAGGTAACAATTCGCACAGGTGTCGAGTAGCCGTTCGGTCTCTAGTGAGCCAACAAGCGGGCGCTTGAAGTTGGCAATCTCTTCGCCGGCCCCGAATCTTTGGTTAGCGAAAACACCATTACCGATGCTTTCACCTTTGCTGTTTACGCAAACATTCGATTTGGAGATATAGTAAGGTGCTGGTGCTGCTACAGAAGACGCTGGCTCGGTTGACATGATGTGGATAAAAGGTCTTTGTTTGTTGGCACAATGAGGATGTTCAATTTAGACTCTCTCACGACGCGTATCGTGCGGCGTCATGATGTCTCAGACCAGTAGTTATCTCGCGTGAAAACGTGAGCTTCGTAGCTCACTAGCCCGCTTAGGCTTAGACCAACAAGCTCCCTTGCCCCTCCCTGCCCCTCGACTTTCCTGCGCATCTTCAGCATCGAGCCTAGGTCCATTGCACCAGATTCCTTATACGATCGCGTTCGTCACCAATTCTTGGATGCACAATACCGTGGAAAAGTCAATACAACACTACATAAATATCATCCCTATGATGTCAGATTGATGAAGCATGAATACTGTTAAACTTGCAAAACACCGGGTAACGGACTTTCGCTGCAGCGTGTCCTTACTGCACAACCCCTTTCGCAACAAGGAATCTCTTCCGAAGCATCAAAGTCAACATCATAGCGCCCAGCACAAGCACTGGTATGAGGAGATAGCGCGCTGCCTGGAGCTCTTTACAAAGAGAGTCTGCGAAGTTGTTCCCATTCTGTTTCGAAAACGCGCATGCCCAGGTCTCGACAGTAAGATATCCGGAATATGTACTAGTCTCGCTCTTGACGGCACGACCCCACTCAACGAAAGTAAAAATGAGTACTATGAGTGGACGACCGAGGATGAAGCTTGCGACGAACAAAAGGCCATTGAGATATGCGGCTTGTTTGTTAGTCTTTGCACCGTCAGCATGTTTCTGTAGACCGCTATCAAGTGACAGACATACTGAGCCTTGTTTCCAGGGAGTCAAACTCCATAATAGAATGAAGAGCAGCATATCGACTAGACCACCACATCCAGGCCAGAAAAGGAACGTCATGCCAGTCTTCTTAACACTAGATGGCAAGATACTATCAAGCTCATCTTTCAATGCTACTGCGTGTGCTGTAAGACCAAGGATGGCAATGCAGAGGCCGCCGATGAGCGCATTTAAAATGTGTATGAGAATATTGGTATTTGACATCGTGCAGCTTCTCGCTTCATGAGTAGAGAGGTGAAAGCCAACATCTTTTCACACGAGGAAAACTTGCAGCTTATGTGTCGTCTTCCATGTCAGCAAGAAAGCGTGCCTCCAGTTTCTCGATCTCTATAGCGGGGGCTGGCGTTCGCATCGGTAAGACTTTCGCATTCGCTTAAGCCTGTCGCCAAAATCTCGTTCGTCATCGTACATTGGCAACATTTCCCAGCCGATAGCATGGCATTCTTGATCGATGCACCAAATTTGCTGTCTAGACCTGTCGTGGATATCATAGCGTTTGCGGGTACCCAGGCCCCGCAGACATGACTGAAGCCTCACTGAAGCCGGGCGTTTATGCAGACGCTCCAAAACAAACTCTCTAGCCGACGTACTGTACTCTCCATACTGTACGACTGCGTATGTTTCTACAGCGAACACTGAAGAAGAAGTGGGGCTCTTCCTCAATTCCGTATCAAAACAAGCTTGTTTCGCTGACGAGACACCTAAGAACAAGAATAACGAGGAGTACCGCACTGAAGCGGCGAGCAGTTCATATACACACTTTACTATGAAACCGGGCAAGCATAGAGGAAAACTCTGAAAGTAGGTCATGGAGATAACTGCAATGAGAATACTCCAACTGATTGCTCACAAACTCGAAGGCATGCGGAGATCTAGACAACAAGCACGTCTTGAACAGGGGCTTAGCTTACTTAAAAGAACAGACAGGGTTGGGAATGCTCACAGAAACTTCTTCAAGGAGACACAGTACAACTTCTAAGTCAAATATATCCTGTTTCAGAGACTTCCACACAGAAGATAGGTGGATCGCCGGCGGCGACATCGTAGCCTTTTTTCACATGAAGGAAATTCAGTTCCGGAATGATGAGGTGAAAAGAAGATCCAGCTACAGTTCGTTCCACAAGCGATACTGCACCAACATACACTGACTGAAAAAAAGTGTGCGACGTAGCCATTCGCATACCGAACTGCTGAAAGGACGAAACACTACACTAAGGCCTTGAATACTGACTTGAGAGAGTGAGAAGATGCGATCGTGGTACGATGCGGGATTTAACGAAATGTTGTAAGTGCTATGAATGTGAGAGTCTCCGTGCTGGACCAACACAAGGTGGCACGGGCTTCATTAAGACGATTATGGAGCGACTAGAGGGCAGGCGGAGGTAGCAGGAAAGGACGGACGACATACGATGGGACCTCGAGCCTTGGCTCAAAACAACCAAAAGATCCACTCTTGTGTGTTCGAGAGCGGACCAACAGTTCTTCTCCGATGTATTAACATCACCTCCTCAGCACAGGACGCGTACAGACGAACACCAAACACGCTTCATGTTCTGGTACCGGTAAGAACTATTGATCGAATAAAGAATGACGGTGCTGAATATGATGGGAAACTTTCTGATTACTGCCATAGTGCCAAGATTGAACACGCGTCGACCCCGTGCTCAGTTCTGCTTTCGCGATCGATATCTATACACTGTTAGCCGTGTATGCAAATATAGAATGCCGGTTCCACTAATGCATATCCTATACGCTCTCCTCTTCCAAATATCCGAAAATGTTCCCACTCCAATCCATTTCCAGCACCAAGTTCGCGACGGGTCGCGTAATCTGTGTCACACCTTGTCACTCGTCCTTAAAGCTCGCATATACTTCGATCGTGAAACCATGTATAAAGTTCACATTGGGGTAGTGCTGTTAATCAAGAAGTATCTTTACCAGAGTATGGACAGTCGCTCTCTCTTTCGGAAATAACACGACGCTTGGTCATGGGTAACCTGGAGATGGTCGAATCTGCCCTGTCGATTAGGCTAGTGTCGCAAGGGGGTACTACGATACTCCACGATGATCTGGAGAAAGCTACTTTAGTGGGTGTACGTCGGCAATCAGCTTAGTGGCATCATGACTTATTCAGGCTGATGGAAGGAAGATTTCGAAAGGGGCGATACATGCCTTGTCACATGCGCAGCAGGTCAGCCGAGGGAGAAGATGCATTCCATAAGCGTGCTATGTGAGATCCGAATGTCGAGTAGATGTGCTGTGTATTATTGGATCGTGTTATATACCAGATGCGGGCTGACCTGCTCGGCGACTGTACCGAGTTGATTCACTGGATATTGACTGATCGCATCGAATTAAGTCAGCTAGGCGAATCACATTAGGCCTGTCAAATGTAAAGGTAAAAAGGCGTGCTCTCGCGATACTGCAAGGGAGTGGATCTAATCGTTAAGGTTTCGACGGACCTGGCGATCACGAGGCATATGCGCCAACTGTGGGGCCGAAGAACGGCGGCAGAAGCAATAAAGGGTTCGTAGGGGTCACTTAGTGAGGCCATGGCTTGCATGAAAAGCATGTGATGGACGCAAAACGTTGCATTATAGTACGCCCCATGATGTGATGTGAGAAGTCCCTGATGTCCAAGCTTCCAATGGACGCGCGATCCGCGCAGCTCCTTGACACCCCGATCGGAATGCGATCATAATGAGGATCAGCCCTACAAGAAAACAAACTAAGCACTACATTACCTAGAGGGCCATGTGGATTGACGTATCTATTAAGAAGCGGGTATGTAAGATTCGTGAAATGGGTATCTATGTTGAAGAAACTGGCGTCCAGAAATGCCGCCGTACATGAAGGTCGCCGAAGCGAGGAAAATGCTGGATATCGCTAATCGCAAAAGTTTGTACATAAGTTGGCGTATCAGGACGCGAGTGTCGGTGTGGCACTGGTCGATGATCGCTGGGGATCGCACGAAGCTACCCACTGGGAGTCAGTCAATGCGCAAGCTTTGCCCGCAAAGCCTATCCTCTGGACACAGCCTTCCCAAACATCGACAATCGACTTTTCTTGGGCTTACCTGCGGCCTCTCTCTCTTCCCCCCAAGGTGAGACATCATTTATCTGAAGGCGTCTGCCCAGACCTAGGCGTTCACGTGGAGACTCATACCAATGCTTGGAGAGCTCAGATGGTGCAATGGTAGAAGGTGCAATCGAATATGAATCATCGTCATCTTCATCGTCGCGATCTTGTCGAAGATCGTCGGTGCTAGCCAGTGAAGCTTCGTACAAGGTCGGCAGCGCTGGGGCTGATGGCGTCCTCCTATAGTGTGGCATGTGTGTAGAGCGTTGAACTGGTCGTGGGCCCCTAGTTGCCATCGGCCGACTGAAATTCTGAACTGGTCGTTGAGGGGCATAATGAGGGATTGACGATGCAGCCAGGGACGACTCGTATATAGTGGGCGGGTCACTTTGTCGGCGTTCGATGACAGGCTGGGGTTGGAAGAGAAAGTCATGTGAGTCAGGCACATGATCAGAATTGTCCTCAGTAGGTGACTGAACGGCATGTGCACCGCTTCCCCATGCACCTTGGCTGGGTCGGTCGTTGAGTTTTCTGAAGATGGTATCTGCAGTATCCATGACAACTGTATCCGTCGATGTCGTTGAAGAAGCAGGTGAATGCGGTCTGGAGTCTACCGATCCGTCCATGCTTGGACGGTCACTTGAAGTTGAGTCTGACAGTCGAACTGGCAGTTGTGAGGTATAATCGTACGTTGCGCCTGCGCTCTCAGATCTTGGGGGTAACGCGCCAGATGCAGCGGGGTCGTCAGGGAAGTAGTAAGACATCTCAGGGAGCGTGGTGGTAGATGGCGAGGATCCGAGTCCAGAAGCTTCGTCTCGCATGGCAAGATTCGACAAGGACATGGAGGCGACTGAGTTTGGTGGATTACGAGTCCCGTCGGTCATGACCGAAAATCTGGATTCGTTCCAGGGAGCATGTTTGAGAGGCGAGCCGAAGGAGCCCTTGGACGAAACGCTGCTTCTATTGTCCTTGGTTGATGCGCTTGATGTCGAGTAGCGGTTTTTGACGGACTCGGGGACACCGTCCCATTTCGAATTGACCTTGGGTACAGATGGCGGGAGCTTCTGGCCAACATAGTTGCTGCTGGCTCTGGACTGGGGTGTGGATGTTCCCGAGTTGGCGTTCTGCTTGCGCTGTTGTTCGGCGAATTGCTCCAAAGCAACTTGAGACGGCTCCTTTAGAGAAAGGAAGCCGAGCACGGAGCTGCCCTTTTTCTTCTTCTTCGATGACTTGGAGCCATTTGACGAAGAGTTGCTGGAGGATATGGAAGCCAGACTGGATGACGTCACGGAGGTAGTTTCGAAGGAAGGACGGGAGATGTTCGAAGGAGCGTTTGAATCCGGGGTCGCGGGAGGCTCTTGACTATATGCAGAGTGGGGCCCACTGTCTTGGGAAGTATCGGAGGCAATCGAAAGGCTGTCGGCCGGCAGCGGGTTTCTGTACTTCAGCTTGGGCATGCGCGCCAGCGGGGACTGTGCTGTTAAGTCTGCACTCGGAGCCATGGCTAAGGAAAGTGATTTCGGTCGCGTGGGCGTTTAGGGTTTAGCGGCCAGTCGGTGCCAGTTTGATCGTCGTTTGATTGGCAGGCTGTCGCTAAGGCGTGGCGCATGTCATGCAGGTAGAGGTAGGTAGTGGACGGTAGTCGAGGGTCGAGAAGTGAGGAATTTGAGTGGCATTGCGAGGGATAAAATGCAGCTGCAGAAGGGACGGTTTGATGACAGGACGGGACGGGTGGTGAGGTAAACGGGCGTGCTTGGATTGAGCTGGAAGTTCTGCAAGTAGAAGGCGCATTTGAGGGCTCGCAAGGCTAGGAAGAAGCAAGAGCGACTCACAGTGGTAGGACGCCGCCCTGCGCGGGTACGCTACACACATGGAGACTGATCCTGATGGCCATCCACGCGGCACTGTCTATCAGACCAACGCCATTGGCGGGCTGGAAATGGCGTTGTGGTGGATTTCATGGGTGGCTTCGCTCTCTCTCGCTGACCCTTGCAGGCGGTCGGCTGCGTGAATCTGCGAATATGCCGCCGGACGAGATAGACGCGTTTTGAGAGACAGAAATTGGCAATCTGACGGGCAGATCGCGAAAGCCGTTATATCGGTTCTGAGTCGGCAGCAGCTTCAGATGAGCGCACTGACGCTGCTGCGTCGTGCCGGTGCCGTGTTTAGCTTGTTACTTTGTCTCCTATGTCCCCAAGGGAGTTGGCATTCTGCTCGACCAAGACGCAGACCGAGTGGACATGACCGAGTCGTCTGCAGAGACTGCCGACAAGCGGCGCATCACGCAGTCGCTGTCTGAGCATGGCTCGCACGGCCAGAGAGCAGTGTAAGCGACGTCGGGGGCTAGAGTAGATTTGTGATTGTGGTATATACCATCCTGAAGCCGAAGTAGCATCCATGTTCGGGTACACATGTCTCCTAGACGAGATGGAACTCCTTCCGAGCTCTCCGTCCAGCCGACTGCCAGCCAAAGAAATTCTCGCCCGCAGCCGGCTCCGCACACTCTCCCCAACCAAATCGCGACGTGTCGATAACTGCGTGGGCGTTCCCGCGCGCGCAATCTCAAACGACACACATTCCCATCGCAAATCGCATCTGGCATGGACGGCCCAGGCACAAGTCTAGACAGCGCCTAACCGCCGCCACCTCGCGGCGAACCACGCCGGAGATTTACCACAGCAGCTCCTAGGCCTCTGCGCGGTCTGCCCTCGTACCTTCACCGCAGAGTGGTCGCCGATCGGTATCCTGCCACGACTCTCCGGCTTTGCGCCTGGAGACGTCTCCCTCTACGCCGCCATGCCAGCGCTCCTGGTCGACACGACGACGCGCCCAGTCTCGTCCAGCGACGCCTCGACCGCCTCGGAGCACTCTGGCAACCGCTCCAAGTCGCCCACTCCTGACCGCCCGCCCGTGTCACCTCTCACGCCCACAGCTTCTGCTGCCCAGCTAGCTCCTGTGGAGCGCACCGAACCCCGACCCCGCCCTGCCCCTCCGCCCACTGCCACCTTCAGACCGCAGCCGCCCTCTGTCGCCATATCCGAGACAGAGAACCCGGATGCCATCGCCCTGCGATCCGCCATATCGCTCCTGCAGCTGCAGCGCGAAAAGAGCAAGCGCGACCTCAAGGCCCTCGAAGAGCTCAAGGCAGCCGCTGTGTCTGACCCGCAAGCCTTCGTCAAGTCGCTGCAGGAACAGAGAGCCCAGGCCTCCCATTCCTACCAGGACATACTCACCCCAACGCTGTCGGGTCTGGCCGACTCGTCACGTAGCAATGACGAAGACACCAATAGCGCAGACATGCGCAAGGACTCAACGCATATGGACGCGAAGCCAGACCCACCCAAGTTCCCCGTGATACCACAGCCCCAGAACATCGTGCGATGCCCGCCCATCAATTGGGAAAAGTACCACATAGTCGGAGAACCACTGGACAAGATCCATGAAGAGCAGAAGAAGTGGCCAGCATCTGCCGAGCCTCCACGCACAAAGTCTGGCCAACGAGCACCCCCGCACTCAGTGACGGCCCCATACTCTCCCTTCACGGATGGCATCAGCGCTGCTTCATCGTCGGCAGCCCAACCGGCAAACCACTCCAAGAAGACGCCGTCATGAGGCTGGGTAGCACCGAGCCAAGTGACTTCGACTCAACACCAAAGCGCAACGCGCAACATCACATTACTACCACAACCGCTTATAACGATTCCACTCAAAAGTCTGAGAGCACAGGCTGCTCCGCTCACGAATGTAATGCACTTACGGTCATCATGATAGACGATGCCTCATGAATAGAAGACGGGAGCATAGCGACAGACCCGAATACAAACGATTTAGACAGTCAAGTCTTAGGTCTACCATGGTGCGTCTGCTCACGTAAATGTGCTTCTGTTGAATCCAGTTTCTATTTGTGTCACCCGTAGTCTTGTCGATTCGTACTCGCACGCGCACATTGCGGCTGTGCACCCCACATCCACGTGGCTGACACATTTGCAAGCGCTGCACTCTTGCCCACACCTTTGCAGTCAGTACAGGACGAATCATTTTGATACTTTTTCTTTTTCAGAGCCTTCCCTTGTCGACCAACCAAAAAAATTAGGCATTATTATGCTGCAGTCGTACCTGCTTGACCCCTGCGCGAGTGCTTCGCTTAGCGCTACGTTGCGTCATAGTTCCAGGGTCTGAACAACATACGCCCAGCAACACGTCAACATTGTGGTCAGTGTGCTGAATAGGCCCTGATTCGTATTTCCAAGACGTTGATCTCGAGGCTGAGGCCCTGTTGGTCAGGTTTGCTATTCGCTTGTTGCCATGGCTGGGCCCTAGTGAGTGACGTGTGGGTCTTTTGCGCGGTCGTCGCATTGCAAGTTTGTATTTGCGCGTCACGTATAAGTGGTTGGCTCTTTCTTTATCGTCTTTGACATAACTCACCATCCATCGCTTCCTGTCTTTTGTCTGCGTTTTAGCCCTTCGTTGCTCTTTGAATACAACGCCATTCACTAGTAGCATCTAAAACGATCGCGACCGTCCACACATCTACACCACAATCGCAAAGTCAATAACACCACGACGATGCGGTTTATCGCTATACTACCGGTGCTCTGCTGTACCGCCGCCCTCATACTATCATTCCTATGCCTATTCGCGGGTCACAAGAAGGGTTTCATGGAAGACTACTCTCTCCTCACACTTAACACTTCTGCTGTTGGGCAAAACCTCATCTCCTCTGCAACATCAGATTCCGATTCCACACTCTCGTCGATTATAAACCTCATCCCTGATTCCATCACCGATAGCGTCACAAACGAAATCAATGAACAGATTGATGAGCTCCGCGAGCGCATTGGTGTCGAAGACTGGTACTCGGCACACATGTTGAATTACTGTCAAGGACAGTATGAGCCTGGAGAAGTGGCAAATGCAACGCTGAGTCAGAGCGACATCAGCAAGAACGTTACCGAGTGCGCGAAGAGCAGGGCTACCTACAAGTTCGACCCTACCCAGATCATTCAGGATGCGCTCAACAGGACGGGTGTAGACATTACCCTACAAGACCTGCAATGGCCAGATGATATTCAAACGGGAATCGACACACTCAATGCGCTCATGGCGGCCATGTTCGTTCTCTACGTCATCGCAATCTGCCTTATCTTTATTACGCTCATTACTAGCGTTCTTGGAATCTTCATCGGAAATGGAAGACTCACTCCATGTGTCAACTTCCTTCTCGCCACACTTGCGTTCCTGGCCATTGGACTGGCGAGCGCGCTTGTCACTGCGGTTATGGTTAAGGGCACCGATATTGTCAATGATAAGGGCGGTGAGATAGGTCTCAATGCAAAGTACGGCGGCAAGTTTCTTGCCCTTACTTGGGCTGCTACCGCGCTTATGCTTATCGCCCTCCTTGGCTGGATTGCGAGCTTCTGCATCGGCGGAAAAGATCGTGAGTCGCGCCGTGCTCGCAAGCCCTACAAGGTGTAGAGGAAGTGGAGTTGGAAGTTGAAGATTGCATTGTGCGCTCCTGAACTTATTAAGTTGGTTGTGTCGCAATGGGGCGATACTTGGAGTACAGCGGTTTCCTCTTCTTCTCACGACCCCCACGAACGAGCTCATGTCTTTCCTTAAATTTGTCATATACCCCCAGATACCAGAATGTGTTTCATAAGGATCTAGCGATGAAGAAGATTGTATACCCATAGTTTGTTTGAATCAACGTACTCAATATAGGACATCAACTTTTCATGCTCGTGCACCTCGTCTTATCTCCTATGAAACACCAGCCTAATCAAATAATTCCTAGAAAGGCCACAGATGACTCCATCACCCCTTCCTGCCTATACCATCGATACTGAGTGAAAAGCACTTTGTCTTGTACAATACTTGTAAGAAGTACTTTTGTTCATTGTCAGTTAAGAGTGACAGAGGGATTCTCAGTGAAGGACATAATATCCTGCAGCACATGTTCTCTTCACGGTCTGTCGTCCACGACAAGCCGTGCTCATCCGCCTCCAGACACGCCTCCGCCCTGTCCATAGGGGATGTGCAGCACGTACTCGACACCTCACCATGCCCCCAGTCACGCTCCCACTATCACGGTATATAGCGATCCAACTTGGTTATGCATTGTGATCGCTCTTCTACAAACTCTATAATTGAGATACCACAACCTTGACCACCAGTCCAGATACCCCGTAGTACCCTGATTTCTTGACAAAACTCAAACAGGTACTAGTTCCGCGCTATTCAACGAATACCACACACAAATACAAAGGATGGTGCCGTGGCGACCTGTCCAACCGCGTCGTTGCCAAAGTATCCGCGGCACACTAGGTAGCCCGGATAGTTATCGTTATGATCGTGCTACGTGAATAATTCTCTCTCACCGTCTCACTTAGATAGCATACGTCGTTCTACATATCGCCTTTTTTTCGGTTATCACTGACAATAAGGATGAAGATACCACTACGGTCCAGAATTCGACTACAACGGCTACCGCGATGGTTGGGGTGTACGAGAACATATATATACGCATGCCGGCTCGGGAAGACAGGTCAGAAGGTACGATGCTGAGCCCGACGAAGATGATTATTATTACGGCAGCCGACGGGATACGAGGAGATGGAGAGATAGATTTCGGTGTTGGTAGACTACCTTTTTCGATAAGCACAAGCAATTAGTCAGAGAGACGCAAATGTGGTATGGAAACTTTCGTTTGTATTAAACGGGTATCTAAATTCGTCACCTTCATCAAGCGTGCTTGGTTTCCGACCAACACAACGCATGTTCCCGCACTGTTTGAACCAAATCAGATTTTCCATCATGCACCTTCGCGCTAGGTCACTTATGAGTGGTCTGTAGAGACGATCTGTCCGCCTCTGCAACGATGGGATAATGCTGGGCGGTCCCCGATTTGGCAACATATCCAAGTGTTGAGCAAATCGCGTACTTGTGTTCCTGCTACTCATCGCTGGCGGATGATTTCTAGTAGAGTCCGGTATCAGTGGTGGCCGAAATGGAGTTGAAGAGGAATAAAGCTTGCGCACCTGTGAGAAACTCCTCGCTGCAAATACAGTTAGCCGTGATTCTGAGAACATGTTCCAAGCCCTCAAGTTGGACCACTTACAAGCTCAGTGTGATATAACCATCGCGGTCCTCGTCATACTTCTTGAACACATCCGTCATCCTCTTCAGACTAATGCATGCTTGCACAAATAGATCGAAGCTCAGTGCATTGCGACCATCACGGTCGTAGGTGCGGTACAGAAGGGTGACGAATTGCTGGGAAAGGCGGTATCCAAAGGCAATGAGGGCCTCATTAAACTCGGCGTAGGATATGCTACCGCTGTGATCTTGATCGAAACGGTCGAAGAGGCTGCGCCAGGCAGAGAGGAAGCCCCATAGTCCACTGTGAGCGACGTTTTAGCTTTAAATTCTGATAAGAAAGAAAAGGGGGCAAGAGCAAGTACCAGAATTCATCAAAGTTGACAGATCCAGATCTGTTGGTGTCGAACATCCGAATCATCATACGGACAGTGTGTGGGTCGAAAGGTGTCCAATCTCCGTTGACGAGCGCAGTCCGCAGTTCAGCTTCTGTGAGCTCACCACTCTCTGCCGCATCCGTTAGCATGGTACATGGCCAAGCTCGTGGCTACAACATACTGTCCTTGTCGACGGCGCCGAACAATCTCCAGAGTGCCTCGCGGTCATTCGCATCCCTTGGCGGCGCAGGCGTGGGCGGCGGCCTCGACTGTTGCGCCAACTGCGGTCTTCCATGATATCCCTGTGGTGGTGGTCCATGGCCGTAGTTGGCGGGTGGAGGCGACCCAACTGCCATTCTGTTGTCCTGTCTCGAGTCGTACCGGCTGTCGTAGCGCGTGTCGCTGTATGCGCCTGGCGGGGGTCTGCTATCATATCCACCACCTCCTGCGCCGCGTCCCCCACCGCCGCCATAGCGCTCATCTGGACGGGTGTCGTATCTCTGGCCGCTGGGAACGGGCGGGGGAGGTTTGTTGTAGTCCGGACGCGCTGAACTTGTGCGCGGTGGGCGTGCGGCTGCAGGTGCGTTTTGCGACATCATGGCAGCAGCCTGGTCTTCGTCAGTCTTGCATGCGTGTCGACAATGTTTGAAAGCTATACCTGCTCAGGCTCTGCATGCATAGGCAGCCTGTCCGGGTTGAAGCCTTTGTTGTACGCCATGATGGGATCAAATTGTCGAGTGTTTGTGAGGTGGAAAGCGAATGTCGCAACGTGTCGGGGCTGATGATATATGAATGCGACACCAAGCTTCAGCTTCTCGGCGAGCGAAGGCAATCGTCAGGCGCGCAACTGACTCCAAAACACAGGGAGATGCTAGTAGCTTACGGCACAAAGTCTTTATGATCAGCCGAGTAAGATGCGGCTCCAACGATCAAAGCCCAACTTCGCCCTTCACAGCCCGGTTGCGGCTGATAGCAACGGCGAGCCCTTGGGCAAGGCGTATGCGCAGCGGGGCAGTCGGCTTGGCCCTATGACGCAGTAGGTCGTGCCCGGTCAACATCACAGGGAACGTCTACCACGATACGAATACGGGCAAATCAGTACGCAGCATACGCAAAACTTGAGCCTGCCCTTCTTGCCAACGTTTCGCTTCCCGAAGGTTCGGCCAGTTGCTGTCGAGTTTGCACGTCAATCACTCGCTGCAATGTCGAGTCACACAGAGCTTGTATAATGGGGTACCCCTGGTTGTTTATGTGGACTAAGCCAAGCCGTTCATTGGTATTATTTACAAAGAAGTACATATCTTGACTCTGATCGTTCGTCATGCCATAACCGGTATGCCCAACAAGGTCCATGTGCAACCGTCAAATTGTGAAAAGAGACAAAATAGTAGATGACAACAACGACAATCATCGTGGGTATCCAACGCCCCTGCACCCAAATTCTACAAAGCCTTCAAACAAAATAGCAAAAAGTATAGTATGCATCGAGCATCGCTTGTTGGTCCTCAGGAAGTAAAGACCGGAATAGAAGCACCAAGTATGGGGTACAAATACAGCATAGCCGTGGAAATAGGCCATGCGAGAAAGACTGTCGCTTCAAACAACTTTTCAAACTCCGCTGCACTGCTCAGGTTTTGACCCGCTTTTGGTTGCCGTCATCCGAGCCCTGATCAGACGTCTTGCGCTTGCGCTCCGCCGAATCGTCACGGGCGAAGCTGGGTCCATTCGGGGCTACGGGTGTCTGGAAAGTCAAAGGACTCGGCAGCATGTTGGAGTCGCGACCAAAACCCCACTCGGGGTAAAAGCTCGAGGGCGAGGGAAGGAGGCCATTCTCCACAAAGCGGCTGGGAAGTGCTGAGATTGGCGTCTCCATGTCGTTGCGGCTACCGTATGAGTTACTGTTAGATGGCGGCGGCGGACGAGCAAAGGGGTTGGGCGGGCCAGTTGCACCTGCACTGAGCAGCGAGTTCGCACTCGGTGACGGAGGAGGCAGGACTACGCCAGAGGAGTGCGACGCATCAGTGCTTCGTCCTGGGGTCGCACCAGTTGTGCCAGAGTCCTTTGGAGACGAGTCGGCCGTGGCACTTCCAGCATCCGAGTGTTCGCTCGGGATCTGCACCCTCAATCTTGGCTTGCTTTCACCACCCATGCGCAGACTGTTTGTTCGTGACGGAGGAGGGATCGTGGGCATTGAGGATGTAGACTGCGTTCGCTGCGGTGGTTGCTGAACAGGTAGCTGTGAAGGCTGTGCTTGAGGTTTTGGTTCCCCGTTCGGCTGCAGTCGTGACATGGCGGCTACATCAATTGATTGCGCACGGTTCTCTTGCTTGATATATGGCGCTTCGCTGCGAGACAGGTTTGAATTGCTACTGCTACCCCAATGCGCAGCGAGCATGGACTGGCTGTCGTCGATTGGTGTGAAGATGCTGTGTCTGGCGGACGCGTGTAGTGGCTTCGGCTGGGGGAGAGGGGGACTCTGAAAATCGTTCTGTTGCGTGGGGGACGGGACGGTAATCGTAGGCTGTTGCGGGAGTTCTTGCTGCGGCTGAGAGGCTTGCGGAGGTGGAGGGGGCGGGGACAGTCGCTGTTGCTGCTGCTGCTGCTGCTGCTGCTGTTGCTGCACTTGTTGCTGTGCCTGCTGTTGTGCCTGTGCCTGTGCTTGTGCTTGCTGTTCTTGTTGATGCTGGTGTTGCACTTGCTGCTGAAGATGGTGCTGCTGCTGTTGCTGCTGTTGCTGGAAAGTAGGCGGCATTGACTGCCGACGTTGCTGCTCTTGTTGCATGTACTGCACTTGAGGATGCGTAGGCATGGGATGTGTAAATTGGTACTGTGCGGCGGGTGGAGTAGGCTGAGGCTTGGGGGCCATTTGCTGGGCAGTTTGCGGGTTGTAGAAAGGCGGGTTCGGCATGTAGGCATAGCTGTTGGGCGGTGGAGGGGCTTGCGAAGGGTATGGCTGGGGCGGCGCGAGGTTCGAGCTCGGTCTGCGAATGTGGCCTACTCTCGAGTTGGGTCGCGATAGGTGGTGAGGAGGCTGGGGAGAAGGACCTCGCTGTTGGAAGGGGACGCCGTTGCCGATTGGCGGAGACATTGATGGCGCTCCTTGTCTCATGTGCTGGAACTGCGGGTGCTGCATGTGATGGGGCATCATCGAGTGCTCGGGCGGGGTGTGCGAGTCTCGGGGAAGGGCGCCCTCTTCATCGTCGTCGTCGTCATCGTCGCCATCTTTCTTGCCCATAAAGTCCTCTGGGCCCTTGTGCTCGTGTGCGCCGCCATACTGCGTGACCTGTCAGTGTCATGTACTTTAGCGCAACTCTCTGTCCAGGGTAGCAGGGGATGCATACGTATTGGTACCGGCCAATGGTCTCGTTGATGTCGCCGGAAGAGAATTCATAGAGCTTCTTGTTGTGGCCGAAGATGATGACGGCGACGTCTACTGAGCAAAGCACAGAGAGCTCGTGCGCCTTCTTGAAGAGACCGCCTTTGCGCTTGAGGAAGGTTCTATGGCGTGTTAGTGGCTGATCGCAATGTGTCTGGGGCAGCTGGCTTACACGGAGCGGTTCCGGTCGTCCTTGATGGCCTTGATCTCGATCTTTCTGCGACCCATGGTGGATGGCGATGCTAGACGTCAAAGCGCATGGAGCGACGGTGATGTCTCGAGGAACTGAAGAAGACAGTACTAGCTTGCGCGGCCGAGGCGTGATCACGAAGACGCTGAGCGTTTCAGCGCTTGCAGCAGGAAGAGGCGGGCGGCGAAAGTCGGCGCGGTGGATGGGCAATTCTTTTTCGCGACTCCAGGGCTATATGGCTGTGATGCGCGACACAAAGGTCGGTTGCTGCTCTCACAGTTTCTGTGAGGCTCTGAACGTGATGTGCAGAGGAAACCATGATGGAGTGGGTGGGCGCCCCTATATTTAGAAATCTGGCGTCTGCAAAGCCCAGGCCATCCGATCGCTAATATGCCCGGTTACGGGTTATTTGCTGGGGTTGGGTCCTGGTGCCACGTCCGCTGTCCCCTTGCAATTGGGTGTGCAATCTGTCTGTCAATCATCACAGGCATGCCTAACTCCATCGAGGCTGTTTACTCCACTTGCAACGCCCAGCTGAGTTATTTTAAGGACATATCAGAGCTGGGGTCCAGCGGCCTCACACAGGCAGAGCAGACCCTTGATGCGGTACAGTATGAGAATGAGACGACCAGCCATTTTACCGGCATCGCGCTACTCACGACCTCTTCACGGCAGTCCCTGTTGACTGCAGAGGGTACTCTCAGATTAGCAAGACCATCTTACCGGCTCTGCAGCATTCAGACGGGGGTCGCTCGCTATTCTTGCGTGCCATGTCTAGCGGGAACACATATCGGCGCTTGCAGACGTGATGACGAAAGTCATGGCCCTGAGGTCGACCGAAGGCGGAGGCATTCGGTGCTCCCTGTGTGTGCGGCATTGCACTTGCCGGTGCGCCATTTGCACCCTTTCCCGAGCAATGTTTTGCTAGCGACACATGGCGGAGCATTCGGTCAATCATTTCTCTCAAACCTTAGCTTCTTTTACTGCAAAGGCAGTCCCTGTGTGAAGCTGTGGCCTGCCAACCAGTCCTTCGCTGTCTGCAATCGCTGTCATCCATCATGGATAGCCGTCGAGAACGCCCCGCTTCCCCACCGGATGCGGGACGGCTCAAAGGTGTCCATCTTCACAGTCCCCGTCCATCTGTATGCAGTCATGTCCCCGGCAGACGATCCAAGAACATCCAAACAGATTGTTTCCAGTATCTACTTCCATGTCCTAAGGTTGAAGTTGGAATAAAACTCGCAGCACGCGGTTCCTAGCGCGACTACCTCCCATGTCCGAAACGCGGTATTTTTAGAAGGCCATGCCGCAAACCCACATCTACCACTGGCATGACGCACCTGCTACTGCACCTGATTGACTGATCGACCCAGCTTACCTCGACACACACGACCAACACTCCAGAATGTTACACATTGCTAAGCTGCTGTTCGTCTATTCTTTCCACTCGCATCATTGTTTCTTCCCGTTCTCATAATCTCACCCACCTAGCCGCCAGCTCCATATGTTCTCCCCACTTCACATTAGCTCGTGCTTCCCCATACGTACATTTCACGGCCAGGATGCTAGTGTATGTGATTGTTGACTTCACCTGCTGAAGCGAATGCGCCGCACCGAGCTGTCGGTTCTATCTCTCCACCACCAACCTTCACCATTCTAATTGAAGTATCACAGATACCGGCATCACTCAGCAACGCGTCACTCCATCAAAGAAAGGTGACGTTCACCGGAAAATAGGCGGCCCGGCGCGTCTAACTCTCTATCAGATGCAGGTACACGTTCGGCTGTTATTCTTAGTCTCACACGCACACCACCCGGCAGCCATTCCTTTGTTTCTGACCAGTACCTCGTATGTACCCTCCCAGAGGCCTGGCTGATGCAGGTACACAGATCTCGTGTTATTTTGGGCCGCACGCTGGCCCTCGTGCTTCCAATTTCTCCAACCGCCATGGCCTGTGGCCCCAATCCGAAACCTATGCCTCGCTGAAGAACGCGTGGTAAATGCAGGTACCCTGCTAGGACGTTATTCTTGGGCGATACCTCAGAACGACGTATGCCTACACGACCTTCATGATAGCCTACCGAATGCGATCTCCTGAGCATGTCAAGGAGGTCTTCATCTCATCTCAGTTTCAACAGATATCATTCTTGTCCAGATCTTCGGCCAATACGTTGAATTGATCGACGTAAGCGCTGAGGAGATTCGTGTACACAAATGGTAGGACCAATGGCAAATGCATCTCGATTGCAACAGGCTCTTCATCTTCGTCCACATCCTCACCTTCTAGATCATCCCCCTCTTCTCTCTCATTCGTTACTAGAGGAGCAAGCTCTTCCCTGATTTTCCTGGCGAGGCGGACATATGCGGCTTGCCCAAATGCAGGATCGGTTCTTCTTAAGAAACTGCAACTGTTCTTTCTCTGCTAACCATTCATATATCAGACACCCATCAAGTGCCTGCGTATCTACTTGTGTGTGGTAGTCATGCCTAAGAACACCTCGTAAGCCGTTGTGTAAAGTGACCCGCCATTCTTCTTCTGCTTCCTGAGATTCCGTTCGTACGGTGGATAGCCTTTGCACATGCTTTACAGTGGCACCATCAAGAGTGATAGGATCTTATTTGACCGTAAACACGAGCGATTGTATGAGATGGCCTGGATCCTAGCGAAGGAGCTCGCGCTCGACATGTTCAGCCCATTTATTGACAAAGGTATTCCAGGCTTCATCGTTACAGTAATCTCAGCGGTAGACGACAAACGCCCACTTGGGGCGGTCTCGAAGCTTATTAAGAATTCGGACGACAGTCCTTCGTGGCGCTCCCGGCATACCTTGGAATAGTTATGGGCATTAGCTTGGTGAATGGACGGGGCTCTGCCGTCAGATTGTAATGGCAGGTCAGGGCGTTCTGGAGAGTGGGTCAGCGAAATGTAATCTCCAAGTGCCTCGATGTGGTACAAAAGCGAGCTCTTCACATGACGCACGCTGCCTGGAGAGCATCATCTGGATCCATGCCATAGTTGCTTAGATCAAAGAACCCTCCCCCCTTGGTCTCATCATTTTCGTCTCATGCGTCGAGTAGAATCTCGAGGTCAGGTCCTAAAACCATAGACGCTGGTTAACATAGTTCATCCAAAATTGATGTCGGTCATCCCGACAACCATTATAATCCACGTAGGAACGATTCCTAGTTTCTTGAGTGTCGGCACAATGATATGGTTGTAGGTCGGATATGGATGGCAACGAGCTGAGGGATCGAAGATATTGCTGAGGAAGTCAACCAGAGAAACAGCTTATCCTGGCTCCTGCAAGAGGAATGGTCAATAGAGGTGAGTGGAATAGCGGTGACGTACCTACATCTCCACTGCCAACCATTCCACATCGTCAGCGCCTACGAAAAAATCGTCAGGGCACACTTATCAAGAGAGCGGCGATGGGACGGATGGTTAGAATACAACTCGACATGTTGGGTGTTTCGAGTCTATCCAGACGTCTTCTTACAGCGCCTATCCTAAGCAGTATAGTAATTAATCGAGCAGCTATCGCTTCGCCAGCCGAGCAGAAAGAGGACTGCATGGAAGATTTTCTGAGTGGAAGATGAGGTATAAAAGTATTCGCTTTCGAAGATTTTGATTAGCTATAAAATTCCGGAGAGGTTGCGCCTAAAGATGACACTACATACATTCGTTTACGTCTGCGGAAAGTACACTCTCTTCACTCCAAACTTCGGCACAACGGAAAGACATGTGACAAGAGGAAACAACAAAACCCTGTTATTGACCTAATCTGCATAGGTCGAGGTACCTTGTTGAGTGGGCTGAGAGACTACAGTTAGCAGTGGTTGAGCCTTTGAAGCCCCTACAATGATGTGTCATAGTGAAAAGGAACTTTTTCCTTGAGACAGCGACAGCAAACAAAGCACAGCGACATGATGCTTCAGTATATTTCGGTATTTGTTGGAAAGAAGAAGGTAGAAAAGAACTCAAGCCTTTTTGTGCTGGGTCAGATATCTCGAAAGCACCAGCCGCACATTTTCGAGTGCTGACAAGATGACACGATCAAAGTGACGGTGACGGGGCATGAGCAGAACAGGATCACAAGCTTGCGCACGTCTAAGCAATTGCACTACGCAAAACGTCTTGATTAAACATTCGAAAGTTCGCACCTCCTTCTCTAACATATAACATACTACGTGATCTTCGCGATGGTATATATTGTCGGTCATCGAACATACGTGACCGCATGACTGTGCATGTCCGCAAATATGTGTACCTAGACAACGATGTACATTCCTCCCGAGGTATCTCAGCAAAACGTAAAAAATCGAAAACTGATGCAGATTGAATGGAAAACAAGCCGATGTCAGACATAAGTGTATGGCGCTGACGGGTATTAAGTGTGAAAGCACAAATTATGCTGGTTGTCGTAGAAGAAAAAAACCAGAAAGTCGAATTCGGAAAGGGTATCGAGCTCTTTGTACGCTTGGAAAACAGATGGGGTATGTGATGCTAAAGGACGATCTGGGCAATTGTTAGCAGAACTCTGAGCAATAACGTAATGGGAGCCTTACAATGCGCATTCTACCACTGTCTTCCGCCAGCTCCTGCGCCCGGCTGACCATCAACATTGCCAGTGAGTTCAGCAACACGCGCCTTGATGCGAGCCACGCGGCTTTCGATGGTCTCCTCGCCACTCGTCTCGCCTTCGTCAGTCCGCTGGCTCTGGCTTTGACTTCGGCTACGGCGAACCTGTTCTTCACTCAGCCTCGCTGCGCGTTCGGCAGCGTTCTTCCTAATCTGTGCCCATCGATCTTGAGATGGTGATTGTTGCTTTGTGAACTCGACGGATTCTTCCGAGATGTCATCCGCATATTCTGGGGCACGCTGGGTCGGGGTTCTAGGGTTCGTCTGTTGCATCTGTCGACGAGGTACAGTTGGGGCAGCAGCGGCATCGTCATCACTCTCGTCGTCGGCAGGGGCAAAAGCAGGCATGTCTTCCATCGGGCCTTGGTCGAATCGTGAGAAGGCCTGGTCGATCTCTTGTTGTGTTGCTGGTCCACCAGCCACAGGACCGCCAGCTTGATTTGGCTCCACAATACCGGACGAAGCCGCAGGGCTAGGCTCGTGTTGTGGCGATGGCGCCCGTATAGGCTCGGGTTGATCATCAGTGTAGGTTGGCGATGGCTCTCGTACATTGGATTGGTGGTCGTCAAGTCGGGAGTTGCTCCGGAGGGCATCAGATGCTTGGAAGTATGAATCATCTGCAGGTGCTGTTGTAGCTACTGCTGCAGGCGTCTCAGTCTTCTTTCTCCCAAATAGCTTCCTAAAACCACCGCCTTCCTTCTTCTTCAACTTGTTTGGTGAGATCTTCTTCCCTGGTGCGGCTCCGTGATCCTCACTGACGCGGCTCTTGGGCTGGGGAGCCACAACTGGTTTCCGTTCGGGCACTGCCTTCCTCAAGGCAGGGTGCTGGTTCGGAGTCGTGCCTGACTGAACAGACTTCTCGTCCGAGATGGGTAGCGGCGTTGCGAAGGGCGTCTCCTCTATGGGAGTGGACTGGTCTTGCGCAACTGGAACAGGGAACGACTGCTGCTGAGGAGTCTGAGTGGGCGAGTCGTTTGGCCAAGGTACCGGAGTCACAGAAGCTTCCGTAGGCTTGGTATCAATACGAGCTGGTGAGCGTGACTCTCCTCTCTCGGACTTTGGTAGCGCGGGAAGATCGCGGTTGGACACCTCTGGAGGTAGTGGCGACGAGCGACCATTAGCAGATGCCATGAGATTGTTCTTTGAGCCTCTGCCGGCACTGACATCTCCCAGGTACTGGGCACGAAGTGCGTCCTTGTCAAGCGCGGCTTCGCCAAACTTCTTGTCCCACTGCATGGCCGGACCAGCCTCGTTCACCAGATGTGGTTGCAGCGTAAGCACACTGTTTGTTTTCACTGATGTGGTATCGTCGGTACGTCCTCGGCGTTGCGCAAATTCCTTTGCGTCCTTTTCGTCCCGCTCATTCTTAGCCAGCTTTGCTGCTGCAGCCTGTATCCTCGCGTGTTGATCCGGTCCAATACTGGTCTTGCTCATGGGTGTGTTGTTAGTTGTCCGGTTGTAGGGCTCTTTCGGGGTGGGCTTCTTGCCGGTCGACTTTCTGCGGCCAAGTCGTCCACGCCTTGTGAAGCTAAATTTGGACTTTTTCTCGGCGATGTAAGCACCTTCCTCAGGACCAGGAGATGCGCCTTTGACTTGCTCTTCCATGACTAGCCACTTTGCGCCTTGGATGCGTGTTTCAATCAACGTGCATCTTCCGAAGGCGGCTTTGCGATCAGTAGTCTCTTCGGAAGCCAGACTAATCATCCATACCCACCAGAAGGTCTCGTCGAGGTCGAACTTAGTTATGCTTGCCAACTCGCCAGGCTCAAGGTCATCTTCGTTAAGACCATTTCGCACATGTGACTGGGAGCTGTGTACACGGTTCTCTCCTAGAGGTGGGAGTTTCTGGTTGGGCATTAACAGAGTAGTCGGGGGAGATTGATTGTTCTCGTCGGCGAAGCCCGAGGACAAAAAGTCCGCCCACGAAGGCGTGGTAGGGCGACCCAAGTCGGTATTGTTGGAGTGAGGCCCCGATCGAAGACTGGAGAACTCTCGTGGGCTCCCTCCTACCGAGGCACCATTTGTACTGCTGGAGCTATCCATTATGCCTGAAAACCCAAAGTCTTCAAAGCGGGACCACGACGGGTCTGGTGTCGTTGGGTCTGTTGACACTGTCGACTGGTTGGCTGTTGCAATACATTTGAGTACTCTCTGGCACTCATCAGTCAGAGCCTTGACAGTGTCTTCGTAAGCGGAGAACTGTTGCAGCGCTCTGTCATCGTCGCGGTACTCGAAGTTCTTTGCGCGACGCAGTAAGGCGAACGGTGTAGGCGAAACGGAATCTACGATCATGACAACCTTGGTTGTGCGCGTTTGCATGAGGGTCGGCGTTTGCGGAGGGTATTCGGTCTGGGTAAGTAGCGCTTGGAGAGAACGAGGCAAAGCTGAGATGCCACCAACTACGTTCATATCTGGAGATAGCGATCGCAGGTAGGCGAAGAAGAGATGGCTGGCAGCATCCGCGGCCCTACAGTGAAGTCAGTATGTATTTCACATGTAATGGATGGTAATGCTTACTTCTCCCATGTGCGATAGCCACCATCGAAGCCCTTGCCGTCTTCGACGAACTCAAATGCCCACCATCCGGCTAAACGAGAGAGCTTCCTGCCACCCATACCGTTGCTCTTGCCCCTTGCTGCGACGGAGGACAACAGATCGAAGAAGTCAAATATGATGCGCTTGCGAGCTTCGGAGTCGACGCTGATTGGTATGAAGGTATCGAATGCGTGGCGGGCGAAGTTTGAATCTGTACATGACATCAGCAGCCATCAGGGGTATGTCCTTGGTGCCAGCTTACCAGACTCGCCGATTCGGAAGAGCTCATAAGCGTCCCAGGTGACGACGCCGCCGGGCAATCTGCTCCAGCACCATTTAATGATGCTGCAAAGCGTCTGTCTACGTCAGCGCATTGCTCGATGTGGGGGTGCAGCTTTGTCGGCCTACCAATGGCTCAGTGAGACGCAGTTCCTGCGCCAGCCCCTCGCCTGAGTATTGCCGCGTGTTCTCGTAGGCGGCCTTGAAGAAGTTGCGTATGAAGTTGCGGGAGGCGCTCGTGTCGGAGGTGGGGCGGAAAGGGAGAAGCATAAAGGGCATGTCCAGGGCTATTGGGAGTCAGCAACGACGATGCAAGTGCCAATTGAGCATTCCCACGTACCCCTCGACTTCATCTCCTGTGTGCAGACGTGGATGAGCTCCTGGATCTCGTCTGGAGCGACATCCTTTCGCGTCCACGACTCCTCCCAGCGAGGTTTTGGCGGCGCGACGGGCTCGGGGGCAGTCTTGGCGCCCTTTTGCTTGTCCTTTGAGTGGAAGACACTCTTGAAGAAAGGCATGTTGGCGTATGGCGGGGTGTCTGGCGGGCGTCCCGTGTGTAATCGCTACCACCTGTAGCGGGTGACGCAGTTGCGCTCTGAGGTGGATGCGCGACGCGGTGGTAGCGCGATGCAGGGACTGGTGCTATTCAATTGCTTTTTCTGCGAATATGCCTGTGGTGTTAGCAGTGTAGGTGTAAAAAGGCACTGCAAAGAGGTTCCAGGGCTCCGGCGGCCGAGAAGGTGAATTGCTGCTGGCGGGAAAGGAGGAGGGCGAGGCAGTTGCCCTCAGGCAGGGCTCCTTAGGGTTCAAGCGAAATAAGTTCCAATCGACGCCCGTCAATCGCCCATCCCTGCCCCCCGCCAAGCCCTCCCTTTACAGCTAGTCGTGGCTCTCCTCTGTGGCACCTGCAGGAGAAAGTGCCTCTGTTTCGTATCTTTGCTTTAGTCGCCAGCACATTGGGGCCCGGGACTCGAAAATCTACGCGGTCAACGGCTGCTTCTGGTGTGCGATTGGTGGGGCTGAATGATGTGTTGTCCCTCTTCGCGTCATCCACCGCGCATCGGACCATGTCATCGTTGACACCGCCTCATATCGCGACCAGTCGCCCTGCCCGCGCTGCTTCATCGCCAGCAGCCCCATCCCAGCGACAAACACCACAAAGCAACACCATACGACGCCTTGTGGGACAGACCCTGCGTAATGCGCCCGCTGCTGATCCGACTAGCTCCCGAACTCCAGGGCCGTTGTCTCGTACGCATGAACCTGACTCCACTGTAAATCTAATACTCATGATGCTATGACTGAGGCTGGAAAGAAGCACTGCACGAGCTGAGCCCGTTCCCGAGACGCAGATACCCGTCTTGTGGCCGCTGGTAGTCGAATGCATCACATTTCAAATGGCTCCTACTGCCATCTCCTGTTGCCATCTCCTGTCACATGTTAGAAGTTCGCTTCAACGTTGACAACAGTGTACAGTTTGTCTTGATACAACAGCAGTCCTACAGGAGCCATGATGTTTTCATGCTCACGTCAATAGCCGTCGTCTTATCGCGTGAATGCTTTTTGGTTCGCGGAGGGACGCGTGAGAGACGTGCGTAATTTCCTGCAAACCCCCACTGGCGGTACTTCGGCGTATCTTTGAAACGGCAGAACAAAGTCAACTTGCCTTCACTCCCACCCTCGTTCTGGCCAGACACCATAGTCCAACACTCGCAACCATGGGAGCTCGATAAACAAGAGCGCTGAAGCTGTATGGTTTTCCGGATTCATGCTTCATGCTGCCGTTTGCTTGTAAAGGTGAATCATCGGCAGTATTTCCATCGGAGGCACACTGTAAATTCAGATCGACAATTGTTGCACCGCGAAAGACACCGTCTCGACACTTCCTGATGCAGATGAATGCTCACATGGTGTCTTAGAAATTATGCATTTGCCAAGCGTACAAGCACGTGTTTTCGATCTGTTTTCGTGATCTGCGCTAGCAAAAGGGTCTAATTCCGTTCTGGCTTAGGTCCATAGCTCCCGAATTGCTGTCTCCCGTTGACATGTTGTCAGCTGTGCCCTGAGCGCACACCCAAAAGCAAGTCACAGTGACACCAATCAGCGCCATTGCTGCAGCCAGCCATTTCTCAAGTCGTCCTCGCACGTTCTGAGTAGTCTATTTTCATCCATCCCGCCCCCACTTGTGGGCTGTAAACAATTTCCGCCATGCCAGCCCAAACAACATGCCCAATACCCGAAGTCGACCGCGCACTGTCGTCATACATCAACAGCCGGGAAGACACATTGAGGATCCGACGAACGCTCTCGAAGTACCTCACATCAAGCCTGAGGCCTGTCAATGCAGCAACTCAGAACCAGCATCTGAATCATGAATGTCCGCAGAACCTCTCCGCAGCCAATACCAACCCTCCAGGCTTGAAGGACGTTCGTCTGGAATATTTGCAGGCTCTTCGGGCTAGATCGCAGGCGCAAGCCAGACATCGTGAACTCCAGGCATCGTTGGAAGATTTACGCAATCGTTATGTGGACGAGAACCCGACGCAGCCAGAGTCAGAATACGACAATGAGGTTACTCGAGGCTACGTCTCTTTATTGCGACAGCGCAGACGATTTGCAGAGCTTCAGGTCATTCAAGAGTCTCTAGACAAGCTTCTGACCGCAAAGCCTTTGACTGTTGCAGCTGACCCTAGGGCTTCCATCAAGAGCGCCATTGGTGAGCAACCAGATTTACCTGCCGAGAGGTTCGAGCAGCTAGCACAGGCTGAAGAAGACCAGACATGGGTCTTCAAGCTGAAGCAGGAGGTTCTTGAGGCGCGAACAGCTATGGAGCGTGCCCAAGCCGCAAGGAAGAAGGCCCAGGACGAGCTTCAGGTTGAGCCAAGCTTGCAGGTGCAAGTTCATGCACTCGAGCGAGCGAGAGATGAACTCGTCGACTGGGTTCAAGGAGAGCTGGCTAAGATGGAGGAAAACAGTGTCTTCCTCGAGGACGCCTCGCCCATCAAGCGCCCAGTGAACGCCGTAGCACCCGTCGATCTTGCATCAGCAGAATCGCAGATACGGGAATCATACAACAAGTACATTGAAGCTCGTGCTGGCTTACTTGAAGCTCATGCAAGCCTTCAGCAGCCATTGGACGTACAGACTGAGAACCAGAATGACGGTCAATCCATCCCCTCCGAAGACAGCAACGCCACAACGACGAAGCCTGTTCGACCGATTACCAAGCTCTTGCCCTGTCTCCCACACCTTGCAAAAATAGCCAATAATGAGCGATCTCTACTCCAGCAATCTGTATACCTCCAAAATCAGATGGCATCCGCAAACCAGGACATGGAGGAAGCGCTTCTCCGGCTCTCTGGCGAAAGCCATCTATTACCCGCTGGCTCCAAGGATGTAGCGATATGGGGAAAGATGGCGCGAGAAGCGGAGGCGGTTACGGAAGAATTTGTGAAAGAGCGCTTACAGGCTAGCCGGCAAGAAGTGGGAAGTGTGAGCACGATTGTGGAACTTTGCTCACTGCAGAGTCAGGTCCTGGAATCGGCTTAGAGAGCAAATGTGAAAATTACATCCACTGAAAGGCTGAAATCACAGTTGTTTGAAGGATGATTGGAGCGCTCTAAAGCCAAGTACTTCGCGCGAGTTGAGTCAGGATCCCTCTTTGCGCTTGTAGAGGTGAAGGGTACTGCGGCCTTTCGTGCCAGAATTGACGGGGGATGCACCATCAGTAAAATTGAGTTTGATAGAGCATTCTGTCGCGAAATATGGTATCTCTAGACTCCAACTCGTATCATTCGAGACGTTTTGCATGCGTTTGAAATTTGTTGATATTACCACGTTAATTTCAAAGTACCCGGACAGCAAGCTATGGAAGGTCATCTTGCAGACGGGTCAAAGACGTCTCACAGTAACCCTACATCCGCGACTGCCGAATTCACCTGATCACCCTACATGGACTTCAACGGTTCCCTACCGCAGTAAAGGACAGTACACATGGTAGGGCCTAGGCTTCTGAAGAAACGCTATGACGGGCTGTGACCCTCCATAGTTTAGTAGTGTAAACTCAGTTGAAACGACGCACTCAATTTTTCCCTTTTGCCGTCTCTCCCAGCCGAGATAATGACAAGATATTTGGATGTGCCATTAGCTACCAACACAGACACATACGATATAACTTGAGCGACCACTCAGTTCAGGACGAAACAACAATAGGAAAATTGGTTCAGCAATGGAAAGGCTGCTCAGAAGCAGCTTATCAACAGAATGTGATTGGATCTCGAATGGGCGCGTAGTTCCCGTTTTCTTGCTCACGCCATTATCCTTGTTTGAAGAAGGCACAATATTCGGGAAATCTACGCATCCAAAAAGCACTCCAACATAGGTAACCTCAGCTGAATACAGAAAGTGGTTCCAATATTGGTTTCTCATGACATGTTTGTTTGCCATTGTGTAGAGACGAGAACGAGTTTTGAACGAATCCCGTCAAGCAAATTCGAGTAGCGCAAGATATTCATGTGTGCTTTCATCTTGCGTATCTCGTCTGCTTGGCTCAATCTGGGTATGCATGATAGCAATTTAAGCGCACATCACCTGTGCAGCCACACTTGCCGAGAACACTATAAACGCCTCTAGCCTACATTAAACAAGTGATGCATGACCAGAGTGGCTTGTTGTATATATCTTCCTGATTACTACAATGTCGTCTATGATCGTTCGCAACGCAGCTTCCCATCTCAACTTGCCCAGAATGCATCTCCTTGTAACTCTTTCCATCCTCGCTACTACAGCGCAGGCTCATTGCAAGTTCACCATAGCCTGTTTGAAGGCGTTGAGCTAACAGTTGCAAGATCGCTTTCCCAAGCTCATTCTTAATGGCGTTACTGAGGCGGCGGAATGGACATCCATTCGGCAAACCAAGAACTACCAAACTAATTCGGGTGTTACCTCCGTTACTAGCCCTGATATGCGCTGCTTCCAGAATCGCCCTGGGACAGGTACTGCAACTGTGGCTGCCGGCGATACGTTAGGCTTCGTTGCCGCAGCTTCCATCTCGCACTTCGGACCGGTGCAATTCTACATGGCAAAAGTACCCGATAGTGCGGATATCAATACGTGGGAGGCAGCGGGGAACGTATGGTTCAAGGCAGCGAGTATGAGCGCAGTGGGGAGTCCGTTGACTAGTGGGGAGAGCACATGGCCCGCATATCGTCAGTTGATCCGCACGCGTTATCCTTTCCGCCCTGCATAACTGATGCTAGACCAGAGAAATCGCAAGTTGAGTTCCAGATTCCAAAGAACGTGCCGAGCGGCAAGTATCTTGTTCGTGTAGAGTCAATCGCACTCCACCAAGCTTCTTCGGTCGGTGGTGCGCAAATGTATCTTTCGTGCGCACAGGTAGAGGTTATTGGTGGTGGAAGTGGTAAGCCTGGACCTTTGGTAGCGTTTCCGGGTGCATATAACGCCAACGATCCTGGTCTGAGGTGGTCGTACTATCCGATCGCGACGAGTTATACTGCTCCGGGACCTGCTGTGTGGAATGGCAACTGAGCTGCTTTGGAGCTGGTAGAGATGACGGTCCGCGCTAGTTATGTCGATTCAGAAGCTGGAGGTATATCTGTTGCACCATCTCTTTCTTACGGAGTCCGTATTTTTTCAAGAACAAGCACCTAGCTGGCGTTCTTTCTGCTCGGTCCTACCGGGTTCATGCCATGGAATCTTCTCACACCAAGTACCGCTCCATTCTCAACTTCTCCGCCTCCTCTTTCTTATTGAGTACAAAGGCGACCTCAGACCCAGCAGCAACTACAACAGTTGCTACCATACCGATGCCAGCTCCGATAGCCGCGAAGCCCAGGATCGTGAAACAAGTGTATCCAGTGAAAATAGTCAAGTACATGACACGGAAGAAAAGCAAGAAGAGGTCGTCTGATCGGGGCTTCATCGCATCCAGCTGAGATGCATAGTCGATACTCTGGAGCAATCAAGATATGGTATCTGTAGACGTTGCTATTTTGATCGTCGCAAGGCTGGGTTTCCGCTTTCGGTCTTCGAATACGAGGTGATGTTTGACGCTGATCTTAGTTGGACAGCACGGCCATGAAATTGTGGAGATGCGGTTCCGCGCCAACCGAGCGATCGAGTGCGTGAAGGGAAGAGAAGGGCATAGTACCACAACAAGTGATTTGTAGATAATACAATCTGACAAGGTGAAGCGTAGTTCAAGCCACGTGAACTGGCGTTCAGCTTGCAGCGTTGGCCGCGTCAGCCTCTCGGCGATTGGCCCTTGACGTCGTGTCCTCATGCCAATACTGCACAGTTCAGCGTACCATCATACTACCTTTCTGTTTATAGCAACAGCTGTGCAGGCGAAGACTCGTGCAGGAGGGAACAGACATGACGGAGGCGCCCCTGAAGGTTTCTAGACCGACGACAGAAAGCAGGGAAACAATATTTGAAGCAATGCAAGAATATTTGGATATGACGTTATAAGGGTTCTGCATAACTGTGAGGGGATTTGACTGCTTAAGAATGACTTTTCAAAGTCGCAACCTTGAATGACTTTGCGGACACAAGCGCGTTCGCTGATGTAATCGCCCTACCAACCCGCTGGCAAGCCCCCACAGACCAGACGTGTGCATTGGGAGAGGATATCTGATTTGCCGCTATGGGATTCGGAGGGCAAGCAATCATGTCTCTGTACCAAGGACGTTGCCAATCGTACGAGGACGTAGTGATGGTGAACATGTCGGCACCTTGATATCGCGCATCTGCACGTGTTGACGCGTTTGTCTTGGCACGCGTTAAGCCGCTCAATCGCCACTGGTTCATCTGCACATTCTCAGGCACAAGAGCAGCGCAAACCTCACCAGTTATGCTCAAATAATTTCTCAATGTTCAGAAACCCTCGAGAAAACCAGTCCTTACCGGAAGAATCTCGATTGACCCCCTCCACCGGCCGGCCTCCCTCGCCACCCCGCTCGTCCTCAGCAGCAGGAATGGCTTCCAAGACGGCAACGAAGAAGGTCGCGCCAAAGCCAAACACGAAAGCCCTTCCACCGAAGAAGGCCATTGTGCAAACTACTCTCACACCAGCCGACTTTGCCAAGAAGTCGCCCGCTGGCAATGGCAAGAAGCAGAAGCCGGCAGGCACGCCAAATGGCAACATCATGGCCTTCTTCAAGAAGGCCGAGGAGATCAACAGCCGCATATTCTTGCAAGAACGGGGGTCAAATCCAACTATTGTGTTCGACGGCGACGAGGACGACGTGGGTTGGAGTGACGAGAAAAGCAATGGCGTCATGACTACCGACAACGATGAGGAGCGCTACAATGAGAATGGCGGGAGCGTCAAGAGGCGAAAAGTCAGCGAAGAGGCGGTAGCACTTGTGCCGGCCTGTTCGCCACCTCCACCCACTGATGTAGAAAGCAATACTCTGGACGCGTTGGCAGCTGATGTTCCCAAGCAGGCGTCAAAGCCGCGGAAGAAGTCTGGACCCTTCGTGGACGACTCAGAATCCGAAGACGACAATGTAGAAGTACCTGCAACAACTTCAGGTATGGCCATACGAGGACAAAATGACGATTCGCCAATTGCTAAACCAACCGAGGGTCGGTTACCCGCAGATAGTATTGAAGACCACATCCCCCGCGAACTCCCACCGCTGAAGTCCGAATCCACGTCTCAAAACGGCGACGAAGCGCTAGACGAATATGAAGATCTTGAAGACGACGATTTGCTCGAAGGCGAAGAATACGATGAGAGGCGATGGATGAAGGAACAACAGAAGCTGGAGATGGAGGAAGCAGGCTTTGAGGGCGATCCTGACGAATTCGACGCTCCGCCTCTGTTTCCAGAAAGCGGTACCTCCGAACCCAAACAGGAAGAGCCAAATGCCAAAGATATACCCTCATGTCCAATATGCGGCAACGATCTACCAGGCCTGTCAGAACAGGATGTATCTGTGCACGTCAACGCATGCTTAGATGGCAACCCAATCCCGTTGCCTGTAGCAAAGCCCAAAGAAGAGAACAGGCTGACTACAACGAGCAAAGCAAAGGCATTCAAAAGACCAGATAGGCCAGCCAAACCGGGTCAGGCAAACCCATTTCAACTTGCGAAGCCCAGCACCCAGCCAAGTTCGGCTTTCTCGAAACTTATGGCAGGCCACGCTGAAGACGCAGCATGGGCGTCCGCTGCGGCGGAGAACAACAAATCCCGCGGCAAGCCCGCATACCAACGCACCTGTCCATTTTACAAAATCATGCCAGGTTTCTTCATTGCTGTGGACGCATTTCGCTATGGGGCCGTCAAAGGTCAGAACGCGTACTTCCTCAGTCACTTCCACAGCGATCACTACATCGGACTTACTTCGTCATGGAAACACGGGCCGATATACTGCAGCAAAGTCACTGGCAACCTGGTACGCCAGCAGCTTCGGGTAGATCCCAAATGGGTAGTTGATCTGGACTTTGAAAAGAAGACAGAAGTGCCAGGAACTGAAGGGGTTCATGTCACGATGATCTCCGCAAACCATTGCCCGGGTAGTTCTTTGTTCCTGTTTGAGAAAGAGCTGAGCAAGGGCAAGAGCTCAAGACTACAGCGAGTCCTACACTGTGGAGACTTCCGTGCGTGTCAGGAACACATTGAACATCCACTATTGCGACCAGACGTTTTGGACGCTGTGAGTGGAAAGAACCGACAACAGAAGCTTGACGCCTGCTACCTCGATACCACCTACCTCAACCCCAAATATGCTTTCCCACCTCAGAAGCAAGTTATCCAGGCTTGCGCAGACATGTGCGTTAGCCTCAGCAAAAGCCGCGCGGACGACTCCGATGGATGGGAGAGAATGAAAAGAGAACGCGCGGGTCAAGGTATGGTTCAGTTCGTTCGAAAGGATGCCAGTATAGATAATGCGGGCGAACCTAAAAGTCCGGAACGAGGCCGACTCCTCGTTGTCGTGGGCACATACAGCATCGGGAAAGAGCGCATATGCACTGGCATTGCAAAGGCCCTAGGGAGCAAGATTTTTGCGCCTGCCAACAAACAACGCATTTGCAAGGCTCTCGAGGACCCCGAACTGGACGCACTGCTTACGACGGATCCTCGCGCAGCCCAAGTACACATGACTCCACTGTTCGAGATCCGAGCGGAGACTTTAGACGATTATCTGCGCGAATATGCTGACACGTTTTCGCGCGTTGTCGGTTTCAGACCCTCGGGTTGGAACTATCGCCCACCAAAGGGCCGCTTTACTGAATCGCCTCAAGTACAGACTGTACTGCATTCTGATAACTGGAAAAGTACTTTTGCTATGAAAGACCTCACGCCCCAAGCCGGCAGTGGAAGTCGGGCAAGCTGCTTCGGTGTGCCGTACAGTGAGCATAGCAGCTTCAGAGAGTTGACCATGTTTTGCTGCGCTTTGCATATCGACAAGATCATTCCAACGGTCAATGTGGGTAGCGCAAAGAGTAGAGAGAAGATGAAAGCTTGGTGCGATAGGTGGGCAGCAGACAAGAAAAAGAACGGGCTGTTCAAGCTAGGCGAGCACGGCCAGGGCTGGTCATAACGACACTCCATTGCCATAAGCGGAATTCAGTTTATAGAATTTGTTGTTCGCTAAATCTCACATCTGTCGTGGTATGGATGCCACTTCGCCCATCACGCGCGTCAGAAGAAGCCGCTACGAACTACTGCAGATGTGAAGATACAAAGTCAGTGTACGTCTCGTATGCATTTCGTACAGGCGCAACTTAACTACCAGCATTTTCAACTTCACTAGTTTTCCACTCATAACCAGTCATCGGGATCCGAGCGCTACTCGAAACATGGGAGCCAGTACTTCCCTAATCTGTTTTGGAACAGAAGCGGAAGCACTTTGAACATTTTCGCTGCCTGTCGAGCCAGGTACCGTGGAAATCCATCAAGGAGCGAGTACCTGTCCATTCATTCATCGTCAGACGATTCCCAATAGCACTCTGAACAGAGATGATGGAAGTCAAGAGTGCCTACGCTCGGATTGTGCATGAGTGCTCACTCTAGATTTTAGGTGGCGCGGAATACTGTGATACTTTTAGAACAAGTTGTGGTAGAATCCTGGGTGGGCAGGGTCTTGAATATAGCAGAGGAAAGATGAGATGAATGATTCTGCCCATGTGAGATGGATGACTGCGTCATGTACAGCAGTTAGATTGCTACATCCAAAGGAATGTGACTACAATCATACTGGTTGTACATGAGATGGAAGCCGGTGGGATCCAACGCAGGGGATTCAAGATAAAACGAAACGTGGCCAATATTACTGAAGCGGTGCAACGCAAAGACTGCGACATCACGCCAGAAAACTTACGCGGTTATACATCCTTCATGCGGAAAAAGTAACATTGAACACCTGAATACAATTCGGCCCTTAGTAAGCCTCATGCGGTAGCGCTGACCGTACGAGCTGTCGTCGCGTCCACCTCGACGGCCTTGACCACCAGCTCTTTCTCTTTCTTCAACTTCTCTTGTATAGCCTGGTAGTTCCGACTCATAGCATTTCTGGTAAACTCCTCTCCTGTTACCACTGGATACTTCTTCAGCGGACCTTGGATCTTAGCGTCTTTGCACGGTTGGTTGAAAAAGGCGATACTATAGCGCTCGCCATAATAGTCGTCGGGCTCACACGGAGCCTTAACGCGATGGAATGTGGATTTGAAGCGGTCGTCAGACCATGACATGAGCAAGTCACCGACGTTGCAGACTGTATGATGTGGTTAGAGTGCTCGTATTAAGTGTCGATACAATTAACATACCGATCGCGTTCTTCTCAGCGTCAGGCTCAACCTTTGTCCAAGCGTCTCCGTAGCCAAACGATGTCGAAACTTCCCGTCCTGGACATATCTCGAGGCCAGACTGCCCTGCCTTCTGGAACAGTAAGGTCAAAAAATCCCAGTCAGCATGCGCACCTGCTCTGTGATGCACTTCCCCAGTGGGATTCGGTAACCGCGGAGTTTCGAAATAGTGTAGTAATCGGCACACCGTCTGAGACTCTGGCCTTCTGACATCATGTGCTTTGATAAAATAGTCGTCCTCAAAACCCAATCCTCGCGCAAAGCACCTCATGAGGTTCTCGCTGACCGCTTGTACTTTGTGCATGAATGCCAGGGCCTCCGCCTGGAAGCCAGGCAAAGTCTCATCATCTAGCCATCGGCCTGATCATCAATCAGTATGGTTACACATATACCAAAGATGGAGAGAACTGGCTCACCGTTCATGCCTTCGCCAAATTGCATCTGATAAGATTCTTTGCGGTCGACTGCACCAGTCGATGGCCTGATTTGCGCGTTCTTCTCCCATCCAGCATTGTGCTGAGGGGAGAAAGGCACCTGAGACTTTACGGGATCAGGTTGGTTGAAGAAGCGTGCTGACTGGTCAAAGATCCCATCAACAGCATCGCGTGTTATGCCGTGGTCTACGATACAGAAGAATCCATGGTTCTCTGCAGCATCGAGAAGTTCCTGTGTAATCATGTTCATCCGAGAGTCGAAGTCGCGGAGGGAGATGGTCGGCACAGGGCGATCAATGTATTTCGTTGGTGCCATGATGAGATGTTGAAGATTCGGGTCGCTTGATGATGAGTCTGATGAGTCTGATGTACGAAACGAGTGTATCATATTGAGGGAAATCCATACCTGCTCTTATGTTCCGCCATTTTTGTGTAAATGCATATGGTGTCGCAGTAAGCCCCGAGGCGTACCAAAGCCGACGTGGCCAGCGCGGCCGCTCGAATCGGCCGTCATCGCCAGTGGCTTCATCGTAGTGCTGAGATAGGCGGCTGCTGTTTGTAAGACGGAATGGACGCGGCTGAACTGAAGTGGGGCAACTAAATTGGTGGGTTCCGCATTCTCGGCCGCACCCTGTTCCTTTCTGTTCCCTATCGCACTACATACCGACGACCAACTGACAGCCGGTGCCTCCTCTGGATGCTAGACACGTGGTTCTGGAACTCCGGTTCTCATGAGAACAAGGCGCCCTCGAGTGTAACAACTGACAGGCCGATACGGTCAACCTCACCATGGACGATAGTAACGCCTCGAAAGGGCCGCGACCCCGTTTGACATGTACAGAGTGCTATAGAAGGAAGATCAAATGCGACAAGCACGTACCTTGCAGTACGTGTACCCGAAGGTCAGCGCCTCCGTTCTCAAAACAACTCCGAGCTTTGGCAGTAAAGTGGGCTTGCAAGAGCGTATATTGGATCTTCACTGGGAGCTGGCAAACTGGCTTCTGAGTGCGGCTCTGCCATTCCAATTCATCTCATGCTAAGTAAAACAGGGGTTATGCAAGCTTTTGTACAAGAGAAGATATCACCGTGACATCCTCAGCGCCACCACCTGCATATCAAGCTCAGAGCGCGACAATAGGGTCTGACGACCTCGTGCGCGCACTACTCGACCGTGTAAGTCAGCTTGAAGCTAGACTACAGGAGCAATATAATATCGTCTCGAGCGAAACACCGCTACCACCTGCGCAACTGGCTGATAACCCAGCAAGTCCCGCAAATGATGAAGCGATTACTTTATCTACGGACAATAACATCACGTCACAATCTGTGGAAACTGGTGATGCAGCTACTGTGCTAGAATTTCTGGCATGGGGCCGTAAGAAGGATGCCGATTATGGAACTTCGCCAGAACATAACAGCGGGCCAAGACGACTGAGTGTCAGACACGAGGATGGAGCGACCACCTCAAATATCCCATGCGAAGCCAGCAGAGATGCACAGCTTGATGTACTCGAATCGCTTCTTCCCGACAAGACTCACATCATACAACTTGTGGAGTACCACAATACCTCCATCTTATGGTACCATGGCTCCTATTCTTCAGCGATGTTCGGAAGTGACCTGGACCTTTTTATGGGTGAATATGAAGGCAACGTTCGACATGAGGACCTGAATCTTCAATGGCTAGGTCTGCTGTTCGCCATCATGACTGGAAGTATTACATGTGCACCATCATCTATCTATCGGTCTTGGGGATTCTCATCGGAGGAGCGCATGGTCTTGTCTCAAAGGTGGTACGAAGCGACCGTGACATGCCTTGAAGTTGCGGGTTATATCGAGACTCATACGATATATTCTGTCCAAGCTATCGCGACTCTGACGATTGCGGCTCACATTCTAGGCAAGTCGAACAGCCAGTCAATACTGCTTGCATCAGCTGGTCGCATCGCTCAGAGCCTCGGTCTACACCGCCTTGGACCAGAGAACGCAGCTGGGGCTACTTCAAAGGAGCAGCTGCGTCAACGTGAGGCCGGTCGACGGGTATTCAATCAGCTTTGCACGCAAGATTGGTTCCAGATTCCGTTCTCTGAGTCATATTCATTGAACCCTCGCTTCTTCAAGACCTCGAAGCCTCTCAATTGCAACGATGAAGATATGGTACCCCTGCCGCTATCTACTCCAACCCAGGCGAGCTATTGTAACTATCGTTATGATATTGCGGCACTTATGCCGCAGCTATTGGATGCAATGACAGGCTGCAACACGCTTTTCACAAAGTATGAGCAGGTGCTGCGGTACGACGAGAAGATGCGCAAGCTTGCTACCGCATGTATGCCTACATTCCTCTCAAACAATGCGCCCGTAGCAACGGGCTGGCCTATTTATGTTGGATGGGCCAGACGCTCATTGGCTATATGTGCCTCGCACAAGATCATCATGGTGAGAGATTCCCTGTACGAACTGTATGTGACATGTACGCTGATTTCACACGCGCATCTTTTAGATACATCGAAAGTTCATTGGGCTCTCATTCTCGAACTCCGCATTCTCATTTACCCGCCGTACCTGCATAGCAGCATCCAAAACCATATTGAAAGAAGCATTATCTGGCAACGACCAGGGGCCGACGCTGTGGATTGAGCAAGCTTTCTCCGTCGCAGCGGGGATTATCCTCAGCCTCGATGCATTTCACCGGTCGGCCATTGAAAGGGAATTTGAGGAACACAAAAAACTTGTCGAAGACGCAATCAGCTACTTGAGGACGTTTGAAGACAGCAAGATAGCTTCACGTGGTGTGCAGTTGCTATCTGGCTTGCAGCGTGAACTCCAGGATGGGGGAAGCGTCAACTCCAGGAAGCGCCAACAGCCTGCAGAATTCGGCGAACTGGCTCCCTCGTCTAGCAAGAGAGCACGTACGTTTAACGTGGAAAGCTTTATCAACAACGTATCTAGAGACTTGCAAGTAACAACCCCCACTTCTTCGACCGCAGATGTCCCTGCAAACGTAGGAGATACTTCATGGAATTCCTTCATGAATTTGTTACCACTACAAACTGGATTCGGGGGACAAAGTCTGTTCGATGATCTGCTTTCATTCCAGTTCTAAGACTATGTATACTTTAACGACATATGATTCCGTGCACCCACACCGCTCCTTTTACGGATGTCTGCTACTGACGTCTTCGCTCTCTGTATGATCTTGCTCTCATCAACGTGCAACAGCTTGCCACTACTGACAAGTAACTGACCGTCTACGATGACTGTGTCGACGTTTGCGCCAGACGAATTGACGAGCACTGTGACTGGGTCCATGCCACCAGCATTTTGCTCGGCCGGATCCCACGGAGTACATGATGCGCCTTTCGGCTCCACAATGACAACATCGGCTTTCTTCCCAACTTCTAGGCTCCCAATCTCAGCTTCCAACCCTAGTGCTCTCGCGCCGTTAATCGTTGCAAACTCTAAGACATCGTATGCGCTCAGTACGCCAGCGTTTTGTCTAACACCACCATGTAGAATGGATGCTAAATGCATCTCGCGGAACATATCGTACGTGTTGTTGCATGGCGCTCCGTCGGTCCCTAACGCTACATTCACACCTTTCGCCACCATATCAGGTATCGGCGCCACACCAGATCCAAGCTTGAGATTGCTCGTCGGATTATGCGAAACTGTGCTCTTACTTTCAGACAAGATTTCGAAGTCTCCAGCTACTAGGTCTGGGTGAACACAGTGGGCAAAAACCGTCTTCGAGCCCGTCAGTTGCGCATCTCGGCAGAACTCAAAGGGACTGCATTGGTAATAGTCTCGATAGATGGTAAGATCTTTAGGCGCTTCGGCACAGTGCATAGTGAGGCCAATACCGTGTGCTCGTGCGGCTTCGCCTATTGCAGCATGAGCCGCCATTGGTGAGCCTCGAGGTGTACCTAAAGATCAGTGTATGAAGTCAGTGTTTGTTTCATATGCTCTTCAAAGAAAGACATCACCTACCGGCCGCAAACCACATGTGCAAACGGTCGTTCAAAGAGCCATGATACTTTTCGTATGCTGATGAAGCAGCAGCGACTGACATAGAGTCCACATCCCGATCTCTGGCATCTTTCATGTTAAGCTTCGGGTTTGACTCAGCGGCCTTGATCAGTTTACCCTGACATCTATGTTAGCTTTACATCATATATTTTGTACTGGGAAACTTGCCAGACACGCGCGAATACCACTTTCCTCCACCGCTCTGACGACGTTCTCGAGTCCGCTTCTATGTGTAAGCATAGCCTCCAGGAAACACGTCGTTCCCGTTTTCAACATTTCGGCAATAGTCAGCATCGAAGCCACATAGCCATCATCCTCGGCGTAATTCGCTTCCAAGGGCCAGATCGCATCGCATAGCCAGTTGTGTAATGGAAGATCTTCGGCGAGCCCACGTAGCAGTGATTGCGCGAGGTGTGCGTGGGTGTTAACGAGGCCTGGTATGATGATCCTGTTCTTGCACTCGATAATTTCGATGTCTCGGTCTTTGTTAGAGATTAGCTGGTCGACGAGGTCAACTGTCTTTCCAAGTGCCGCGATCCGGCCATGTTCGATGAGGATTGCACCATCCAGAATGACCTCCCGGCTCTTGTTGACCGTGATTATCGTCGCATGCGTAAAGAGACGCGAGGGTAACCTGTCCGCAGCTGTCATGATCATCTCGGCTGACCTATTTTCGATGAAGATATACAGGAGAGAAGCTGCTGTGATTGGGATTCGTAGCCAGACGTGTTAGTTCAGGCTGCTCCAAGGCCCTTACGCTAGCTCAATCTTGTCGATGGATCTCATCATGAGGGCAACTCTGCTAATTACTTCACACTGTGACTACCGTTAACGCTCACACAGCCGCGTCCTTTTAAGGCGTGCTTCATGACTGGAGTGATGGGGACCACCTCTGCCGATCTCCGCTTTCGCACCTTCGCTTGAGTGACATGGGACGGCCGACGCTAGTGATATCTTCACCCTTATCTAGCTCGCCTCCCCTGTCACACAGTGTACACCTCAGTGCATACGGACAATATCGTCGCAGTGTTATCGAAGTCTGAAGAACAGCCGGGCTCCGATGGGCTGGTTATCGCGGGGTTCTCGAGCGCAGGAACGCCTATCGTGGTAAAGGCTCTTTGCAGATCTAGAACGACGAGTCAACGACGGCCTAGAGGTTGCTATATAGCCATGCAGCTCCATAATGATATGAATTTACTACCGGCAGTGGATCACCGCACTGAGTGTCAGACCGGGTCAATCAGCAGTGGCCATGGCCCTCGAATCTAATGGCGAGATGGAGCCGAAGTCCAAATACGCAGAAGAAACGGGTCCATACTCCTCAGCAGCGAGCGAAGATATGGGCACAGTGACTGAGAAGTGGCAAGATACACTCGCAGAAATCAAATATGCTTTTACAACGAAGGATGGGTGGATTGGCGACTATGTATGCCGATTCTGTACCCTGAGCCTAACATTCAGCAACTGACAGCTTTAAGGATTATATTTACCTTATCACCCCAAACATTTGGCCACTCAACAGAAAGTACAAAGACTACCAGGCACCATTTTACGGAATGAATGACCGCGTTCCTGTTCTCTTGACCCTGCTTCTCGGCCTTCAACATGCCCTCACCATGATCGGATCCATCGTCTCTCCGCCACTCGCCATCGCTTCGGGAGCGTTCAACTTCGATCCGGCGATGACAACATACCTGGTGTCTACCGCCTTTATAACCACTGGCATCGCGACGGCGCTTCAAGTCACCCGCCTACACATCATGAAGACACCATTCTTTATCGGCACAGGACTCCTTAGTGTTGTAGGACCAACTTTCGATATCTTACCTATTGTCTTCAACTACGCCGCTCTACGATACAAATCCGGAACTTGTCCTGTTCTCGACGACGGAACTCAGGGGCCTTGCCCCGATGCCTGGGGTGCATGTCTGGGTACTATGCTATGTTGCGTCTGGATCCAGATAGCTCTGGCATTTGTGCCGCCCAAGATGCTCAACAAAGTCTTTCCTAAGCTCATTACTGGCTCCCTCCTCACTCTCATTGGAGTCTATCTTGTCGGTAACGGATTACAGAACTGGGGTGGCTCGTCAAACTGCCATGGCGGAGAGGGCTTCTATGCTCTATGTCCAGATATCACCGCACCACGGCCGCTCGTCTGGGGACATCCAAAGTTGATCGGCCTGGGTTTTAGCGTATTCGCTACTATCATTCTAGTTGAAGCCATCGGTGCGCCACTCATGCGTTCAGCTTCCGTAGTCATTGGATTAGCTGTAGGCTGTGCTATATCAGGCGTAACGGGGTACTGGTCAACAGAACAACTCACCCAAGCGCCTGGTGGCACTTTCCTCTGGGTACACACGTTCAAACTCTCCGTCGATGGCGCGCTGGTGCTGCCTATGATCATCATGTTCGCGTGTCAGGCTGTGTCTTGCATTCCCGATATCTTGGCCACTGCAGAGCTATCTGGTGTTGACATCGAAGGCACGGAATTCAACAGCAGGATACAAGGCGGTATTCTGTGCGATGGTCTAGGCAGCTTCTTCAGTGCGCTGGGTACGGGGCCGCCAATGGTCAGTCAGGCTGGTAATAACGGCGTCATTGTCCTGACTGGATGTGCATCTCGTCGTGCAGGATGGGCAGCAAGTGGATTCCTGATACTCATGGGAGTCGTCGCGAAGTTCGGTGCTGTCTTCGCTTCTATGCCGCCGTCTGTGCTAGGCGGTATGCAAGTCTTCCTCTACAGCACCATCGCTGTAGCTGGCATTCGTGTCCTCGCGCTCATCCCTTGGACCCGCCGCGATCGCTTCATACTTGCCGTTGCATTAGGAATCGGTTTTATGGATATCTGTCAGCCTGATTGGTTTGCGCAAGTCCTGGCATACGATGGGCCGAATGAGAATCTGGTTGGGTTCGAACAGGGTATAAACCTGGCTGTCGAGACACCCTTTGTCATTGCTGCAATCGTGGGCATATTTTTGAACGCCGTGCTGCCGAAGGATAAGAGCGCCTCGCGAACGGTGGGGTATGGGGATGAACAGAAACATCCAAGAATAGGAGTGCGTGATGATTAGTGAAGTCTTGTCGTTATGGAGTTTCTAAATACACCATCATAATATGACTTCTCTATAGGTCTTCCTATCTGGGATATCTCGGCGCAACTACCACTACGCAGCACCCAATATAGACTGCCCAGGATAATGTTCACATAGGCAAACGGTCACTCTTTACTTGAAGATTTACAAAGTCCGTCCGTAAACATCACGCCACCAGCCTCGCTCTACTTTCTTCTCCAACTGTTCCGCCACAACACTCACTCCAGTATCCGCCCAACACACCATCAGAATGTCACTGTCCACCTTAGATTCGGCCCTTTCCCGCTTCCTTGCCACACATCCAGCCCCACAACTGTCCATTGCAACGCGCATCTACACCGTGTAAGTTTCATAGTGCCTTCGCGTGGAAGTGGTATGTGGTTTCAACTTCGGCGCGCGGCAGAAATGCGGATACCTGAACACAGCACAGTGTGGGTAACGGCTTAGCCGAACATTTCTGTTGTTGTAAACGGAGAGGCTGGTCTGCGAAGATCAGCGGGCCAGGAAATCTCGGCTGGTTTGCCGAGTTACATCGGGGCGACCGGCTGGTGAACAGAAAGTGGAGAGTGGAGAGAATTGAAATGCGAGTTTTCTTGATGGTGGGTTTCTGATAGTCGATGAAGATGGCGATATTTACTTGGCGCATTAGGCATAGAAAATCCTACGAAAACAAGGCTGCACTGTACTGTAGGAGCATCGGACGACACCGAGACGAACACTACAGTACTCGTCAAACCGGTCCTTCTTTGCAACCAATTCTCCCGCTTCTTCTCCCGCTCCCCCTGCCCTCTTCATTCTCTTGACCCTGGTTCCGAACGTTGATCATCATGCATTACATGCGTACCAGACAACGTGTCAAGCGCGCGCAATCGTTTAGATCGGTGAGCGAACTCGTAACAGCCCACTTGGCTCCCTTCCTTCGCATGAGAGAAACATGACTCGCCAAACAAGTCGACGAGACAGCCGCCCTAGTCAGCCAAAGACGTTGGAAGTTGGTCATAGCACATGGATACCAGCTCCTGCTGGGTGGGTTCGTGTTGATGGGAACAAACGGACTGTGGGTAATTCGCTTGGGGAAGCATTACGATGAAACCAGGGGCCAGGGGTTATTCTACTGGGATTTTGGTGGTCGGCGACTGTCTGGCCGAGTTGAGGTTAGTTTGCTATCGTCGTTGCTGTTGTGGCTGATGGAAAGTGCCGTTAGAGTGATGTTTAGAGCATGCACACGCGGCAGAGAAAGTGTGAAAGAAGGTTTGAACGACTGCGACATGCAATAGACTGCAGGTTCACGTTACATGATTGCCCACTGGGCGTTGTGACATGATGCAGTAGCGTACGTTTTTTCCACGCTTTACCCCCCTTCTTCATCGCCCATGTCAGATCCCATAAATCTCTAGCGTCTTCTCCACATCACGAAAAGCGGTCCGTTCGAGCCAAGTATTGCAGGGGTGTATGGCTAGCGGACCGTGCGTCGACTTATTTTTTCACATGTCGAAAAGATCAGGGGACAAAAACGCTCGAGCATTTTTTACCTCGGGATCTTTCCAGGCTGGTGGGTGGGTGGGCGTGTGCCTCGATATTGGCCTGGAGCCGCGAAACCCGGTTTGAAGAGACCGTAAAATTTATTGCCTGTGATATTGAACATCCAGGTCAAAAGGGTCCCTGTTGCATTCGCGTACTAATGTCGTACGCATGGTGCGGTCCGGGTACCCAAACCGTGTCAAGATCAGCGTTGTCTCCCTCGTCAGCGTCGCATCGCATTGACTTGGTTGACGATCAGGAACAATAACTAGGCTACTTTTTACAAACGGTACGAGCTGCGGGTAGAGGGATGGAAGGTCGAGACGAACGTTGGTGATCCCCACGTGCGACATTGCGATTGGTGCTTTTGTTGTACCGGGCCGTTTGAACGTTCTGGCTTCGTTGAATTAGTAAAGCCGGGTGGCTGGGATGCGTGTGGATGCCTGGTGATCTTGAATGAAAGGCGTATGACGCGTGTATGTTAATGTGCGATCAATTTCTGTGTTAGCATAAGGTAATCTACGGTGTCGGACGGCTCCGGTGGAACTAAAGCAGATAGAATAGATTTAGTGGGGATAGCTGGTGCGCAAATGATGTAACTTGAAGAAGCCAGTATTGACACCTGGGGCTGTGTCTTGGAACAATGGGGCTCTGAACGTATGGTAGTACGATTGGGTAAACTTGAGTGATTGTTGAGGCTATCGCGTGTATGGCATACGAGAAGTGGGTACGATACCCCATACTCTCATGGATGAGGAAGGTCCGAGTATACATTGCGATAATGAAGGACCAGTTTGCTCGCCCAGAGTGTTGTTCCAGTGATAGCATTATGCTAGCTAGATATTGCTAGCGGCGCGTAATCGTCATTGCAGTCGTACTTGCGGATATCGCAAGATCAGTGTATTGTACAGGCGCGCTGGTGTTGGCAGCGCTTTTTGTGGGCTTCCATCTCAAAATGCTGGTGCAGTTGAACTGGTTTTCTAATGCCATCCGTTTTGTCTTCCAAACGGATCCATCTTCATCCACCAAATACAAGACTTGGACAGCAATTTCAATGCCGCAGAAGCGCAGCATGCTACCATCTTCGCCGTGGCATTATCTTGACGATAGAGTAAACATGGGCTTGCAAGTCCAGACTTTTCCACCCATTGAAGCTTCTCTGGAGTGCATAGCACAAACGATGTAATTTTGATCAAAGCTTGACGTCATCATTCAACGTGCACGTTTGTACATTGACTGGTCCGCCATGGAAGCGTTGTCGTCCCACCTGCGCTTCAACCCGTCCGGTATGGAACTGGCAACCGCTTCCTGCCACATCGTTGGGGTGACATATATAGGTGCAGCGTTTGCATAGGTCGACGAGGGTGGCATCTGACCTGCTGCCGCATGGACATGGCTGGACTGAGGTGACGTATTTGATATTTGGTACCCGGGTTGCATGCCCTCCTGTGCCGGCCGCATATCGTAATTGGTTCCTGGAGGATTGGGTCTTAGCGGCGGAGACGCCTGAGAGGAGGCGCTAGTAGGAGGGGGCGTACCAAAGGCTACATTCCACTGACTGTGTTGTATTAGCTTGGTGTCTGGCGAATGGATGGTACCTAAACTTACTCAAAGATGCGTTGGGGGTTCCATTGAACATTCTCCGGCATTTGTATGCTGGAAGCTGGCTGGGCCGCACGGTGACCAGATGCCATCATAACCAAAGACTGAGCTACGGGAGAGTCAGCCTTGGATCCGCGGTCGGATACCGAAATTGGTGGAGTAATGGGGTGTGCTAGGTAGTTGGCCTGACCTGGTTGTTCCAAGGGCGAGGGATGGCTCGGATGACGAGGTCGGTATGATCCCTGATGTCCCATAGGACTTGTCTGTGTAGTCACTTGGGGGCTCCCCAACGGGAATGATGGTTTCAGGTCAAAAGGTTTCGAACAGTCGGCCGAAAATGCTTGACGAAGGCTGTTCACTTGCTGCTGCATCTCAGGCATAGGAAACGAAGGGGAAACAGTTTCCAGGACGCGCATGTGGCGTACGAAAAAGCTTCTGGCATCGTGATTGATGTCAGGGTCAGGACATGTCACGGCAACCTACAGTTGTCAGTCTGGAATCTTACTGATCTTCATAAGTGACGTACCAGGTGAAGCATAGTGCAAGTCAACACAGCATAGATGTGAAAGCTTATGCCTCGCATCATGCACAGCAAACCGGGCATGCCGTATGTCTTCAAAATCGCCTCCTGGAGCTTACATAGATTCTTTGCAGCCGAATAGCAAGTGAGCATATGCTGCTTCCATATACCGTCATAAGACTCAGATACAGCATGCAACTGCGGACGAAAGTGCATGATGATGGCCAAACAATGGTAGCTGTGCATATTCGCCAGCTGATGAGAGGGAATCCAAGGAGCAGAACCATCCTGGGGGTAGACGATTTGCATGTCCTCAGGAAGCTCACGTAGCCAGAGAGAGAAGTCGGTGTTGTGTCCAACGAAAGCCGGATCCAGTGCCCAGTCCGGGTTCTTCTTCCTTAGTTTGCCGTAGATGAGGGCCGAGTGGTGGACGTTCTTGGCAATGCGGGCGTATTGAACGAACTGACGCGCAACCTGAAGCTCAGAAGGATCTTGTCCTGCGATGTGCCTTGGCATCTCCAAATCTACCGTGTCAGTAGTAACACCAAAGTCGTAGCGCCCTGAAGAGATTAGCATTTCGAAGCTTACTGCTTTCTAGGCGACCTACCTTGGGGACCTCCGATCATGACCTCGAAGATCAAGCACATCTGCCATACCCTGGTCTTAGCAACACAGTCGTGCGTCGTGGATCCACATGATTTCCCCATCTGATGAGTGTCGTAGTGTTCATGTAGTTCGAGATCCTTCGCCATGGCTACGAGGCTGACAGTGGCCATCCATGAACGCCAGAAGTAACCTCGCTTTGGTGAAGCTTCACGGGCTTTCAGCAACAATATCATTGCCTGCATCGTACTTAGCCGTGATACGTCTTTGAAGCTCTCTTCATGCTCTACATGTTGTTAGCAAGAATGCTTTATCAATCATTGATACTACTGACTCGTGGCAAGGGCTAGCCATTTGTTACCCTCCTCTGTATCGCCCAGCATTAAGGTGGCGCAAGCGAAGATGGACTCTAGCATGAGTGGAGAAATGGAATCAGGTGCGCTGTGCCATTGCTGGAAGAAATAGGCCTTATTGATGACCGGACAATATGGGTGGATGTTGGTGAAGAAGTAGTCAAAGTAATGCATAGCCCGATCATCATCGGGCATCATTTCTGGGGGTATGCGAACCGTATGGTCCAAGCTTACGGATGCAGGCAGTTGTACTTCGTACTCCTCCTGTGCAGGTGTCTCGGCCAAGGCCTTCTTCATGTTAGTGATGTACGGAGCTATGCTAGTCAGCGCGATGTCATTTTACTGAGATGTCATAAGACTCACCAATGGCCGTGTGGTCTATTTTGAGTTCGCCCAAAGCCTCGGAGAGGCTTGATACGGAATCACTTCGCCAATGGGGTTCAGATTCTGGCGGGGTCAAAATTGCAGGCGGAGCAGCTGACTGCTGTGAGTAGCCATGTTGCGGAGCATAGCTCATGGTTTGCTGAATGACCTGAGGCTGGGACATCGCCTGGTAGTGACATGATTCCGGCGCCTGTTGATCCACATAAGGTGAAGGTTGGTACATGCCCTGGGTGGTAGGCATGGAAGGCGGCATCTGGTGAGACATGCCCTGCGACATGGACGGATGGCGTTGATAGTCATGCTGGGAAGACGGATCCGAGGCATACTCCAAGGGCTTGGGCTCCAAATCGAAGGTCTGCGAGCCATTGTAATCTTTGTCATAGCTGACTGTGGGCGGCACGCAGTTGAGTTTTAGACGGATGCAAGCAGCGCAAGGCCATGCGTTCGTCGTCGCTGCATCGCATTTGATCTTGCGTCTACGACATCCTTCGCATGCTCTCATTACTGCTCAACGTTAGCATTTGCATGTCAACCAGATTTCATGCTATCACACCTTTCAAGCGTTTGTGTCTATTGTGTTCGTCTACGAATACATAATCTAACGTCATGTCAGTCACCTTTTCCCCACCGCGCGGAGCGGTGTATGGACTTACTGCGCTGGTTCTCACGCGGCGCCAGCGTGGGCGGCGCAAAGGTGAAGCTCTGCATTTGCGCCGTTTGTGGCAGCAGTGGCCGTCCAGTGGTCTCCGGGGGCATAACGTTAATAGGTACAACGAGCCGGTCCGGAGTGACAGCGCAAGGCCTGGCGCAGTGGTTGCAAGCAGCGGGGTTGTCGGCTATCCACTAAGTCGATGAGGTTGTGTGCGGTGGTCGGTGAGCAGCCAATAGTAGCGGCGCGCGATGACGGTCCAGAATGTCCAGAGGGCCGGCGGACGGAAGAAATCGCGGAAAGGCCAGAACTAAACACAAAGAATGCGAAATCGAGAATAGATGCACTGCAGAATCCTGTAGCGCAAGGGAAATCTCCGCGACGCCGCGGCGTCGTTAGGTTATACGGCAGATCAGGGCAGAAGGCGCATAGGGATGGTAGGTGGAGACGATGTCTGGCATGCCGGGGTTTCGAAGACGCACTGGCAGCCGGCTCGCAGCGTGGCTCACGCGCACAATAGTGGCGTCGCAGTGTATGGATCTCCTGAGAGTCGAGAGTATTGTGGTCCTAGGCGGTTCACCGTGTATGAAGGGGTCGATAGGCGGGCGAGGGGTAGACGATATGCGACTTAAGCGTGCAGGATCCAGGAGCCGCACTGCTGCACAAGTAGCGCCTTTGGTATGGGCGCCCAAGCTGCACGCGCGTGAGCGCAAGCGTCCGCTTCCAAGATGCTGCGGGCACAGGGAACTGCCGTGCTGTGGGGGTGTGAGGCAATGGGACGCAGGGATTGTCGTGCCCGTTAGAGATGGCCTGAATCGTAACACGTAGAACGACGGGTAGTGTGGACCTTTGAAGGCTGCCATGGGCCGGGAACGATTGCTATAAAATCAGCGGGGGCAAAGTCTGACAGCTGAAAAGGCCGTCGTACACGGCGCCGCTCTCACTCAGCACATTCCAAGGCAAGTAAAACCCTTCAGCGGACCGCGTACGCAATCTGTCGCGAGGTTTTGGTGGCGGGTGCATTTGCTGGATTGCCCAGAAAAAGAAGATCAAATGTGACCAGTAGACTGCAGAAGCCCGGTCCTGCCCGTGATAGGGCTGGACGATTTCGAAAACCTTGCGCGTGCATTTAGTCGGTTCATAGTCGTACCTAGTTTCTCATCTCGCACAGCCTTAGGTGCCTGAATGTTTGAGACATGGTCTGGCAGTGTACCGCAATGACAGGTGGGCCTTCTAGAAAGTGATCTCCGAATGCTAGCTTCGATGACGAATGTTATGCTTTAGCCGACATATAATACAACAGGTGTACGACTATAGCAGACTAGATAGGGGTACGAACATTCGTCTGGTAGGACGCTGCACGACTTTCAGGGAGACCAAAGCGAAACAAGTCTTGTCCACATAGTTGCGGCAATGACTTGGCTCGACACGGTGTGAGGATAGGCGTCCACTACTCGACGTCGCGTGTCGGCCTCGGTAATGTGCCGCCGTCTTCATCGGTGGCATCTCCATGGCCTCAGACTCGACGTTCACTCAAGAGGCTTTGGACGGGTTGGGCATACGCGATCCCGTCATATGCCGCAGAGCCTACGGTAGAACCGGTGTGTGTCGTTGAGCTCGACACGTCGGCGAATTGATTCGTACGGAAGCTTGGTAGGGCCATCTGCATGCAAGGTTCTAACGGCAGACGCATCACCATCAGCGTAGCCTGCATGAAACAATATTACTCCAGATGGCTACTCTCTGTTGGGCTAAGATGATTTTTGGACATGTAGTCTGCACAGACAGACGGCATGGTACTGCATGAACCGAATACGAGTATTGCGGCCGTGAAGCGAAACATAGCTGGTAGAAGTTGGAGAAGGCTTCGATCCGATGCATGGATCGTGTTCTCGTCCGCCACGGGCGATTGCATGACATGAAGAACGACCGAAGATTGCATGGAAAGCTAAGGTTAGGGTCGAAAGTCCCTTTCCTTAGGCACTCTCTTCTAATCTGTCAACCATACTGCCGGGTCGCGCTCGCTCTTGCGCGGCAGGCGAAAAGGCTGTGCAGCTGAACAGCTTAGTTTGCCCGACAGGCAGGTGGCATGATGCTGGCTGCGATGGCAGAGGCAAATAGCAGCCAGGTCACTTCTGCTAGCTTCGATCACGCAGAGACGTGACGGGCGTTGCCAAGTCGCATCTTGATGGAGCGAGACGGGATGGTTCGATGACTGACAGGTGCTGGCGCCAGGCTACCGTCGACACATGGAAGGTCGATAGAAGCGCAGTGTTTTCCGTGGCGTCCGGGCAAGATAACGCGAATACTGACCTCATCTTGCGCTGATCACTGCCGTTGATCTCCCTGCAGCTCAGGAACACGGCAATCAAAGCAGGGACAATCCAGCAGCACGGTTGGTCGTGCACCGGATGAGGCAGCACATCCGTTCTGAAGGCAGTACAGTGCGGGAGGAGCCGACAGATGTTGTTTGTACCACAGCACGACAGTGAGTTGTAGAGCAACACGGTCGTCTCAAAAGCCTCGATAACATGATCAACATGCCTGTGCAAAGCGCGAAGAGTCGTCGAGCTGGTCGATCAGCCGGAAGCGTCGGCTGCCGATGAAGCCCAAGCACACTCGCCAGCCGCGATGCTTCTCACCTTCTAGATGCGCACTGGAGGTTGGCCGAGACTGGCCGAGGGAGACGGCAAGATGGGCGCAGGAGTTGACGAACTGCATACCCCGGCGCCGTGATCGAATGACACGATGCTGCTCGGCATCTGCAGACACTAGTCAAACACGGGTACCCTGTGGTGTGAACGGTGCACCCCACACCCAAGTGTCCCCTGTGTGTCGCGGATAATCTGCGGGAAATTATTATATTACAGAGCAATTGGTAAGGCATCCAGGAATCCCTATGCGGCGCCGGCGGCCATGGCCGGGCGAAGTGTGTGGGAGAGGGTGGTGAGGGTGAAGGACCAATAGCGGGTGACTGGTTCCGACTGTCTGGCTGGCTGGCACATGCTAGATGACGAACACCGAGGAGGGGCTGCGGGTGGTCCGGGCGCACCTTCCTCGCAGATTTGCTGGAGAGGCAAGAGCCCACGACGGCTCCTTCCCTCAGCCACCACTACACCAAGACGACGCATCCCCTGCAAACCACGGCAATGGAGCTCGACAAGGACAACGCCAACCCAACCATCTTGAATCCCTCGGATCTGCCCTCCCGACGCAGCGAGTCGACGGTCAAGAGGCGCGATGACGGCGGGACCGGCCTGTTTGATGATTTGATACCGCGCTACAACTACCTCAGCGACCCCTTCGACGACTCTGTGTCGGCAAGCGCATCTGATAGTGACGACGCACGTGAGGACATCGATGAGCAGGAAATCTACGGTGGGCGCGCATGGTGGCTCTCTATCAAATTAACTTTGGCTGACCCCGCGCATGACAGACCTCATTTCCACCATCTGCGACCCTGAACACCCGTTGTCCCTCGGCTCGCTGTCTGTCGTCAACCTGCCCGACATTCACATTCTGCCGCCCTCTTCACCGCTTTCCAACATCAGCACCGTCGTCGTCGAAATCACCCCGACCATCACCCATTGCTCCCTGGCCACCGTCATCGGCCTAGGTGTCCGCGTCCGCCTCGAGCACGCCCTACCCCCACGCTTTCGCGTCGATGTCCGCATAAAAAAGGGCACCCACAGCACTGATGAGCAGGTCAATAAGCAGCTCGGAGACAAGGAGAGGGTCGCCGCTGCCCTCGAGAATGGTACGCTGATGGGCGTGTTGAAGAAGATGCTCTCCACGTGCGAGTAGATTCCATGTCGCTCTGTTCCCCAACAACACTCACCAAGCCGCCATCTTGGTTCGGAATCAACGGCGTGCCCGAGATCGTCATCTCCGCCGTATCCATAATACGGCAACATTGCGTACCATGGCAGCATCTCCCAGCGGATATACCTCCATGTTCGGATCCGATCATAGCTCGCCAGACTAGGGAATGCCTCGGTTTGTCACAATATTGATCCTGTCCGGCAATATGTAAAACGCTCATGCAGGAGGCGCGTGCCCAACCCCCTGCGTCGATCATTAGTGTCCTGTTGGATATAGCATGTTCCTGCAGGCTAATGTCGTACACAAAGTCAGATCTGACCTCACCACAAGGACTTCGCCCACAGAGAGCCTGTTGCCGCTATTCGTGTATGTGAAAATAAGTTTCGATGGCGTACTTGGCTAGAATGGCGGCGGCTGATAAGTCTTGGGCTCATCACAAGATCCGGTTGATTTAGCCGCGCGCACACCGCAACGTGTGATGGGCGAGAAGACTATTAGGCCGAGTAGCATTAGGAGCAGATGTGGTATGAACATCTTCGGAAGTGTCAGAAACTGCGCATGCAGCTTTGGGGTCACTCAATAGCCATCCTTTCGTTGTTCAACTATGCCGGCTTCATGTTTTTGCACTTGTTTCCTTCTGCAAGTGACGCATTCCCTTTTACAATCGCATGTTGCAGAGATGACGAAGCATCCGTGCAGCCTGGAGCATACGTCGATACCCGTCTGCTTCCTCAACTGAACGCTCAGATCGACCGACCTTGGCCAGAACCTTCTCTCGTTTTGAATGTGATGCCGGATGACTGTTTGTGAGAGCTATCACGAGCTCATGTTCTGGTGCAGGGCATGTAGCATGCCGACTTGGGGAAGTTACTCATAGTATGAAAGAAGCAGCAACCTACTTACACCAACCGACAAGCGAAAGAAGATCCGCCTAGCACGCAGCCACGTTCTAACGCAGGATTGTTTTTATACCCACCTTTAAATCTCATAGTCTCTGAATCTTAGACAGCATTAACACCCAGCAACCATGTCACAAGCTAGTACTGTATCCCACGTAGAAACGGGTCTCTGCGTTGCAGCCTCTTTGTTGGTTGTTTCTTCCGTTCTCAGAAAACTAGACACGTCCATAGAAGTTGTGATAACGTTGTTTATCTCCAAAGTTTCCATCATCGCCGTCTTGACGCTGTCGCTACTTCAGAGGCGCAAAACAAATCGCGCAATCGGAGAGCAGATATGGTCGAGGAGGTAAGTCACAAGCTTGAAAAGAGTGAATGCATCTGCACAAAAATTCGGAGCAAAAGAGCGATTAGAACAAACGCGCAATCACGTACTTAGCTCCCTCTACTTGGCACTTGTATACTCAAACTGACGGAATATAATCGAATAAGCAAACACACGAGCCTCCACTTAAACAGATTCTCACCCGCCCAATTTCCTTGTCAGATTAAACATCCACAATCTCTCAACGTCATGGCGCTACCCTTGGGTCAAACTGCATGGATCGTGCTACCATGCATCCTCCTCTCTCTCTTCGCGGCCCGCTTCCTCCTCGAAGAATTCGCATCACCAGACGAACGCGGTCTTATCATACTCGCTAAAGCAGCACTCGTCTTCTTCATTACACTTGTTCTCACCACCAGAGCAGCGAACTTGCTGTTCCATCCCGCTCCGTCACCAACACAACCACCAACTAGGAATGTTCTGCGTAAGAAACGAAAGATTTCCCCAGCAATCGAGGAAGACGTACGTTCCTGGCGTGAAACCAACCCTCCGAAGCTACGTTGGAGCTCTGACTCATCAGATGAGGTAAAAGAGGAAGTGAAGCGCCGAAGGAAAGAGAAGAAGAAGAATAAGACTGGCAGAAAGAAGAAGGAGAGCGATACTGACAAGTCTCTGAGAAGGAGCTTGTTCGAGATGTTCAAGCCGAAAAGATACGAGATGCTTGGAATAAGAAGGGAGACGGTTGAGGAAGTCGTATGGGAAGATCCATTGCTTTAGATGTGAATGAGGAAGGACAAATGAATGACGAGTAATTATGACTACAGAAGGCTGATTACGAGTATAATTTCTCGAGTAGCCCCTTTCTATGGCTTCCTTGCGCAAGCTGTTCCCTTTCACATATTTTAGATTTGCCATTGGCAGACATAAAGGTAGCAGCAAACCCTGAAAGCTTAGCGAACGTGCGACGGAGCGCGACTGTCTAATTAGTCAGTCCGAGTTAATAACTCACAGCCAATGTTTACATACTTCTGTAGACTCCCAAGACCAGTTAACAAATCCTCAATCTCCTCACCCTGTTCCAGTCTTCCACTGACAGCCCCTCCTTTTTCCCTCATACAAGCCCTGAGCCTAATCCCCGACATCGCCCTATAGTATCAACCTCCGCCTCTAGGATCTCGAGAATTTCCCTTTCGAGAGCAGTATTGACTGCCATACCTATAGAAGGGTAGACACCTCCATCTGTAGCCGGCCTTTCCGTTGAAATACCGATTGCGTTGTGTGCGAATATACTCTGTTTTACGTCCGTAATTGTGCTGTTCCTGTTCTTGTTTTTATTCTGCTCGGCCGTGGGTGTGTTGTAGTATCCTGCTTCTCCCTCCTTGATCCGTATCTCAATCGGCTTGAACCATCGGAAGTAAACAATCGCCCATATGAAGAAGCCGAGGATGCCGCAGCCGCCCAGACCGCAGATCAGGCCGATAGTGGTAGGGGAGAGGGATGTGGCGATTCCAGGCGTCGGCGTGTTTGTGTGTTTTTCGATAGGACCGGTGTCAGTGTGAGCCGCTGCTGGTCGGACAATGTTTGCCATGGTTGCTGGGGATATCGTCACGACTTTAAAAGCAGCTGTAGACACGTAGTATTTGATTCCGAAGGTGCTTGTTGTGGCTGCGAGAGCGAGTGCCGGTGTCTAGGGATGGACGAAGTCTCAGAGATGAATAGTTACCAAACGTTTGTGGGCTGAAATTGGAGTACGCAAAAGTGAGAGTGAAGGCGACCTGTACGACCTTTCTCAATGTGAAGAATTTGCAATGCATCTAACATAGTCCTGTGTAGATGGGTATAGATAGATACCACGCTTGTGATGAATTAGTAAAACCGAGGGACATCACAACCACCTCAGAGACGGGGTTGACGTTGATGGCAGATCCTTGATTAGTCTGACGGGGCGACTTTAACGCTGTGGTATCAGGAAAGAAGTAAGGTAGGTAGGGCAAACAGATGGAGAATAGAAGTAGAGATTGCAGAAGAGGAACAAGCCAAGCAGTGGTCTCACCTCACTCTTCGTATGGGTATATTCTTTTCGCCTTGCTTGCAGGCGCATACTGCGTTCCTAAAGCCTTACTAATCGCTATTCTCTCAACGTCCAGCTCTTGTGCTTGGCCGCAAACTGTGATATGCCCTTGATCATCACATCACGTTGCATGCGCACATGCTCATCGTGCCTGCCTCGCACAGCCACCAGGAACGGTAGTCTTTTCATGCGTTATCCTAATTTCTTATGCCCCCGCCATCTCATTTTGCTTTGTTCTTCGCTGCCTCGGCCTCTCTCCTCGTCGCGTCCTCAAGCAGAGCGGTGTCCACAGCACCGGAGGGAAGGTGCACGTATCTTACGACGGAGCCGCGAATGAACATGTCTTTTGTCGAGCACTGTCACCAAATCAGCCTCAGTTGCTTCTTACAACGCCCGAAGCCTTGTCCGAGATATGCTACCTCGTCCTGAGCAGGGGAGAATCGCAATGTCCAAAACATACCAGATGCGGCCACCTCAGCTCATCCACAGCCTCGGCATTGTCTAGCTTGATGTTCAGGTATTGGTCCACGCTCTTGAGTGTGCCGCGGATCTGGACTTCGTTCTTGAGTTCGACGGTGATTTCGTGCTCGACGAGCGTTTTGAAGAAGCTATTGCGCTGCTGTTAGCACATGTGTGATGCTGGGCGTGGAATGGAAACGGACCTGAAGAAGAGCATTGTCTGGGTATAGAACACAAGCCTGTGGTAGGAGATGGCGTGTGTAGCTGGACTCGAGTTGTGTGGAGTATTGGACGCGGCTCTGGGTGTATATGGCAGAGTGACGAGGTTATGCGCAGCGCATGGACCGCGTGGGGTTCGCGCCGGCGCGAGCGAGGCTGATCTGCCGCCTCACCCCTCTGACCTCAGCACCACCATTATGTTTGATGCATAGAGACAATCAGACACTACAAGACGTGGTTCAAATATTTCCGACACTATCTTCGATTATTTACAAAAGAAATTCGCTATGTGGTATCAACCTAGTCCAGGCAAGTCCAGCCTATCCAACCCAATCTATCCTACGCCATCGTAACCACATCACATCATATCCTCTCCTCTCCATCACTTCCTCGCCCAGCCGTTCAATGTTCGCCATCCAGTATGGCCTTGTGCGCCCTCTTCCAGCACGTTGACAACACCTTCCAGTAGCTTCTCCTCATCCTTGCCCATCTCCATTTGCAACCTAAGCAACCACCTTTCCCATGCCCAGCTTCCTACTACACCCGTCAACATTGCCGCATCCATCGTAGTACCAAACACTGGTGCATCCTCGAGCTCAATTTCGCCGTCTTCTGTGATGCGACGCTCTTGATGCTTTGGCTCGGCGCCAACAGCAAGTGTGTCGCGCCAGTTTGCTGCCGTCTTGCCCATGGGAAGAAGCACCCACGCTCTTTGTACGTCCCTGAAGCCCGCTTTTGAGATGCGCGGGAGGAACGTCTTGGTGGGCTGCGCATCGTAGCCGCGTGTCTTGAGGTTGAAGCCGAACTCGACACTCATGGCTTGAGCATTGCGGCCGGCATGGACAACATCGGCATCCATGAGGCTGAAGTCAAGGATGCCACCAGGCTTGAGACAGCGGTAGCACTCCTTCAAGCACAGGTCGTATTCGTCTGATGACTTGCCGACGGGTTTGCTTGTCTTGAGAAGCTCGTATAGTGTACGCGCCGAGACGACATCGAAGTGACCAGAAGGGAAGGGGAGAGTCCACAGGTTAGGAACAGTGAGGTGCTTGTGGTTGTCTGGACCCTTGACGTTGGAAGACTTGTTGTTGCCAGCGGTGTAGACGGTAATCACCTTGGCGTAGGGGTAATCGTATGCAACATCCCATGCCCAATCATTGGTAGCAATACCACCAACATCGAGGACGCGCGGAGCGCTAGCGCGAGTGATGCATCGAACTGCAGGCTTGCTGAGGAGTTTGCCACCGTTGAGTTGCTTCTGGGCTTGTAAAACCCAATGAATAGGCAGCATCTGGTCGAGCGCTTGACGCTCCATCTGTGCACGTGCAATCCTCTCCTTTAAAACAGTCGGATCGTTGACGAAGAACTCAGAAACAGGACGCGGAGGCGCTGGGCGATCTGGCTGACAAAGCTCAAACTTGCCCAGGAGCTGATCGCGATGCGCCAAAGGACTGCAACGGCGTTGTACGTGCATGGCCTCAGCACGAGTCTGGCGGTGGATAAAAGTATCCTTCTTTTGGCACCGGGAACGAAGATACTCAAGGCCTTGGACGTAAGTGACGATAGGCTCATCAGTTGACTCCTTCACCGGAGACTTAGCAGGCTCATCCGCAAACTTGACCGACTTCTTGACCACGGCTTTCTCAACTGAGTTGCCGCGGCTGTGCGCGCCACTTGAGAGACTAGGAGAGCTCATGTCATTCATGTCTCTAAGAGCAGCCTGCAACTCGTCTTGTTCCTCTAACCACCGGCCAGTCATCTCAAGGTTAGCAGTACCTCCGGCATTATAGTTCTCATCGTATTGAAAAATCGTCTTGCTGGGGTTGATCTCTTTGATCTCAACGTTCTCATCTGTCGGGCTACTGAGAAGTACTGGGCGTGATGTCGACAAGGGCTCATCGAAACCGTCAAGAGTGGATCCGGCAAGGGTCGAGTTTCGCGGCGGAAGAGCTGGTACAGCTGGCACAGGGTGCGGAGAAGTGTTCCTTCGGCTCTCCTTCTCCCATGGAAGGTTGTAAAACCTCTCGGCAGTAGAGGTGTTCGGGATTGACTCTTGTCGCTTGGGAATACTCCAGGTGTGACGAGCGGTTGATTGAAGCGACGAGAAGAAACCACCGGGAGAAGGGACTGAGAGAGCGGAAATTGGTGTGCTACCAGAGGATCCATTTCCGAATATTGTTGACGGAATGCTCAAGCCAAGACTTGGTCGGGGTACTTCTTGCATCTCGCCTCTGGACTCAACCGGATGAGGCTGTTGTTGCTCAGGTTCCTGGTATTGCTCTGTCGATGGTGAATTGCCTAGGTGCTGAAGGGTCTCCATGGCCTGCAAGTCAAGTTGCACAGGGCCCCATGAGTCGGTACTGGAGATGGATCCACGTCTGCGTTGCGAGATTGGAGTGGCAGGGCAGCTGAGTTTATCCATCTCTTCTGATGTGAGGCTACCATCCAAAGAGGGGGCAGCTGAGTGCGCAGGAACATGAAGATTGTGCGAGTCGATCATGTCAAGGAAGCGACGAGAGGGGGTCAGAACCAGCGATGGAGTAACGGGCATCGCCGAGTTTGCACTCTTCAACTTCTCAATGGTCGGCCATGCGGATGGCGAAGGGATAACGATCGATGGGTAGCGTCTCTGCCTTGGCTGGGTCGCGAGCTTCTTGACCGACGCGGATGCATGAAGAGGTACCTCAGCCTCGTCATCGGTAATGTCGTAGAGGGAGTCGAAGTCGCTGTCAGCACGACTCGCCCGATTTACTGGGGGATATGTAGCCGAGTGAACAGGAAAGCGTGGCGATGGCTGCGGGGTCATATCGAATAAGCGTGCCTTGGGTGTAGGGAAGTCGTCAATACTAGAAGGCGATACAGCACTGGGCAGGTATGTCGAAGAGGTCGAATATCTTGGCTCGAAGTAGTAGGAGGATATTGTGGACTCGTCTTCGGGGGCATTAAGTGACTGTCTCTGGTCCAGCGGAGACAAGCCATGATGAGAGTTGGCCATTGTGCCAAGGCTCGCAGGATGGTATACTGCGGGCTCAAGCATCTCTGGCATGATGGTATATTGCGGTGACGTGAGCACCGCCGCGTGCTAGTATTACTAAAGATACCTTTGAAAATCCGAGTAGGCGGGAATGCGGCGAGGGTGGTAGGGATCCAAATACAGAAGTACAGGGAGCCGAATAGAAGCGATATTAAGATGAGCAAGAGCCCAAAACTGCGCTGGTCAACAGCTTACTGGTAAAAATGGAATTGCTTCGATCAACGAAGACTTAGCGGAAGAAGGGACTCGGAGAAGGGCTAGAAGTGAATGGCAGAAGGAGAATAGATGCGGCGCGAGCGCGATGGTCAGAGGATATATCATGCGTAGACGCCTACTCGTCGAGTGCCTCTGTGCTAGCGTTACTGTGGCATTCGTCCGAGCTACACTGCCAGTTGGCTGTCCACTCGCATAGAGAGCCGAGTCTAGGTGGAGAGGCGGTAGCGGCTCAAGGACGGCCACGACATGGCGAAGACGACGGACATGTCATGATTGGCCAACGCAAGTTTATGGCCAGCAAGGCCTCTACCCTGCGCTAGAAACTTTGGGCTAGAGAAACGTTGCGCTGCATGGCGTGGTTGGGTGTTTGGTATGTAAGCGCCGGGCTGTGCTATTTGCAGTGCTCGCGTTCTGCATGCGTGGCCAATGACAAGACGCAGCGGCGTTGTACTGCATACTCGCCCAATAGTGCCTCGTCGAAATCGATTTTTGTTGCGGGGCTAGATATTGTCTCACGGCCTTGGACCGTACGCGAGGCTGTGGTTGTGGCTGATCGAAAGGCTGTCATGTAGTCATCCCGCGCCATATGAGATGGAAAGACACGGCCGTAGTGCCGGAGCTCGTTGCGGCCGTGCAGCGAGTACAGACCCGCGACCCGCGATGCGGTTGTCGATCAGTCAGGCACAACAATAGCGCAGGTTTCATTCATTTTAGAGCATGGACGGCCCCATGTGGGAAACGCTGTTGATTCGAAACGTGCAGTGGTGAGTTGGGAGGTTTGCATGAACAAGAACAGAGGTGAGGCATGCCAAGCAGCAGCGGGGCATGGGTGGAGGGGCAGGCGTGACGCTGTTGATGCCGTCAACACCAAAAAGCTATCGTGAGCTCCGTCACACTAGCAATCTCCACATCCACCCAATACCTACCATTGGCGCTCCACCAAGTCACCTATACACACCGCACTCTCACTAGAACCGCCTGTCATGTCACCGCCTGCCATCATCGCGCCGTCGATTCTTTCGGCAGACTTCGGAGCGTTGGGCAAGGCATGTTCCGACACAATCTCCCAAGGCGCCGACTGGCTTCACGTACGCGAGAGTGAGTTTCGGACTCTGGTGCACGCAACTGACACGTGCAGGTCGACATCATGGACGGCCATTTCGTGCCCAACATGACCTTTGGCGCGCCCGTCGTAACCAAGATCCGCTCACACGTCGATCGACCGACGACCGCACATGGCAAGGGAACGTTTGACTGCCACATGATGATTGCCGAGCCCAAGAGATGGGTGCGCGACTTCAAAAAGGCTGGCTGCGACCTGTACTGCTTCCACTACGAAGCCGCCGTCTCGTCAACCGCTGCAGACTCGCCCAGTGGCGAGTCGGACCAGAAGACATCCCCCAAGGAGCTGGTAAAGTTCATCCATAGCGAGGGCATGCAGGCCGGCATTGCCATCAAGCCAAGCACACCGGTCGACGTACTGTGGGAGATACTAGAGAACCCAAACAAGGACGAGGTTCCTGATGTGAGTTCATCACCCCTGCACCGTCATGCTTTCATCACCACAATCGATATCACCAAAGGGCCGCACGCGCTATATGGTGGTTAGAGAGGCCTCGGAAGTGGTCGAGCAAAGCGAGGCTGGGTAGGGCTGACCTTGTTGGGGCGTGGGCGGCACCCAGTGGCGGCGCTTAGGCATGCCAACTTCCGCAACGCCCGCTGTCAATCAGTCTTGACCTTGGCGCCCTTTCGAGAAGCCTGCCCCATGTTGCCCAACCGACTGTCCGTCCATTGGCCACCTGACCATCTGGCCATCCCCAAGGTTGCACGTCGACACCTACCCGCCCACGCCGCTGGCTGCTCCCGCAGGATCAATAACCTCGATATTCAAGACTTGCATCGGCTAGGTCAAATGCGTTGAAAATCCAGTGCTGACTTTTGCAGATGGTTTTAGTTATGACTGTAGAACCTGGCTTCGGTGGACAGTCTTTCATGGCATCCGAGCTGCCCAAGGTAACCGCCCTTCGCCAAAAGTACCCAGAGATGCACATCGAGGTCGACGGAGGCCTGAGCGAAAAGACTATCGATCAAGCCGCCGATGCCGGCGCTAATGTCATTGTTGCTGGCAGTGCTGTTTTCGGTGCTTCAGACCCTGGCGACGTGATCAAGAAGCTCAGGGAGGCAGTCGATGGCAGGAGAGGAAAACTATAGAAATGCCAATGATCCGGACCAATGGTAAATGCTGACGATGAATGTGGATGAGCGTATGTACAAATAGAAGTATTAGAAGCTTACGATATAGGTGTAGAAAAAATAGACGACAGCTGAGAGCGGGAAATGGATACTCATCTGGCGCGAAATGCCGAGTGAACAAGCGGTGTTCAGCCATATCGAGTGGAAGTTCGCATCATATCTGCACAACTGCTGACATGCGTCGTCGCGATGTTACACAACATACCGGCTAAGTTCTACGCCCAAAACCAACTCCTAGCTCGTACATGGCTTAATGTCCACAAAGGTAGATGATTCGGCAGATGGCACTGACAAGGCTGGCCTTTTTTTCACCACATGATAGCCTGGTGAGAGTCAATACTGTAGGTTCTGATGTCTGAGTTCTGCTGCTAGCCATGCTAATTCTGACAAGGCGCAGCTCCCATCGCACAACGACCAGTAGCGCCGTGATCACTTGAATTATTGCTCTCGATGAAGATGAAAACTCGAGAACAACGTCACTTGGCCAAAATTGATTTTCGTCTCCTTTGCGTTGCTTGCCTTGAAGCTGCCACTCAAAAATGACAGCACGAGCCGCGTCATCAACCAGGTCTTGGCATTGTATCGAAACATGCTCCGCTAGAACGTTCTTCCGTCGCTATCGCGATATGGAGATGAAGTGCGGCTACGAGACAGCGGAAGTCATGTTTCAAACAAACAAGTCCATGGTACAGAACGTACCATGGCGGTCATTATGGGTCCCAGGGACCCATGCATCGCAAATACTAAGTTAAGCTTGAGCAGACAAGCCCCAGAGATTGAAAATTCCCGGCTTGTCGTGGACTACACATCATTGTTTGAATAGCACGGTACTCGTCTTGGGCCGGACTAAATTTGTGACCAAACAAATCATCCCAGCTGAGCAATGGGGCTTCTATGTGTGCTGATCTGCTCATGTTGCGTTCATCGAATGGAACGAACAATAGCTGGTAAGCTGGACAGTCGTCATCTAGTGCGAACACCGCCTAATGCTAAAAGTCAATGTTGAGCTATGGTACGTAAGCTCACGGGTCATTCCGCGTTTCACGTTGTCTAGGCCGCGCCATGGAACCAAACCACAGCGCTCACGAAGTGACATCCCTAGTCCACAAACGAACTAAACTGATTGACGGTTCTCCCTCAGATAACCCACTGTGAGAAGATCTTGAGCCAGGAGTCAAATGGCAGGCGTCAAGTAAATGACAACCCCCTTGACCTCGCAGCCACATACGCGGCTTAGGGTAATTCTGGACCAGAAGCATCTCAACGCTGCGTCATGGTATCCGAGCCGTGTCATGTTGTTGAAGTTCAGAGAGGAGCAACTTCAGTATAAAGATGTCCTGCGCTGCTTCTCTCATCAACCACCCAGCAACTTTCGTTCTCACTACTCGCACTTTTCTCTTCCCAGCTTCGTTTCAACAGCACTGTGTGCTTCCATTCACTTTACACTCATTAGCACCGCGTGCCTTCACTTCAACAAGCAGTGCACCGACACCACTACAGAACTCATCTTGCAATATACAAAATTTTCAAGATGGTCGCATTCTCCCGTCTCGCTTTTGCACTTGCCGTCACCGGTTTCAGCTGCGCTCAATCTTTCAACGGCGAACTCCCCAGCAACCTCCCCTCCGGCATGCCTCCTATGGGAACTGGAATGCCTTCTGGAGCTTTCCCCAGTGGCGCCGCTCAGCCATCCGACCACATGCATGGTGGACATGGCCATCGTGGACCTCGTCCCAGCGGTGTAGCTCAAGCTCAACACGCACATGATAGCAGAGTTCCTTTTGGTACTGGTATGCCTTCCGGCTTCCCGAGCGGTATGGCTCGCCCTACCGGCGGTATGCATGGCGGCCACGGCGGCCACGGTGGACATGGTAGCAAGTTGCCCGAGCCAACTGGATCCTTCTTCGCCGTTCCTACTGGCGTAGAGAAGCGTCAAGAGTCCGGAGAGCCCTCTGATATACCGTCTGGTTCTAAGCCTCCCCATGGTCCTCATTCCCGTCCTACTGGCATACCTTCCGGCGCCATGCCTCCTCATGGTGCTCGTCCTACAGGCGCCCGTCCCTCTGGAATGTCTCGTGGACCTCGTCCTTCTGGAGCTATGCCGACGTATGCTCCTCGCCCATCCGGCATTCCCACTGGCCCCGCTCCTAGCGGTTTCTCTACCTCGATCGTTCGTGCGTGAGCGAGTCCAAAGAGGGGAATATGTCGGTGAGGCGATTTGACAGAGGATCGAGGGGGGTGCCGCGACAAAGTGAGGTGGTCAGTGTTGTCTTGTGGTCTGCTGTGATTTCATTGAACCTTCTTGTTTAGTTTTTACGCTCGTTTACCTGTACATACATCACAAATAGAACGAACTTGTACAATTTGGTCTGATTTTCATCCTCTATGCTAGACAAGTCAGAAGCCTGAGAGCTGAAGGCATGCAATCTGCACATAGCTTCGACTGGTTTCCATCAATCAGACATCGCATTGATGTTGAGCAAACCTTGTTAAAACGCCCGTTTCTGGTATTAATTCCCCAAATCGCCCATGTCACTTAATAGTGCCAGTAGTAGGCACAAGACTACGGTTCAACATCAAATCTGACACCAATCCCCAAACTAACATCCATGATCAGTGTGATACAGAGGACTGGCCAGGTAGGGTTGTGTCGTATTCGCCTGGTAGGAGTTTGTAGGTGCGCCTCTCCTCACGTTCATCTGCAGAGTCGATTTCTTCTTCTGATTCGTACTCATATTCATCAGATCCCGAATCTGATTCTTCTTCGACCTCAGTGTATGTTCTTAAGCGTTTGAGTGATTTTGAACTGGGCGCCCTCCTCGATTCGCGTATTCGGTCAGCATGCTCCCTAAACTCCTGATAACGATTATTGCGCTCCGTTCTTGGTGCGCTAGTGATTCCAGCCAGAGAAATACTGCTCGTGGGTTGTGTACGACGTGCTAGCTGGGTATTCAGAGGCGCAGCAAGCATCTGTCGACTTTGTTGTTCCTCAAGTTCTCTCTCGTCCTCATCTGTTGAGTCGTCGTAATCATTGAATTCAACCAGCGCTTCGTCACTGCTGTAGAAGGCATTGTCGAATGAATGGAAGTCCTCTTGTTCAAACAGCTCGTGTCGGCAGAGCGGGCACCGGTTGTTGTTTGGCATCCTACTTTCCGTCTGTTCGACGATGCAGTGGCCGCCGAATATGTGGCTGCATGGAAGCTCGACCGGTACATGACTGGGAAAGGCTCTGTCAGTATACTACGGTGGTGAAGACAGGCAACTTTGAAAGTGTTTCTTACTCGCTGTTGTAATCCTCGAGACAGATGCTGCATTTGATCGGCTGCAGTTTTTCGATGAATTTGTTCTTGGTTACCACTATGGAGGCCGAAGTAGAGTGACCTGGAGACCGTTGCGTATTTGGTATCTCATTGGGGTGGGGTGAGCTCTGGATTCGAGCAAGCCCCAGGGGTCTCGGGTAAGGTCTCATGATGTGGGCAAAGGGTAGAGTATAAAGGTGCGCGGAGTGGAGATTTATTGTTTCGCTTTCAATAGCTAAGTATCGGAGACATGATTCGATCTGCCATTCACTTCACCAATCACTCTACTTGTGCTCAACGGCCGTTAGGAACTGCCGGAGCTTGTTCACTTCACTGCCATTTTCACCGTCACAGCTCACTTCTATATCCTCGAGCGATTACCTCGTGATATTATGCGTTGAAATGAATGTAGACTCGAGCATAATCCCCATTTCTAAGACAAGGTACATGTCGTCGTCTTCAGGGCCTGATGTTCAGATAGTGGTAGGTGCCAAGACGGGATACATGAAGGTCGCTACGAATCGTACTAAAAGCTGTTGGAGAGAGGATATCGTGGCAAACTATGAGAAGATATGGTAAACATTAAAGAATACTCGTGTCTTGGGATTCGAAAGTAGATGATGAAGCAGGGAGATGACATGTGACGAAACTTAAGCTTTCCATGGGCCTTCGCTAGCGCGTATCCATGCGGCGGATCTCCGAACATTTTCCTGAGCTTCTCCACACAACAACTTCGCGCTCACCAAATCGTCTCACGCAGGTCGCATGAGCTTTGAGATGGCGAAACGAAAGCGCGGCGATCGCGACGAGCGACCTCCTGCCGATGTTGGCCTCGGTGCGACATTGGCGCACATGCGCGGCGAAGCGCAACCCGACGATGCGACCACAACCCCAGCTAATGGTAACGAAGAGGGCTGGACAGTAGTCGGCGGAACGAAGAGGAGACGGAAGGAACGCGGCCCACATGACGACCAGAACAGGCATCGCGCCTCGAACTCGCCTCCATCAACTCGCAGTCCTGACCGTTCACAGCACACGAACGGGCAAGGCAAGCGGAAGGAGTCATCTCCACCACCGCAACAAGATGCTACTCTCGACAACCCGTTTGCGGGCAAAGGCGCGCAGCTGGGGACTCGAGCTTCCCCTACCAATAACCCCTTTGTCACATACAAAGCTGGCTCTGAACAGTCAAGTGAGAACATGACGAGGGAGGAACGTAGGAAAGAGCGCAAGCTGCAAAGGAGCTATCCGGCCATTGAGCATTCACATCATGCCCGTCTCAACTCGCACGTGAAGATTACAGACTTGCAGTCCTTGGTGCTCTACCTGCTTGCGGATGGTAATGCGCCGCAGTGGGTTTCTGTACGCAGCCGTGCAAATATCCAACAGGTCGTAATGCTCATGGTTCCGGGATTAGACCTGGGCATGTTCAACGGCGATGTTGCTTTGGATACCGCACCACAGCCTGAAACTTCTGCCGCAGCGTCAACAACCGAAACGGATGCAAAGCCCAAACGGCTGAACATTTCGCGTGATGACTTCTATCCGGCTAGTCTCAAGGCGGACAAATTACCTGCATCACTGAAGCCTCTCGCTGACATCTTTGAGCATGTGTGGCCTATCAAGGCGATAGGAGAGCATCGCAACAACCAATACATGAGGGTGCATTCACCCATTCATACCATGCTAACCTCACAAATCCCTAAGACTCAAGAAGAGAAGCAGATGAAGAAGACTGGGAACCACAAAGGTCCCACGCCGCAGAATTCAAAGCATTGGGAGAACAAGCGCACTCGCATTACCGAGTACATCGCCTCCCTCATGGAACAGCAAGAAAACGAATACGTACTGCATCCAGCTATGTTCACAACCTCAGAATCCAAAGAGGCCAACTACGAAAGAAGGAAACTGGCCCATCAGACTGCCGATGATGGTTGGGTCGATACTAGGGTCGCCACTTTAGAGGAAGGTGATGTGCCCGAGAGGGACATTGAACAAGGGAGCCTGACCGCTGGAAGACACATCATATCCGTCGACTGTGAGATGTGCAAAGCTGAGAATGACCAGCTTGTACTCACACGCATCAGTTTATTGAACTGGGACGGCAGCACGGCTCTCGACAAGCTTGTCAAGCCAGATGTCACCATTAAGGATTACCTGACCCAGTGGTCTGGTATTACAGCAGCCATGCTCCAAGATGTCACAACCACTCTAGCGGACATCCAGAAGGAGCTATTGGAACTGATCACACCGCGTACGATTCTCGTGGGACACTCGCTAAATTCCGACCTCAACGCACTCAAACTGACCCATCCCTTTATCATCGACACAGGCATCCTGTACCCGCACCCTCGTGGACCACCATACAAGCAGTCGCTGAAGTGGCTCGCGCAAAAATATCTCAAACGCGAGGTTCAGAAGGGATCATCAGGCCACGACAGTGTAGAAGATGCTCGGACATGTCTCGATCTAGTCAAACAAAAGTGTGAAAAGGGCCCGCGCTGGGGATCGGGCGACACAAACGCGGAGTCCATTTTCAAGAGGATGGATCGTTCCTTACGACCGAAATCCAACGACGCACATCGTGCCGGAGCTGTCATCGACTGGGGGGATCCGAACAGAGGCCATGGTGGTCAAGCTCAAGTTTCTATAGGCTGCAAGACGGATGCAGAAGTAGTAGAAGCTATTGATCGTACATTAAAAGGTCAAGCTGAAGGCAAGGATGGTACTACAGACAAGATTGACTTTGTCTGGGGACGCCTGCGAGAACTAGAGCTCGCAAGGGGTTGGTGGGACGACGCGAAGACAGCCGACGTTGAGCTCATCCGACAAAACGCTTTGCAACGACTGGGTCTTCTGAAGGATGGTGAAGACGTAGACGTGGAAGTTCGTGGATCTGAGCTCGGCGATGCCGTCTCCAAGACCATTGAGCGCATTGGGCAGATATACGACGCTTTGCCACGCTGCACGGCCTTTATTGTGTACAGTGGGACAGGCGATCCTCGAGAGATTCGTCGCTTGCAAGCAATGCAACAGCAGTATCGTCGCGAATACGCTACCAAGAATTGGGACAACCTTAGTGTCAAATGGACGGATACGGAGGTGCAGGCTCTTTCGAGAGCCTGTCAAGAGGCTCGCAACGGCGTGGGATTTATCGTTGTCAAGTAAAGCAAGAAGATCAATGCATCGCGCATGCGCGTACGACGTGCAACGCAGCGTGTCGTAGTACACGGTGTTCAGGCGCGTATCGCTTAACGGATACTTTCAGACAGTGTGGCGTGTAATGCGATCATCAAAATGCACGGTTTTAGAGGTTGAGCACTTTCTAGAACATGCATTGTGTTTTGCAATTATCGGTAGAAAGCATTAGAGGCGGATCACTATCGTGCCAAGGGCGTAGGTACTGCATGACATCAATCAACATCCCTGTCTGCGCTCCCCTTGCTTGAAGTTAAATTAGCGCAAAGCTTTTCGCCGCCTCCCATCGGGGCGAAGACTGCGGAAATTCAACTCTATAAAAGTATAATCCATTTCTGCCTGCGGGTAATAATGGCTGCCTCGACGTGTACTTGTTTCGGGCGGCGATCATTCCGGTATCATGGCAGCTACCGTACCATTTAGGACAATGCCGCTGACGAGGCCATGGACCGCAGTCAGGACAAATAGTCTAGCCAGACATAGTCGCGCATGTAAACATGGGCGCCCATATAGCCCCGGATACTGTATTATCCTCGACTTACCTAGGTATTTATGCTTATTGGCCCATGCCGTGGATCGGACTTGGCACTTGTAATCGTCGCAATTTGATAGCAATAAAGATAGCCGGCGCGTGGTCCGGGATGAGTAAACTGCCCCATCGATGATACCTACCAATAATTGACATGCAGTAACACAAGCCCATGCCTGTACAAGTCGGCACATGCGTGCATTGGACAGTGAGGAATTACTCACATCCGTCGACAACAGGAAACCACAGCTGGAAAGCTCAGGACTGCACTCGCACGAGATGGAACAGCTAGCGTGTTGAGCTTGCGACACGAGACGGCTTCAGGGCTTTTTCGCAATAGAGCCATCTAAATTGATAGCGAGGCACGCTAACTCCACTCGGACTCATGCATGGCTAATCATGGAATAACTCCTGCTAATTATTTCACTTGCCCTTTCCTTCCTCTGAACTAGCTCTCGACTTTCAGGGTTCCTCCTCCGCCGCAACCGCCTATTTTTTGTTGGGTTATACCCTTCTCTTCCTCTTCGCTTCCAATCTCACTGCGCTTGCTGAAACGGTATCCTGGATTGGGACGCGTATATTTGTCGCGTACCAGAAAACCGATAGTCCTGCTTACCTGGGTACACATTCCATCGCCAAACTTTTAGTTTTTGCTATCTAGACTCTTCGTGCAGCATCTCCGCTCACTTGCAGTTCTCCGCAAGGCACAACTGGGTCAATGGGCTGTGTCCATGGCGGGCTCCAGGCGATCCGGCACTGGTGAGATGAATCCAGACAGGGGAACACATGAACTCCAATCATCCATGGCTCAGCCGCTGGCAGTTGAGGTTGCGGAAAGTGCTGATGAAGCATCTCCACGTTCGCCGCCAGTCAATCGTGCGACCAAAGCATTCTGTAAGAGTTGCAAGAACAACGTAGGAGACTTTTACAACTCCTGGTACAAGGTCACCGGTAGCTACTACGTCCCTGCGCTTCTGGGCTCTTACAGTTCTACCTTGCAACCCATGGGCAAATTAAAAGCGGCGTCAAAGGGCACCGAATTAGCAGGATGGTAAGCTCAATCCTATCCTCACGTTGGTCCTCTCTTCGCATCTGTTTGCCGCATCTTTCCCTCATATACCCTTGACCGGCTATCAACGAACTCTTAACACATGAGTGGGCTTATCCCGGCTGCAACGGGTTACACGGTATTTTAAGTTTCTACCTTTAAGCGTACCCACGCTAGTCGTACCAAATCTTTTCACACTATAGATTAACATCTATCAAACCGGTCCGCCCGCATTCTACATCCCGCATTCCGTATTATTGTTCCTTCAAACTCCCCAAGGCTTCTGGACTGACTTCGTACCAGTACCATTCAGCCTTTGTCTTGTCCCCACTCTAGTTGTCACAAGATTGCCATCGGGTTTACTGTTATCACTGCACCGGCAGGAAAGGGATCTTTTCGGTAAGTGGCATCACCCATAGATGTTGCAAGTTTCCGCATGTTCTTGCATACTTATTCCCAATTTTCATGGTGAAAGTCATCGGCATTCATTAGCATGATGGCTGACATGCGATTCGTTACAGTGGACGAGACTTCTTCAAGCTGGGTCGCATCGAATTGCAATGCGAAATAGCAACAAATCAATTCATTGTGGTCGAACCTGAGATCGACACCTCATCGGATTTGCTAGCGAATGAAGATACACCCAGTCCGTCCTCGTCGGTTGCAACACCAAACGCATTGTCGGCTGAGGCCATGGAGATCGACTCGCGTGCACCATCTGTGGAGCATGCAGATCAATTTCGCGGTCGGTACGAGCAATCTCAGGATCGTGACATATTACAACAGCAACCGTTGCAGCCTATCGAAGGCAGCAGGCAGTCAGTAATAGCACCACCGTCCAGGCACTCCCCTTCGATACGAGATTCTCCATACGTCGTGACGAAAGATATGACAAAAGGTTCACTGCAGTCGTCTTCATCCTATCATCAAGGGGCTCATGGGTCTCGTAGAGGACCTGACGTTGACTCAACGAGCGGTCAGTTTGGAGCTCCAACACTGACGCCTCAAGACCGGTCTACTATAGAAAAGCCTCAAACAAACGGCCATCAGTACCCTCGTTTACCACAGGATGTCGGTATAGACGCTATGGCGCGTCTACAGACGCAGATGTCTCAAAATAGTGGTGCCTTAGCTGCGCACACTCGCGACATAAGAATCGGCCAGGAGGCGGTTGGAGCAATGGAAGAAACAATCAGAGAATTTCAGGCCAAGTTCATTCGACAAAGTGCCGATATCCAAAGAATCGAGATGCTGGCTACGAGGCTCCAGAGCGAGATGCAGGGCATCCGCCATACGATGGAATCCATTACCCATGAGTTACAGGCAAGTCGGATGCAGAGACAGTCAGCTAACTCGGCTGTGCCTCCTGCGGCCCCGTCTTTTGCGGCTCAAAGTTCAGCAATGGAGCTTCTCGCGCGGCAGTTGAATGAAGTGTCGCATAAGACGAGTGACCTAGACAACTTGAAGCTCCATGTCGAAATCATGAAGGATAAGATCTATCGACTCGAAGAGCGCGCCGCACCCGAGCCTTCACAAGCACCGCCATCTATGTATCAGACGCCACAAGTATCAGTGGCGCAGCCTTCTCAACCTGCTCCTACCGCCGCTACATCACACCAAAGTACACCAACATTGACGCCGAGTAACAGAGCATCTCAACCCATATCTAATGCTCAGTCTCAGCAGTCTTCATTCGGAGCTCCTTCGACAACGGCTGCCACACCGGGTGTCCAGCCTACAAGTAGCCAGGCTAGTGGATGGGCTACTGTTAATGCAGGTGTGAAACGGACCCATCAGAATGGCGTTGAGACTCCCCAGGGAAGCAATGTTCATGCGCCCGAACCTACCAAAAGGCAGAGATTAGTGGACGATGGTACTTCGGGCTACACATCTTCACAGCAAACACCTATGACAGACCATCGCTTCCAAACATCTACGCATATAATACCATCTCAGCAAACTGTTCCCGAATCAACGCATGGATCGCAATCGCAACAATCATACCACGTCCCATACGCCACACAAGATGGTCCTTCGGACGCCAGTTGGCAACCCGAATCTCAGCGCACGATCGAGCATCGACCGCGTGGGCGTCCACGTGGTAGCGGGGGTCCTGGAAGCCGAGGAGGTAGAGGTAGAAAGAGCATGCCAGCCCAGCTCCACAGTACACTCGGAACACCTGAATGGGAAAGGGATGATTGGCAAGGTGTTCCCGATTCGCAGACCAGTCCAGCTGGATACTACAACCACGTAGGGCAACCAGGACGTGGAGGCATTGCACGCCGCGGCAGTGGTGGCGGTGGTCGTGGCGGCTACGCAACCAGCGACCGTGCTAGCAGTCTAGGTCTACAAGGTGTGACTGGTGCTATGAGCTTTGGATCGCCCGGCGACCCATATGGGTCGGGAAAGAAGACGCGCACCAAACCCATTAGGAACGCAGATGGCGTGTTGATACGCAAAGATGGCCGGCCAGATATGCGTTCGCAATCTTCTGCGGCTAATCTCCGCAAAGTACACGAGCGCAAAGACGGTCAAGCAAGTCACTCACCTACAGGCTCGAGCTTCACGCCTACCAACCCCCAATACGCGATTTCGGCACAGGCGCCAGACACACCAAGCCCAAGTGGCTACGCTGCCGACCCAAGCGCGACCGATAAACACAACGCAATAATGGGTAAGATGTTTCCTGATGGTATCGACGCAGCGCGAAGGAAACAAGACTATACACGTCAAGTTTTTGAAGAGAATCGCGATCATACCGCGCATCCACGATCGCGGAACAGTGGCCCGGCAACGAGGACGGCGGTTCAGATTAAGAAGGAGCAAGTCGACCGGAACAGAATTTCTAGGACGCGAAGTCCGCAAGAGCAAGACGCAGACGTAGATATGGATGGAGCTGAGGATCATGCGGATGATGAGCGTCAGACATCTGATGAGAGTAGCAGTCATGTCAGAGGTGGTGTGCAGTCGGAAGTTCAGACTCAGGATGCGACTATGCAGGAGAATAGCAGCACCCAAGCTCCTTCACAGACTGTTCTAGAAACGCAGGCCGTCGATAGCTCGGTTACGATTGGAGCGGAGTCTACCCAGACTCAGTAACGAGATGGGACTGTGATAAAGGTTGGAGCTATAAATTTTATTTCTTTGGCATTGTATATTAGTCATTGGCTCACCAGTAGCATTCCCTCACCCAAAGAAGCTTCTTTTACAATACCTGATCAGTTCCGGTACGGAGACACCCATGCCTCTAGCCAGCGTCACGTCACAGACATTGATCTCATCTATGTGCATATATACGAGACTAACTGCCGATTCTCATACATATCGTAAAGGCGAATCCCAAACTTGAATCGACGTGCTAGTGAGATTGTCTCTAATTACATATTTTTTTGGATAGTCGCTAGAATAGATTTTTAACACTGTACGTGTTCTTAGAACGGAACTACAGGAGCCTTCTCTGACCCGTTAGTCCTCTCTGGGTAGTGAATTGCGCCTTCTGTGGTAGCGCAGTTGGTGAGGTAGCTAGCGGAAGCGTTGACAGGAATAGCGTTGCCTTCCTGGGGGCGACCATAGACCTGTTCGTATATTAGCACCGATTGCAAATCGACGGATACTTGTTCAATGGAATACTTACATGCTCGTAGTACCAAACCTCGCTCAGGATAGTGTAACCCCTGTCAGTCGTGTTCTTTCCAGCCTCTGTCGCATTGTACCTAGGACCAGAGCAACCCAAGAAGGGAATGCCGCCATGCTGCTCATGCAGCACGTCGACGAGATCGGAGTAAGAGTAGGTGGTTGAGTTTGAGGGTGTGATATCCTTGGCGGCAAGCCAATCGAAAGTCGGGAACCTCTTGTAGTACTTGATAGCCGTCTCGAAAAAGTCAACAACATCTTCGTGCTCGCGGTACTGCGGACCGTAGCAGGGAACGTTGAAGGTAGAAAAGCAGGTTGCGTGCTTGGAGAACTCGTGGCCCCAGAAACCTGGATTGTCTTGCTGCCATGCGATCCAGTAAGTGTTCATGTATTCGAGTAGGTCGTAGCGACCAAACGGCTCGAGGAAGGTGCCGATGTTGGAGCCGTTATATGGGGGAACAAATGTTCCATTTGGTAGACTGTTGGTGGTGTTCGGGCTGGGGATAGGATCGTATTGGCGGCTCAAGTCGCAGTATTGCGTATAACTACCGTTACAGAAGTCCGGCCATAGACCATGGAGGGTCCATGTGTCGGTGGGCAAGAGTTGGCCTTCAGACTCGCGACCGGTGTACGTGTTCCAGAATTGGGTGCTTAGCACAAGTCCACCAAAAGTCTCGACACAGCAGGAATCGACAATGGACGGGTCTTGCGAAGGGCAAGACAGCAATGGCTCTTGTAGCTGGCATGTGTGGTTTAGGGGACTTTGGTTGGGATAGAGCTGTGCATTTGTCGTAGTCGCAAGCAGAGCCGCAGCTCCGGCCTTGGAAAAAGCAGCCTTCATGTTATCTTGACTTTGGAGCTACAAGACGAATTGGAGAAGAGGTATACTGCGATGGGAAACTCGATGATGCTGGGAAGCCGGCCATCTATAAAGCTCCCAAAAATTTGGCCACGGCCTACCCAGGCCGCTGCAGCCCCAGTCGGTCCTTACCATATGCAGAAGGTACATTTCCCAGACTTCTGGTTAGAGCTCCGACGGCGGCGATGAGCGAAAGATTCACAGTACCTGCATGTAAGCTAGACGCGCTCACGTGTCGGTCCCATTGGTAGATAAGAGAACAAGGCTACGCATGCCGCGCCGTGGTGCTTGTACCCACTTGAGCAGTCTCCGAGGCCACGCATGATGGTGGAGGTGCGCGTTGAGATATGAGATTGGTGGGTAGAGTCAGCCACAATGACGGCTTCTGTTGGCCGATGCAGCAAGAGTTGGGAATTGCATATCGAAGGATGGCTGGGACAGAACGTGGGTGACAGGGTCTGGCTTGGTTGGACCTGCTCGATGACGCCCCACAACCAAAGGCGCATCCAAGGCGACGGCTGCATCGACACTGCTCAAAGGACAGTGAAAGCGTCAGTAGACGACCTGGAGGCTTCTCAGCGCTGCCCTACATGCTCGAAACCCCAGCAGCGCCTCCAACGGCATAACGGGCCAACTCGCGCTCCGGTGGGCGTTCGCTATCTCCGCCTCCACATCCGCCCTTCGTCGTCATTGCATCAGCGACACGACACACAACCATGCGCGCCTACCTCAAGCCCTTCCTAACCTCGCGCCGTTTTTTAGGCACTACAGGACAGCGAGAATGCCTCCCTCGTCCTCCATAACTGCGCTACCGCCACACAGGCCAGATGCCTACACCACAGGCCATCACATCGGCAAGCCACCCACAAGCTTCAAGAACCCATGGCCCTCGTACAAGAACGACGGCATAATCACCGCTCTCCGCGCGCGCTTCAACACCCCAAAGAACTTCGTCCCTGTGCCCGCCGATCGCCTAGGCCTGGTCCAAGTGCGCAAGCCCGACTTCAACAATACGACCAACGGCTTGAAGGCGACATGGATAGGACATGCAAGTTTCCTGATTGAGACAACGGCTTCAGAGGGGAACGAAAGGGGTATGCGCATCCTTCTCGATCCTGTATGGAGTGACCGCGTAGGACCATATGGCATGGTCGGCCCCGTGCGCTTTACACCTCCACCATGCACCATCGATGAGTTACCTGAAATCGATGCTGTTTGCATAAGCCACGACCACTATGACCACCTCGATTCTGACACGCTGAAGAAGTTGAATGCGAAGCAGAATGGAGACTTGCGCTTCTTCTGCGCTTTGGGCGTCAAGACCGTCCTAACAGGGCTCGGCGTAGGCATCAAGGCCGACCAAGTCGAGGAGATGGACTGGTGGGACGGCATAACAATGTTCAAAAAGGGTGTAGGAGGCGCAGAACTGATATGCACACCCGCCCAACATCGATCTGGGCGTACGCCGTGGAATTTCGACGGTACACTGTGGTGTAGCTGGATCATCAAAGAGCCTTCTTCGTCTGGTAAGAAAGTCTTCTTCGCCGGAGACACGGGGTATTGTCATGTTTTGTCTGACGACCAATACTCGCACCACAACGCGCCACATCCACCTTGTCCGGCTTTCAAGGAAATCGGCAATTTATACGGTCCCTTCGATCTAGCGCTTGTGCCTGTTGGTTGCTTTAAGCCAAGGTCTGTCTTGTCTGGTCAACACTCTAGTCCGCAGGACTCTTTGGCTATACATAGGGATGTGAAGAGTAAGAAGAGTATAGGCATGCATTTTGGTACGTTCCGTGGTGCATACTCGGCGAGCTACGAACCGGTTACTGAGCCGCCTGAACGCTGGCGGAAGGGTGCAGAGGCGGACGGTTTAAGGTGGGGAGTCGATGTAGACCTCTGTGATATCGGCGGGACGGTTGTGGTGTAGCAATGCGGGACTTGGTACGGTAACTATGTGCTTCTTCGAACTTCTCTTACTCGGATTCATTAATATACCACCTTGTGCCCCTTGCGCTCATTTAGTCTAAACCTCGAAATGGGTTCCACTACATTAAAGAGAGAAACTGAACATCTCTTCAGAGCAAAACACTATTGATATTATGGACGTGCTGGTGATAAGACGCAGGCACAACGCTGTCGAGTTACACTGTATTGTATCGCAGTAGAAGTGTGTTCCCAAACACTCATTTGGCTTTACTATATGCAGCTGTATACAGAGCAAAGTACTTATACCTGCTACAATAAAGCGTACTAAGAGCTTCTAGACATAGATAGAGAATCTAGAAGTCTACAATGCTATTAATCTTTCTAGAATTTGTTCTGAGAAGCTAACGTAGGCGGCAAAATAGGGCATGTTATTCCTATACCCGTTCAAGTTTTCTATTGTATACGGTGGTTCTGTTCATGATGCATGGAATAGATGAAAGTGATTCGAAAAATGCATTATGTCTATCCTCATGACGGAGGAAAAGTACCATCATGATTACTCATACAAAGCCAGTAATACCTTCTAATGCATATACATAAACAACTCTCGACGGACCGCAAATGGCGCCGTCTAGTTGTATTGCATGTAGGCCACCTCTTAATTGTACTGAGCGTACACTGCAGTGCTGTTGAACTTCATGTTGGCTTTGATCACCTTGTCCACAGCGGCGAGAAAGTCCTTCTCGGTGGCAACCTTTCTGCGACTGCGGATGGCGAACATACCAGCCTCTGTAGCTACACTCCTCAACTCGGCACCTGTGCTGTTGGGACAGAGACGAGAGATGAGCTCCCAACGGATGTCGCGCTCTACACTCATGCTCTTGGCGTGGATACGGAGAATGTTGGCACGACCTTCCATGTCGGGTAACGAGAACTCGATCTTTCGGTCAATACGTCCCGGACGCATGAGGGCAGGGTCGAGGGTTGAAGGTCTGTTGGTCGCGAACATGACCTTGATGTTGCCGCGAGCGTCGAAACCATCAAGTTGTGTAATGAGTTCCAACATAGTACGCTGCACTTCGTTGTCGCCTCCAGCACCGTCGTCGAAACGAGCGCCACCAACGGCATCGATTTCATCGAAGAAGATGATACACGCCTTCTTTGTTCGCGCCATCTCAAACAGCTCGCGCACCATCCTCGCTCCCTCTCCAACATATTTCTGAACAAGCTCGGATCCGATGACTCGGATAAAGGTGGCGTCGGTTCGGTTGGCAACAGCTCGGGCGCAAAGCGTCTTTCCGGTTCCAGGGGGACCGTAGAGAAGAGCACCCTTGGGCGGGTCGATACCAAGGTTGACGAAGCGCTCTGGTGACAGCAGCGGCATCTCGACGACTTCTCGTAGCTTCTCAATCTGCTCTTTGCAACCTCCAACATCTCCATAAGTGACATCAGGCTTGTCCTCGACCGTCATCATAGTAACCGAAGGGTCGATCTTTGGCGGTAGGGGAAGCAGGATCTGGTATTTGTTCCGGTCGACACCTACCCGCATGCCCTCCTCGATATCGGTGGGTGAGACGCGTTCTCCGAGGTTGACGACGAACTTGGCGATCTGCTTGACGTTGATGACATATTTGCTCTTCTCTGAATCCTTCTCGTCCTGTATTATCTTGGTGCATCGTGCGACCTGAAGTGGTTGCTCTTCTTGCATCCGTTGGCGATCGGCGGCGATATCCCAGAGATGTGGAGGTGCGAGACCGGTATCTGATTCCTGGGGAAGTCAGCAGAGCATGGCCAGAGGGTTGGAAGGGACACATACTTTGACGCCAATCTTCTCGTTTATCGTCTGTTGCTTGTCCTTGATCTCCTTCTCCAGCTTCTTGAGTTCAGCGCCATAGGGTGCCGCTCCGTATGTCTTCAACACCTGAATGTCCCTATCACGTCATTAGCCCATGTTTACGTTGCTGTCTTCTCGCCTCTTACTCGTCAGTCAGAGGTGTGATCTTCTTCTCCTCAACCTCGTCGTCGGCGAAGTTCTTCTGGTACTTCTCCCAGGACTGGCCTGTGGCTGAAGGCATGTTGACGGTGTAGGCGGCGACTGTCAGGCGGCCAAGATGGTGTTGGGACTATGCGTGTGGTGGAAGTGCGAATGAATCCGGGTGGAAGCGACAGGCGGAGCAGATGCGGTGGTTCGGGTGAATGTATGGGGTTGGTTGTTGTGTAATGGGTGAAGGTGTAGCTGTGATGCGGCAATGGCCCGGCGAGTCGGAGCTTGTAGATTGGCCGTGCGCTACGTCTATCGCGTTCTCGAAATATTGTCAGTTCGCGTCCAGGCACCACAACTTCCCCGCCAAACCTTCACGATACCCCTCTTTTAGCTTTGTTCTTGCTGTATACCAAAACATGGCTGCTCAAGTTGCAAACGGCGGTACCGGTGGCGGTAACACTGCCTTCAAGGTGCGCTGCGATGCTGAGCTATGAAAACATTGACTGACATTGAGCCAGGACAAGGAGAAGCCCAGAGCTGTTCGCAGCGCCAACATCATTGCCGCAAGAGGTACGCAGCTCGAATATGCTTGTTCAGAAGAGTTTCGCTAACGTCTATTGTACAGCTGTGGCAGATGCGATCCGAACTGTATGTCCCACCATGAGGTGCGGGGAAGAACCAAATACTAATGCTTCGGTAGTCGTTGGGACCAAAGGGCATGGACAAGATGGTAAGAGAAGGCGCAATTCTCCGCCTACCATAGCTGACTCGTTCAGATCCAAACTGCCAGAGGCCAGACCATCATCACAAACGACGGAGCCACCATGTTGAACCAGATGAGCGTTATGCACCCCTCCGCGAAGATGCTCGTCGACCTCGCACACGCCCAAGATATCGAAGCTGGAGATGGTACAACATCGGTTGTCGTCATTGCTGGAAGCCTGTTGGGCGCCGCTGAACGGTTATTGGGCAAGGGCATCCACCCTACAGTCATATCAGAGGCTTTCCAGCGCGCTGCGCAAGAGGCGATATCGATATTGACCGACATGGCCATTCCCATCTCGCTCACCGACAGGCAGACTCTCCTCAAGACTGCCACAACCGCGCTCTCCTCCAAGATCGTTGCTCAGGAGCCCAAGCTACCTATCATGGCTGTAGACTCGGTGCTTAAAGTCATTGATCCCAAGACCGCAGACAACGTAGATTTGAAGAACATTCGGATGATCAAGAAGTCGGGCGGTACCATTGAAGACAGCGAGATGATCGATGGTCTGGTACTCAACCAGCCAGTAGTCAAGAGCGCTGGTGGCCCCACATTGAAGGAGAAGGCACGGATAGGTCTTATCCAATTCCAGTTGAGCCCACCGAAGCCAGACATGGAGAACCAGATTGTCGTCAACGACTACAGGCAAATGGACAAGATCCTCAAGGAGGAGCGAACATATTTGCTAAACATGGTCAAGAAGATCCAGAAAGCCAAGTGCAATGTCCTCTTCATCCAAAAATCCATTCTTCGAGATGCGGTCAACGACCTCAGTCTGCACTTCCTATCGAAGCTCAAGATCATGGTTATCAAGGATATCGAGCGTGACGAGATTGAGTTCATCTGCAAGGTACGTATGATGAGATTTTTGTGTGTAACAAATCTAACACAAAACAGAGCACTGGCTGCAAGCCTATCGCCGACATCGACTCTTTCACAGAAGATAAGCTCGGTTCAGCAGACCTTGTCGAGGAAGTACAGGCATCAGGTGCGCGATACGTCAAGGTTTCGGGTGTCAAGTCAGCAGCCAACACCGTCTCCATCGTTTGCCGAGGCGCCAACAACCTCATCCTGGATGAGACTGAGCGATCTCTACACGACGCTCACTGCGCCATTCGTTCGTTAGTTAAGAAGAAGGCTCTACTCGCGGGTGGCGGTGCCCCTGAAATTGAGATTGCGCATCAGCTGTCCCTCAAGGCTCGCGAGCTTTCTGGTACTGAGTCTATCTGCTGGAAAGCTTTCGCCGACGCCATGGAGGTCATCCCAACAACGCTGGCTGAGAACGCCGGTCTTAACAGTATCAAGGTTGTCACGGAGCTAAGGCATAGACACGCACAAGAACAGAAGAATGCAGGTATCAGCATTAAGAGTGGGGGTGTCAAGAACGACATCAGCGAGGAGAATGTACTGCAGCCACTGCTAGTCAGCACCAGCGCTATCGAGCTGGCAGCCGAGACAGTCAAGATGATTCTGCGAATCGACGACATCGCCCTGTCAAGGTAAAGAATAGCACAACGCCAGACATAGCAGCGAAAGAAGCAGTATACCACGAGTAATGAAAAGTTCGAAGCTGTTCATGTCAAATACCTTTCTGGGAAATGCCCCGACTTTGCATGTGAAAGCAAACACTCACATTGCATTTAGCGCATGAATGTTGCAATTAAAGTCTGCACGTGGGAAGCATGGAACTGCAGTAGCGGGACACGTTGTCTTCTGCACATTGACAAAAAGAGAAAACCCATGAATCGTGTTTACTTTTCCACATACCGCATCCGGACGACCTCATCTTAACGGCTTAGGATGAGTAACGTTTCTAGCTTGACTCACATGAAAAACGAAAACCGCGGCCGTGGACAATTGCGCGCGTACCGAATAGTTGTCCCCATTGCTGGTCTCGTACTCAAATAGTCCTTCCCAGTTGATGCCCAGCATACGCAGTGTTCTCGGCTTTACTGTGCTGTACTCGTACGCAGTATATGCGTGTGGCACTTGACCAAGATAATGCAATCACCCTAACTCAACGACTTTGTCGTGCATCCGATGCTACAGAATACCACATCATGATAACCGTTTTAATTCCGGCACGATATTGACATGTGGCCTTGCTGTTAGCGGATCGTACCACCATTACGCTAGTCTGAATGTTTAAACACAAAGACTCCAAGGTAACAAGCTAAGGATGTCACTACACCCATGACATGGATCAACGAAAGCCACATATACATCCAATGACTAGTACAACAGCCCTCTCCAACTTAGCTATTCAGCTTCCCAGCCTAGCACCTGCCACAGTGCTGCCACATTAACTTAACATGAGCAAGGGCGCGAAAAAGCAATTGATCACAAGAAACCTTGTTTTCAGCCACCGTACTCTGTTTAACGGCTTTCCCATGAACATTTTCGCATAGCAAACATCGATATGCATGTGTCGTAGCTTTTTATCTTTTTCCTTCCTTTTGTCGTCGATCACCTTGAATCTACAGCACTACCACGTATAGTACCATATCCTATACTTTTGACTTTGTACCAACAATGATCTCCAGGCATCCAGGCGTCCAGGCGTCAGGAAAACCTCATCCATCCTATAGCCGACAAACCATGACTAAGGCTATTGTAGCCGCAACCAAGCCGCGCGCGATACGCGCTGCGAACGCAAGATCGAGTACCAGAGTTCTGCTGGGGACGAAAATCTGGACGGAAGCTGAAACTTAGCGTACCATACGATCAAAGCAGTTCTGTTCGGCATCTAGCTCACTAGTTTCACTCGCGTGTACCGACAAGGGAACCCGAGAACCCAAAAGTTCAGCCTGTCGAAGTGGAGCTTGACCGGAGGGGAAAGGTGGAGTTGAGGTGAGAATAAAAGTTGACGAGTGTTTCAGAGAGCGATGGGTATCGGATGATCTCTGCTGTGCTGCGCGACGTCATTGTTTAGTTTGCCTATCATGACGGCGATGGGCGAATATGTAGACTTGAGGCAGTGGTGAAATAGTTTTCTGTGAAAGTTTTTGAGACACTGACTTGTGAGAAAGACCCAAGGAAAGTGGCTTGTCCGGGAAACGTAGTTATACCAGCAGTCCTGATCATGCTATTGCAACCCGAATGCATCACCACTGGAACACTCAGCTCCTAGCACAGTAGAACGCATACAATGCATCAAGTAAGGAATGCTGCATGCAAATGGCACATGTACTGTAATGTTGAACCTTTCCTCGCTATAGGATGAAAAGAGCAACGTCACACACAACCCATGTTCTTAGGATCTATGCGATATAGATCGCTCCACCACGGATAATATGGGTAGTCGGACTTTGGCGAAACATGTGGAGAGATAAGATGGGGTATTGCAGACGGATAGGTAAAGTTCCGGGCGCGAAGACTTAGTCATGATCGTTGCGGGCGATCAATCCTTCTGAAAAAGTCTGATAGTCGAAACGATAAACTCAATCTATTTGAGATGATAAATCTCCAATTGCCGAATGTGGATGGGAAAGAACCAAACAGGAGATCTGTTGTTGTCATGGACAGCGAAAATGTGACTTTGGGAAAGCGACAGACCGATATTGGTTACTGCCGGATGGGTATCATTCTTGGTAATGGTCTTGGCTAGCTAAGTAGAAGCCAGCAGGGTAGCTGGCTGTGGGGGATGAAAGGAAAACGCCTCGTTCATGCATCTGAATCGTTCGAATCGTTCGGTTCGTGCATCGTGATAATCGTACAGTTGGAAGCCCGTGAAGTGTCTAAAAAAGTTTGAACAAGGAAAGAAGACCGCTCGCTGAAATGCAGCAGACCTCTCGGTCTTTATTAGAGAAGATAAGGAAAAGTTTATGTAAGAAATAGGCCAATAAATGTAGGTCAAAGTGTAGGTCAGCGACTTGTTGCTTTGAGGCTGGCACGCTTCAATAAACGGCTGACGAGGTTTCCGCGTGGTTTGGGCTTGACGTAGAATGCGCCCTTAGTACCTGTCATATCGTCGGTAAAGACCAGATCTTCGAGTGCCAATGGGTCGTCTTTCGGAGCTTTCGGGCTCGAGCTTTGCCAACCATACAGTTGATCTTCGTCAGCTCGTAAATCGGGCCGGGTCAAAGTCATACGGAGTGTCATCTCTCGGTTGAACTGCCCGTTGGCGGAGTGAACAGGCGAAGGAGCGGGCGATTCAACTGAGAATTTGCGATGCGAGATCTGGCGAGAATGCATACGGAATGACAGTCCGGTGCTAGAAGGCGTAGCGGGTGAGTCCATGTCGGCTACTGAGCCAGCGTCAGACTCCAGTCCTTGGTTTTCATTGTTGTCTTCGAAAAAGGACAACTGCCCGTCTCTGAGAAAGGTCTGCATGTCTCGACTGAACTTACGGGCATGGTTGTCGATCTGGGGTAGCTGGAAGTGTGGTGTAGCAGAGCCATTCCCTGCCGACGATGGGAAACCGAACTCGATCGCTTCATCGAACTTTTGGGGTGATGCAAGGTACATGCGCAACTTCTTTCTCGCCTCTGGATCTTGGTAATGGGTCGCTTCGGTATCGACAACAAGGGGTGAAGGCGTTGATGGTAACGTGTGAGTTGCGAGCGAAGAGGAGTGCGCACGTTGGTGAAGACCTCTTGGCCTAGCATTGAAGAAGGGAGGGTCCGACATGTATGAGGATCCGTGGCGGACGGGGTGGGAGGTAAGTGACATTGTTCGTCTCATGTTATCTATCGGCATCTCTCTTCGCGTAAACATCGGTGTGGCCATGGTGTCGAGATATAGCAAATGCCTGTTTCGGTCCTTGCTCGTGTCAAGTGTAGCAGACGGCCCGAAAGAAGGGCGGGAAGGGCTGACAGTCGAAGAGGCCGATGAAGAACGTCGTCGTGAGCGTCCGCGTTCAGGAAGGTCGACCGGAGGGCTGGGAAAGTCGAAATGAAAGTCGTTGAAGCGTTGTTGTGCCCACTCGATATCTTGGTCGTCGGGAAGCAAGGCCTGTTGGTGCCTTTGTTGGAGGAGTGCCTGCTCTTCGCGGGAAAAATGTTGCTTGCGTACCTTTTCAGGCAAAGAAAGGAAAAAGTCCAGCTCGACGTGGGAGATGTCGTGAGATTGCACGGCCTTTTCGGATTTGCGTCTGCGTCGTCCGGTGCCGAGTGATAGAGAAGGCCGGTGTGATTTGGATGAGGTGCTGGCCTGGGACGAGCGGCCTGATGTAGGCTCGTCGGAGGCCTGTTGTCGGATCTGCAAACGCTCCAGGGATGAAAAGTACTTTCTCCTGTAGCGGCACGGATTAGCATTGGCATCATGGCATAATTGACAAACCCTTCATCTACTGCAAGGTACACAAAAGTCATGGTGGGGGATTCGGTATATGCGCGTGCATAACGCGCCCTTATCACACGCCTCAACAAATCAGAGGCTTGGAATTTACTTACTGGACTGAATACGGCAGGGCGTCGAATTCCGCCTGTTGTAAAGGCAGAATAGTGCCTTTGACCTTGCTCTTCATGGCTTCGGCTCGGAACTCGACGTCGGCGAAGGCGCAACGTTGGATTCAGGCACATGTGCGGTTGTCTGCTCGATCGATGCTGCGAAAGGCGGCCCTGACGCCGTGGCCAAGCTGTGCGTCGGGCACGTCTCGTGAAGGCTGGTTGAGCAATGCTATACTTTCTTCTCGATGATCGACCGGAGAGCGATCCGAACAGCAGCAAGCGAAAGTCCGAAGAAGAAGGAATGATATGAAGGCCAACAGAACGACTGCTGGGGAGACAGAAACAATCTGTGGGCTTAGCACCGTACGACTGTCGCTCGCACTTGGGGCGGCTGCATATTCGTGTCGCGGGATGCTACAGCTGCAGGCTAACGCGCCGCCAAAGACGCACTCCTGCTCTCCACCTCACACCTAGGCCCTGTAGTAGAGCCGTGGCTGAAGTATCCGAGAGCAGGCCTGGGTGTGTGCGTTCGTTGGTTGAGTCAGGTTGGACAGGCATGCCTCCTCCCCGCTTCTCTCCACCTTGCCCGTCCGCTGTTTCAGGCCCGCGGCCGCCAGGTACACACCGTCAGCGGGGCCACGATAGTTAGCGTGCGACACACCGCTGCCAGAGCGACCCGGCTGGTGGTGTCGATACATGCTCTCTCAACTGTACCTTGTTTAGCCTCGTCATCAATATGCTTGCTTCTGGAATATTGCATTATTGCGTTATTGCCCCATTGCCCCATTGCCCTATCGCGTGCCGACCAAGTCGCCGGATCAACACCTCAGCCAACGTGTCACGGGGTTAATATCGCACAGATCGCCGTGGACAACCAGACGCCTTGCACAACGTCGAGCATGCGCCGTGTAACGTCGACAAGCTGAGCAACACGCATGCACGCTCCATACAATCTGGTCTAACTGCAGTTTATTGCACAAGCACAAGCAAGGGTATCTCAAGAGAAGCGCATCCAGCTCCAGCTCCAACACAAACGTCACTGCCCCTGCAATGTCTCTAATATAATTCCCCAAATATCGGTGCGGTACCTGATTGCCAGTTTAAAGGCTGACAGACGTCTTCCGGGGACATGGCGATCGTGGTAGACCCCGCCATCGTCTAGTCCCGCATCGAGAAAGTTTAGGCTTTCGGAAGCGTCTACTTAGGCTTCCCAACAACCTGTCGCTTGGATATTGGCGGATCCATTAATTTCACCAAGTCCTGCAGGAGATCGATGTTTGTTGTCAAAGAGTCCTGTTCACAAACAAGCATCTTCTAGATCTTCAGGCACCCGCAATGTCATCTGCGTTGGCGTACAAGTCAGTATTGAGTCCGTGCCACGTTTTGTTAAAAGCGCACGTACAGTAGTATTCGTCATCCAGTCCCTCACGGCTGGGGAGTACTGGCTCCTCCAGCCCAACGTCTTCGTATCGAACGTTGAGCAGACGGATCTTCAACCCGTAGCCGCCTATGAAGGTCGCCAACTTATTGGTATCGGCGGTTATAGGCTGTTGGTTTAACAGCATCAGCAATCCATCAAGCCACTCGGAAGCAAGGGTGTGGCTCTGGGGATGCAGATGCAGCAGGACAGATTCTTTCCGCCCTGCGCCTGAGCCGCTGGAAGCCTGCCGCGAGTGATTGGACGGCGGCAGGTAGCCGTGGATCGTGATCTTGGTCGACGTAGAAGCTCGCTCGTGGCCTGGCAGGGTTCTGACTGTACTGTCAGATGATGAGGTCGACGGAGCCGAAGCCGAGACATTGCTCACGACCGAAGAGACGATTGATAGATCGACTGTACATGTGTCAGCCATGGCAGTAACGCAAACCATAGGGGACGCGTGGATGCGTTACACTTACTCTTCTCCTGCAGTGTGTCTAATCTCGGCTCAGTCGCCGTCTTTTCGTCAAAATCAGCATAGTGCAGATATCGCCGGTTGTGTGACAATCGGACAAAACGCCATGCTGAGGGCACAGAACGATTCAGGGTCTTGCCGGTTACTGGACCTGCACTTGTGCCGTAGTCCATACCCATAGGGAACCACGCCCCTTGTAGCAGACATCTTATACGCTGCTCCTTTACGAACTGTAGAGCCTCGTGGTTGAGTTCGTCACGGACTTGACTGTGGACTGTTAGCTGGGCGCGAATCATGTGAAAACATGTAGCATACCGCAGATGATGGCCCCACGCGTCCTCATACGTCAGCTCCAGTACTTCCATCTGGAGCTCTCTCAGGCGCTTGAGTTCGAATTCAGCCAGATCCTCCTCCACGTCTTTGACGTCCTTCATACGTGGCGCCTGACCCACCACCTGCTCGATCAAGATGCGGATAAGCTCTTCAATCTTCTCAAAGTCCTCCGTCTGTGCGCCAGCGGCTTTCCACAGTCTGATGAAAGCATTTAACCCACTCGTGTGCAGTCTAGACCAGTGGAGCAAGAGGGGTTTGAACGCGCGGTCAAAGTTGGCTCGCGAATCAGTATGTCTATGAGAGTCAAAGTCATCAGGCTTGTCTACTTCGAAATGCTCGTACAGAGTCTGGGTGACAGACAAACTTGCACGCGCAATTGGACACCGCTGCTCGGGTGGTTCTGCCGACTGCTCCAGTAAGAGCTTCTGGAATCCGTCTTCGTTCTTGTAGACGAAGTCGGTAATATCCATGAGGCCTAGGAAACCAGTCTCATCAAACTCCCACGCAGGCGATTCAGTCTCGAAGCCCAGACGTTTCCATTTGTCTGGATTTTGTTTCTTGCTTCCCTTGGAGTCGGAGTCTGGCTTCTCTGGCTTGCTCGCTGTGTGTAGCCCCCGGATAGCCCTTCTGTGATCAGGATTCTCCAAATCGACCTTTTCTTCCCTCCAGTTTCGCAACAGTATCTTGGTCAGCGACTGGAAGTCGAGCAATGGATGGGCCAGATCCTGTATCGCGGAGCTCTGCATGAGCCCATATACGCTCTTGATCACACCCAGCTCCTGCAGCTGCTTTATGAACTTGGGCCACTCAAAAGCCGCGTCGTTTGCGATGGCATCTCGCATGAGGGCGTTGATAAGCTGCAGCGAGTTGGCACATAGCGCGTGGTCGGCTGAGGTGATCTTTTCGACGAGGGAAGGTAGGAACTCAGGCTGAGTATCGACGGCAGGCTTCAGGCGCTGGAAGCCAGTGGTTCCTTCCTGAGAGTTGCGATGAGAGGGGTGGCCGACGATGGCTGCGAGGACTGACATGGCACCACGATTGACGTTGACGAGAGGTTGGGCGACTACAAGGTCGACTATCTGTTGCACAACTGTTAGATGTTGTTGATGGTTCCTCTCTGGTCTACTCACTCTCGCGACCAAATCATCGGTAACATGGTCCCATCCCTTGTCCAGCTCCAGCAGGCGTGCTAGAGAGGTGAGGCAGTATGCCAGTGTATTGCCTGTGGAATGCAGGGCCAGGAATCTGAGTTTGGGCAGACCGCCTTCGTATATGAAGACGTCGGCAAACGAGGGGTCGCCAATGGCACTCTGCAGCTTGAAGACAGCCATCTTGCGCACCGACTCCTCCTCCGCGCCGAGTCGCGCGACCAACTCGGAGACATTGACGCTATCCATGGCTCACGGCTCGCAGGGTAGGATGCGAGAATGTGGGGTAAGTGTATTGTGGAGATGCTACATTCATCCCAGATCACGCACGAGTGGCAAGCATGACACAATCGCCAGAGGGCCGGGAGTGGTATGCTAAGGGTTGGGGTGGTGTCTGTCTACGCCGTCGTTGATGTTTCACCCTGTCCCTGCGCCGTCGCGCGTTAGTGAGTCGCGACCTTTTGCTTGGCGACACGTGAAGCGTGTTGTGGGGGCCCACTCGCTGGCTGTTGGCTGCCTGCTCAGGTGGCTTGCGCTAGTCAGGTACATGGCCGAGCATCAATCAAGGCCGCCGACAACATCCCATCGCCCTCCAGTCCGTCCTGGTGACCCTCCTCGCCGTCCATCGCTCTGTCCGCTCCCTTCTTGTCTGCTCGCCTTGGCCCCGCCGTCTTCGAGAGCCCCCGTCTTGTTTTTGCCTGGTGTTTCCTTTCCTGTATTGACGCCATCGCCGCCGCCGCCGCCGCCGCTGCACTTTCCGCCGTCGAGCCCGACAACAGCTTCTCCGCTCCGCCGTGACGCTCACCGCAACCCGCCGCCATGGTCTACATCACCTCTGACCTTTTCGGTCCGAACACACCACACGAGCGACAATACGACGACTCGCCAAATTACTGGCATGCCATGGCTCACCAGCAACATGCCGCCGGCTTGGGCAAGAGAAAGAGGATGGCCGCCGATGATGGACCACAACAGTGAGTATTCATGCTTTATCAAAATCAAACCCCAAAACTAACAGCATTTTCAGAAACATAACACGCCAACATCGGCCGTCACCCAGTCGCGACTCCAACCGCCTACATCTCCACAGTACCCCGCCTTTCGACAGCAACAGCAACTTACCCTGCTCCCTCTTCCCATCAAAACAACACGAATACACATCAGAACGACGGCCGGTTAAGCAGTTGAAACGCCTCAGTCCAAAAGCGCCCCTTGTCAAGTCGACATCACATCTGATGGACGTTGACTTTGATCTCCCGCCGATATGCCAGAGCCAATCACACGCCGTTTCCGACTTGCGATCCTGTCACGCCTGCAACAAGGCGCCTAAGCGACGAAAGGACTTGGAGAATTACCTCGACTGCAGGAGGTGCGAAGGGCGGACGTGCTTTATCTGTGCGAGGCAATGTGTAGGGTGCAGCAAGGCCATCTGCAAGAAGTGCATAGTAGAGGTTGGGGAAGAGGGGGATGCTTGGTGTTTGGACTGTTACTCGCGTAATATCAACTCGTGAGCGTCACAAGAGGAGGTTGATTTTTAGTGATTTGGTTTTTTTTTTTGGATTGTTTGCTGGAGCAAAGCGGGCGTTCATGTGTTACTCCCAGCTGCATCTTGTGAGACTATGGAGCGTCATAATTGTTTTTCTTATCGACGGTCCTCGGGCTTTGCCCTAACGAGCATGTCAGCCATTCTACTTTCGCCCTGTGTATATAGCAAGGATCATGAGCATCATAATACAGACTAGATTTCCGGGTCATTGATAAGACCATGTACAATTCGTAGTCCTCATTCTATCATTAAACATACACAGCGCCCAGCAAACCAGGAACGGTTCTAATCCTCATCATCAGTGTCCCTCTCCTCCATGACGCTCTCCGCATCTCCCGCTCGGAGCCTCGAGCGCGAACTTGTCATATCTCCGTCTTCAGCCTGACTATTCCTGGTGCTCCGTCTCCTACTCCTACTGCTGACGATACCAGGGAACAACCTAGGTTCTCCGTCTAGCGTGACAGTGCTCGTTGAGCGCGTCAGACCCTGGTCAGGCTCCTCGTATGCTTCTGTCGGCTGAGCGACTGAGAGAGTGCTGGGGTTGACAGTTATGCTGGAGCTGCCACCGTCTTTAGTGCCCGAAGGCGAGGCTGGCTGGCCGTGCAGACTACCCATGTCGGTTGTCGAGGTCGAAGGCTTGAGGCGGGCAACTTGAGCAGGAGGTAGTTTGGAAAACATCTGGTTGCCGCCTGCAGAAGCGTGCGTGGGAGAGGTGGGGTGCGTTCCTTGGAGCGACTTTGGTGTTTGAGGTACTTCGGATTGCAGGTTAGAGCTCGTGAGATCGTGGCTACCAGATTGTGCGGCGCGTGTATAGCGATCGATCCTATCCGCTGTCAGTATGCAAACCCATCGAACTACATCTTCTACTTGACAAACTTACATGGCTAGTTCACCCATAAGTGTTTCGTGCCGGAATGCCTCGCGAATGCTAGGCACATTGGATCTCGCCATGTCATTGCCAGCGACGCCAGGAAGATGGTAGTTCTTACCCAACCACTTCTGCTTAACAACATGCTCAAAGCCGCTCTGCTCCACAGAATGTTTGGCTAGCTCACACATATCCACAGCACTCAGTTTGTAGATTTGCGCCGCGACCGAGTATTCCTCAATGAGGGGCTCTTTAGTAAAAGCGAACTGCAGAGGATCGTCTGTCGATAGCGAGACGTTGAGACCCCGGCGAAAGTAGCTCAAGAACGGATTGCGTTCGTATGCCAAGAACAGCGCGTTATTGCTAAGAGGCGACATGGCGACACCAATTTGCTCAAGGTAGAAAATGTACTGGAGAAGCGGCACTTTACGGAGCAAGAGGCCGTGGCTGATGCTGTGACAGCATAGTACAGCGGCAGCCAAATGATCCGTGTCGCCAGCCTCTCCACAGTGCGGGCGCAAAAGGAAAGTGTTGAAGCCGCGCTGCTTCCTCCAGACGTTGAGCGACGACATATTAGCGAAGAGGTAGTACATCCAGTAGCTGTATGGCGGGTTCTGCTTTGTAGACCACTCGTTCGGGAACGGAAACTTTCTGTACACACGTCGCTCAACTTTGCTCTCATCGTCGACGCTATCGAACCCAATGACCCTTTGCAGGAAAACGTGAAGCTTAGGGTGACTTGACGGATCTTTGGTGACCTCGAACAAAGGCTGGAACACATTTACGATAACTTGCTGGAAGTTGTCCATGAGGCCAGTAGCCTTGTACACATCGAACAAACGGGGTACTTGGATCAGCCATCGTACATTGGGCGAGAACAGCTTATTGTCAATGACCCAAGCCGCAAGCTTATCCCATTCTTCGATATCTCTACCGTAGATGGAAATGCGCCATTCGACAAATTGGTACTTGCTCGCTTCGAGATCCGATATGACTTCTTTGGTGATTTCAGCCAGGTATCGGCCCTTGACAAAGTTGTCTGTCTTCAAGAAAATGGTTCGGAGACGTGATTCACCAATCGGGTTATACTTCAAGTTGAACTTGTCGAAACGATGAAACGAATCCGTGTGAGCCTACAGAGTCAGCAGATTGTCGCAACATGGAATGTCTGTACTTACATGCATATCTAGAGTATCAATACTCAGATCATACGCGGTCAAGTTGATTGACTCGAACACTTCCCTTAACGTAAGATGTTTGCCATCACGGAACAGTACCACTTCATCCGGAGACTTCTTCATCTTAGACTTGATGAAGCGCAGCAAATGCTTTTGGTTCATGCATGCTGAGTGGTGAACGTGTGTGTCTACCTTTCGGACGTTGTAGAAGTCCCTGTGCGGCACTTTTTTAGTGTCGGCCGTTTCTTGATATTCATTCAACAGGTAGTAAAGGTTGAATTTGCCCTCAAGATATTGGAGACGACGGAAAGCAAAGCTTTTACTCGGTCCATCGGAGGATATATCAAGAATGGCGTCGAGATCGATGTAAAATTCGCGCAATGTAGGAATTGCCACAATAGGCGTGTCGAGCTCAGCAGATTTGGCTGTCTCATACACCTGATAGACACCGCTCTCGTCCAGACGGAACGACATCTCTCCAGGGCCTGGCACCGGAAGGCAGTCTTCCAGATGAAAGTCTTCACCAATGTTGGTTCCCATTTTGCGAGGGGGCTTTGGGGCTTCATTGGGCTCTAGAATCCCGCTGTTCTGCAAGCTGCTGCCCGCATTGCGACGCTCTTTAGACGAGTCGTTCCATACTGGTTCAGGGGGAGTGGGGTAGATGCGCCAAGCGGGGTCATCTTTGGGGTTATCGAAGTTGCGCTGTAGAGACAAGCGAATGTACTTGTGACGAAGATCTAGCACTTTCTGGATATTCGTATAGATTGAGCTAAGCTCAGTGGTGATACTGGAATCATTCATGGCGAAGCCTCCTGCGCCCGTGCCAACACCTATACCTGCGCCCGCGCCGTGGATACCTTCCTCAGTCAAAAGCGGTTTGTCTTCGTGTGGGAGACCAGGGTGTTGCGCATGGGATCGGGCTTGTTGATCGGCTTGGAGAAAGGCGTCGCCGTCATTGCCGGTACCTGCAGTGTTGGCTCCATGTTGAGTCACGTGTCGACGTGGATCCTGTGACTGCTCTGTGTGTGACAAGCCGATAGGTAGGTTGGACCGGTGCCCTTGATTCGCGAGCGTGACGTTGCTCTTCCTAGAGCGAATGCTCTCTGCCTTGCCTTGGAAGTCTACATTGTCTGTGGTGCCAAAGTTGGCGGGAAATGTCTTTGCGCGCATAGCAGGGCTGTATGCCTCTCCTGCTTGTGAGCCTCCATACTGCGTCTCTAGCTGATGCCGTTGGTAGAATTGCTTGGCTTCAGTGTGGCTCATCTGTTTCTCTGCAGTATAGTCATAGAAGGCAGTTCGCCGTTGCTTGTCGCGGGGCAGCATGCCATTGTCGTCCTCTTCCTCATCGCTGGTGCCGGCGTTGTCCTGCGCCGTTGCAGTCGCACCGTTGTTCAGTCGTGTGCGCCCGCTACCGCCAGCCTCGGTTTCAGACAAGTCATGGCTCAGTTCTTCTTCTTCAGAGGAGGGGATTTGGTCATCGTGGGCAGGGCCAAAGTCCGGAGACGCATCTGCGTCGGCAGAAAAGGCTCCTGGTCTCCAAATCAGTCTCTGCTTGTCTCGTATCGAGGAATTGGGATGTACTACCTTTCAACATGGTGCTGTGGAGAGGTGGTAGTTGCGGTTGCTGGAGCGAACACAAACTTTAGAGACGAGCCTCACCAGGAACGCGCCTCGGAGACCGCCGGCCTGTCGCCTGGCCCCGTGCCATTTTGTAAATTATGGATTCGATGACTCCATGGCATGCTCATTCTGCAGACTCTTCTAGTACAAGGACACAACCTATGGCGAACAAGACATGGAGGCTATAAGCATTCATGTTTCATTTGGGAAGTTTACTAGGCTTAGTCGGCCCCTCCATCCTCGGCTTGTGATGCTATCGGCAGGGTCAAGCCATTGTTGCCGAGACAGACATGTATAGCCTGCAATGCCACCTACATGGCATTCTGAAATGTTGTCCTCATGAATGCGCTCTACAAACCAAGATGGAGATACCCGAGGGAACAGGCTCAGACGCCGGATCGGAGCGAGTATTTGGTTAGAACCATCTGCACTCGTTTACGTGTGGAAGCTGCCCCTCCTGTCAATTGGACCATACCCCACAAAGTTATCTCTGCCACATGTGAGGGGAGTACTGTGTCATTGGAGATACCAATAGTGTCGCTTTTCAGCGGGCAGAAGAGGAAACAACATTGATGATAGTCTTATCCCATGCAATACGTCATCAAGAAGTGCCATCATTCATGTCGCAGGCGCTTGAGTGAACGCCGCTCACGTGCTGGATGCTTAGCGCGAATCTATGATCCATGCCCAAAAATTTACCGTATTCCGACTTTTAGCAAGAAGGTCAAACTAGCCAACGTCCTTCATATCGCCCATAATGTAAGACTCGATCCCGTTTGCAATTGGAGTGGTGGCATTAACCTATCAATGCAGGTTTCTTCTTCGCCGTACTGCCGTCCGCGCCATCACTGCGTCGCCTTCCAAGGCTTTCCTTGCGAAGCCCCGATCCATCAACACCGCCACACCCTCTGCCTTCCGTCTAAGACAACAGCAATGGTCAATATCATCTTTCCAGAGACGATTCGCTAGCGATGAAGCTGCAAAGACAGAGCAGGCTGAGGTTGCCGCCGCCGACACCCCAGAGAACTTTGCGCAGACAGCCGCTGAGGCACCCGTCGAGGAGAACTTGACACCGGCTCAGCAAGAAGTGCAAGCCGAGCCCACCGACGCCTCTGCTACCGTTGGTGCCGACGCGCTAGATGCTGCCGTTGAACACGCAGACAAAGGCAGGACGTTTAAGAAGTCACGGACTACACCCCCCAACAACATGCTATACATTGGCAACCTGTACTACGAAGTCACTGCAGAGCAACTGAAGCGCGTCTTTTCCAAGTTTGGCGATGTTGAGAGCACCAGGATTGTCTACGACAACCGAGGCCTAAGCAGAGGGTATGTTGGTCAGCCAGTCTTTGCGCACACGTGCTAACTCTCACGCAGCTTCGGATATGTCGAATTCAAGAACGTCTCGGATGCGCAAGCTGCCCTTGACAACCTCGACATGCAGGTCTTCGAAGGCCGCAACCTGGTCGTCCAGTTCCACCAAGCCAAGCCCAACTCCAGGACCCGCAACACGAGCACAAACAAATTCGAGGCCAACCCTCCTTCCAAGACACTGTTCATTGGCAACATGTCTTTCGAGATGTCAGACAAGGACCTCAACGACCTCTTCCGCGATGTTCGCAACGTCATGGATGTCCGTGTGGCCATTGACAGGAGGACCGGCCAGCCCAGAGGCTTTGCTCACGCAGACTTCATCGATGTTGCTAGCGCCACCAAGGCCAGGGAGGTTCTGAAGGAGAAGACCATCTACGGCAGGCAACTCCGCGTCGACTTCAGCAAATCTGGCACGGAACAACAGCGCAGCAAGCGTTCCGACTCTACCCAGGAGTAAGGGACGACGATAAAAAGAGGCCCAGAACTGTGAGAACATGCAAGGAGAAGGTCGCCTACCCCGTTTCTACAACGATGCATGTACGGCGGAAATGATTGGCATTTCTGCACGATTGCACGACCGGGACATGTAGCCCATTGGCTGCATAATGTGTTGATAGACATGACTTTTGTATCATAGTGGATGAGCGTCTGGCGTTGTTATATTCCCATCTCTCTTTGTGCATGGTAGGGGATCAAGGTTTACAAGAGGCATGCTGACCTAACAAAACTTTGCCAATGTACACTATCGGTCCATGTTGTGAAGAAACTTGGTATGGCGAAATCTACTACTATGTGTTGGCGCAAAGCTGTGCTGTTCCATTCAAGGGCAGATTCACCCGCTCTGTGTGGCGGCTCAGCGACCTCGGCCGCCCCGCGTACCTTCTCCACATGCTGATCAATTAAACCGGCCGACGCGCCTCTAGCACTCACTCGACCCCGACTTGTACATACTCTCTTCTCCCCGTCGTTCGCGTCATAGCAATCGCTTCACCATCTTCTAAATAGTTATCTCTTGCCATGTCTTTTCTCGGTGGCGCAGAATGCTCCACAGGCGCGAACCCGCTCAGCCAGTTCACCAAACACGTGCAGGATGACAAGTCGCTACAGAGAGACCGCCTGGTCGGGCGGGGGCCTGGAGGAACGCAGGAGGGCATGCGAAGCCAGCAAATGGGCGGTCCTTCAGATGGCGTAAGTTGGGAACAGCAGCCGACGACTGCGGGCAAGTGAGAAACATGGCTAATCGTGCGCTGCGTAGATGATGAACGAGTTCATGAACCAGAATGTCCAACTCCCACAGGGACCCGGTCCTGCGTCTCCATTCGCCATGGAGCAGATGCGAAGAGAGCTGGAGCGGACACAGCACAGCGGATCACCAGCATGGGCAGCAGAGTTCGACCCAGGCATGCAAGCGCCACAGATGGGAGGACCGGCCATGCAAGAAAGACCAGCAGGATTTAATCCTGCTGAATTCGCAAAGTTTCAGCAGATGAACCCAGCCGCGCGAACGGCGAGCCCAACTACCGCCTCTCAGCCTTCGATGACAGGATACCAGCGGCCTATGTACGGAATGGGCATGGGCATGGGTAATATGGGCATGGGAATGGGCGGTATGGGCATGATGCAGCAGCCATACGCACCACAGAACTTCCAACAGCCCATGCAGGAAGGCAAAGGCAAGGGGCGCATGGTGGAGCTCGACGATCAGGATTGGGAGGCTCAGTTCGCACAGCTTGAGCAAACAGATCAGCAGGACCTGAGTGCCCTTGACGCCGAGGCGAACAAGGCTATGGAGGCAGAGCTCAACGAAATGGACAGGTCAGTAGAGAAAGATGCCGTTGATTTCGACGATTTCGAGTCCATTTGGAAGGGTATCCAAGCTGAGACTGAATACGCTAGGCAACTTGCCAACGAGGAGAACTTCGTCGAAGGACACATGGGCGACATGGACCAATGGGAAGGCTTCGACGGGCTCAACACACACTCGGTCCGCGATCCGGCAATGGGCGACTACTTATTTGAGCAGGAGAACCTCTTCAAGAACGTTACAAATCCATTTGAGGAAGGTGTGAAGATTATGGAAGACGGCGGAAACCTCTCACTGGCAGCCCTAGCATTTGAGGCAGCTGTTCAAAAAGACCCGAATCACATTGCAGCTTGGGTAAGATTGGGCGAGTCGCAAGCGCAGAACGAGAAGGAAACACCGGCTATAAGAGCGTTGGAACATGCTTTGAAGCAGGACCCGTCTAACCTAGAGGCTCTCATGGGTCTGGCTGTATCCTACACGAACGAAGGCTATGAGAGCACCGCATACCGAACCCTGGAACGCTGGCTGGCCACCAAGTACCCGTCACTAATCAAAGAGCCACTTTCTTCAGATGCCGAGATGGGCTTCACAGACCGCCACCTGCTTCACGAGAAAGTTACAAACCTCTTCATCCAAGCCGCACAACTCTCGCCAAGTGGCGAGCAAATGGATCCCGACGTGCAAGTAGGCTTGGGTGTGCTGTTCTATGGCGTAGAAGAATATGACAAAGCAGTCGACTGTTTCGGTGCCGCTCTTGCGTCCACAGAATCCGGCGTCTCAAACTCTTCATCACAAGTCCATCTTCTCTGGAATCGCCTCGGTGCAACCCTCGCAAATTCAGGCCGCAGCGAAGAGGCCATTGACGCCTACTCGCGCGCTCTCGCACTCCGACCAAATTTTGTCCGCGCACGCTACAACCTCGGTGTGTCATGCATCAACATTGGTTGCTACACTGAAGCCGCACAGCACTTGCTCGGTGCGCTAGCTATGCACAAGGTCGTCGAGCGTGAAGGTAAGGAGAAGGCTAGGGAAGTTGTTGGCGAGGGTGTCTCTGACAGCCAACTTGACAACATGATTCACCAAAACCAAAGCACAAACCTGTACGATACGTTACGAAGAGTGTTCGGTCAGATGGGCCGTAGGGATCTCTCTGATATTGTGGGTCCAGGCATGGATGTTGAGCGTTTTCGAGGCGAGTTTGAGTTTTGAAAAGCATGGTAGCGAACGTGTTGTCACAGCAAAACCAGAGGGTGAGTATCATGCCGATGAGAGCTACGATGACTGGCTTTTACAAAGGAAAGTCAAGAGACTACGAGTGGATGAATGGGATGATGGGGATCTCGGCGATAGTTGTTGCTTTGGCACACGAACGGTGGAGGTTGGTACGGATTGCGTTTGGAAGCTGCATGGAGGCGTTTAAATCATCGAAGACGCATAGCCGATCGCTACGATGTCGATATTACCTTGTCCCTCTCTGGCTCACATAGATCCAAGTACTTGATCTCTCTTCATTGTTGCTCAAAAACCCCGATCAGTTCTCATAGGAAATATGTAGACATGTGCTGAAAACATAATGTCAGAAGCTTGCAAAGTTGTACAGTGATGAGTCGATCATGCATTGTTCACCACTTTACTTTATATCTAATACATAGGAGAATATTTGCGTGCTTGAAGGCGATGACCCCAACCCAGCCACGTCCAAAGGCAGAAAACACTATAAAATACATTGAAACCTCTGAATCACACTACCAGCACTCCACGCTGTGCAACGTTTTACCCTAGTTAACCCAATAGAAAGTTCTCCAACCCCGCACCTACGTGCATCTTCCACTCATGCTCCATCTATTTAGCAAAATGCAAGTCGTAGCCGAGCCACTTCCTTGACTGAACTTGGGGAACAGTAAGACCCGGGCTACCGTACGTGAGCGGTGCAAAGAAGAGGAAGCACCAGAAGACGGCAGCAAGGATGACGCCACAGGCGATCCAGCTGCCCGCCAGGCTGGAAGTAGCAACACGCTCGCGAACAGGACGTGAGCGAGTGCGGCGGTGACCCTTGGCAGAGGCCGGCATCTCGGGATCCTGAGGTTCAATGCAGAATACAAATTCTACTAGCGCGCCAGTGACTAGACAAGATGCGAGATGTGCAGGGAGGTAGTGGTGCAAGAAGAGCTGACGACCCATGATATAAAAGGGAATGTAATGGGCAGCCCAGGTAAGGAAGAAGAATCCAGTGGAGTTGTAAAGACGAGAGCGAGTGCCTACAGACATGAATGTTAGAACCTCCCCTTCAAATACAAATGCCAAGATGAAAGCGAATAATCTGGGTTGAATGTAGGGTGACAGTAACTTACGATCATCAAGGGCATCCATGCCACGGCGGAGAGCTAGTTGATCGGCACCAATGATGCCAGCAAAGACAGCAAGGAGCGAGGAAGCAAGCCACCATCCAACAGGGTTACCCAGGAAGTAAATCTGTTGGCGAGTATCGTTGTGGGTCCAGAAAGATACACCGCGAAGCAGGAAAGGCCAGGAAATGGGTTGAGATGCATATGGATGCGAGCTAGTCAAGGCGTTGTTGTGGTGGAACATGGCGCGCTGGAGCTCAACCCACTTCCTGAGGAAGCTCAAGTGCTTGACCTGCTTGGGCTCCTTCTTGTTGCGCTCGTCCTCAGCAGGAAGGGATGGAATGTCATCCACATACCAGAGATTGCTGGATTGTTGGACAGCCTTGTTGCCATTAATCTCAGCCTGCTTGTAGGCCCAGTCAGGGAGAGGCTTAGTGTGGGTCCACATGGCAACCTTTGTTGGCACGTGAACTAGCTTGAAATGAGTTGACATGGTCTTGAAATCGCCCTTGCCCTTGTCGACCTTCAGCTCGAAGAGAGTGTCGTTGTAACGTGTGCCAGCTGCTTCTTCCTTGTTCACAGTCGTGAACTCTTGGTTGGTGGGATAGTAAGGAGAAGCAACGTCATGTGTCAGGAGAATGGTGTCTGTGATCAAATGGCGAAGACGGATGGTATCTCCGACCTTGACGCGTTGACCGACTTCGCTTGACAAGGGCTTTGAAGGAAGGACCTGCCAGTGGTTGTTGGTGTCATTGTGAGGATACCCTGTAACCTGCTGTCCCTGCGAAGAGACACGTCCATCGTCGTAGCGCAGCGGGTAGCGGTCGGGATGGCTGTGAAGATAGACCTTGGTCTCCTTGTGGCGAATGGTGATGGAATCGTAGTAGTTGATGCCAACAGACTGGAGGCTCATTACATTGTCGCTTAGAGTTTCCTGGAATTCTGGGGTCATGAAGTCGTCACCAGGTCCAGATCGAGTGAGAATGGCGAAATGCACCTGGAACCAGAAAAGGTATAGGAAGAAGGGAACGATGACCAAGCCAACAGCACGGGCGGCGAAGTGTTTGCCAAACTCGGCCAGAGTCAAGGCTCCCTGTCGTCGGTTGACATCCATCAAGTCCCAAAGGTCAATCATGACCGGTACACCAATAGAGAAGAAAGTGAAGACACCAACGTACTTGATGGAGATGACGCAGCTCAGGCTGATGCCAGTCAGAAGGAGCCACTTCCACCATTTCCGTCCAAAAGGAACGTGTCGCTCTTTGTAGAAGCGAATGTAAGAAAGCACAGAGAGCGCCATGAAGAAAATGAGCGAAGCATCGAGGAGGATCAGACGCGTCTGACCAATGTGGGCGTTGTCAAGAAGCATAAGACCGGCGGCAGTGATGCAGGCGGGTAGCGAATAGCCGGATTCCCACATGATCATGAAGACAATGGGAACAGTAAGAGCACCGAGCGAGGCGGGCATGGCGCGGTATGCGACGTAGGGGACCTTGTTGGTGATGTAGGAATCGCCAATGTTCTCGAACAGGAAGTCACCCTTGTATCCGACGAGCCAGCCAGCGAGGGCAAAGAGGAGCTTTCCGAGAGGAGGATGGACATCGAAGAAGTAGGTTCGTTGCAGGTAGTACGAAGCGAACTGCAAGCGCGATTAGCTATCTATAAGAGCCCTGGTGATGATATACGCACCTTTCCAAAGTGCACTTCATCAAACACAACCTGGTCGGGATGTCTGATCCCCCAGAAGCGCGTGACGAAGGCCAGAACGGTCATTACTGCGATGGCGAGCTTGTAATCCCATTCTTTGCCCTGCTGGACTTGGGCCGGCTTGTATGGTTTGGCCTTCTCGACAACATTGGCGACCTTCTCCGACACCTTTTCGGCAAGAGCTTCTGGGTTTGGTGAGGCTCCTCGCTTTTTGTCCTTGCCTGGGCGCTGGCGGACGCTACCAGCAGGTGAAGACATGGTGGGCTATAGCTCGATGAAGCTACCTGTTGTTCTGGCTGTTAGCTTGCAATGCTGCGGCACGGTTAAACAAGTTGAGGTGCACTCACCTCCCACAAAGAAAAGAACGGGTTTGATGGAATTGAAAAGAGAGTTGGGGTTGCACTCTAAGAGACACGACACCTAATCGCGAGTTCAGGGTCCGGAAGAGCCAATCCCTAATAGGCTCTCTCGCTTGCACTTGGCCCCTGCATTAGCGGTCATTGGTCCACCACGATCACAGCCCCCCAGCGAGGGGTAACGGAGCTCTGGTGAGAGTGATTTCGGATATCTATTCTTGGCACGGTGATGTGAACGATCTTCATGTGCTCTATGTGTTCCGAGATACCACCGTCGCCTACTTCCTTGCAAAACATCGCCGGGGTAGGTCTAGATTGCCGTCGACACCACGTCATCAAGTCCCTTCAAGTGGTATACATTCTGCAATCACTGACGCTTCTTTCCCTGTTCGGCTTCCAGCTTCTTTTGCTGTGGAATGCGATACGACGTTTCCCATCCGTACAGAGCGCCTGCACCAAACACCATTGCCGCGCCAACCTTCATCAACCCACTCATCTGGTTCCCGAAGAGCCAGATACTCAGCAAGAAGCTTACCAGTTTTCTGATGTTCAAAACTATCGTAACAGTAACCGCAGACGTGTTTGCACTAAGCATGTTGACGCCAGTGATGCAAAGTAGTTGCGTCAGGGCATTGGCGGTAAGGTAGATGACGTGCTGCGATGTCGAGGCCAAGATACTGTTGACAATTGGCGGAAGGCTTTCGGCCACCTTAGGTGGCACCTCGAACGACTGCGATGCCTGTAGGCGCTTAAACTGTTGGGTCAAAACTGGGGTGAATCCCGCGAAGAACGGAATAGACAGCAGGTGGGAGTAGAAGAGATTGGCCTGCCAGTCCTTGCCATGCTCGCGATAAACGTCTTCGACATAGGCTCCCATCCATGCAGAGAGCAATTGAGCAATAAGTAGGATGGCGAGACCAGCTTGAAGCGACGAGTTGGACTCGCCGGAACTCGAGGCCTCCATATTCTTGCCCTTGATTCAGGATCAGCATCTGCGAATGATTGATGGTACATATAAGCTTACCTTCGATTGCGCATCTGCCCATGCGGATACCATGACGCCTAGCGTCAGAATTGCGACCGAGAAGACTTGTAAAGGAGTGTATCTCTTGCCACGAAGCCATCCAGCCGCCATAGTAGTCACACTACCAAAGCTCCTGAGGATGATGTGAACGGGGACGGAGATACTGAAAGCAAACGCCCAGTTGTTTAACATGTTGACTGTGAAGAACAACGCAGCGCTGACGCACCACTTTCGGAAAGGGACCGGCGAGCTCCTCAAAAAGTAGCGACCGTTTGGGTCGAACTGGTAGTGCAATGTTGATAGACATGTAAACACAAATTGGAAGAGCGTGATGAGTAAACCACTATCAGGCTCCTGTCTGAAGTGCTGTCAGCGGTTATGCTACCAACGACAGCTCGAACCTATTTACTTTACTATCGCTTCCAAGCAGTAAACCTTTGTATTCTTTAGTATTGTTTTCGCAATGCCGTTGACAAACTTACATTGGCACAGCATCCTCCAAAAATGAGCGAAAAGCTGCTGATAACGGGGGCGATAGCGGCCATGCTGAATGTCAAGGAGCGCAAGAGCTGAGATGAATTGCCGAAGTGGGATTTGAATAGTGTCAGACTTTTGAAGCAAAAAAGTGGTCGAGCTGAGATTGTTAGACAAGTGACGTAGGTGAGTGACAGATGACGGTAAGCTGGCAGGTGCACAAAGTACCGAGAACCGTATAGAGCGTAAGGCGAGCCCACCCTCTGTGCGCAAGTCTTGCAATATATGCACTTACATGAAAAACGATTGTAGGATCGTTCTATGTGGTTACCATAGCTTGCGATTTTGTGAACGTTGCAGAGGGAAACTTGAAGCCGTGAGACGCAACGTGGAAGTCTGGGATGTCAAGAGCCTCACCACGGACGCTAACGGGATCAACCTTGGGTCTTGCCGGATCAAGCAAATTTCTAGAACAAAGCTTGAATTTGAAAACCTTCACGCATCTGATGGAAGAAGTCGATTGATTTGATTGACAGAAATTTCCCGCTCATGCTGCGGAGAGATGCATGTACGCATTGTTAGTATGCTTGTCATGTATTGTTAGATTTGGCCCAGCACTTCGAGGGCTGCCTCATGCAATGTGAGACCAACACTCATTATTTATAGTTTCTTTTATTCTTTCTCTGCACCACTCAGAGTCATTATAGTGGTGTTGCAATCTACACTGATCTGCAGCTGTCCGGTCGTTGACCACGTTGCGACGTCCCTCATCTGCATTCTCACGCCAATTCGCCAAGAATGCTCCTGTTCTATCATCCTAGCGCCGCCTGGCAGGCTGCTGCCAACATTGAAAGGAAGATGGAAGGGTAAAGATGACCAAGAACCTAACAGGCTAATGCTCCGGTTTACATGTATCCTCTGGCGATATTCGTGAATCAAGACTGTCCTTACAATGCGGAGAAGACGAAAAGCTGCAGATTGTCAGTATGGTCATTATTTTAGGAGGACAGATATGCTTACGTTGTTTGTTGCCGCGATAGCGATGCTGTCTTCGAATGGATGCCAGCTCATGTGTAAGATCTTCTTGTTGAAGTCGATCTGGTCTGCGTCTGTTTCCTTCCTCATACGTTGCCCTTGTCCAACTGCACCAGCAGCGGGGCTGCCGGCTCTCGAACCACCCTTCTTACTTGTGTTGCTACCTGTCGGGCTTGTCGACGAGTTCATGGGTGTTGGAATTCCAACCTTCTTGGCTTTGAAGGCAGACTTATCTGCCTGTAATACTACCTCGGTATCTTTGTCGTTGTCAGACGGGTATATCATGAAGTTGTTGTTGTAACTGCCAGTCATGACATTTTTCGCGTCTCCAGAGAAAACGACCTCGAATTTGTCGAAGATGCTGTCGTTTTCGTAGGTGTCGCAGAGCCTTGGTCGGAGATGCTCGTGAATAGGAATCGTCTTGACTGGGGACTTCTCCATGTTGACATCCCAGATCTTGACTGTCAAATAGTCGCGTGACAAGATGTATCGCCCGTCATGAGAAAACCGTACGTCAGAGATGGATGAGATGATCTCGGAGAAGAAGGATCGCGAAGATGGGTCTTCCTCCTGTTCGAATTCTAAGGGCAGAGGTTAGCATTGCTTTCGGGCAAGCAGTCGACGACTTACGCTTCGCATGCTGGTCGCACAATGCACTCTCGCGCATGTCGGCCAGCTTGATCGTGCCCTTGGAACTTGCGTACATGAACCAATTGCAGCTGATCGGATGGAATTCCGCAGCCGTGATGACCTCTGTAAGCTCTTCCATGTTGGCCGGCTTGATATCGACAATGTTGAAGCTCTGGTCTTGGATGTTGAGGTTCCAGAGGTTGATTCGCAAATCGTCGCTACTAATGAATGTCTCTCCATCGCTGTTGACCGATATGCTGTTGATGTGGTAGGCGTGTGCGTTCGCATACGTCTTTCGTGGTACTGCAGCAACAACTGTGTCGTGGTGTGTGAGCCGTGGAAGCTTCAGGTCGGTGGCGCTGCGGAACTGTGCGTTCGGGTTCCTGACGGGACCGCCTCCACCAGCAACCCCACCTCCAGGTGTCAACTCATGCGACAGGTTGTTCTCCGCCACCACTTTTAGCGACTTCTCAAATACCTTCCATAGCTTGATTGTCTTGTCATTTGTGGAGAGCAGGTAGTGTGAGGCGTTTTGCCGGCGGCACCACTTGATCTTATTGATCTTCTCTTCGATCTCGAGAGACTTCAGGTAATCGAACTCAGGCTCGTGCGATTGGAACTCGGTGTGGAACTTGTACTCGCAGGTTTTTTTCTGCATAATGTTAGTCTTTCCGATGGTGAAGGCTTCTAGCAGAGAAGGAGCATACCGTCTCGTTCCTTTCGAACAGGACCACACGGCCACCCTTGTCACCAGTTGCGAGGTAATTGCCCGTCTGGTCGAACTCGACGGTTGAGATGATGTCGGCTGCGCTCGCTGTCAGCAATTGCATGCAGGTATTAACGAATGTACAGAGGACGGGGCGGTAAGAAATGGGTACGTACCTTCGGTTATATCTTCAACATCGCCTTTGTCGCCGAAGCATCTGGTCAAGTCAGTGGCGTTTCCAGAGCGGTCTGAGCAAACTAGCAGGCACGGGGATGGGCAAGCCGGTAAAGCTGACAGCGATAGGTAGCGTACAGAGAGGTACGTACTGTGTGAACTTCCACGTCGTGGGGTTGCCTTCGGCTTCTACCATGATTCTAGACAAGGATTGCGGAGCAGCAGCGGCGTGCGATCAAGGGTAGCTAGTGCTCCGATGTGCTGGTTAAAGAATGGTGTATATGTATTCAGTAAGCGATCTGTCGAGCTGGTAGTAGGGCCGTGGTGAGATAGCGCCGCCAACGTCGAGGGTGGTGGATGGGTGATCGATGGGGAATGATGTAGTGGGAGCGGTGTCTGCTGGTCGAGTGGCCAATAGCGGGGTCAGCGGTGGGTTGGGCTTGTTGTTGAGCTCCGGTAGAATCGACTCAGCGGCAGAGTGACGAGGGCGGGCGACGATGCAGGGAGCAACAGCGCAGGTACAGAGACAAAGCGTGTTAGTTGATACCTCGATTCACTGCTTAGTGGGGGAGGCGCGCCTTCCACGTCCGGCCTTGGCACGACGGCGCGCCTGCCCCAACGCAGTTTAGCGCCCATCTGCTCGGCTCCCACAACGAATATTCGTTTTCGCTGTCAGTCCGAACTTCTGACAACTTCGACACTACTAACCATAGCACATCGAACTCGCCATGTCCCACAGGAAGTTCGAAGCTCCCCGCCACGGGTCTCTGGCATTCTTGCCGCGAAAGCGCGCTGCCCGTCACCGGGGTAAGGTGAAGAGGTAAATTCCCATGGCACCGCCGCCCAGCGCCGTCCGACAGCCTGCTCACTGCAATTACCAGCTTCCCTAAGGATGACCCCAAGAAGCCCGTCCACCTGACGGCCGCCATGGGCTACAAGGCCGGTATGACCACAATCGTCCGCGACCTTGACCGTCCTGGTGCGAAGTTGCACAAGAAGGAGATTGTCGAGGCCTGCACAGTCATCGAGACTCCTCCTGTACGCACAGCCGACCCCAACCAATTTTGGCGCACCACTAACACGACCGCAGATGATCGCTGTCGGTCTCGTCGGCTACATCGAGACCCCCCGCGGTCTCCGCTCGCTCACCACCGTCTGGGCCGAGCACTTGAGCGACGAGGTCAAGCGCCGATTCTACCGCAACTGGTACAAGAGCAAGAAGAAGGCCTTCACCAAGTACGCCAAGAAGCACTCTGAGGAGAGCGGTGCCTCCATCACCCGCGAGCTCGAGCGCATGAAGAAGTACTGCACCGTCGTCCGCGTTCTCGCCCACACCCAGATCCACAAGACCCCTCTCAAGCAGAAGAAGGCCCACCTTATGGAGATCCAGGTCAACGGTGGCAGCATCGCCGACAAGGTCTCCTACGGTCACGGTCTGTTCGAGAAGCCAATTGAGATCAGCTCCATCTTCGAGGACAACGAGATGATCGACGTTATCGCCGTCACCAAGGGTCACGGATACAACGGTGTCACCTCCCGTTGGGGCACCAAGAAGCTCCCGCGTAAGACACACAAGGGTCTCCGTAAGGTCGCCTGTATCGGTGCCTGGCATCCTGCCCACGTCCAATGGACTGTTGCCCGTGCTGGTCAGATGGGTTACCACCACCGTACCTCTGTCAACCACAAGATCTACCGTATCGGTAAGGCTGACGACGAGGGTAACGCCTCAACCGACTTCGACGTCTCCAAGAAGCGCATCACACCGTAAGTTATTCTGTCTTTCCAAACGCCGATCACTACTAACATGTACCAGCATGGGTGGCTTCGTCCGCTACGGTGAGGTCAAGAACGACTTCGTTCTCCTCAAGGGTAACTGCCCTGGTGTCAAGAAGCGCGTCATGACCCTGCGCAAGTCCATGTTCACCCACACCAGCAGGAGGGCGCTCGAGAAGGTCGAGCTCAAGTGGATCGACACCTCTTCCAAGTTCGGTCACGGTGCTTACCAGACACCGGCAGAGAAGAGGCAATACGAGGGTGTCCTCAAGAAGGACCTCCAGACTTCGTCTTAGAAGTCTTGAGGTGGTGCTACGGAGTGCATGCTTTCTTCTCATGGGCTTGGGCGCACGGGATAGGTCTACAACATGGATGCCAGCCATGAGCGATTGAACAAAAAATTCAACGATTCCCCAATTCAAAATGCGTTTCTCGTGTTGTGATGTACATGATCGTATTTTGCATCAGCAGCTGCAAAATCGTTTTCCGTGATGTCTCTGTGCGGCCTGGTTTCGCGTAGCTAGTAGTACGTTTGGTGTAGGGCGTGGGTGGGCGGAACACGGGCAAATGGTTCAAACTCGCAACCTGACGGCGCACAGTAGAAAGCAGAAGTAAATCATTAGAATTGGTATTCTCGTGGAAATCGACTCTTGCATAAATGTGGTGTCCAGACCAGGCTTTACTAAATAACAGGGGCCGAATACATACTAACATTAGTAGGAACCCTTGTACTTGAATACGCAACTTGCGGAGAAGATTCCCTAGTACAAATGGCTGGGGAAGGGCCGTGTGATCGTGTGAGAAGGTCTATGACGACGACGAATTAGGCTCCATATCTGGAGCGCCAGCGGCAACAATTGTCGGCCAGGCAAGTCGCATGAGTCAGCCCAAGTGACAGCAGTTGTCATGTGCCTCCTAAGTACCAACATGGCTTTGAGTGTCCAAAGTTGGGCGGTATCGAGCAAACAGCTGTCTTGTGTGGCTAGAAATCGTTGGCAGGATTCTGTCTGTAGCCATGGACGTATTGTGCAGCAAGGCGTACGCGCAAACTCAGGGCACGTATGTTAATAGCCTATATGGACTGCGTGACCCTGGGATGGAGGCAAACGTGCATCGCGTTCATCAAGAAGAAAAGCCGGAATGAATGGCAGGTACTTGAGAAGCAATGCAGCCGAGGCCTACCGATCCAATTAGCGCCCTCCGATTTTAGTTTGTAAGTAACGCCGTCGGTCGCAACTGCCATCATTGACCTCCAACTTCGAATCCACAAGGACCTTTCGCACTCCCGTATACTCTCCGCTCTTCGGCTACCGCCAATATGAGTTGTCTCAGGATGCGTCGTACGCAGCTTGCAAGCCAGGTGAGTTTCTGCACGCTTTCCATGCCACACGTTCGCAGTCGACGGTCGATAAACTCGGCATCCGCCGCACCGAGGCGTGTGCCACATCCCACATGGCTTTGGCACATTGTCGCACGTCAACACGACACGCTTGCAGTAGCAGACAATGCCCTTGAATCTTTCATATTCTCCTGCAATTCTCTCCTGGTTCAATGGCTAACATTCGCCTCATAGCTCGCGAGGAGCTTCCGCCCAACCACACGAGCTTTCTCTTCAACCCGGCCAGCGCAACGCATTTTCGCTACTGAGAACCTGAGGGCAAAGGAAGCGTCGGGTTTCATTTCCAGCAAATACCCCGTCATCGACCACGAATACGATGCCATTGTTGTTGGTGCTGGAGGAGCTGGTCTTCGCGCCGCGTTCGGTCTCGCTGAAGCTGGTTTCAACACCGCCTGTATATCTAAGCTTTTCCCCACACGGTCGCACACAGTTGCCGCACAGGGTGGAATTAATGCTGCGCTTGGAAAGTATGTAGAGACGACGGGTGTTTATTAGAGGTTACAGAAGCTGACGAACATGTGTAGCATGCATGAGGACGACTGGCGGTGGCATATGTACGACACAGTCAAGGGATCCGACTGGCTTGGCGACCAGGACGCCATTCACTACATGACAAGAGAAGCGCCTCAATCTGTTATCGAACTCGAGAATTATGGTTGCCCATTTTCGCGAACAGACGACGGCAAGATGTACAAAGAACCCCTCGCCTGAATTTTGTAGAACATACTAACGCACTACAGCTACCAGCGTGCTTTCGGTGGACAGTCCCAGAAGTACGGAAAGGGTGGTCAAGCATACCGATGCTGTGCTGCCGCTGACCGTACCGGCCACGCTCTCCTCCACACTCTCTACGGACAATCGCTACGACACAACACCAAGTACTTCATCGAGTTCTTCGCCACGGATCTAATCATGGAGGACGGCGTCTGCAAGGGTGTTGTCGCATACAACCAGGAAGACGGAACCATCCACCGATTCATTGCCAAGAACACTGTATTGGCCACTGGTGGCTACGGACGTGCCTACTTCAGCTGCACATCTGCCCACACCTGCACTGGTGACGGTATGGCTATGGTTGCTCGCGCGGGTCTTCCCAACCAGGATCTGGAGTTCGTCCAATTCCACCCTACTGGTATCTACGGTGCTGGCTGCTTGATCACTGAGGGATCCCGCGGAGAGGGTGGTTACCTCCTCAACTCTGAGGGTGAACGGTTCATGGAGCGTTACGCGCCTACTGCCAAGGATCTTGCGTCCCGCGACGTCGTATCGCGATCGATGACCCTGGAAATCCGTGAAGGCCGTGGTGTCGGTCCTGAAAAGGACCATATCTACCTCCAGCTCAGCCATCTGCCCGCCGAGGTTCTCCATGAGCGTCTACCTGGTATTTCTGAGACTGCCGCTATCTTCGCTGGTGTCGATGTCACCAAGCAGCCCATCCCTGTTCTCCCCACGGTCCACTACAACATGGGTGGTATTCCTACCAAGTACACTGGTGAGGTCATCACTCAAGATGCCCAAGGTAATGACCAGGTCGTCCCAGGTCTGTTCGCTTGTGGTGAAGCTGCCTCCGTCTCCGTCCACGGAGCCAACCGTCTTGGTGCCAACTCTCTCCTCGATCTTATCGTCTTCGGTCGTGCTGTTTCCCACACTATCCGCGATAACTTCAGCCCTGGCCAAAAGGCTGATCCCGTCTCCGCTGATGCTGGTGCTGATTCCATCTCCGTTCTCGACCAGATCCGTACATCTGATGGCCCCAAGTCGACTGCCGAAGTCCGCCTCCAGATGCAGAAGGTCATGCAGACCGACGTTGCCGTCTTCCGAACTCAAGAGTCCCTCGATGAGGGTGTCAAGAAGATCCACGACGTCGACGCTGACTTCGCCAACGTTGGTATCAAGGACCGCAGCATGATCTGGAACTCCGATCTTGTCGAGACCCTCGAGCTTCGTAACCTCCTCACTTGCGCCGTTCAAACCGCCGAATCCGCCGCCAACCGTAAGGAGTCACGAGGTGCCCACGCCCGTGAGGATTTCCCCGACCGTGACGATGAACAATGGATGAAGCACACACTGTCGTGGCAGAAGAAGCCCCATGGTGAGACCCAATTAGGCTACAGGAAGGTCGTTGGTACTACTTTGGATGAGGCTGAGTGCAAGGCTGTACCGCCGTTCAAGCGTACGTACTAGAGGATTGGCTGGGTTAGAAAGGAAAGTGAGGGATGTGTTTTGTATTCTATGTACTTCGGATGACGGATTGCATGTTTTAGCATGTTTGAGAGCATAAATCGTTCTGGATTGAGAATCGAATCTCCCAAGTTTGATCGCTATATTGTGTTCAAATCGAGAACCTTTGTTGAATAGTGCAGTGCTACTGAATGCTGCACTCGGTATTGAGTAGTCGTCCTTGCATGTTGGATATACCATCGCCCTAGCATAGACTGTTGTGGAGACCCGGAGTCTGTTGACTTAGTAAGCGCGAACTGTTCCGCTCAGCACATCAATGTTTACCCAACATTTCAACGCCAATATCAACCTCATCTATAGAGGCTATTAAGGAGAACATCATCAACTCACCGAGGCATGACTATGGCATGTCGGTGCTTAGTGAGAGACAACCCTCTGCAAAAAGAAAAGAGCTCCTGCCATGTGCAATCAAGGCTAACTTTTAGCCTTCTACATCTTTACAGGGGGGCTGGTGTGGCTGCCACCACAGAAAAAGTTGATTTGTTGATGGCGACGTTACGAGTTTCGAAGCTGTTCACTAACTAACTTAACATTGCGATAGTTTTTGTTTGAACAGATGCTAACGTTGTGCTAGTTTTCGATCGATCGGCTGCTTTTCTGTATTATGTTAGTACTACCATCGACCCCGGAAATCACAGACGCTTGATGGGGACCCGTGAGCGCGATGTTGTTTCGGTGGATTAGACGTTCCGCTCAGAATATAATTCTGAACGCGCGGCTTGTCAACATCATACAGCTGGCCTTGTCATTTTGCTACTCAACTATGAATAGTCAGTGTACCGCCATTGCTGGAGCGGCCGAGAGGAACAATCTAGCAGCCTCACGCAAAGACCTACGAGTGGCCCGCCTCCGTGGAAGACCAACGCGAAAAGTACTTCGTTCAGCTGCCATATCGCTGGTCGCTTCCTCCAGTAGCAGCGAGCAGCCATCTACACTGGCTGTTGTCCCAGAGCATATACATCGTCCGTATCAACAAATATTGTCGAGATAGTAGAGCCACGAAGAAGGAATCTTACACGCCAATCGGATTTTCGGCAACAAGCTTCAGAATTCCAATTGTTTTTGTTTTTGTGTTCTTATAAGTTTCGTGTCCTGGATAAGGCGGAAGATGATGAGAGTTCACATACCGTTCCCAGCGTCGTGTGGTTTAGTCATTAGTGCGATGTGCCATCCGCACCAGACCAGAGACGATATCGATCCACATTTGCGACCTGTTCTGTGGGGTGTCACAGACGGGGCCATGTATGAAGGGCAGAAGCACTGTTCACCATCACTAGAGCTTGCAACGATACTAAAGATTGGAAAGAAATTTCTTTGAGTATCTTGGTAAGAAGTGACAGATATTGCAACAGAAACACCACTAAGCGCTCGTAGTGAGACCCACATAATTCTACATTTTCAATGCTTGGCAGGCAATGCGGAGAATGAAGAGTATGAAGAAGACCACGACTAGTGTACCTGGCAACTGAAAACCGACATACTGGGCAGTGAGACATAGAACTGAAAGTCGCGTTATTGATACATTTCCAGCTCTTCTTCTGTGTGCTTGGCGTGATACCCAGATTGATCTCAGCGCCTAGGAAACTGCAAGCGCGATGCTGGCGCTAACGATACCGACACATGGGATCTGGTACCCGGCTGAAAATGGCGGACAAGAAATGAAGGCTTCGTAGGGATCCTTCAAGGATCTGTCAGCGTACTCCGCAGATGGAGTTAGCTAAAGTCATGTTACCATCTACCGAGGCTTGTTGTCAATTCCGCCTAGGGGCGGAGTCAAGTTTCAGGCCACATTCCTGCAAAACATGTTAAGTTCGTTACACTGTTACGCGCACAGACACGATGTACGACAAGATGTACGATGCGGACGAAAGCAGAAACCCCTGTTTGCCAGTCATCGATCTACTGGCTTGTCAAGAAGATGCCGCGGACGAAAGCGGGAGCCCCCGTACGCTGCATTAGCGGTTGGGCTACTAGTCCTCTCAGCAGCTATTAATCATCAGCAGTTATTAATCAGGACATAAACGCACGCATACATATAACTACAGGTTGACTTGCAAACAATGATGTCAAAGCAAGTCAACACCATTTCAAAACGTGCTGTATCAGCCTCTAAGACCTTAGAGAAAACAAAACAAAAATGGTCCGACTGTTTCTGTAAGTCTCCTTAAAATCGCTCAGGTATCCGATCTAATGGATATCTCTGCTGTAGTCTCGGCGTCACTGGCTGGGTAGGTAGCTGTGCTGCCTACACAGTTGCAGCGGCGCATCCCGAATACGAATATACCGCGCTCGTACGCAGCGAGGCCAAGGCGGAGAGTGCTAGGAAGTTCCTGCCTGGACACACTCGCTTTGTGATTGGCGATTTTGACAGCTTCGACCTGATCGCCTCAGAAGCGGCAGCCGCAGATATTGTTTTGAACTGGGCTAGCAGCGATCACGACGGACTCAACAATGCTGTGATCGCAGGCTTGAAAAAGAAAGGCAGCCAATGCTATCTGATACATACTTCTGGGACTGGTCTCTTAACCTACGAAGATGCAAAGAACAACCGTGAGGCGCAAGCGAGTTCCAAGGTATATGACGACTGGGAGGGTGTGAGCGAAGTTGTGGGTTTGCCGGATGACGCAATGCATATGAACGTGGACAGAGTCATCCTAAATACCGCGTCAGAGAATCCTTCTATCCGCACCGCAATCGTCGCGCCGCCTCTGATTTATGGAGTCAGCGCCAACAAGAATGCGGCCCGTGAACGAAGTGCGGCGAGACAAATGGTCATCGATATCTTGAAACATGGCAAAGGATTCTTCATCAACGAAGGAAAGGCGCGTTGGAACACAGTTCACGTGGACGATCTCGCCCGTCTGTACCTGATCATCGTGGAACAAGCAGCACAGGGCGGTGGGAAGGCGACATGGGGTTCAGAATCCTACTACTTTGCTGAGAATGGGGATGTCTGCTTCGAGGAGCTTGCGAAAGAAATTAGCCGTATAGCCTGGGAAAAGGGACAACTCTCAACGGACGAAACAGAAAGCCTCACTACAAGCGAAGGGAATAAGCTCTTCCCTTTTACAACCACGATGACGCTGCGAAACTCCAGGTCGAAAGCTGTTAGGGCGCGGGAGTTACTCAACTGGAATCCGGTCGAAATTGGTGTTGTCGAAGACATAACCAAGAACTGGCGATTCAATGCCGAGGAGGAAAATCCATTCTTCTAAGTGCACTTTAGAAAGCCATAGCTACACGTTGCTGCCCCTAGACAGATATGTATATCCCTTTTGATTGAAGAACCTGATCATCGAGTTCTTGAGTTTCTGACGAAGATTCCAAAATATCTTTGAGTAAACTGATGTGCTGCGAGATTGGCTTTCCCACAAGCTTTGGCAATGAAAATACTGGAAAAACCCTCTTTAAGCAAGATTCTCATAACGAAGAGCATTGAAAACACTTTGAAATCTTAGACATGTACAGTACTTTTTGTCGATTCTCCAGGCTCTTTTTACCGACAAATAAGAATGATGACCCATAGACAAAGGATGCAAGATTGAAGGCGGGGAAATACATGAGACCAAGACACGATCGGTATAGGATGTCAAACGATCACGTTAATGATATCCCGCTAAGGAAGAGGTGGCAAAGAGGCGGTAGAACTGCAGCCGTTACAGAAATCTCGCCAATAGACACAACTAAGGGAATAGTAACGACAGCAAGGGATAAGAAGACCAGGATCTAAGAATAGATAGGTCTCTCTAATACACTCGTTGTGATGAACTCCGATAGTTTTATATCTGGTCTAGATTGATAGCTTGTTCTTCGTCGCTACTAGAGATAACCTTTCCATGCTTCCCACTGCATTTGACCTATGAAAATCCTCAGTTACCCAAGAAAATATCAAGCAACGAGCCGTATTCGATGGGGTCTTCGAAGAGTTGACCATGGGCTGAATCAGGGAATACTATCAACTTGGCGGAAGGCAGCTGCTGCGAAAGGACAAAGCTATTACCAGTCCCCATCAATCTGTCTGTATGGCCATTAGTTACCAGTACTGGCGCGTCAATCCTGTTGAGTCCCTCATAACGCTTGGAATCAGCCGAAAACTTGCCGATAGCGACTCCTTGTGCTCCCACCCCCACTCCAACCAAGAAATCCTTCCTCTCTTCACCTTCCACATTGCGTTCGAAGGCCCGCTGCCACCATCCTCTGCCCTTAGCGAGACTAGTGTTTGAAGGATAGAAGAAAACTCCAAGCATGTAGTCTTCAGTTGGAGCTCGGTCTGGTTCCCCACCAGGACCCTGAGCAGCGTTTCGATCCGTCTCAAACACGTCCGGTCCAGCACCAGGTCCCACTCCGGCTAATACCAGCTTGTTCACTAGCTGAGGATAGTCCATACCGATGGCTTGAGCTATGTAGCCGCCCATGGAAAACCCAAGGATATCAGCTTTCGTTACGTTGATAGCAGAAAGGAAGTCCACAGTCGTGTCTGTCATAGCCTCAATAGAGTCGGGAACAGTGCCGTCGCTGTGACCAATCCCGACGTTATCGTAGATGATGACCTGGCGATTTTGCGCAATAGTATTGATAAGCAGAGGATCAGTAGTATCCATGCTCCCGCGGAAGTGGGTTATGTAGACAAGGGGAGTCTCCGATGGTTTGCCAATCTTGCGGTAGGCAATCTGAGTGCCGTTCACACAGATGAACTCGGTCACAGCAGTTTGGGCTGAAAGGTTTGAGCGATCCCCGAAGATGTCGTATCCTGTCGGGCTGTCAAGAAAGATATTAGCATAAGATTTGCAAGCGTCCAAGTATCACGAGACTTACTGGGGAGCCGCCGAAGCTGTAATAGCGGAGGCGGCCACGAGGAGTGGGGCGTGGACTTTCATATCCTCAATTCCTGAAATAAATGCGATTGTGCAGTGATTGCTTTCAGAGTAGGTTATTGCAGATGTGGCAGTGGAACACACCAGATAATGTGGGTTCGCATGGCTTATATGTTGTGAACAAGATGGCGTGTGTATCGATTTCTGTTAATGCTTACAATGCAATTACTGTCTTGATCCGAGCAGATTATACACAGCATGTCAGACTCGGCATTCGACGATCTACTTCTGGGGCAGGAGCCACTGGATGCACCACGCGGAGCCATTAGCATACATGCTACGGATAGGTAGCTTATCAATCAGTCCGAATGAACAAGTAACAGTGAATATCAGTAAGCATACGCTTCAACGAGGTAGTGATATAACTATCAAGTTTCCTATGGGAACATGATTGCCCTTTGCAATACGTATGAAGCAGGGATAACCCTGGACACATAGCGGCTTGGAACCTTTGGATTGTTCGTCGTTACGTTTCGCGAGACATAATTGGCAATGGCTAAACCGTGAGCAAAGAGATCCGCAATTTCAATTGGCGTGATGCTATCCAAAAAAAATTCAGTGTGCTCATTCACTAAAATTTGAATCCATGGCTGCATAATGAGATGGAAAGTTAGGGTCTGAGTACTAATGCAGATCACAGATCCGTATGCCAAGCAAACATGCAAAAGTGTTAAGTGATTACGGTGAATACACTAAATGCAGAGGCGAGTTACACATCTTTACGACTAATCAATAAACATAAGCAAAAGTCGCACCGATTACAAGGCCCTCGTTAGTGTAGAGTGATTAGTGAACGAAGAAGAACGCTAATGATTCTAGCTGGAGAACATCGCTGAGTCATGGATAACAACATCAAGTTCTCTTTCATATTTTACCAATACTTGGCTGGACATGGAGTTTCAGTCTTGTTTATTCTATAAGTCTATGCGCATGGCTTACAGTAGAGAGTCAGAATAGACTGTAAGATTACTCAGAAGAAGCCACAGGAACAAGGACGAAGGAACGATGGACCGAGAATTTGGGAGTAGCTAGACAGGCGCGAAGGAGGCCATATAGAAGAGGATTATACAGACCCTAAGTGACTCTAAAACTGTGGATATACTCCAATCAGATAAACCCCTTCTATCCGTCTGATACACCCTTTAATGACCTTATCATATCAAAGAAAGCTGCAGGACTATCACTAAACTGGTTCTAAATTAAAGTGGTTGCCAATCGAGGTGCTACGTGAAGCACGCTACCGACTTGCTGTAACGTGTCGTCAAATGTACATAATTTCAAAGCAACGCCTCGTCAAAAATCATCAAAACATTCACGACGAAAGATTTGTCGAATTTAGTGGTGCGTACCTAACTGCTTGCTTTGCTTCACCATCCAAGGGACAGCGTGAACTTCATAGTGGCGTAGAAGCACTTCGACAACATGCTGATCGAGCACCGCCTGCTTCGCCAGTATACCAACCCTAAACTAGAAACCGAGATGCATGTAAGGCCAATGCAGGATAGGCCATGTGCTACCTATAAGGACCATCGGCTTCGCAATATCGAACCCGATGCGATTCTCAATGTTTGCCTCCAAAGTTTGCACAGGAACTTATATGTTTACCCAGAAATTCAGCTTTTGCAGTGCAGTGAGTGCTTTGACATGAATGTCTCCACGAATCCCAGATCGAGCAAGCTAAAATCACAAATACCAGCTAGAAGGACTCTTAAAATATTTCGAATAGTTCTATCTGCCATTACATACGTCTCGCTGGATTTCCTCGCTCAATCTCTCTATTGTGGGTCAAGTATCCTGTCCGGTCAATTTTCTAGACCCCGCAGAAAGTCATGCAAATGCCTGTTTACATCTCTTGCAGCCTCGGCTTGCATGAAGTGCCTTGTAGGAGCAGTTCGAACGGTCAGGTAAGGAAGGTACGGTGTAGTTTGGTTTAGTTGGAGATTTGGAATTGCCAGAGGGTCGTTGTCGCCAACGATGAACAAGGAGCGCTTAGTGACCGTAGGGTCAGTCGAAGCCATCAGGGCTGGTGAGAGTTAGTAAAGTATGTCAGCAAGGGGGGAAGGAGTAGAGAGAGACAAAAACAAACTACCAAGGAAGCAGATTCAGGAAAGCGCGCATCCACTCACCTTGTTCATCAGCAGTGTTGTAACCACGCATCATAGCACGATACCACTTGAATGAACCCTCCATACCACCCTGGGCGAGCATAATAGTGCGCCACTGATCAAGAGTGACTTCGGTAAGAAATTCATTGTAGAAGAAAATGCGACCATCGGCAAGCAGCCATTGCTCCAGGGCGCCTGGCTCACTGATGTTACGCACATAGTTGACGTCAGCGCCGTAAGCGATATTGTATAGAGCATCAAGCTAAACATGCAAGATAGAAATTAGCTTTCTGTTCTCATCGTGTGTACTCTGAGGGGTCCGTTCCAGTTACTCGGTTCTTTCCTTCCTCGGGTGAGGGCTAGAGGGGTTGAAGATGTTCTACTTACGTGCTGGTCGGCAATAGCAGGAGCGCGGTCCTCAGCGTTGAAGTGCCAATACTGGAGAAGAGGATATCCGAATAAGGCACGTGAAGCCTGATCGCTGGCGTCTATCGTTGCGCTGGTGAAGTCGGTTCCAGGCGGGGAGTATCCTAAGGTGAGAAAGGCCAGAGCGCTCAGGCGGTCAGGATAATAGTTTTCTATACGCGATAACTGGCCGGAGCCACTATATGGTGGTAGATTCATTAGTCGTTGCTTGGAGACGAGATATTGCATGCTCTTCACGGTGTCACATACATATCATGGCCCACGCCTACAACCCGACCAACACCTTCGCACTCGAGCAGTTCGACCATCTCGGAAGCTGTTCGTTTGAAGGTGAATGATTCCAGGTCATCAGGGTTGTCGGTTCCACCAGTTCCCAGCATGTCGGGCGCGACGATGCCGTAGCCATGTCGGGTAAAGTATTCGATTTGATTTACCCACGAGTAGGATGTTTCAGGCCAGCCGTGGAGAAAAAGAAGTGTAGGAATAGATGAGTTGAATGGCGTTTTGAAAACATAGCGGTATCTATGGCCTGAAGAGAGTCGTGCGCTTTTCACAAGGTTCGCGTAGCTAGTGAAGCGGATGTCGTCCTGGAAGAAGTAAACAGCTGATCAGTTTTGCACCGGACGAAGCTGGGCATGATAGCTCACAATATTGGGGTTCATATCAATCTCGCATAATGAACTTTGGTTGGTTGGACGAGCCTTCTTGAGTTAGTGGAAAGGTTGTCGATGGTGTCGGTAGCACTTTACTAGTGCAAGATTGGCCATTCCGAGAGACAGCCAGAGGATATTCGGGAGCATCATATTGTTGGATAGGAATTCGTAGTGTAAGAAGTTCTGAAGGTGGGGGATGATGATTGTAAGAATGCGTATGATGAAACCTTTTATGTCCTCATTTATAGGTCATCACACAACGCAAATACATTACGAATCTACCTAGGTAGTCTTAGCACACCAAGGTGACAGGGGTCCCTTTCGAATTGACACTTATAAATCTCCGCAAACGCGACCGCGTAATTGTATATTATCTAACCATCATTCGTCATGACTTGCTGGTGAGTGATACTTCTCTAATGTTCTTGGTAGTTCACTAATCATACTGGCTTTCGTAGCTGGGCTACATTCCAACATCTGTTTTCGATGCATGATCCGTGAGTAGTTGACGTAGCATCACACCAAACGCTAGCTACCTCCTTTCTACGTCCCATGTCTGTAGGAATCTGGCACAGCTGTTGCTCGACCATCTTGACGTAAATTGTCTTGCTGTAAATGTGTAATAATGATCTAGTGCATTTCGCTAATCGCGATAGAAATGGCGCTGACAAACAAAGGTCAGAGCGTAATTTCACCCTGAAGATTAACCAAAATGATGCACAACTCTCTGCTGTTCTAGGTTTCAGTTAGGTATCTAGCCACAATTCAGTGCTTACGCGGCTTGGCAACTACCCTAATAAGAAAGATCCGCCAACCCCTACCAAGCCTCAAGGCTCATGACTAATTAGTCACCGAGCACCGATGTTTGCTGTAATTACTAAACATACTTCCTAACGTGCTCCATCGGTCATCCGCTCTACCAAACCCGATGCGACGCTTCTACACAACAACAACAATGCTACAACACCGCCGCACTCTTTTATCTCCAAGATAAGGCAGAGTCTACTCCGCATCTGGGTAGTTTTCAAGAAAGCAATTTAGAAGCCGTCGAGAGATGCGAAGCTATTGGATGTCCCTCGTTCTACCCTATGCGACTGTCTTCGAGGCAGCTAGCTTCAAGCTATTGTTAATGCCGAGAACAGGAAGCTGTCCCGTATTGAGGAGCGGTCTCTCTCGCAGTGGATCTAAGACGCAGATCGACAAGGCTCTCCGCCCCAGGTTATTGTTGTACGACATACAGCAAACACTCTACTCAATGGCCCCGGCCAAGATCCACCTCCCGCATCTGTGGGCTTGAACTATGTGTCCCGCTTCGTCAAGAGCTAGTCTAAGCTACAGAACAAGGATTAGATTAGAACTACCAAGGAAGGCTAGGTTGTGCTAGGCACATGCATTGCAGACTAAGAATTGTGAGTGCTGGGCACGTCTACCAAGCTCTGGTAGTAGCGATCAGATCAGGCAAGATCACTCGCAGAATTATCTGTGCAGTCTGTGCACGTTCGGCATCCCACCGTCGGCATCCCACCCTCTTGCTTTCGACTTACGTTACCTGTGATTAGTAACACTTTATTAGGCATTAAGCCACGAACTAAGCCTTGGAAAGAGCAGCAATCACTAATCCGAGATTTATCAGTCAGCGGAAACAGGACTTCAGCGACCACATCCATACAAATGTATATGCATACATATATAAAAATCATGAGGCTACTCATTGAAGAGATGTCAAACCAGCCTCGCTGTCATACAAAACTCACATTCCCATTCTGGGTTTTCGACTTATCTTCATCTGCACAAATTTTAATCTCGCATCAATGGATTCATATAAGAAGATTTTGATCATTGGCGTAAGTGCTTTACTCAATCTAAAAACACAGACGCTGTTCCATAAACACATTGTACAAATAGAGTACTAACTGTTGTATGTGTTAGGCGGGAGGCGCTTTGGGTGTCCCAATATTGAACGAATTCCTGGATTCAGTTTATGATGTGAGCGTTCTTAGTCGCAAAGATTCTACTGCAACATTTCCGGACGGTGTGAAGATTTTCAAGGCAGACTACAAAGACTTTGCGGAAGTCAAGGCTGCCATGGAAGGGCAAGATGCTGTGATCAGCAATGTGGGCGGTCATGCAGCTGGAGATCAACAGATCTTTGTAGACGCCGCCCTCGCAACTGGTGTCAAGAGGTTTTTCCCAAGCGAATATGGTCCCTATACCAGGGATCCCAGGATGCTTGAGCTCCAGCCTTATAGCACCCCGTATAAGAAAGCTCTCGTTGACTACCTTCGAACAAAAGAGAATCAAATATCATGGACGGCTCTGGTTACAGGCGGATTCTTCGAATGGGGTATGGGAAACGGCTTTTTCGGCTTCGACCTTCCGAACAAGACCGCAATTTTGACCGATGATGGAGTTAGCGCCTGGGCCTCCACTACGATGGGAACGATCGCCGGAGCCATTAAGGCCTCTCTTGATCACGCTGACGAGACTAAGAATCAATACGTCTTTGTTTCGTCCTTCCACCACACTCAGCGCGAGATACTTGACATCATCGAGAAGGTTGATGGAAAGAACTGGAATGTTGTGCACGTTAGATCCGAAGACCTCCTTGCCAACGGCAAGAGAAGAGTCCAATCGGGTGATTTTGCTGGCATCATGGATTTGACTAGAGGTGTCGCCACGGGCAAGCTCGGACTAGTCGATCTGAGGCCTCATGGGCTTTGGAACGAGAAGTTAGGGTTGCCTGAGGAAGACTTAGAGGCGGCTCTCAAAAGGATTGTGGAGAAAACTTTTTAATTTGAAAATCACTGTTCAAGAAAATAAGAAGTGTCTTTGACTGATGTGAAAGAACATAATAAGATTAGCAAACCTGGAATTGGTTCATGCACAGTTCTTGCTCGTCTACAGACAAAAGCACGAGGGCTAACGTCGCACAAAGCTGAACCAGCTCCTCCGCTGCTCGGTAACAACCGGTGCGCTGTTTACCACGTCTTCCGCCGCTAGCTCACTTATCGACGACTGCTGAGATACCATCGAATCTGTTGAAGCGAACGAAGACGGCTGCTTTACCATCGGACTCTTGCCAGGTCGCCACATAATCGGCAGATCCTTGAGTTTATGCCCCTTCTCCATGAGCGGAATTTCACTCTCCAAATCGGTCCAGTTGCGGTGGCCTTCGCCTTCGTAGGCTCGACGCTGGAGCTGCCATACTCCATCTTGTGTCCAGCGAGCGATACGGGGGCCGAGTGCGCGACGGAAGCGAGTGAGGTAGACGAGGAATTTTAGAAGTGTGATGTCGACGATTGCGACGAGGGTGGAAAAAGCGACGACGAAGGCGAGGCCGAAGACGTTGATGTTGCTGGTATAGATTAGTAAAAGTCCTGGGATGTCCAGGAGCATATGAGAACACTCACACGAATCCACCAGACTTTTTCATCTTCTGCGCTCCACAAAGCGCTTTCTCGCCCTCAGTCTGCGGCGCAATAACATACGCATCTGCAAATGGATCGCTCGCTTTAGGCCCAATCGCGTATTGAGAAACGGCCATCTGCATCGCAGCCCAGACCTCCTGTTCCCAACCTAAAACCTCCCGTTTCCAGAAGTCGTCGGGCATGGACGGAATCATGTAGGTAGACCGACCCTCCAAGTCCGAGGCTTGATTGGTCTGCACCCTTGCAGTAGTGTGTAGCCAGCTTGACATAATAAGAAGTTGTAATACTGCTTGCTGCATGCTACTAGAATCTGGAAAATGGGTCTTGTTCAACTCGTGATAGGGTAGGCCTTGGAACGGTGTGCAGTAATCGTCTCGACCGTCTCTAGCGTGACAGTATTGAAACTTTGGGCATATCAGTGTTTGTTCTCGTGCAAGACTGAGTGTTCCGACTCACATGCTGGGTACATGCAACCCCTTTCGCAGGGTCGTCAGACGCATAATTTGTAACCTCTTGACCCAGATCCCATGAAGAAATATTCTTGTGTGAAGAATACAGCGGGTCATCAGTTGGCGTGGCAAACATAAGGCGATTTTGCATGAAAGGTTTCAAAATCAAATCTCCATCTGGCCCATCATTCATTTGAATAGGGAAGAAGCTTTCCAGAGGAAACCACCCTTGCGGCACCCTATTGACCGGCGATCTGTACCATACCGAGCCACTGGAGGAACATATCAGTTACAGCACAATCAATCATACGCAACAACCTTTGACTCACAGCGGAATTGTTGGATTACCAGTGATGTTAGACACAAGAAGGTACCCTATGTAGCTTTCTATCTTTGTCTTATCCGTCCGTCCGTACAGCAAGGCCAGGATCTGTTCGCCAGGAAAGATGAAACGATCCGCAGGTACCAGATTGGGTATTAGTTCTAAGTCGAAGACTTCGTAAGAACCTTCACTAGGTAAAACGGTACAGGAAACCTTCTTCCGGAACATTACACGATCTTTGGCAGCCAGGTTTAGTCCGAACATCTTACCGACGTCTACAAGGCCTGAATCGACAGTAACGGCGTTTTTGGTACCGCACATGGTTTCGTTGAACGGACAGGGCGTGCTTCCGACTGTAAGTGGTATGTTTACATTGGTGAAGGCATCGTTGCAGAGGGCGGGGAGCGAACCATTGCGGTAGCAGGCTCCGGCATAGACAGGAGCATTCGCGATTAAAGTGGTGATATAAGTCCTCCAGGCAGTTCCAGTCCCGTTGATTCTTCCGCATAGCGGCGAGTCGACTAGCACTTCGATGGAGCCACTGTCGACGACAAAGGATGAGAAGACGGACGCCGCGACTGTGACCGCCGTGAAGAGCATTGCGACGAGTACCAATACCATGGAACGTAGGAAGGGTCGGTCTGTGTTCTTCCTCCAGGCCCACCATAGTTTGAGCGCTTCAGCGACAACTGAGCTGGGTGTTGGAAGCGTACGCAGCAGTGCCTGCTGTTGCCTGAACATAGCATCCGCTGGACGACCGTTGGCTCGGACTTGATGAATCGCAAACGCGATCAGATGCCAAAGATGCGCAGTTCCTATCTTAATTAGTCACTTTTCTCTCTCGAAGACTGATGCTCGTTAATGTTACCTAAGGTTGACAACACAGCTAGCATAGCAACAACAAGATTGCCTGTTTGCGTATCAGTTGTGATGGTCCTTCCCAGGACTGGCCCTCCATCCATGTTCGTCCTATCAAAAGCAGCATATTAGCAACACGTTGCGAAGAATATGCAGAATCCAGCATTAGCCTCTTACCATACACCTGTCTTCACATATTTCGAATTCAACTCAAGAGACATTGTCGCAACATTCAAGAACTAATATGATTGATAGTCGGCGTACCTTCAACAAAATATATAGCGAGACGTTGCTATCCTTTAAAAACATATTGATCTATCATGGGAAGCCGCGTATCCATCCTAACTTTCAATCTGAAGGTGGCACAGTAGCTCTGCGATGCTTGGCAAGCGATGCGGCGAATAATAAAAAACCAAGAAACGACGAGTAGCATTCCTGGCGCGTCGAGATGATTTTTGATGACCATTATACCGAAAAGAGTATCTCTTGGGACGGTTGTAGTACCCAGAGCTTACAGTGGACCCATAACGTGCGAGGTTTGGGTATGGTCAGCGCTTAGGTGACCGCAAGCGCGGTGGCGGCGCGTACATGTAGATAAACGGATCTAGTAGCATAAAGTTGTTGAAGGCGCTTAAAGACTGTATCATCTCTAGGACTGAGAGCATTAGTGAAGATGGATTCATCTAGAAGAAAGCCTGGTCGTGACTTCAAAGCGCGCAGGAAGCTACCGGAGTCGAGCGCGTGGAGCGTGATTCTGGACACCGTCAGACGATGATGGAAGCTACGTGGCGTGGCCAGCTGAAAGGCAAGAACTTCCGTCACTAGAAGAAGAAGCAAATACACTTCAATGCAGCGCCTAGTATTGTGATGTCACCAAAGACATTGGTAGCTGTGGAGTTAGACGTGTACCTGCCCAGGTCGCGCTGGAGGTGGCTAGGACCTGTTCCGCGCTAAGCCATTCCAGGGCCGACGATCTACGTTCGTCTCCAAAGCGCAACCCAACATCACACTTCTTCTTCTGGAAAGATTCCTCGCCGTCTTCTAGAAAACAATAGCCTTAGCATAGTGCATTGAAAGCGTGTATATATCTGCACGTGACCAGTTTGATCGACCACAAGGTAATGAATCCCAGCATTGATTGACCCGCATCGCTTACATTTACCATTGCCGCACTGACTTGGCCAAGGCACTATCAGAATTTGCCGTATGATCAACGTCCAGCATCGCGGATATATGGAAGGCAGACGAGTAACTTACCTGCAACATCTTCTACCAGCTTGGCAGGGGTGGCGGTGCATATACGATTCAGGCGACTGTGGGGCCATTGTCTTCTAGGCATCCAACTGTTCGCCTTGTGATGCCTTTGTTCGCGTTTCATTGCAGGACGAAGGACGAGATACAATCGCACCAAGTTCTGGCGAGATAGTTGTCCTATACAGAACTACGGCTTGGATGTAGAATGTAGAAAGGAAATGGTACAAGCAGGAAATGATATGTACAATGACTTGATAGATTCTAAGTAGTACACGACTAGAGTGCCGACTGGCTTGGCTACGCATATGACTGTCCGTGTAAGGATCGTATCGTACGTATACATTTCCCCCCATGTCCTTCTCCACCCCAGCCGGTCAATGCAATGGATAAAAAGTATTGACAGCGAAATTAAGTTCCGACTCACACAACCCACTTGATGACGAAAAAGAGACCAGTCCATGCTGATGCAGATACATTGAATTATTATAGGGCGGTTAGAAGAGCCCAAAGATGAGACAGAAATGTCGTGGAAACTTTTCGGAAGAGGTACCAACAATGAGGGGTATCATGCAATTGCTATGCACTCATGTGATGCTCTCTTGCTCGCTCTAGAATCGGAGTTTGGCCTCACGGGAATGAAGCTGGAAGCGCTTGTCGAGGGTGATATCCTTGACCATGACAGCAGCAGCGGCGCGAGCAGCTGGGCTACCGTTCAAGCCGCTGTGATCTGGTAGGACGTAGTTCTTGGTGAGACGCTTGACAGCTCCGTCAACACCGTTGCTAAGGAGCAAGTTTGCGCTTCCACCAGTGTTGCCCTTGACATCGCCCTGGCGGGCAGTTGCAAGGAGCTTAGCCTTGAGGGCAGCAGGGTTTTGACCAAGACCGGCAACGTCTTGAGTCATAAGGGTGGCCATTACACCAGTGACGTGAGGGCAAGCCATGGATGTACCAGAGAGGAAGTTGATGACGGCGTCGCCAGTGCTCCAAGAGCTCAAGATTTGCTCACCGGGGGCATAGATGTCAACACACTGGCCAATGTTGGAGAAAGATGAGATCTCGTTGTCGATGTTAATGGAACCGACAGTGACGACATTGGAGTTCTTGCCACCGAGGTGAGCGGGAGTGCTACCACAAGCATCGATACCATCGTTACCAGCGGCGACCGAGACGTGGATGCCAGCCTCTGAAGCACCAGAAATGATCTCGTCGACTGAGTTGGCGGTACCCTGAAGACCCCAAGACATGCTCATGATGGAACCGACGAAACCGGGTTGGGTCTTGCGCTTGTTGTGGTTGGCGATAACCCAGTCCATACCCTTGATGGTGTCGGAAGATGCACCAGATCCGTCATCTCCAAGTACCTTGACTTCGATAATGTTGGCACCCTGGGCGACACCGAACTTTGCACCACCAGCAGTACCAGCAACGTGAGTACCGTGACCATCACCATCAACAAAAGAGCCAGTAGCAGTGAAACCTTGAGTAGCGCGTCCAGTGAAGACAGCGTGGGTGGTTCGCACACCAGTGTCAATAACGTAGATGTCAACACCGGCACCGAGGGCTGAATCGTCGAAAGAGTAAACGAAGTCCTGGCCTTGTGGGGATCCAGTAGCGCCGGCTGCGCTCGAGACTCGTTGCAGACCCCAGGGAGCGCCCTGCTGCTGTGCGAAAGACTTGACATCGGCCTTCTCTTCTACAACGTTGATTTCGGCCAGCTCCTTGAAGATTTTGGCGTGGTCGTCGCACATCTCGACAACGGCCCACTGAGGGTTTACACCCGGTGAGGATTCGGCCTTGAGTACATCTCCCGACTTGAGCGATAGATTGTCTAGGTAGTTTTCGATCACCCTGTGGTCTGTGTCGTTGCGCCACCAGGTAATGATGTACTCCTTGGTCTCAAGGGAGTGGTTTGCTGGGAGGGCGTATTTGTTGATGAAGCCCTCAGAACCAGTTGTGGGAGCTGCGAGCACGGAAGAGCCAGCGGCCAAGAGACCGGCGGCGATAGCGAAGAAAGACTTCATGTTGATTACGGGGAGGATCCGGTCCGGCAAGAAGTTGTTGGAGGCGTAGAAGCGAAAGTGTAGTGAGTTTGGTAGTCACTGAGAATGAATGTAGGAGGAACGCTATACGGACGCAAGTCAGTGACAGCCCTGCTGTGAACAAACGGCGCGTGAAGCCACGGACTAGCGACAGTCTATGTCGCTTTTATATAGCGATTGGAGCTGCGGCTATTGAGACAGGCATACAAACAGACCATAATGGCGCTGTGTGGGGTCGAGAAGGATGAGTGACTGGGGTAGAGCAGGCACACAATGTGTGGCAGCCTCAGGGTGGAAAAAAAGCTTGGAGACTTACATCAACGTGCAGGCAACGAAGGTGCGACGAAACCGTGTATCAGGCAAGACTGGTCTGAGGAGGAAGGCGTATCGGCCAAGACGTGCCAGCACGCGAGAAGAAGAAGAAAGTGCGGGTGACGAAAGTAAGCAAAGTGAGTGAGTGTAGAAAAGAGCGAGTGATGAAGAGAGAGACAGAGCACTCTAAATGAATGGAAAGAGAGAGTGTGGGGTTGCAGGAAGAAAGAAGGACCAAGACCGTTGGGAAGGAGTGATGAGAAGGTGCCCAGGCGGACGAGACGGCCTCATGTACTCGCGTCGCAAGTGTCCAGGCCATAGTCACCAAGCTCAGCGAAGAAGCGTCCGCATGTGAAACGGCTTGGCGGTGGGCTTGTTCCCGAGAGAATACCAGGCCCAATTCACTATTGCACGCCGGTAGCCAAGCCTGACGGTCTGCATCAGGTCGCTGACCAGGGGTAGTGCAAGCGAGAGCGGGCTCTAGGGACCCTCGATGCACGATTGGGGCGCCTCGGGAGATTGTTGGTGCTAGGGCGACGACTGGCCAATGCCTACCCAGCGGGTATTCACTTATTTGGACGCACCACATCGCTTCTGGTGGTACACTTGCAGCATCGCGCCTGTCGAGTTGCTCCATCTGGAGAGGCGGAAATTGAATGCAGACACTCGCCCTGACCGACGTGTTGGCCATTGACGACCAACACAGAGGGAAGGAGCCTGCCTTAGCTGTGCCAGCGCTGATTGGCTGTCCCCTTCTGAAACAACGTGGGCCTGCGTCACAACCCAAACCAGTCAAGCGCCCATGGCCAATCCCCACAGCATGCATGAACCAGCACTCAACGCAAGAAAATCCAGACAACCGTCCGCACGGCCAAGGGGCGCAACTGCGTGTCAAAAAATCATGCACTACCATCAATCGAGCCGGTGCGTCCTATGAGCCCGTGAGTGCCTGAGCCACACGGCACTGCAACGGCTTTCCCTCTCTCCATCCAGTCGCCACCGCCGAGTGCTACCGTTTGACACAACGGGCCCTCTCCGCAATGTGTCAAGCCGTCCAACATCCCCAAACTAAACACCCAGAGCCACAAAACCGAACGGGGTGTTTCAATGTTTATTAAGGGGACTCGTACGAACTCATGGCGCTGCATACCCAGGTAATGGGGAACGGGTTAATCCTCACTCTGCATATTGTGCTGTTTCTGGGGTGCATAACTACGGTGCAGCCCCATTGAACTGACAGCCATACACCCCAAGCATTAGCAGCACCTCTCTCACACAGCCATTGTTGTTGCTGTAGTGCCATGGACTCAGCGTCCAGTTCCCCAACGTTTCGTGCTCGACTCGTACCACCCCAGGCCCTGTGTTTCGAGACTGGCCAAGTCGGAATATAGCTCGCATAAGAAACACCACCCCAATTATAACATCATCTCAGCCTGAACAGCAACAACCGCGGCATGAACAATCATAACCCGTGCGATGAACAGTCTCATCTGTCAAAAGGCAAAGGCATAAAGCTGTCGGAAACAAACAAGACGACATTGTTTGATCAATAATGGCCTACTTTTGGACCATCCAACAGCAAGCTGCGCCTCACCTCCGCAAAACCCAGGAGATTAGTTTAGACACCCTGGTCGCAGGACGAAGACCCTCAATCAATCTGCGCCGCATCGTGGCTTGGGCCCTCGAATCATGGCCACTCAAGATGGGGTTAGACGCGGCGCGTGAAACCACACTACTAATCCTTCGCTTCGACACGCATGGCAAAGTTTGTATCGCTACCAGATGGAGATCTGCGGAATTCAATCTACCTCAGCCAGCGATGAAGGTATTGAGTGGACATGTCCAGCTTAGTAGCAATATAAAATTCTCCCATCGTGGAGTAGAAACACGAGTAGGTCCGTTCTGCCAAGGCAGGTCCAGTAATCTTTACGTCAAAGCACTTGCCGCTTCTCTGTCAACTCAACCGTCAGGGTACAAAATTCTACGCGATTCACACTAGATTTAGTGTCATGACGCACAGCACTTTTGACAGATGCGACAAGCTTTCAGCCACCTGGGAGTCCATCTGACTATCACCACCCATTCCTACATAATCATCAAACAACTTGATTGCTACAAAGAATGTACAAATTCCATACCACCATACCCTGCATCACCCGTTTCACACTTACCAACCTGTCATAACCATGACCAATGCCAAATCTCTCATATTTATCTTAGCCATCCAATGATAGAGATCTTCATACCTCCTCATCGCTGTCATCGCCCAGCAGTTCCCCTTCGTCGGGATCCACAACCGCGTAATCTCCCCTGCCGCGCGCAAAACTGCTTCTAGAAGTATACGTCCTGCCATAACCCCCATATCCACCTCCGCCACCCATTCTGCCAGCAGCCCATCTATAAACGCTGCCTACGAGTAGAGGCAGTGCACTGATGACAGCCACGAGGCCCGATACAGCAGCGATGGGCCATTTGACCCATGGCGCATCCGAGTCGAATGCGCCACTTCCGCTTCCGTCACCCAAGCGAATGCGACCAAATTTGCCGTCCCAGTGCTTCCACACATAGTATCCGACACCGCCTGCTGCAGCAAAGGGAAGGACGATAGCCAAGAACAGGGAGAAACCTCCGATGCCATGTTTTTTCTGGAAGTCCTCTTCGAAGCCGGGGCAAGGGTGTGGGTCACCCGTCTTGTCAAATTCCTGACCGCCCTCGCAGGTGGAGAGAGGGATCCTGCGGAATCGGACGTCGGTGTAGTACTCTTTTACGTTCTTGTCTTTGCATACGGCAGACGCCTCGGGCAGCGTGAGACCGGCCACAAGCTTGCAATCACCACTTGCGTCGCGCTCGTAGTTGTATGCACTACTGATTGTTAGCATGTGTCGCTGGGCAAAAGTACAAAACAGGTCTTACCATTCAAAGTCTCGCCTGGTGCAGGAGCAATTTCGTGCAATGTCGTGCATTTGATCGATGCGCTGACCGTTTTTGCACTTGGCGTCTCTCTTCTTACGGTGGTATTGTGCTACGTGACCGAACAGACACTGAGGCTCCTCTTTCTGGAGCGGGTGCTGTGGAATCCAGAGGTCGTAATCACCGCTGGTAGGATTATTCTCATTGAGCTCACATTTTTTGCTGAACTCTGGTAGACCGGAGAAGTCAAGGTTGACAGCAACAAGTTCTTTGCTGTCTTTACCCCAAAGGAGGAAGTTTAGAGAAGTGTCGCTAGGCACGGTAGTGATGGCTTCAACGCGTATCTTATGGTCGGAGAATTGGTAGAGGTTCCACTTTGAGCCGTTGTCAAGGGAGTAATAGACGTGGTCAGTATCTTCTCCGCGGCGGACGATGACTATGACGGAGCCTTGGTCGCCAAACTCCCAGGCGTAGGTACCCTTCTTGATCTCGGTCCAGGTAATACCTGCGTCGGTCGTCATGAAGGTATTGGCTTCACCAAAGGTAGACAGCTCTGAGCCAACATTTCCAACAGCAAGCATCATCCCTACTGCTGTCGGAGAGGAGTACATCTCCCGAGGATCAGCACGTTCTGTATATCCATGAATATGCAGACCGCACTTGTACTTGTCGGAAACATCACATTCGTATGCCTTGCCTTCCGAATCTTTCTCAGGCGCCTGAAGAGGTTCCCAGTCAGCGCCGTCGTTATGCGTGATGCGACTCTGCTTCTTCTTCTTAGATCCCTTGTTGACCTCATCGACGTTGACGATAACGTTGGCGACAGCGACTCCCTCAAGACCTTGCATCTTCTCGAAATCGACGTAGCCTTCCATATTTCGGTTCACAGCGGCAAGGCTCATAACGTAAGATGTGCCATTGCTGTTACTCTTGATAATGGAACCATACTCCTGATCCCGTGTTGGATTGACTGTAACATGAAGGAAGACCGCGTGTGTGGAGCTGTCCAGAACAGTGTAGGCTGTCTGGTGAACGTCAAAGAACTTGGGTGGGAACTTGGCCTCGGCGAAAGTGTTGGCGTCAAGACTCGCATCCAGATGGAGAGTCCCATCATCAGCTTTGGTCGCGACAACGATAAACTCAGACATTGTCGCAAATTCCACGACAGATTTGAACTTGACATCCTTCTTCTTGAACCAGTCCTCACTGGAGATGAGTTCAAGGGGAGCGCCCATTTCCTCGTTTGTGTGCTGTTCGCAGAAGATCTGCTCCTCCTTGACGCTTCGACCAGCTTCGCGCCAAACAAATGCGCACTTTTTGACGTACGGTACGAGCGGCTCCCAGCTTTCGTCTTCACCGTTCTTCTGTGAGACATAGGCTACAGTATGACAGTCTTTATCGCCAGCTTTGTCGCAGTGCTTTCCACCCATCCAGATGATCCAGCTCTCCTCCTTTGGATGGAATTGCATAATCGAGAGCCTTTCCTTATTGGGCATAACGGGTGCCTCGTGAGAGCGGATGCTATCACGACGTCCGCGGTCTGTGGAGTAGTAAAATTTCTTGCCGGCAGTCAAGAAGTAAACTCTGTTGTTGTCGTACTGGTGAGGGTAGATTCGAACAACCTCATCATCCACAGCCTTTTTCCATTTCTTTCCATGGTCATGAGTGATGTAGGCCGTTCGCTCATCGGTCAGCATGACAACTGTTTCGTCTTTGTCGTCATCGCTCTGGGTATTGCCCTCGAGATAGTACTGCTCCAAGAATTCACCTCCCTTGAACCTGGTGATTTCGCTCGTAATCTTGTCACTCTTTGGTGGCGGTCTCTCAGTGTCTCCGCATTCACGCTCGACTTGCTTGTCTCTTTCGGTCTCGCCTTTGCATTGGTCACCAGGTATCTTTCTCCAACCGGAGCTGGCTTTGTATGTCTTTGCGTCGCCCTCGCAAGCGCCTTTGGGTAATTTGAAGGAGTCGTTGGGTTCGCACTTCTTGTCCTTGCCTTCTCCAGTAGGTGTAAATCCGAAATCGCATTCGTAGTCTCTGAATTCGTCGCAATCACATGGCTTGAAGTTTGGTGTCGGGTCTTTGAAGACCTCTTCAACAAAGCACTCGGCATCCCACTTTCGCCGGCGGAACAGCTGCTTGTGACCCATGACGCAGCTTGGGTCACCGTCTGCATCTTTACGTACAGACCATTCGTCATCAAAATCGCTGTCGCCACACTTCTTCAGCATATCAGTGAAGTCCAGGTGGATGATAACATGTTCTCTGCCACCGCCATCCTTCTTCTTAGATGCGTAGAGCATAAACTTCAAGCTCGTCGAGTCAGGTAGGGTTGTGAGTTCGCGTGCGCGGATCTTGTAGTCAAGCTTTATCTTCTTCCATGTATCTTTTCGCCCATGCTTGAACGAATACCTGATCTCGTCGGTGTCGCCCTCGTCGAATACGGCTACCAAAATAGAACCCTGGTCGCCAATTTCGTACTTGTGCGCATCTTCAAGCGCCAGTTCCCATGTGAGACCGGCGTCATCAGAGACATAAAGATCGCCGTCGGTGTATTTGCCCAGGTAATCTCCAGTATTTCCGACACCCATGACGATGCCTGGTGCGGGGCTTGAAAAGACCCTCCCGCTGTTGTGCAGGTTAGTCACCGAGTGTAGGTGCAATTCTGCGTCTTTCTTGCCCTTGACTGTGAGCTTTTCGAAAGATCTGCCGTCATCAAAGCTGATCCGCGACTTTAGTTTCTTGCCCTGACCCGATTTTTCTACCTGTTTCCAGTTGTCAACAGTATTTACCAGAACCACACCCTGGATGTTTGCGATCTTCTCGAAATCGACGTATCCACCTTCGTTGCGATTTGTATGCTCCATGTTCTTGGTGAAGTGGGTGCCGTTCGAGTTACTCGTGTAGAGGTTGCCCATGTCCACGTACTTGGAGGTCATGACATCGACTTGTATGCTATAGTTGGTCGACTCGAGGATAGTGTATGCATCTTCCTCAATTTTGTGATCGCCGAACTGAGCATGATGCCATGTCTCGGTATCTTGGGTTACGTAGAGGGCGAGTTCGTTGGAGTGGTCGGCTTTGGCGGCGGCGACAATATAGCCTTTGACAGCGGCCATGTTGGCCATACCCTGAACGGTACGTCCAGATGACATGACAGGCTCCTCTTCATCCTTGAAGTAACTGCGCCCATTAGCTGCTACCCATTGTTGTAGTCGGTTGCCACTCACTTGTCAGAAATCAGGAGCCTAAAGTCCTTTGACCTGTCCGAGTATTTGCCTCTGGTGATGCACAATATGCGGTCATCGTGCTTGTCCTGGCCTTGGAGGAAGCGTTCGGCGCCCTTTGCCCACTGGCACATTCGGCGGTCGTCGATGAGGATCTTGGGCTTTGACTTGAAGCCATCAGTCGTGTAGTAGGTCTAGCCTAGATTAGCCGCTGGACTCACAAGCAAGATATACGGAACATACCCGTCCGAGACATGGCGCAGTAAAGCAGTTCTCGATCTCGTGAATCAGGATCTTCTTGCTATCCTGGGCGTGCCAGTTTACGGGTACTTGGGGCGACGGCGGAAGCTCCGTCTCGAAACTATCCCAGTTCTCGCCCTGGTCATACGTGACCCAATGCTTCTTTTCGCCCAAGACCAATGCGACCTTGTTGTCATATGGACTCTTGATTATGCCCAGCCCGTGTAGGTCTTGTAATTGCTTCCAGCCCTTGCCAGCATCGTGTGACCGCCAGATGCTTCCCGTCTCGAGTTCTTGCAGTAAGGCGACTCCGGAATCGTCAAAGTACAGGATGTTGACGATGTCGTTCTTGAATGCCGTCGTCTCAACGAGCGGCTCTTCTTTCTTGGCGGCGGCGGTCGATGCTAGTGCCAGCAGGGCGGGCAGCAGGAGGCCCTTAAGGTATTTCATCATGCATAGAGGCGATGGAAAACGTGTGTGGTGAGGTCTGAGGTATGCGCACAGTTGAAAGAACAGCTGGCTGTTGGAGAATCACAGCCTCGAAGCTATGCAGCCCCAATGACGCTTGGCGATCTGAAACAGTCGATGCGCCGCGGTGGCGTAGGTGTAAACGGAGCGCAAACGTTGAGCCCGACGCGTATAAAGATCCAAGGAGCAAGCTAGCACAATCTAAGAGCTGTACAGGAGATTCTAGGTTATGAGGCGCAGTTGCGCGATGATGGGTAGCCAAACTGGACAGATACAGCTCGCAGCCTCCCGCGCGTGGTGACGAATGGGCGGACGTCCGCGGCTTCTGGCCGCACCCAACATCCCTGTCGCTCCTGCGCCTGAGATGGTTATTGCCGGCCACAGCACGCGACTGGCACTTTCACTCTTGAACCCATCTCTTCTACAAAGTTGCTAATCCTATCTACACCCAGGCTTTGCTTTACAGCATTCACATTACTGCGGTCCCCCATCTTGTACAGCTCGTGCTGGATCCATCCAGTGTGACGATGCTATCATCATAGCAGAATGCATCTCAGAATCAGCCACATTCAACTCAACGGGGTCGACATAAGCGTATTCGTATCATTTATCAGGACTGGCGTCCCCGCAAAGAAACCGGACGACTGCCATCTGCTTCAGGGTCGCAGTCGTGGTGATTACCAAAGTTGGTGCGTCAAACGTGGCTGTAATGGCGATACAGATCCATGGATAAGCACGTCATGGTGTAAAGTATCCAACAAGACTCATGCAGCAACCTCGATGATGTACCGAGGAATCTTTTGTGCATATCAAATGCAGATGTACCTCATTTGAGGTGCTATTTGGCGACGCGTGTCAAGTTAATGTGTTGTTCAGTATGCCGCGTTTTTCGTCACTTTACGCGTTCTCCAGCCCCGCCTACCGTATTCTGATGTGCAAAGAAGGGCCGCTCGCGGGCCTCGCGATCCCAAAGTTGCTGCTACAGTTGTTCTCACCACTCCATGTGATGTTACAGTCGCCTTATGTCTTGTGTCATTGGCTTTGATATCACAAGCAGTGCACAGATGTACTATTACTTGTTCTGCCGATGTTTCTCCGCGATTGAATTGCTCTAGCGATTGATCTCGCTACCGCGCATCAGGTTGCTTCCACCGCTCATCCCTTCCTATGGCCTCTCATCCTAGTCGATAATCTGACTTTGCGTATCGCCAAACCCCACATTTGATGAAGACCTGCGGGAATGTTGTTCAGAGGGCAGTGCCTCTTGCATAGGTATGTGTCAAGACTGCCGAGGTAAGCGGATCAGCTCATTCATGGTCAGGGAGAAGTACGGAGTATAGGATGGCTCCTTTCACCAGAGTCGTTATCTTCTCTTGTGGAAACAAGGGGTCCGCAGTTGCTGCATGGCTCATAGTAACCTTGGAAGGATGGGCAAATTTTGTTCATTTTTTAACAGCACACAGCCAAATAGACGCTTCTTTGAGGAGGTCTCTAAACTGCATGCCAATACATCTTGCAGAAAAGAGCGGTTATTGGGGGCTCCTCCGCTGCGCCAAGCTTTCAGATTGTCAGCATTCGCATATTGCTCATCCAATGCTCGTTTTGCCCTGGTCATCCTAGAAGCTCGTGTTATGCAACTGCCTATTAACAATCCCGATGACTCTTAGACGTCGGTTATTGATCCGTCGGATAGTATTTAAGAAGCCCAGGCGAGCTTTGTGTGGTTCTCCCATCATTTCAAAATCATGATGCCTCGACTGTTCAACATCCTAGCACACTCCCTTTGTGTGTGTGTCATCCTAACGGCTGCTGAGGGGAGCAATAATCCAGGACCTATCGAACTGGTCAGAGATGTTGCAATCATCGGCGGAGGTGCATCAGGCACTTATGCTGCAGTTCGACTTCGCGAAGACTTAAACACGAGCATGGTGCTCATCGAACCCAGGCCAAATCTGGGAGGTCATACTAGTACCTACCACATTCCCAAGACCAACATCTCGATCAACTTCGGAGTTCAAAGCTACCTACCATACGGGCCAGCCAAAGATTTCTTCGCTCGCTTTGGAATCCCCACGGCAATTCCTACTAATCAGAGACTGACTGCTCTGAATGTCGACGTCGAAACTGGTAAGATACTGGAGGACTACAGTGCTCCAAGTGCGAATGCGACCAACGAAGCATTTCAGCGATGGCTCTCTATCACGACAAAATACAGAGAAATCCTGGAGCCCGGTTACTGGGACTTCCCATCCCCAGTGGACATCCCTGCAGATCTACTCACGCCCTTCGGTGACTTCGCCAAACTCAATAAGCTGGAGGCTGCCGTTCCACGTATAGTGACGATATCTGGGGTGGGGTATGGTGGTGTTCGTGACCTTTTGACTTTCAATGTCTTACAGGCTTTTGGAGCGTCGCTTACGAATGGTCAGTCATCTCTGCAGGCTCGGCTACGATAGGACCTTGTGTTCTACGTGCTTCCTGGTATCTCTTACTGTAAACGTACTAACTTACTGAGCCTAGACTTCCTGAGCGGCACCCTGTTCAAACCGATTGACAACAACGGTGTTCTCTATGAACGTGCACTCGAACTTCTTAAACCGGATGTACTATTGTCGAGCACTGTGCAGGATGCGATGCGAACTGCAAACGGAGTGGAGCTTTCAGTCAAACAAGGAGATACCAAATACGTTATCAAAGCACGTCGCGTTCTATACACTGCAGGGCCAAGCCTGGATAATCTAGCTCCTTTCCATCCTGACGAAAAGGAAAGTGCTATCTTCTCGAAGTGGATCCCAGGAGCCGAATTCGTAGCAGTTTTAGAGGCGTCTTGCCTACCAGAGAATTACTCGATCACATACCTGCCTTCAGCAGCGGTACCAGCTGATCAGCTTGCGATCAAGGACTGGCCATACAGTCTGCGCTTGGATTCAACAGGACCTCCAGGCCAAGGTCTTTTCCGCGTCATATTCGGTGCCAACTACACAGTGACCAAGGACGAATTTACCAGGCTAGTCTTGAAAAGTGTCAAAGATATTCAAAATGCAGGAACTGTCCCCTCAAACTGCAACGCGGAATTCAAGGCTCTTTCAGACCATAGCCGACCTTCGTGGCCGCAATCAGCTGAGCAGCTGCGAGCAGGATTCGTGCAAGACTTGTATGATTTGCAAGGATATAATGACATGTGGTATACTGGATATGCTTGGAGGGCTCAATACAGCTCAACTGTCTGGGCTTTTACTGACACTGTCCTTGAGAAAATGTTAGGAGATTTGACGGACGGAAGCTAATTCGGATCGTTGGCGCACACGCAGCGCAACTCTCATGGCCTGAGTTGCCGTAGATGACTAGGTATTCATTAGTTAGGCGCACGTCAAGACTCAAATAATGAAAGGTACTCAATGCATCTGAGCTAGACTACCCTTGTGAATACGACAAAGTGGTACATACGTGGTGCTGCCGTCATAACGAATCCTCGTTATAACATGCTCGGCTTCCATAGTACACAAGAAGACAGTTTAACGGAGATGACCTGCTGTAGTGGCCCTCGTCGAGGTTATCAGCAACAGTACGAGCTACTATATGCGTTAGATACCAGAGCTTTGTCTACTATTGCGTCATCATACCCAACTAACCGTACAACAGCAGGTGCAGTTGGAAACCCAGTGGACCTATCTGTTCTGCGGCTTCTGGTGAACAATTAGATTGGGTGAACGTAACGACTGTTTTCTGCAGCTTCGAATGCAATTATAGTCTTTTGGGTCCAAGTCTACTCAGATATTCCCAGCACGCGTGTACCAGCATGTACTGTGCAATGGGACTGACGATGTCGCAGCGCAAGCCGAGTGAATGATCCATGAGCGAATGAGTCGGCCCTGCGAATGAAGCGGGCGAGATCGAGGAAGTATAGAGAAGAAGAGGAAGCTGGCTGGAGTTTGGTCCCTTGATGGGTGATTGGGGAGTACCGAACTTTATCCGGTTCCTGCGTCGCCGTCCCCACCGCTCCGGGCTTCTCCTTACCTATTCCTTTGTGTACTTCCCATCTCTAAAACCAACCCTTCCATCACAGGCGTATTTAGTTCAGCCGGAATATATTCGCCTACGTCGATCTCGGCCTGTTCTTTTCTGTCCCCGCGCTGACCTCTCACGCATCGAAGAGTACAAGATGACCTGACCAGAGCAAATCGCACGCAAAATCGTCAGTACCTGAAAATGCCGCATTGTCTTTGGATAGCGAAGGTCAGGATATCGATCAAAATCTGATGGCTTGGTCTAAGGAAGTTGTGGACCGTGAGAGCCAGAACCTCATGAGGTAGAAGAGCCAAAGGTAAACTACGTAGCACATGAAGGCTTAATTAGATGTGACCAATGCAGCAGTCACTACAGCTGAGGATGATTTTGACGACGAAGACGACAATTTCTGAGATTTCGACCTCTCTTGCGAAGAACAACCTTGGAACTCCTGTCCTCTCACAGCTACGAAGCTCCTCGCATTCGCATCTACGCCACTTTTCGGAACCACTGTACAAAACTTAGCGTTATCCGAGTCTTCACCTTAATCGACAAGCGTGCATGCTGGATTTCAAAGTCGTTATATTGGGGCTAAAAGCTGATGTACACCAAGCCAGCTAATACTTGTTCGGCCCAACCTAATCAGCCGCCAGGGGGCCCTTGAACGCTCACCCTTCCGCTCCGTACCAACAACATGCACTACGACGCCATTGCCACCTACCTAAGAAAGAAGACTTGTTCGCATCATATCTATCATATCTATTAGCGAATGGTGCTCTGGCTTATCTCTGCAGGCTGATCATGCCAAGATCAATTAAGCTAGATGAAGATGTATTGGCCGAGTATGGGGCGGAAAGTGCGGGGATTGCAGCAGCTCTATATTTAGTGAGAACAATTGCTGTCGATACTGGTCAGGCTCAGAGTATCAGTATGAAGATTGCGTGTTGACCATATTCCAGAACTTCTGCATAGCCTGCCGATCATTTAGGTTGCTGCCTGTCCCAACGCGCCGCTGCGAGCGCCGAGCTGATGTTCTATGAACCTGCTGCGCCGCTACCTTGCTTATCGGCAAGATCGTCTCTTGCACCTGAGACTACAGAGTGAGATACAAGGATGCAGTGTGTGGCAGATAATATCTGCATTGTAGTCGACGAATAGAAGCCGTCAGAACCTCACCACAAGGCTGCGTAGAGGAGGCGCGGGACGGGCTCAACCCTAACGTGGGCATCGCGGCATATGCTTACCATGTCTTGAGGGCTTTTGAGCTGTGCTTATCACGC